AACTGTGTATGTGAGATGAGGCAAGATAACTGTTTATGTGATATGAGGCAGGATATCTGTTTATGTGAAATGAGGCAGGATAACTGTTTATGTGAGATGCAGGCAGGACAAATGTCTATAGGGACATGAGGCAGGATAAATGTTTATAGGAGATGAGGCAGGAGTGACTGTTTATGTGAGATGAGGCAGGGTAACTGTGTATGTGATGATATGAGGCAGGATAACTGTGTATGTGATATGAGAGCAGGATAACTGTTTATGGATATAGAGGATAACTGTTTATGTGATACTGTTTATGGCAGGATAACTGTTTATGGAGATGAGGCAGGATAACTGTGTATGTGAGATGAGGCAGGATAACTGTTATGTGATATATGGCAGGATAACTGTGATGTGATATGAGGCAGGATAACTGTTTATGTGATATGAGGCAGGATAACTGTGTATGTGAGATGATAGGCAGGATAACTGTTTATGTGAGATGCAGGCAGGATAACTGTTTATGTGATATAGAGGCAGGATAACTGTGTTATGTGAGATGAGGCAGGATAACTGTGTATGTGAGATGAGGCAGGATAACTGTGTATGTGATATGAGGCAGGATAACCGTGTATGTGATATGAGGCAGGATAACTGTTTATGTGATATGAGGCAGGATAACTGTGTATGTGAGATGAGGCAGGATAACTGTGTATGTGAGATGAGGCAGGATAACTGTTTATGTGAGATGAGGCAGGATAACTGTGTATGTGAGAGATGAGGCAGGATAACTGTTTATGTGAGTATGAGTGAATAACTGTGTACGTGATATGAGGCAGGACAACTGTTTATGTGATATTAGGCAGGATAACTGTGTATGTGAGATGAGGCAGGAGATAACTGTTTATGTGAGATGAGGCAGGATAACTGTGTATGTGAGATGAGGCAGGATAACTGTTTATGTGAGATGAGGCAGGATAACTGTTTATGTGATATGAGGCAGGAGTAACTGTTTATGTGATATGAGGCAGGATAACTGTTTATGTGATATGAGGCAGGATAACTGTTTATGTGATATGATGCAGGATAACTGTTTATGTGAGATGAGGCAGGATAACTGTTTATGTGAGATGAGGCAGGATAACTGTTTATGTGATATGAGGCAGGGTAACTGTTTATGTGATATGATGCAGGAGTAACTGTTTATGTGAGATGAGGCAGGATAACTGTTTATGTGATATGAGGCAGGATAACTGTTTATGTGATATGAGGCAGGATAACTGTTTATGTGAGATGAGGAAGGATAACTGTTTATGTGATGATGAGGCAGGAGATAACTGTTTATGTGAGATGTTTAGGAGATGAGGCAGGGTAACTGTTTATGTGATATGAGGCAGGGTAACTGCTTATGTGAGATGAGGCAGGATAACTGTTTATGTGATATGAGGCAGGATAACTGTTTATGTGATATGAGGCAGGGTGACTGTTTATGTGAAATGAGGCAGAGGCAGGATACTGTGTATGTGAGATGAGGCAGGATAACTGTTTATGTGATATGAGGCAGGACAACTGTGTATGTGAGATGAGGCAGGATAACTGTGTACGTGATATGAGGCAGGACAACTGTTTATGTGATATTAGGCAGGATAACTGTGTATGTGAGTTGAGGCAGGAGATAACTGTTTATGTGAGATGAGGCAGGGTGACTGTTTATGTGATGATGATAACTGCAGGCAGGATAACTGTTTATGTGAGATGAGGCAGGATAACTGTTTATGTGATATGAGGCAGGGTGACTGTTTTTATGTGAGATGAGGCAGGATAAACTGTTTATGGTAACTGTTTTTATGTGATATGAGGCAGGGTGACTGTTTTATGTGATATGAGGCAGGATAACTGTCTATGTGATATGAGGCAGGATAACTGTTTATGGAGATGAGGCAGGATAACTACGAGATGATGTGAGATGAGAGCAAGATAACTGTTTATGTCAGATGATCCAGGATAACTGTTTATGTGATATGAGGCAAGATAACTGTGTATGTGAGATGAGGCAGGATAAATGTTTATGTGATGTGATGGATGATATGATATGAATGGAGGTGAATATCTTGTCTTACTGTTCCTTTTCGTTTATTCTTTTGTTTTGTTATGGTTTTTGGTAGGTTGTTTTAGGGTTTCATTCAATTAATCGTTTCATTTCCCCCCTTCCTTTATCGTTACATTGAGTTCATACTCTGTTCACAGGAAACTGAAAAACCATTCAGGAAGTTGCAGTAGCACATGTAGCACACCCGTGAAACATAATGTCCCAGCTAAATAATGATAGCAATTCACAGTGGTTGAAAAGTGTAGTTTGTATTTTCAGGTTTCGTGTAAAGTCCATCTGAAAATATTTCCCTCTCCGCATCATCGGTGTTATTTGTATGAAAACAAGGGATGCGTTTCCTCCTGTTGCACAGGCTTTCCTTTGACCTTCCGACACGTGATCACGCAGACACTGAAATAAGAATAACCCAGGGCATGTTTCAAGGTTTACCAGGTCTAAGAGAGCTCTCTGTCCGTCTGTTAAATCTAATGATAAATCGGAAGTTTTAGGAGGATGTCAGACCCAAAGAGATTTTTTCAGACATAAAACATCACTATTCTATGCTTTGGGAGTACATTTCATCTAACGATTCAGTTCCGGTAGCAGTCACTATGTCGGTGAGTGTTATGAAGACATCAACTATTGGAGTTTGAGGAATATTGCACGACTTACAGAGAAGGTTGGTAGGTTGGCTGATTGCTTAACGTCGCACTCAGTAATATTGTCATACATCAATAAAGACTATTGAGTGAGTGAGTGAGTGAGTGAGTTAAAATGTAACGTCGCAACGTCATATAGCGACGAGACCAAGTTTCCACATATACATAAATCTATAACTACACAAAATTACATTCAAAAGCAAGTTTTCATATACACATTTCAACATCACAATTAAATATTATCTCTATATAATTGAGAACACGGACTGTAACACTATTTTTTTTAAATTCAAACAAATGGGCTTTAATAATACTTTTTACAATCTACAATACCTGTCATAATGTGTGTGATGCTTGTTTGTAAATATTTGGGCTTATGGCTTATGTAGATTGTATAAAGTATTGTTAAAGCCCATGTGTTTGATTTCTCCCTCTCTCTCTCTCCCTCTCCCTCTCCCTCTCCCCTCCCCTCTCTCCCTCTCTCTCTCTCTCTCTCTCTCTCTCTCTCTCTCTCTCTCTCTCTCTCTCTCTCTCTCTCTCTCTCTCTCTCTCTCTCTCTCTCTCTCTCTCTCTTTCTCCCTCTCTCTCTCTCTCTCACACACACACACACAGAGCTCATGAGCGTCACCGAAATGGTTTCCTCTCACACAAAAATGAATGAAAGGCCATGATATAACTGGAAAAACGAAATACTCTTCAAATCAAAGACAAAAACAAATAACAATTTATATTTGGCCATGCCCGAATGTACGTTTGACCAATCGCGAGGGTATAACCCCTTATTGGTCATCTCATCGCAAACGTATTGATTTTTACGCACTCAGTCCTATTCAAGCGGCGGTCTGTAAATAATCTAATCTGGACCAGACAATCACGTGATACACAATTGGGATACGTTGGCATGTGTCAACCAAGTCAGCGAGCCTGACCACCCGATCCCTTTAGTTACAGAAGATCAATTCTAGCCCGGATCTTCACGAGGAAGTTATACTAAAACTACCTTGATGGTGAATACACGCTGCCATGAAGAAAGTGGCCAAATGTAAACATGTTATTTAGTTGATATTGCACATTGTTAGCAAAGTACAGATTCTATTATTTTTACGGCGAGGTCCCACCCGGAATCCGAACCCATACTCTCACAGTCAGGCACCTAGTCGCGAGCACAAGAAGACAGCGATCTGGCCCACCTAGCCAACGGTCTTCCACAAATATAGAAATCTGAGAACTGGGACTACAAAACACGCAGCTTATGGACCTTTCTGAAAAGTGGATGTTGGCACGGCTCCCACGGCCGAAAGGCTATGAATACACACTATGCCGTTCAGGAAGCAGTCAACTGGAGCATGTTGTATTTGGGGTTCAGTAAAGTACAGATTCTAGTACTAGTTTTTGTTGAATACCATCCGGAATTTGAAAGTAAACTCAGAAATCTGTACTTTACTGATCGTTGACTTTGTCTGCTGGCAATTTTTCGGTTACTACTCTACTGGTAAGCTGAAATGAACTTTGTTTTCCAGAGTTATGGGGCATGTTCTGGGAAGTGTCTGACTGGGTCTTCGACTAAAGAAGGTCGCTTTGATTGGTACATGGGTCCTAGACTATCCTTTTGTTGAAGCGTCAAAATGATCTTCAAGGACTTCGATGAATTCAAAATCAGTAACCCTAACACCTTCATGCGTGATGAACAATTTGAGTAACTTAAGAACCGTGGATTTGGGGAAGTAATTTTACTTATTATTGTTTAAATCATTAAATAATTAATACTACATTTGAATATATGATTTTCTGTCAATTATCCTCTTAAGTGGATATGCCTGTGCACCCGAAAAGATCCGGGTAAGAATTGGTTTCAGAAACACATGTTTGCCGTAAGATCGGATTGTCAGACTCATTTACTTAGGTGGCCTATGTTATCGTATCCCAATTGCCTAGATCCATGCTCATGCTTTTGATCACGTTATTGTTTAGTCCACTTTATTATGTTCAGATGAAGATTGTATTACGCAAATGTATTTCACTACTGTACACTTCTCTAAAGAAGGAAAAGGCATGGTTCTTCCCCAACCGACCTCGAACATCCAGATATCCAACTTTGATCATCCCGGTGTGTACGTGGTGCTCCCCGAATGCCCAGGCATATCCACACATCTGAGAATGCTCTCTGTTAACGCAATGCATTCCCAAGAAGATATATAATATATAAATTAGATTGCTGTAATATTGAATCAATTCACCACGGCAGCCGGAAAACAAAAGCATTGAAGACTATACACAGTTGTCACAAGAAACTCTGTGTTTATTGTGTGAGATAAACAGACAACACAAACATATGGATTTCGAGGAGGCGGACAATATTCACTAGAATTTAAGTTTGACAAATAAAACATTAGATTTCAGAATCAGAACTCAAATTGTTAAAAACACATCCATACCATGAAGTCACACATACAGTCATTAAAACAACATTGAAGTAGCAGTTGCTCTGTCGAGTGAATCCTAACAGCGCTGGTGTTTTTTAATAATAAGGGATTAAAGGGGATTATCACACCCCAGTGATTTCTTCTACTGAAACAATAGGGGTTGGGTAAGTGGGAAGACCCCGTTTCAAAGCCAAATAATACAGATATCACAACCTAATATCGTTTTCTTTCGATCCATATTTTTCATATTTGCCGAGAGTTCTATTTCCATAATAGGCATATCAGTGCTTATGTTCCTTGTCATATAACGTCACTGGTACCAACTGACAAACGAATGACGTCATAACGCCTTATTAGACCCCTTAACGTGGTGTATGTACAGATACTTGATTTGAGCCTATTGGTGCGAAGCCTGCTCTTTTCAGCTCAAATATGTCCCTACTTTTCATCCCTCAACTTGATGCAGATTCATGTTCAAAATACTTTCCCAATCAAATACAATCGAACATCTGTGGGACATTCCCTGTTCTGTGATAAGCTCATCTGTCATTGTGGAGCATCAAAATGAATGTAAATCGTAAATCTCGCCATTTTGATACATTACTAATTCACCATTCAAGGCGTTTTATTTAGTATTTAGTGTGTACGTCTAGTGTTTATAAAATCACCTTCCACATATATAGGTTATAAGATGCTTGGCTCACTGATTTTTGAGTACGGGTATGTGTGGGAAGAGCATCGTAGCAACAAATATTGAATATAACATAGAAATATATCAAAGATTTCATACATTCCACACAATGTGTATGACGTCATGACTTTCGTAAACTCCCCCATAACTTCTCATGGTATAGTACAAAATCTAGTAAATCCTTTTTAGGTTTCGAACCCCATCTGTCGTTGTGAGGGGTCCAAAAGTAGACAGCAAACAAATTTTACCCAAACAGCAACCGAGGTTTCCAAGTGGAAGAGTGGGTTAGACAGGACTTGAACCCCCCAAATTGTTCTTTACTAAGAAAGTGCAATCCACAGCATAGCAATATTTGCTTGATTACGGTGTTAGTACCTACTCTGAAACGTCCGATTCATTGCAATAAAGAAGTTGACTATTTATAGAACTTGGCTTTCCTTCATCTACACAACTTCTAAAATACCTCACAAAGAAAACATAGCTGCCGTTACATTTCATCACTTTCTAATAAAAATCCTAACTCACTCACTATATAAAAGGTATTGTGTGTTCGGCATGTAGGTAATAGGGTGTAACAATGATGTCTTTCCTCGCTGTTTGTCCAATGCACACATCAGAAACAATGTTTCTATCATGAGATCCATATTCCACCTCCTGAGAACTTCCTTTACACCTTATGATGATAAAACAGTATGTCCATTCCGCCTCCACTTAGCTAGCTCATGAATAGATCAGGCAAGGAGAGAGTCAAAATTCTCAAGTCCGACCGACACCGTTAAACAGATACGAATTGAATGAAGACGAACTGTTCTAGTGACTGGGATTGCCTCAGATGGACTGGTAGTGCCATCCATTTTATGACAGCTGCAACACTGAAAGATCTGTGTCCAAATGAAATCAATTTCCGGGCATATATTTTAGCCATCGGTTGGCACTCCGATCTTAAAGACTGTAAGAACATGTACATTTGGGCCCGGTCAAAAGGTATGGAGGAGCTTGGCCATGAAGACACTGGTGTCAGGGAAAAATTTCTAAACACACTCTTTCACCAGCCGGAAGTGTTTTACGCACAAGTGTCACATTGGAGTCTGTGGCAGTTTTGTCACAGCTGTGTCTCCTTTACGTCTGTCGTAGCTTGTTTAGCAGGCTCGATGGCAGATTAGCTGAAAGACTGTTGCTAAAGTCCTTTCGCGCGACTATCAAGGATCGAGCAGGATGCAGCTGCAGTATCAGTTTTGAATTGATGACTTTCCCAAAGTTTAGGAGATGGAGATGGCATTTTCTGTACAGATCATTCACTTGCTGTCCCGTTGCCAATCCAGCGTTAGGAACACACAGATCTTTGACAACATTAGACATTGGTATGTTTGCATGCCGAGTCTTCCGAGTGTCGGAAGGCATCATATATAGGTAGCCTGAAGCCTAATATTCCACTTTGTCGTACACTACATCGTTCCTGTTCATGATGGTGTCCTCGTTTGCATACAAGTGAACATCCTCTTCAGATGAGTTGGATCTCCTTTGAGGGTCCGATTTGTTTCTGGCGGGACTTTGTTTACATCCTGTTGAACAGTAAATGACAAATTGTGAATTATGGTGATAATATGATGATAAATAGATAACACACTTCACACCTGAGAGGAATTTTATAGTAAATGGTTGATGATACATATCTAAATGCCGTTACTATTGAATATATATTTGACCATCTCTATTATCCCCGACCGCGTTATACCAAAAGACGTTAAAATATGGTACTTGTTGGTCACTGCCTGGCGCTCGGCATTAATGGGTACAACAAGGACTGGTCGGCTCGGAGTCAGTATAATGTGTCTGAGTGGGGTATTCATGCTTCACTGTGGAATGGTATCTCAGTGGGCTAGCACCATAAAACCAGCTTAAGTCTGGGCTAGTACAAGCAGCCGCACATACACATACACCCGCATGCACGTCGTCATATGAGCGAAACAGTCTCAAGCACGACGTTAAACCCAATTTCACCTCACCTCACCTATCATCTTGTCAATAATGCATAAACCCGTTGAAGAAATGACACATACAATGTGGTGATAACTGCCGACTTGCCTTTGCATCGATGAGGCAGGATACTGTTATATGTCAGTGTAATTGTTAAACAATATTGAGTGTAATTGTTAAACAATATTGGTTTTGTATATCATCGTTTCATTGGAGGTCTTAACTTTATGCTGCTGTGGAAGGTGATATTTACTAAGGGAAAAAAATAAGGGATCACATGAAAGGACAAGTGTTCCTTTATTTTTTCCAGGTTTCTTCACAAGCTATATGATACAAAGTTTGTGAAGAAACCTGGGAAAAAATAAGGGAACACTTGTGCTTTCATGTGATCCCTTATTTTTTTCCTACAGTATATTAGATTCTTTGGGGTTCAAATGGGGTCAGGCATATTCTGGAAAAGCGTGTATTAAACTGGCATTGTAGTCGTTTTTATTACTGTAAAAGGGTAAGTTTCTATCACCCCCTTCTTACATCAAGACCAGCAGTTGTGTTGAGATCATCTTTTCGCGTGAATATCAAGTCTGGGACTCAAACTCAATCACTTGAACTGGTTTGGTTTGTTTGTTGTGTAACACCGCACTCAGCAATATTCCAGCTATATGGCTGCGGTCTGTAAATAATCTAGTCTGAACCAGACAATCCAGTGATCAATAGCATGATCATTGTACAATTGTGACTATATCATGAGCATATATTTGTTTCAGCAGTATTACAGCTGTAGGATGTTGTTTGTAAAACAATTGAGTATGAACCAGACAATCTAGTGATTGTCACCATGCGACACGATGACAGAACATGTGTTTATGAATCACTATGAAATAATGTTCGCAAAAAGATGTTCGGACACATTTCAGAAGGTTATAGAGTCATTATGGACACAACAACTATGGAATCCAAATACGTGGTGCTTTGTTACTTTCCATGTACATATTCTAAGACAAAAAGTGGTTGCAATGGCCTGGAAATGCAACATCTATTTCTAATTACATGTTATATGCTTAACATTACGTGCACGTACACGCAGGTACACTTGAATTTCATTGTCACCTATTTCCAAGCAAATCACCAACCCTACCTTTAGCAGCCTTTATCTTTTCAATTTTCTCCGTCACACGCTTCAGGATTAGGGAACCGTCGGCTGTCTCCATGTTAAAAACACCTGCTCCAGTTGAGGATTTCCGTCCCGCTTCTAAAGTGAATTGGGTGCTAGACTTTCCGTACTTTCGGATGCATACGTACGGCCATTCATAGATGACCCGGTTGGATCTGACATCGCACAGGCACAAGCTTGTGTCCCTCACAGCAATGCAGTACACACCTTTAAGATGGCACCGCTTAGACGTGATCTCGTCCCCACTGATGTTGACTCTGAAGAACGTAGGATGATCCTCCATAGCCTATGTACTCACAAGGCACGAAAGATACTCAGTCAAACAGTGCATGTACACTGTCAACATTCAAATCGTTAATGACTGATTAGATCACGGTGTTGACAAGGTGTACCACATTGAGGAGATATGTCTTATTCAAATTCACAGATATTCACAATGTCCTGACACCTTGGGTATGCTGCAGAAGGTAAAACAAATCGACTTTGGTTGAGGTTTCCTCAGACTCCGACAATAACTCTGCAATGCTCCAATGGACACATAAAGGTTGCATAACTTCCTGGTAGGACTGAGACATTACGCGTATGTGTCGCTCAACCTGGTCAATATGTTTCACCACACGAAAAAACAATGTTTTCCAAATTTAACCATGCTAGGAAATACACGTTCAATCGAGGCCCATAAGATCAATGTTTGAATGTATCAAACAGCCGACGAATTTGCATTTATTACTCAAGTCCTGAAATAACATAGCATTTGGGAGACTATGAACAAACCTGACAGCGGTGTGTGGATATGGCCACTGTTTCATATATTAATAACGCGTGAAATAATTGTAAATGTTGTTCACTGATAAGATAGGCTTAAATACCTTAGAAATTGTGCACGACAAAGATTTCACCTATATTTCAAGCTCTTATGAATGCTTGGTCTTAGACACAACATTATTGACAGATGTTAAATGTTTTTGAATGGTTTCTGACATTTGCCCAAACATGTGTGGTGAATCCCAAACATGTCTGGTGATACCCGGGGCAACTACGTGTATTCTTAAAAGGATGGATGTTTCCTTATCAGTGAATTTGTAAGCTGTATCATTGATGTTCTCCAGCAACATCACTTCCAATGGAATGCAAACTCATGCTGGTATCCCATTCAAAAGAAAAATGCCAATGAAGTTCGCCCTGTTGACGAAAGAATACGTGGATTCTTTTCAATGTTTACCTTTATTTGTCATATCGCATGTCTATTGGCATTCTAGCTGCTTTTTGCTTATAGTAAATGATTGTCTCTTTTCCTCCATTGCATGCATAGCTTGTGTTGGAATATGGGCAATTATTTTCAAGACTGTGAATGGCCAGTTAAGGAAATGGGATATTGAAATAGCTTTTGTTGCGTACCCAAAGAAAACTACTACGTCATGCGTTTCAGGAACTAAGGTTCCACAAATATGTGTTAAAACATAGCAGTCTGACTTGTTTCATTCTCCATATATGAAGGTTGCCATGCAATGTAACTTTTGAGAATTCATAATTGTGAGTGTAATTTAATAATGATTATGTGCATCATTATCACAGCTAATTATTCGTAATCTAATTATATCTCTGTCTATATTAGTATCTAGCACTCCCGCTCCCTTCAAGATGTCTACTAGGTAACTATTCTACAAAACGTATTTAATTCTTGCCCGATAATTACTCATAAACGTGTTTGAAATTGAAAACGTTTTGGACTTACTATCAAAAAGTAAACTGATACAATATTTAAACAATCAAGTAGATTATTTATGCCTAATTTTGTTTTGGTTTGGTAATTTTATCAAACTTTTATCAAACAAAAATAAGAACGATCTGCATTTTGCTTCTGATGCTTGTCATTGTGATTACACCCTTCAAGCCATGAGTTTCATACCACGATTGTTACAGCTTCAATAGTAAGTGCCTCGTGTTGACTCTAGAAAGGGGCAGATAACTGAAGAATGACGATATTACCTATATTTCAGTTTAGAAAGAAGACTTACCTACTGTAGGTTTTCAGCTTAAAAACACAAATATTTTACATATTTAGCTGTTACTGAGTGAATGCAGGAATCATGTACTCAAGAACCCACCTGCGTTGAATAGCTCACGGATGCAAAACATCTCGTTTATTGTAGTTTAGACATCGGTTTAAAAAACCCAGTAGACTGGAAAAGAGTAATGATATTGTGAATACAGACCTATCAAATACCCATGTGACTAAGAACATGTGATAAAACACTTAAAGGATCAAAATCTGCCTGGGGCCTTTTTCTTCCAGCTTCCACTTACATGAACTGGCAACAAATTGAAAGGAAATGATGAAGTTAGTAACCTAATTGAACATGTTCCCTTGCACAAGACCGCCTCTGTGGTAGAGCGTCCGCCCGGAGAGCGGAAGGTCGCGGGTTCGACCCCGACCGTGTCATACCAAAAGACGTTAAAATATGGTACTTGTTGATCCCTGCCTGGCGCTCGGCATTAATGGGTACAACAAGGACTGCTCGGCTCGGAGTCAGTATAATGTGTCTGAGTGGGGTATTCATGCTTCACTGCGGCATGGTATCTCAGTGGGCTAGCACTATAAAACCAGCTTCAGTCTGGGCTAGTACAAGCAGCCGCACATATACATACACACGCATGCAGGTCGTCATATAAGCACGACGTAAATACCCAATTTCACCTCACCTCACCTCCATTGCACAACACTGTTTTGCGTAGGCTGGCGATTAATTGTAGAAGGTTGATGGCAACAGTGTGATCCTTGATGTTTTCGCATTTATGAAAATAATACAAGGTGAACCTAGCACTTCACATAGTGGTTACATTTAGTTTTACGGGTTATGTGATCAATGTTCAAATACATTCCATTGATATCAAGAATGATACATACGTTTCTAAGGCCTGAAAACATTTCAAAATTTACAAATTTAAAAATGCTTTCCCACTGAAATATATTTAGAAAACATTCGGATCTGTCAGCACATATTACAAGTAAAATGTATTGGAAATACTCTATGATCAAGCATTTTCTAAGATACCAACTTTCTACATCATGCATGGAAATGTCTACAAATCCGGTCATCACGTACAGCAAAGCCCCTGTGCAAATGGCAATATACGATGAGCATATGTTTCTAAGGTGAAACTTCATATGAAATAAACGTCTGATGTTAATATGAGGAAATCAATACTCAAATCCGCATTTCCTACCGTATTTGGGGTTTTTTCAATGTTGTAAAATCAGGCTATTGGTCTCGTGTCAATATCACAAAGAACTCATTCCTACCTGCTTGACAGGTTTATCCAATTCAAACACGGTGAGGTAATTCTATACCCTTTGTGTGACGTTTTGTACGCCTCATGAAGGGCGTGTATATATGCACTACTGGAACGGTCACGTGGACATGGCATGACGAACTGACAAGGCGATCCAAACAAATAATACCCAATGCTGTGCGTGTTGTATGCATACTGACTGACTGACTGAGTTTGGTTTTACGCCGCTTTTAGCAATATTCCAGCAACATCACGGCGGGGGACACCAGAAATGGGCTTCACACATTGTGCCCTTGTATGCATACAACAAGCGATCCTTATGTGTCTTTTCTGTACATGTATGTTATTATAGTCCATTTATCATGCGCATTTCTCCATGCACAATGCATGCTCAAAGCGCTGATCGGATTATTATTACCCCGGATAACCCAAGCTGCCTGTGAGGCGCTAGAAGGTTAGTGGTTACATAACTTATCCCACTGGGTACCCATTTTCTGCTGGGTGAACAGAGGCAATTTTGAACAAACTCACTTGCCTAAGGTGAAACCACATGTCTCATGTGCTTCGTGGTGGGGCAGGACTGAAGTCATAGAAACTCTCAGGAGTCAAGCTGCCAAACACTGTCACCAATCCGAGCACAGTCCGCGTCCAACGTTGCTTAACTTCACCTCATTGTGACCTGAGCTCTATACACATTGCCACACGTGTTGAAGAAACAAATGTTGAATTTTTATGAAATACGTCATACGTTGATGTATTTTGGGTTGGGCGGTTAAAGTATTAAGTTGATATTTTGTGTTTGTGATCTATTGGTGATTTTTTTTAATTTAAGTATTAAGTGATGTTTTGTGTTTTAGGCCTGTATTCAAAAATTATTTTATTTATTAGTTTTATATGGCATGTCGTATACTGATAACAACCACCATTGTGTTGCATTTTCTGTTGTCTTACGTTTGCCTTGAGTGAGTGAGTTCAGTGTTACGCCGTTATTATCAATATTCCAGCAAGATCACGGCGGGGGCTTCACACATTGTACCCATGTGGGGAATCGAATCTGGTCTTCGGCGTGACGAGCGAACGCTTTAACCATTAGGCTACCCTACCGCCCCTTCCCTTGAAGTAAATGCTGTGTCCATGCATATGCCTTACTTAGTCAACATTTCGGCAGCGTCGAACCTCGGATAACTCGAAGTATTTACGTAGGGCCATTGAGCTTCGACACAACGGTGTTTGGCTGTAATAGAACCAAGTTGTAGTGTAACTATCTTGAATGCTTGAGCATACAAAAAGCATGAACATACTAGTGTGGTCCCGCATCCTTACCCTCCTTTCAAGGTTTCATTACACTATATGCAACCGATATTCTACCAACAAAGGTTAACATAGGCCCCAAGAACCTATGCTGATTATAAAAGATGACCAAATTGGTCAGGGTTCCGGCTGTTGTTGACTTGGTCGATAACGTGTCACTATACCACAGTGGCATGGGCCATTTGCTCATGATATCAGTCACTAGACTGTATAGCACAGTGGCCACCGTCATACAGGTGAGTCTGGTATTAAGCTGCAAAGAAACAAATAATGATATCTTTTGTCACAGGTTTATTTGTTGCTTGATCAGTAGAGACATCAGATAATTTTGTTCGTTGTGGGCGAGCTGTCTAAGGCGCCAGGCTAGTGATCCAGCGAGCTTGATGTGTCGGGATCGATCCCACCTGTGACCGGGTGTAAAAACCTTAGAGTCCACTTTGTGTGCAGGCTCTTTTAGTTTTGTCACAACCCCTAGTGTACAGTACACAACCCTGTGCACTTAAAAGGTCCCACGAATCCGTTGGTATATGACCAGATGGTGGCCACATGAATACGTGCAAACACCTAGTTGCGGGTACAGCAACGTGCAGTGAACTTGAACAAAGTACACTGACTATATGTCCAAGTCCACCCAGCTGTGAATGTGTCCCCCGTAAGGATGGGAAAGCCACTTTAACTCGGTGGCTGCACGAGTTGCATCATCCCCAGGGAGTTGAGATTAAAAATGATATGTACCGTTGAGATTGACATCCTATGATCGAGGGAAAAAAGCGCTTTGAGCATGCATGTAGATGGATGGACTATAGTGCTATATAAATACCCATATAATAATGATAATAATTTGACACATACATGTACAAAACACAACCATGAAGAATACATGACAAGGAGACTTGTAATATTTGTGTTAAATAAAGACTAGGTTACCGAGAACATCATTCAGAAGCTGGCACATATTTAACAGATTCTGCATGTACATCATGATACCTTTATTTTCACTCACGTATCCCGTGTAAACTACATTCTTTACAAATTTCTAAGTGTACATAACTTTGTTTTCATTCACGTATCCTATGCAGACAATCTGACACATGCTTTATAAATGTCTAAGTGTACATAACTTTGTTTTCGTACGTGTCCTATGCAGACAATCTGACACATGCTTTATAAATGTCTAAGTGTACGTAACTTTGTTTTCGTACGTGTCCTATGCAGACAATCTGACACATGCTTTATAAATGTCTAAGTGTACGTAACTTTGTTTTCACTCACGTATCCTATGCAGACAATCTGACACATAGTTTATAAAAAGTCTAAGTGTACGTAACTTTGTTTTCACTCACGTATCCCGCATAGACAATGTGACACATGCTTTATAAATGTCTAAGTGTTCGTAACTTTGTTTTTACTCACGTATCCCGCACAGACAATGTGACACATGCTTTATAAATGTCTAAGTGTACGTAACTTTGTTTTCACTCACGTATCCCGCACAGACAATGTGACACATGTTTTACAAACATATCAGTGCACATAAGTTTGTTTTCACTCACGTATCCTATGACACATGTTGACACATGTCATCGGTTCCCAACTTGCGCAGATCGATGCTCATGCTGTTGATCACTGGATTGTCTGGTCCAGACTCGCATACACAATCTGGCACATTCTTTACAAATGTCTAAATGTACATAACTTCGTTTTCACTCACGTATCCTATGTAGGCAATCTGACACATACTGAACAGTTTGGTAATACATTAAAATGGCGTGTGTGTGTGTGCGTGCGAGCGTGTGTGTGTGTGTGTGTGTGTGTTACAGCTTCTGGTAAACGGGAACGTTGCGCAATCCGAAACATTCCTAAAACACGTCAAAGCTTTATGTGATCACAGTTTCTGTTTGAGTCTGGCTGACCCTCACAAAACAAACAAAGCCTCATCCCAATGGTAATACCTGCTTTTCATGTTGCCCGCTTGGTCTCCTGTGACAAGACCCACTGTATTGTATTGTGTGGGAACAATATCCCTACTGTGCTGATGGGTCATTTACCCACAACCCTAAAGTTGTGATAAGAGAAGTCCCGTGCTGATCACCACCCCGACATGCACACACTGCACATTAGATTGCAGGACGTGGTAACAGTATACCCACGACACTCATGTTGACCTCCTTACATATACAAAACATTAACAAGCCAGGATTAAGTACACTTCACTCACATATACTCACATATATTCATACTAGTATTATTGACATATGTTATTCATATTGAGATAATTCATTTATTTGACGATGTATTTGCTTCAGCCAAAACAATATCCCTATTTGTATTTGTAAGTCTCAAGATCAGCTGCAGTTCTTGGTCAATTTCTGTTTTATTGGCCCAGTGATTGAAATATATTTGCATCACAATACATACTTCAGTTTACATACAAATGCAAGAAAAAAGCACACGACAGGCCAAGGAATCCCATCTGGAAAATAATGAAGCAGATAAATAAAAAAGAGTGTTTCTTTATAGCATCTTTAACAAACTTCAAGATAAACATTTCGAGATAACAAAGTACAAGAGATAAATACGTGACATGATAATTTCCAAACAAAACAACAATTGTGAAAATTGAAAAAGTTGTGAGAAACAATGAGACTTACATAATTGTAATTGTGTTATTTGTTCGTTATGTAACCTCGCACTCAGCGACATTCCAGCTATATGGCGGTCGTCCGTAAATAATCGAGTCTGGACCAGACAATCCAGTGACTGGCATTATGAGCATCGATCTACGCAACTGGGGTACGATGACATGTGTCAACAAAGTCAGTTAGCCTGACCACCCGATCCCATTTATCGCCTCTTATGACAAGTATTGGTTGCTGAAGACCAATATTAAACCGGATCTTCACGGGTCAGTTGTCCCGTTTGCATAAATCGATACTCAGTAAGTCAATACACGGCTGCTTGGTACAGAACCAATTATTGATCGCAGTCATATTGCTGTAATGTTGCTGGGCACAGCGTTAAACAATCAAGAAACATAAACAATGAACACGTTCCTTTAAGATACCATCTGTTATGAAGAACAGTCTATGAGGTATATGGCTCACTGTATATGTGTTCCGCATCTGACTTGGGAGGGTGTCCAGCACGACTGCCATCGAGCGCGTCTCTGTTGTAATGTTGTTTCTCTGCAACTGCCGTCAGATAGGTTTCTCCTGTGTCTATACTATACGGTTCACTGTAAACACCGCCGGTATCCCTAGACCTGTTCTTGTCTAAAAAGCCTTGTCTTGCACCGATGATATTTACGTTCGTGTGGCCTTCAGCAGCTCTCTGTTCCTCATCAGGAGATCGCATACATCCTGTTAAATACAATCGTGGTCAGTTGACAGGTCCCCGTTGCACAAAGCATTATGCATAGATTGTAAGGGTTGGGTATAGTTAAGACACCTTAGCGCTAAGATCGCTTTGTGGAGCAGGGCCCTAGTTGAATACAATCGTGGTCAGATTACAGACACCCGATCCACAAAGCATTGTTAGCGCTAAGGTGAATAAGCATCCATTGATGTATGGGACTTTAGGACATCCTAACGCTTAGATCGCTTTGTGGTACGGGGCCCTAGTTAAATACAATCGTGGTCAGATCACAGACACCCGATCCACAAAGCATTCTTAGCGCTAAGGTGAATAAGTATCCAGTGAAGTATGGGAGTTTAGGACATCCTAACGCTTAGATCGCTTTGTGGAGCGGGGCCCTAGTTGAATACAATTGCGGTCAGTTCACAGGCCCGCGGTGTTTGCGCTGCAGTGATCGTAAGCTTACATTAAAGTATGGGTGTTAAGGACACCTCAGCGCTAAGATCGTTTTGTGGAACTGGTCCCTGGTTTACATTATTTTGCTGAGACTAAATGTAAGTATTTCACATCTTTCCATCGTGTCACGTTGGTCAATGAATAGATCGTGCTTGGGTGTAATGAATATTGTACGGATGTATCGTTAGGTTATCCCCCAGGTGTAATATAAATGAATCAACTGAACTGTATCTACTAGATAAACAAGGTTCACACCCTCGAACATCCGGACTAGAACTGGTTTTCCGCTCCCCATTCTTATCACAAAAAAATGCTTACGAAAATCATGACCTATGTAATTTTCCATGTTGCCCTGTACCATATGTTTAGGTGCTTTGTTCAGTGGACATTTGACTTGGCTTTGCATGTATTCTGGATGTGCAGGTGGGTTAGGATACGCTCACTATTAGTCTTCAGCAACCAGTGTTTGTCATAAGAGCAACTATACATGTTGTAAAAGGCAATCTTGTGGACAGACTCGTCACTTGGTTGGTGAATGTATAGTATGCATAATACCAAATTACGAACATTTGAAGATCCGGGTTAGAACTGATCTTCAGCAACCCGTGCTTGTCGTAAGAGGTGATTAGCGGGATCGGGTGGTCAGGCTCGCTGAATTGGTTGACACATGTCATCGTATCCCATTTGCGTAGAGCGATATTCATGCTGTTACAGGATTGTCACTGGATTGTCTGGTCCAGACTCGATTATCTACAGACCGCCGCCTTATAGCTGGAATATTGCTGAGTGCGGCTTAAACCTAAACTCACTCACTCACTCTCTCCTCCACATTAAGTACATCGATGCTCATGACATCAATCATGATGTGTATCGTTCAGACATAGTTCTTTACATACCACCCAAATATAGCTGAATTATTGCTAAACAACTAACAAATAAATAAAATATATGACCATAAAATATATTCATATATTGACTATGTAAGCATGACCTACATAAATACTTCGAGTTATCCGAAATTCCAGCCAAACGCCAAATGATAACTTAAAGAGGACAAGCTTTTACTTCGGGACATCCGTATGCTCGACTCATCAAAGTTCGACACAACTTATGTAGTGGCATGTTTTACTGTTTCATTATTTGAAGTAAGCAGCTCACTATCCGAATACGACATACCTCTTGTCTGCCCTCTTTCTGATGATGTTTTCCATGTTCCTCTGACAGCTCTTAAAATTTCAGGACATTGGTTTGTTTCCATAACGAATTCACCTTCACCAGTTGGACACCTTCTTCCAGCTTCAAAATGGAATGACGAATGTGTTTTCCCATATCTTCGGATATACTTGTGCGGCCATTCATAAAGGACCCGGTTAGAAGCGAGATCGCACAGGCACAAGCTTGTGTCCTTAACCAAGAGGTTATAGGCACCATTGAGGTGACATCTCCTGGACGTCTCATACTCTCCGCTGAAGTAGACTCTGAACATTGTATCTCGATTAAGTATAGTTTCCCTTTGCTAAATAGTACAGTTCTTTGGTAACGCGTCTTAATATTGAAGCATGAGAAACTTTACGTCAAGCGGAAGATATTTACAACCCAAGGTCAGACACGGCATATACCTTTCATTGCTAGGACTGCAATCTAGTGTTGCTACACAAACCACATGTAATCTATCACATTATCCCATATATTGCAGACAGGCTCTACACAAGTCTAGTTTTAGGTTCGCTCCAGGTGTAGAGGGTACTCTTATCAGATTTCACGTTGGCTGCCCTGACGGTGAGTCAGTCAGTCATTTTAGCTTTACGCCGCTTTTAGCAACATTCCAGCAATATCACGGCGGGGGACAACAGAAATGGGCTTCACACATTGTACTCATGAGGGAGTAGCCTAGTGGTTAAAGCGTTCGCTCATCACAAAGACCCTGGTTCGAATCCCAACATGGGTACAATTTGTGAAGCCCATTCCATGTGTCTCCCGCCGTAATACTTGAATATTACTAAAAGCGGCGCAAAACACAACTCATTCACAAACCATGACATTGCTCATAGCGTGTTACTGTAAACCGATTGCCTGAATTGTTGAGCGTCCTCTCAAAGGCTGTTTTGTCAAGTCCACAAAGTCCACCGTGACCTGTCACAGCGTTCGTTATTCATGAGACGCCATATTGTTTGAGCCAGTAGGAACCCGTTTAAGGGTGCATTTATATAAGTTAAAAACGGTATCTAAAACATTGCAACCACACGTAATTACCCGTGTTAGAGGACACGCCCAAATCAAACATGAAACATGTGTCTGTTTAAACTCCGTACCCACAACATCAACATACCAAACGCTTTCAACAGAATTCACCCATGGTTAACCTGCGATACATTTGATCCACGCAAATGTGAACATTTCACCTAATGACTCATGAGTCAAATAGAGCACCCGGTCTGGAGAATGAACACAGGTAATCTTTTTACCAAACTGTAATCTGATCAATGGATATCACATAGTTAACCGCAGTGTTGAGTCACACTCTGAAACCTTTGTTGTTTGGGGAGCTGCTAAGGTGCAGGGGTAACCTTATATCTGCAATTTGTAAAGAAGGAAGTAAGCTACACGTGTGTTGACACTACTGAATAGTAGTGCATTCGACGAGCTTATCTCAACCTTATCTGCTTTACAATATATGAATAGGCCTACGAAGTCCTTTGAGAGTAATGATAGCGTAAACACTTGTATCGACAGCGTATGCATTCAATACCGAGTTGTAGATTTCTGTATTTGTGTGTTCGTCGGGTAAGTATAGTTTCATAAGGTGTTTCGTCACGGTTTACCAAGTCCTCCAACCTGCCGCAGTACTCTGTGTACAGTTGTCTTCCTTTACACACCAGGATCCACTGATTGGGGGATCGAGTCCCTGTTGTCCATGCAGGTAGCAAACGTACTGCAAGTCGCCATGGTCCCTAGCATGGTGATCTACCTTCGGTTATAAATATGTTATATTCTGTACTATCTATCTAATTTGAAAAGTTACTTGCTTGTTTTAATTCTCTAACTGTGATAATCTAGTTATTTTACTGTCCTTTGTCGACAGGTTCTTTATAATTCAATTGCGTTTATTGTTAATTTATATCTTTTAAAGTCACAATATGGCTGAAATATTGCCGATGTGACTATAAATCTTCACTCACTCAATCACTCACCCAATCAATCAATCACTCGAGCCCCTGTTTAAGGTGTGGCTATGATCAAAGCCATGCTGATGACTGACATGACTAAAACACAACAAAACTGAAATACCTGCAATCTAAAAGGTCGTATCTTACGTATGATAAGTGATGCGGTATTGTTATATAGTGTGTAACAAATGTTACACACTGTGCCTGTAGATTTATTGAGGGACAGTGGTTTGCTATATTCAGATTTGGTTGGTTGGTTGGTTCGTTGTTTAACGCCGGGGTCATTGGGGGGTCATTGATTTTGTACATGACATTCAGGGGGGTTACTTACTTTGTACACAAATTTTAGGGGGCCATTCACATTGTACATGTTACTCTATAAACACCATCATCATTACCATGGACGACAACTCTCACAAACATGACACTCGGTTTATCTCCCTTGAATCAAAAGTCAGATGAAGTTCTTTACACGACTTTGATACAGTGATTTTTTTATCCATTCATTCATTTTCACAACTATTTTTCCCTTTACCCCAAACGGAATTTATTTCTGAGGATAATCAAGACTATCAACGCTTTTGCAGTGAGGTGCCAACTTAGGGATGGCACTTCATGGACGTGTCATCCATAGCATTCAATATTTTTTTATTTTTTTATTTATTTTTTTTTTTCTTTATTTTTTTTCATGAAACCAAAGTCTTCCATCATAAACGGCGGTCATTACATGATGACATATACAAATACATGAACATAATCAGATATCCATCATACCAGGATGTAACATAGTTAGAACAGTGAAATATCAGCCTTTCTAAGATGCCTAGCGGTTAGAACAATCGAAAAAACGTTCGCCCTGAACTATTATAACGCAAGCGTCCTCGTACTTTAACTATAATAGTTCAGGGCGAAAGTGTGTTTTATTACACTATACATGGTGGTAGAGCGAACTGTATTTCTTAAGTATAGGGTGCTGTATGTGGTACCATACCCAACATATCATGTTTTATATAGCGCAACATGCAGCATACAGTGTTGTATATAGCGTCACGCCAGACATAGCATATTGTATATAGGGTCACATCCAACATATACTGCATATTGCGCAACATCCAACGTAAATTGTATAAAGTGTCATATCCGAAATATCGTATTGTATATAGGGCCACATCTGATCTTTCCATATCATAAAGTATATAGGCTTTATAGCATTACATCCGACATGCCATGTTGTATATAGCATCAAATACGATATGTCATATTGTTTAATGCACCACATCTGACATATCATGCTGTATATTGAATCACATCCCTTGTATCTCATTGTCTATTGCATCACATCTGATCTATCATATTGTATAATGCACCACATCTGACATATCATGCTGTATATTGAATCACATCCCTTGTATCTCATTGTCTATTAAATCACATCTGATCTATCATATTGTATAATGCACCACAACCAAAATATCATGTTGTATATTGCATACATCATTCCATAAATTGATCAAAGCAGTACGACAGGCTTAAGCACATGTTAAAATTACGATCATCATAGCGTTAAGATGGCTTTATGGAAGCTTGATCGGGTTCAGCAGCTAGAGCTTCTCGTCAAAAATCTCTGATCACCTTGCGTCACTAAATTTTCATGTTGGTCCCGAACACTTAAGCCCAATCCCTTTGTCTTTCTGGACAATAAAATATGTTCAAAGCAAACATCTCCTCGTCAGTATTATCAGCTAGCACAACCATCGACACCTTTCATCATTCGGATTTTCTGATGAACAGCGTCATATATTTTTCCGCCTTCTTTCGTTTTCAAATGAAATACACCTTCTCCCATGGCGAAGGAGCGCCCGCATTCAAACACGAATGAAGTATCCGTCTTCGTGTAGCCTCTAATACTGGTGTAGAGCCACTCGCAGACGACCACGTTCCTCTTGGGTTCACACAGACACAAGCTGTCAGCCTCAACATAAAGTCTGTAGGCTCCTTTGAGGTGACACTTCTTGGAAATGTCATCCTTACCTGAAAGGCCGTGAAGATCAGGGTGAGAATTGGTCTTCATCTAACTATGCTTGTCATAAGAGGCCACTAACGGGACTGGGTGGTCAGGCTCACTGACTTGGTTCACACATGTCATCATATTCTAATTGCGTAGATCGATGCTTATTATGACAATCACAGAATTGTCTGGTCCAGACCCGATTATTTACACACAGCCGCCATACAGCTGGAATATTGCTAAGTGCGGTGTTCAACAACACACACAGACAAATATTACCTGAAATGCTGACTTCAAACATGCTCTTAATCCTTAGTCCTAATCCTGAAATACCCTTGGTGAAAGGAACCCAATGAAATGTCAAACCGAATCGTTCACAGTATCCTTATATCCTTAGGTTTTTATCTCTTTTTATCACCCTAGATCGATTAAATGCACCTGAACAAACTGAATAACGCAGTTTCAAATATTTCTTCCTTATATGTAATATGCATATCAGGTCCAATGATGACAAATATGTGCACAGGTTTGTTTCACTCGCAGCTGGCTTTGAAGTCTGTGGGATTATAATATCAGTAATTGATCCACTGATATTTCTTACAATAATTCGTGATGCACAGCAGAGCAAATGTATTTTTCAGCAATTAGATCGACAACTTAAGGACACTAAGAATAAAACATATCTATTTATAGACTAAACCACGAGGATAAACTGTGTTGTAACTGTAAAACGCGGAAGAATTTTTCAAAGTAAACGCATTGATTTGTTCTCAAAGATAAAAACGACAGGACGGTTGTTATATTTTATGGATATTATGCTACAGGGAACGCAATATTTAAGGAAATGACCAGTGATGTTATTATTAAACTCTGAGTGTTAAGTCTAAATATAGTGTGGAGCGTCATTGCAAATGAATGCACAGGACCCGTGAAGATCCGGGTTAGAATTGTTTTTATCGACCCATGCTAGAGGCGACTAACTAGATCGGGTGCTTAGGCTCGTTGATTTAGTTGACACATATCATCGTATCCCAATAATGGAGTCAGGATCTGACAATCCAGTGATCAACACCGTGAGCATCGATATACGCAATTGGAATACAATTATATGTGTCAACTAAGTCAGCGAGTGTGACCACCTGATCGTGTTAGTCGCCTCTTGCAACAAGCATGGGTTGCTAAGGACCAATTCTTACCCGGATCTTCACGGGTCCTGGGTATTCCTTTGCACTGGTGTTCTAATGATAAATGGGGCGGTGGGGTAGCCTAGTGGTTAAAGCGTTGGCTCGTCACGCCGAAGACCCGGGTTCGAATCCCCACATGGGTACAATGTGTGAAGCCCATTTCTGGTGTCCCCGCCGTGATATTGCTGGAATATTGCTAAAAGCGGCGTAAAACCAAACTCAGTCAGTCAGCCTAATGATAAATGAATTCAGAGACCACGCCATCAATAAACTCTACAGAACAATAAAGTGAGAGGACAAGGAAGTAAGTTTTCATACATAGCGTGATCATGACGGACCTGAGTAAATATACAAGGAAGACATCCCTCTTTCACGGAATGACGCCTTGAATAAACATGTGTCTAGTGTTACGCTCATGCATGTTACCATGTATACTATCCAAAAAAGGAACGCATAGGCCAGAAATCATTTCCAAAAATGTTGTATATTCAAATATGTACAACTCGTCCACAAATAGACTTTAGTACATGAATTTTTACATCAGTTTAGTAGAAAGAAATGTCTGTACAATCATGTGGATAATTTTAGATAATGGAGACATTGAGCGCGATGGTGACGACGTAGCACGGTCCCGACCTCGGTGTCTCTTAGCCATCAGTCCAATCTCTCTCAACCTGTTCCGTACAGTTTGACCGGATATCCTCCGAAGTCCAGGCACTCTGGCTGCTGTGCTCTCACTCGTGGCAGTACGATCACGCAAATGTAGTGCCCGGATGTACCGATCTTGGGCTGCAGTTTGGTTGTGACGAACTGCAAGCAGCGATATCATTCAGACTCAGACTAACATTCAGACGCCTGGCAACAGAAGATTGGTAATCTCCAGCGTGCATTCTTTCAATGGCGATGTTCCGTGTCGCAGCGTCAAGACGTAGCGTGGTGATTTGACCTTGAAACTCCTTTAGAACGAACGCCAATTACCGAAAGTAATCTGGATTTTTATAGCCAGACTGTGCATGGTGTTTGCTGCACAATTTCAACTGGAAGGTGATTTCTGTGAGACGATTTTTTTACTTATGAAATGGTGTAAAATCATGTTATCAACACTTTTCTTACACATTTTGACAATTGTTTGAACAATTTAGGTAATTGCTAGATTTTTTAAAACACAAAACGCCTATGTGTTTCTTTTTGGGGATAGTATATCATTGAACTGATGGGGCGTTATACAAATGGAGATTGCTTCATTCGTTGAGCCTGGTCTTTCCTATGTACAGTTACATGTATTTGCCATAAAGTCTCATGGATTCACTTACAGCTCCGCCTTTTGGCATAAAGTTTCATGTATTCTCTTCAAGCTCCCTATATTTGCCATGATGCCATAAATGTGTTTGTTGGTTGTTTAACGCCGCACTTAGCAATAGTCCAGCAATATGGCGGCGGTCTGTAAATAACCGAGTCTGGACCAGACAATCCAGTGAAAAGCAGCATGAGCATCGATCTACGCAATTGGCATACGATGACCTGTGTGAACCAAGTCAGCGAGCCTGACCACCCGATCCCGTTAGTTGCCCCTTACGACAAGACCGATTCTTACCCGGATCTTCACGGATCATAATGCCATAAAGGTACGCTATACTGAAATAGCATAATAGTTTAATAAAACTGTGAGTTCCAAAATTTCATTCTATTTTCTATCAAAAGTATCAAAGTTTATAACCAGCATACTTCTCCTTTTCACGTGACCTTAAACAGTATTAATCTTAAACAGTCATGGCAAACCTCTGTTGAAAGTATCTACGATTCCTTTACCTATAAACATTATACGTCATTGCTAAATGTAGAAACTTACTTAACATTACCTATCTCACCATACCTTAAATCTCTGGTAGCCAAATGTAGATGTAGTAACGTTGGATAAGGTGTCGAAACTGGAAGATATACTGGCATACCAATTGAAGAAAGAGTTTGCATTTTCTGTAGAAGCAAAAATAATATCTGTTGAAGATGAAATTCACATTTTGTTTGTCTGTAAATTGTATGAAGTTTATTTCAATTTTTGTCAAATGTTTTGACAACCAACAAAAAAAATAATGTTGTTAACAACAGAAACATAAATATTATAGTATCATTCTGTAACTTCTTGAAATGTGTCAGCAAAACCTGGAAATCCTAAATTCATCTTATGTGCGCTTTAATTATTCAATGACAAATGATTGTATTTGGGGTAAGTAGCCTTTATATTGAATAAAACTATCTGTCTGTAATGTTTACTGTATAAAAACTTGTCTTCCAATGATCAGAAATGCGTGTGTCTTGGATGTGTCGTCATCATATTGCCATCATGTTCAGTGTAAACATATCACCTTTTTGGTCGAAATCCCATGGTTACATTTGTCAACCTGAGTCTGTGTGGAGAAATTGTGCATTGAAGTCCAGGAGTCCCCCATAAATGACACAAAGAAATCTAATTAAGTGTTCAAAGCATTTTGTATTGTGGCTCAAATATTTAAGAGTAAAGTGCAAAGGACAAAGATTTATGCGAGCTAGGTCAACGATACAAAAGGTTTTCATGGCATCCACATGCTGTATGCGACTTCCAACATTTGTCAGACAGTCAGAAGATACCGCAAGTCTTTGTTGAAGCCCAGGACTGCATCTAGATAGTGGTGCTATCCTCGTTTCGGTTATACATGACAGCCGCTGTATAACTAGCCTTGATGCAATTTGAAAATTGTATTTTACGTCATTTGCACAAGATAATAAAACACAGAAAGATAAATTCGTGTCATATAACACCAAACATTGTACGCTAGGAGCCTTCAAATATATTTATTTGGTTCTCCTAATTGATATTTTTAGCAGCAGACCATATTTTCCTAGCTTTCTTAAAAGTTATGAATAGTGATTGTTAATAATTGGAGCTAGTCCATTCGTGACCCACTCGTGTTATTCCAGGACAAGTCGAATAATGGTTCCTTATGTTCACCCAGCAGAAAATGGGTGGGTTAAGTCATGTGACCATAATCTTCTAGCGCCTAACAGGCAGCTTGGGTTATCCGGGGTAATAATGTGTTAGCGCTTTGAGCATGCACAAGCGTTTTGAAACTGGCGCTTTATAAATTATTATTTGTTATTATTTATGGAAAGGGGCGAGAAGTGACGAATGAAGCTGATCCTGTAGAACTCTGATATGCAAAACAACTAAGGAGACTAGTGCAGCGTAGTTTCTGTTGTACTGAAGTCAAGGAGGAGCATGATGGTGGTTAGATCGCTAGCCAGCCGCTTGGGTAGAGGTACAGGTGTTGGTATGAGCGAACGTCCAGGTGGAACCTCTCTGAAGTCTTTGTTATCTGTTGCAACCGATCATTGTCAGAAGGGTTGGCTTCTGTGAAGTGAAACATCTGGAAAGAAGAAAGTAAGTCCTTGAAATTGTATGCAGAGTTGTTCATACATGCTTGTGTTTTATCATACCAAAATTGTCTTTTTCACACAGTATGACATCAGACCAAAAAAAATATTAACTCTCATAAAATTAACATGGTTCTTCCTTTGGATCATTACAGGATCGTTATGAAAGGAGGTGAGTTTTGAGCGCAGCCCTGCTTCATTTATTTTTTTATTTATTTTATTTTCTGCCTATGTTTGTTGAGGTTGGGATAGGGTTTCCAATGAAGGCAATCTGACACATAGTCTCTCTCTCATTTCATCTAACGATTCAGTTCCGGTAGCAGTCACTATGTCGGTGAGTGTTATGAAGACATCAACTATTGGAGTTTGAGGAATATTGCACGACTTACAGAGAAAGGTTGGTAGGTTGGCTGATTGCTTAACGTCGCACTCAGTAATATTGTCATACATCAATGAAGACTATTGAGTGAGTGAGTGAGTGAGTTAAAATGTAACGTCGCATCGTCATATAGCGACGAGACCAAGTTTCCACATATACACAAATCTATAACTACACAAAGTTACATTCAAAAACAAGTTTTCATGTACACATTTCAACATCACAATATTATCTGTATACAATTGAGAACACGGGCTGTAACACTATTTTTTTTAAATTCAAACAAATGGGCTTTAATAATACTTTTTACAATCTACAATACCTGTCACAATCTACAATGCTTGTATGGCTTATGGCTTATGTAGATTGTATAAAGTATTGTTAAAGCCCATTTTAATGGGAGCTTTCTCTCTCTCTCTCTCTCTCTCTCTCTCTCTCTCTCTCTCTCTCTCTCTCTCTCTCTCTCTCTCTCTCTCTCTCTCTCTCTCTCTCTCTTACTCTGTCTCTCTCTCTCTCTCTCTCTCTCTCTCTCTCTCTCGCTCGCTCTCTCTCTCTCTCTTTGTGCGTGTGTGTGTGTGTGTGTCTGTGTGTGCGTGTGCGTGTGTGTTGGGATTTAGGGAGGGGTATTATTTATATTTAATATTTATTTATATTTCGATATATTATTTTTGGGTGGGAGATATATTTTTGTTTTTCCACTAACATGACCGATATACCTATTGTTCGTAACACTCAGTTAACGATAGAGTGTATTCCTCCTACCCTGATAGGAACGTCGCCCATGTCTCTGTAGCAGTGCATCATTGTGCCGTCTCGCAACAAGTTGCTGGTGGTCTGGAGATGACTCTTCAGGATGTCCGTGTATTCAGCTGTAGTATAACCTGTACGCATGTGAAATGAAAATTCAGTCATAACCTCAATCTGTAGTCAAACAGTACGATTGACCCGTGAAGATCATTACCGGAGAACAATTATACACTTCGAGCTATTACATACACAGTGTGCTCATGCAATTATATACTATTTGTAATAAAACTAGTTAGCACTAGTGAGTGTGTGAGTTAAAAGGTAACACTGTTTTAACTTAATAATTTACTGAAGCCTTAATCAGTCATCACTACAGCCTGAATAAAACACAATAAAATTATCTTGAATTCCAGGGTATTTAATAAGCTGTGAGAATCTAAAATAAAAAGGTGCGATATACCAGCTGGTGAAATACTTTTTAGAATCAATATATAAATGAAATTTGGATATATGGTTCTTGACATAGTTGAGCAAATATATTGACAAATACTGGGGAATTCTTTCCCAAGAGTAGTGTGCGTATTGAGAATATTTGTGAAACACCTAAAATACAAGATGGCTGCTGTATTTCAAGATGGCCGCCAATTGGTCTAGTATGGGTCCACTGTTAACATTGAACTTTTTCGTATTTGGTTTTCAAATCTCATGATCATGCTGATACCGTTTGTACCACTTGAAAGCTTCTTGTACCATTGATATAATTCTATTATTTATATTGTATCAGATATTTATTTGCATAAGAGACATCCAGTAATGTCATCAGTTGCAGTGGAATAACTAATAAATTACTAATAAATTGTCTCCATGAGAGTGCCGTAAAATGAATCAATATCGAATATGCCGTAAAAACTTTGTTTACCTTCCGCATAGAAGACTAGATCTGCCAGATAAAGGGTCACATTATCAAACTCCTGTGTCTGTGGGTTGAGTGTCACATTCATGGCTCTTGCGAAGTCTTCACAGCGGTAGAGAGGAATGGCGGAGTACTTGTCACCTCTCAAAGCCAGGACGCGAGTTACAGAAGCCCATATACTGTCGTTCTCTATCTCCACAACTAAAAGTACAAATGTTGACAATACGGTAAATGTTTGACAAGACTTGGTTTAAGAGACTTATGGAACCATCATGGACCCTTTTTCAAGTAGACCCCAGTGAGTGAGTGAGTGAGTGGGTCTCGGGTGAGTGAGTGAGTGAGTATGGTTTTACACTGCTTTCAGTATTACTCCAGCATTATCACGGCAAGGGACACCAGAAATGGTTTGACATATTGTAACGGTGTGGGAATCGAACACGGGTCTTCGGCGTGACGAGCGAACGCTTTAACCTCTAGCCTACCGAGTACCTCATCGCCCCAGTGAACCCTAGTATCATAAATACAGTAACATGGTGCAACGATGTAACAGAGTAGATCCATATGGTATCCAAATATATCTTCTATCTATAGTCAACAGTGCGATTCACCCGTGAAGATCCGGGTTAAAATTGGTCTTCAGTAACCCGTGAGAGGCGACTAACGGGATCGGGTGGTCAGACTCGCTGACCTGGTTGACACATGATATTGATTACCATATTGTCTGGCCCAGACTCGATTATTTATCGAAATATTGCTAAGTGCGACGTAAAGCAACAAACAAGCAAACAAACAAACAAACAAACAGGGGGTTTGTTACACCTTATCGTCGTGAAAGAGGAGGTGATATATTGTTCGTTGACAGCTGACATATGTGAGAAACCATTCGTGATGAAAGCAACATCATTTACCTTCTGAATGGCCCTGTAAACTTACCAGCAACTACGATGGGGTTACCAAGTTCCTGAAATTAATCAGAAAAGACATCGATATTACTCTAGTGTTCATCAAACAGAAGGAATAGACATCGATATTACTCTATTGATCATCAAACAGAAGGAATAATACACCTCTTCCTGGCTGGTGAGTGAGTATGTTTTTACGCCGCTTTTCAGCAATATTCCAGCTAAATCACGACGGGGGATACCAGAAAAGGGCTTCATATGAATGTTGTCTCAGTGATCAAACAGTTTTGGAGAAAGAGTCACGTAAAACTGCTTGAGCTTCTGGAACTGGTGGAAGATTGCTTGACATATAGTGAAAGATTACTATTCGAAAGTTGAAATCCTCCCTCTTATCTTCTGGAGAATTTATTCGGGGTGTCTTTAATTGTTACCATTTCGGTGAAAACCAGGACCACTGGTATGGAGCCGACATACCAAGGAACATAATCAGGAAGAATCTGGGATTCGAACCCACGTTCATAGGCTCCTGTCGCGTCCAAGGGAGTGAATGTGTGAGTTTAGTTGTACGCCGTTTTTGGCAATATTCCAGCAATATCCCTGACAATGCTATGACGTCATGAACTTGATGACGTCACAAGCTATGACATCGCTGCGCTGCAAGTCTAATGGCAGTACCGTGTTCAGAGGTGTACATTTTTCTTTAAAAACTAATGAAGAGTGATTTTGTATGATAAATAGAATCTCACCCTCGTGTTGTCTGATATCAAATATATCAACACTCGTTGATAAAAGTAAAAATATCTTCAGCAAGCCTCGGATATTTATAATGTTATCAAGTCGCGTTGATATAATTGATATCAGTAGACACTTGGGTAAGATTCTCTATTTCTCTAACAACAGTTACTGTTATCAATAATAACTGCTGGACCCTTAGAAGCTGTGAGGAGGTTCTTTTCAAAAGAGTGAGTATGGTTTTACGCCGTTTCTAGCAATATTCCAGCAATAGCATTGCAGGGGACACCAGAAATGGGCTTACACACTGCGCCCAACCTCTGGGATACCCAGCCTTCCCTCATTGCAAAAAGAACTCTTGTTCCTCTTAGTTGGATAGTGTACTGAGACATCGAATATTTATCTTCACAAAGAAGAAGAGTTCAACATTCATATTTGAACAAATGACCACGTTTACCTTGAGTGCATATGTGGACTTCACTCCAGGGGTATTGTAGAGGAGTTGCTTCATGGCGTATATATCATCTGCTTCATTTCTGCCGAGCATCGGAGGAAAAGATATCTCAATAAAGTACAGCTTGTCGTCTTTGCCGCACTGCACGCTTGCCCACAGCATTATAGAGAGCAGGACTCCGTACATTGCCATAAATCCCATTCTTCGCGGTACACTGAAACTAGGAGTTGTCATGTGGCAGTGTTATTCATTGTGTAGTACATTGTAATGATACTGGCAGTGGTGTGTTATATTTAGACTTGTACTAGATTTAGACAGAGAAATCTGGAAAGTGCTACAAGGAGCTTAGTCCAGAATCATCAGCCTTAGCATCTTTTTCGTTGGTACAAAAGAGAAGATAACTCTTCCCTCACATCTCAGATGACATCTCAAGTTTCCAGAAGACCAGCATTGTATGTGATGATCATTATACCTATTTTGCAAGTTGTATTATTCTTGCTGAAAGGTGAATATCATTGTATTTTATTGCTGTAAGCTGTAATCACTGTTCTTGTATTATATTACCTTTGAATTTGTACTGCCAAAATGAAACCTTTGTATTGATTTGTGGACTTGCTTGATATTAGAATACATTTGTAAATCAAATGATATTTCTTTGTTGTTTCTTGGATTCACATCTAGTTCTTTGACCATCTGATTCTCGGTCAATACTTTAGTTCTAATTTGGGAATCGACACTTTACAGTCGGTACTACTTTTCTCGCGCCGTGTGCTTAGTGACTGCTGAAGAATTTCAAAAATTATCATCTGTATATATTTGTTTCTTAAGAGATGTTTGTCAGCTGGTTATGTTTCATGACTTACTGTACTGCAACATCACGACTGCACTGTGAATTATAACGAATGTACCAGAAAAGGTGTCTAAATGTTTCCATTGTATGGTGTCAAGAGTATTCTGAATCGACATAATTTGATCCAAATCAAGATCAAGAGTATTAAGAATAGAAATCCAGATCCAAACCAAAGACAATTACAATGTGAACTAATATATTCAAATTCAATTCACGAACTAGCACGTAAAGCCATAATAACAATCTCCCTACAAACTTTCAAAGCAACTGAAATTTTGTCCTGCTTATTGTCGTTATGCACCGCCTCAGTGGTGTAGTGGTTAGAGCGTCCACCAGGAGAGCGGAAGGTCGCGGGTTCGATACCCGGCCGCGTCATACCAACATACGTTAAAATGTGGCATTTGTTGGTCTCTGCCTGCTCGGCATTAATGGGTACAACAAGGACTGGTCGACTCGGAGTCAGTATAATGTGTCTGAGTGGGTTATTCATGCTTAACTGCGGTATGGTATCTCAGTGAGCTAGCACTATAAAACCAGCTGGGCTAGTCACACACACGCATGCACGTCGTCATATGAGCGAAATTCTTAGGTACGACGTTAAACTCCATTTCACCCCACCTATAGTTGTTATGACTGACTGTACCCATGCTTGTCCGCCGCACATTAATACTCTCACCTTCTGGCTGTGGACGTCCTCAAGACTCTGGAACCAAGAAGCTTCTTGAGAGAGAGACTACAACTATAATTACTGCTCGGGCAATAAAATCCTGATGACTGATCGACAGTCAGTTATATACACGACGAATAATTTGTAATAAAGTTTCTATCAGTGAAGCGATCATGCATTGCTTAGTTGAGCTTCAATGAGAAATTCGCTATTATCGTGAAAATCTTTGTTTTAGTTAGTCTTTATTCGACAAATAAGTTTACTAATAATGATCTTACATTGTTTACATTATTGAAATATGAACAGATGTTCTACTATAATGTATTTATGAAATATGAATCTAATCATAATTTAAAAATTCAATAACTATATTTTGTCAGATGCAGCATTGTTGACGAACCGTCTCGACCATCGCTCATTGCCCACACGATATTAAACTAATTTTTCACAATAAAATTTATATATTTGCAAATGAGGAAGGGAGTGTACACATTTGTAAACGTTGATGAAATGAGAATACAGAAGAGCATTGTGATTAACATTACGCGTGGATTGCGATTATGTGATGAATGGATATGCATGGATTATCTCTTCTGTAATCCAGTGAACCAAATCTGTGTATTAATTTTGGGGAAAAACATATTGGTCAGTCAGATACATAGACTGAGATTCCATAATGAGGAGGAACTGTGCAGCTGATCTTGCATAAAGTAATGGCATTGAGAAAAGTGCCATTTTAAAAGGGTATTCTGCGATTTGGTGGTCGGCTTAAATTACCATGATTCAATGAATCTGCTTTCAGGGCAGTCACGGGCCTTTACATCACAGGACCTCGTGTCTTTGCGAGGATAAGATAAAAAAACACAGCATTTGAGATTCACAACGAGGCTGAACGACTGCTCGTTCCCAAAGAACAGTTTAGTATTTGACAATGGAAACATAGATGGCTGCTAATTCCAAGTGGTCGAGCATATTCATATCCAACGCCGCGCTCATTACAACAAAGAAGTCGACAATCCATAGAACTCGGTTTTCCTTCATTTTTACAACTTCTAAAAGGCCTCTCAAAGAAGATATCTAAATTAACCAAGTATCCAATCAAACAAGATACATTCGAGGCAGTGATTACCGTTGACCAGATATGTCACAGAATCAAAACGAAAATATCAAGTGAGAATCTAATAATCGTTTAATAAAACAACAGTTCTCACACAGTTGTATGATACACAGGTAATTGAAACACACTTACTCCTAAAACATAAACAGATCACGAATGAGCAAAGATACAATCTCTCTCCTTCCTTTGAAAATGATGAAACATAAGTGTCTTTACAAAATCGATACCATAGCAACATTTATTGATGATTACTTGATTCCGATTCTGAAGTTGACTCCGATTCCGACTCTGAACTGGAAGTTGCTTCACCTGAAACAGAAGGTCAGTCGGTGCTTGCATTTCTTTTCAAGTTTCATCGATTTCAGGTGTTTAAATATAGACGTTGGTCGAGCTGAACACATCCATCGGAAGTCCACCCGTGATGATTCGAGTTGGATGAGAATTGGTCTTCAGCAACCTATGCTTGTCTAAAGAGGTGATTAACGGGATCGGGTGGTCAGGCTCGCTGACTTGGTTGACACACGTCATCGTATCTCAATTTGCGTAGATCGATGCTCATGCTGCTTTTCACTGGATTGTCTGGTCCAGACGCGAATATATACAGACCACCGCAATATAGTTGGAATATTGCTGAGTGCGGCGTAAAACAACAAACAAACAAACAATCAGGTCAAGGCAGTGGTTAATGTTGCATTAAATTTAAACCAGCCGCTTTGAGCAATGTTACAGCAGTATGATGGCGGGATACAAAAGGAATAGCTGCATACATTGTACGTCTTTGGCGCGACGAGAGAACTCTTGAACCACAAACCCCAAAGGAATAGGGCCGTTTTGGGGCAAGTGAAATAATTCATAGAAATAATAATGGCATACGGACCTCGTTCAGAAGTTTCAGCAAGAAAAAATGCAGACATAAGTAAAGCATAAAAATTTAATGTTTCAAGAGAGTTTCGGGAAGAACGGTGAATAAATTGTCAGTTAAGGGGCGGTGGGGTAGCCTAGTGGTAAAAACGTTCGCTCGTCACGCCGAAGACCCGGATTCGATTCTCCACATGGGTATAATGTGTGAAGTCCATTTCTGATGTCGCTCGCCGTGAAATTGCTGGAATATAGCTAAAAGCGGCGTAAAACTAATCTCACTCACTCTCAAAATTAATTGTGGTGCGTAAACCGAGGTACTGGTGACAGGGGGAAAACGTAGTTTTAATATGGATGCTGTATCCACTTATCTCAAAGACTTACCTTCTGATAAAAATGTAACTGTTATTTCTCCACACCCAAGTTTCATCGCCAGCCAATGAGTATTCGCCGGGGTGCCGAGTGCGATACTAACTTCCGGATCACTGCCATCGGTTAGGCAAACGTTTCCTTCCGGTGTGATGTACAATTCCAGTACGATTGGGTCGAAATACAACACTTTACTGACGATGTATTTAAAGATGAAATTTCTGTTATTGTACAGCTGAGCAGGGTGGACGTTGGTCAAACCGAGGTCAAAGAACCCGGATCCTCGGATCGACAATCGGACAAGCTCGTAGGCGTGAAGCGTTCGGTTGGAATAGCACCGCCCGCTCTCGTCCGATTGACTGGTGTTCAAGCTCAAATGCGCTGTCCTCTTGTCCTCGCTGAGCGTTATGTGATCGTCATGTTCATCACTGAACCGGAGAGACTGGTTTCTGAGATCCAGGAATCTGTTTTTACCTGTATCGATGGGCAAAAGGACAGTTATTAGTAATATCAAGCTGTTAAAAATAGTCGTTATTATACAGTGAGTTTGGTGAGTTTGGCAATATTCCAGCAATATCACGACGGGGGACACCAGAAATGGATTTCACGCATTGTTCTCAAGTGGGGAATCGAACCCGGGTCTTCAGTGTGACGAGCGAGCGCTTTAACCACTAGGCTATCCCACTGTCCCGTTATTATGCAGGGTAATACACATATGACTTACTGCCACTGACCCCATGGCAAGGCGATTCGTAATTTCGTATGTGTTTCCCTTTCTCCCGCTCGCCTTCAATTTTCATTGACCGCCTCCATGGTGTAGTGGTTAGAGCGTCTGCCCGGAGAGCGGAAGGTCACGGGTTCGATCCCCGACCGCGTCATACCGAAAGACGTTAAAATATGGTACTTGGTCCCTGCCTGGCGCTCGGCATTAATGGGTACAACAAGGACTGGTCGGCTCGGACTCAGTATAATGTGTCTGAGTGGGGTATTCATGCTTCACTGCGGCATGGTATCTCAGTGGGCTAGCACTATAAAACCAGCTTAAGTCTGGGCTAGTACAAGCAGCCGCACATACACATACACACGCATGCACGTCGTCATATGAGCGAAATATTCTCAAGCACGACGTTAAACCCAATTTCACCTCACCTCACCAATCCCGTTATTCGCCTCCAACGACAGGCATGGGTTACTGAAGATCAATGGTAACCCGGATCTTCACTGTCTCTGTATGATAACGGCCATTTGGCTCTATGTGAGTTGGAATACACATATGTAACAGTCTGGAACGTTTTAACAGGAAAGGGATTTCAAACAGTAGGATATATAAACATCTCGATTATCCACAAAATAATTTAGATTTCATTTGTCGGGAAAACCGTGGAGGAAGGTCGTTGTCAAAGGGAGGTAATAGCCTGAAGTCATTCCATTGAAGTATCGCATCACGTCGATCGGTACTTGTATTGACGCTTCTTTTGTTAGAATAAACTTTCTTGCTTCACTAGACTGGATTGCCTATCCTTGGCGCTTGCGCTCCTCGCCACTCTTGGTGCAGCCTTAAGAAGGGCTAAAAGTCGTATCACAAGATCACTGATGATACATGCATATCCCAGTGCACGCTCTGATTAGCCAATGAGATTGTAGATATCTAAATTCTCGGTAATATTGAAGTAGGTATTCACAACACCAACGTGACTCTGCAACTCGGAAATTAGCAATCAGTTCAGTCAGTTGAGAACGGATATTATATAAAGTTCTCGCTCTCATCCTGTTGCTAATACTATTTTAATACACCCAGACGTTTCTGAGCGCCATGGTACTTGACCATAACTGGAGATTTATTTAACAGTACTATCGACGGTCTATTTGTAATCTATGATAGTTTGTTTTGTTATGATCAACCTTTCCGAATATCTGACCACAAATGTAAAAAATGTGAGTATAATTAGGTTGATAGCTGCGTGGATTCATCACAAATTCGTATTTCGTATCACCCGACCGACCGCAGCTGTCCTGGACTTTTGATTGTACTGTTTGGCCCGCAACAGAGTCATAACCCATAAAGATTATTCACGTCGTCAACGTTGTGATTAAGTACTTACTTGTGATGACGTTACCCATGACGTTATTGCCGCCGAGGCTGCCTGTTGAACATGACTGTTTAATCTCAAGCCTTCACCATCTGTCGAATTAAAAACACAGGAAATATTGATATTCACGTTGTAGGATTACAACCGACTTGCGTTAAAATAGGGGTAGGGTGGGTGGGGTAAATCCCCGGAGTTACTGACCACAGCTTGTACGTAAATTAGTCCTCATGTCAATTAATGTAATTCATTCCTCATGGCTTGCGTTCCCAGTGGGAGAGAATAGTTTTACGCAGGTTTTATTCAGGTTTTAGGAATATCTCACCCATATCTCGCCAGGACCCAGGTTTCACAAAGTGATCTTCGCGCCCCTGGCCCCATTATACAAAGCGATCGTAGGTGATTGTATTTCCCATACTTTAACATAGACTTACGACTGTCCTATTGCTAGGATCGCTTTGTGAAACGGGCCCTAGGTGATCGTAACGAGCATACGTACTTTAACACAGATTTACCACCGTCGTATCGCTACGATCGCTTTGTAAAACGAGCATACCTTTAACACAGACTTACCACCGTCGTATCGCTACGATCGCTTTGTGCATACTTTAAAACAGACTTACGACAAGCATAGTTGCCCGTCATGACGTCCATGGGTTCCCGAAGACCATTTCTAACCCGGATTCCCAGGTTTATGGGGTCTTTTTAATCAAAGTAGCCTCATGACTGCTTAAGCTTACTGAGTAATAATAACCAGAAAAAAAAATAAATTGACACTTGACCCAGCGGATCTGCATAATGCAATCAGTCGATAACGCCACAGATGGCATTTGGGCTCCTTTTTATCATATTTTATCAATATTATTTTGGGACTGTTTTTATCTGCAAAACATACATGGTTATTCCTATTTATGCAGGACGTTAAGCTAGCGATCACAATTCTCCACGTTCTACAACAATAAATCAGAATCGGATATTTCCCCAGTTGCTTGAGAGCAGATCGGGGATGCTAGCATCGCGATTGGATTATATTGGGTAGGATATCTAATGTTTAAATGTATAGCAGTCCAGTGTTTAAAACTCAATATCATCGGTGTTTGACATGATTACTTGTGCTAAATGTGACCAGATGCTTGGTGTGGAACTGGGGTTGGTGTGTTCGGTTTCCTGCACTTGGAATAGGATATACACAAGTTGAGCTTTGTTTGAGTGGCATTCTAGAAGGTGGTGGTATATAGAGATGACAAGACTTTAAGGATGATCAAATTCTTTATTTTCACAATGGCGACGTTTCGGTATAGATTCTTATACCGTTTTCAAACATATACAATTTAAGTCTTGGCAATGAAGCAAAACTAAACACACTGTGACTTCATTTTCTATATTTAGTATTTGTAATACGGATATTGTGTTCGGAATATATATGGAAACTGTGGACTTTTGAGAACCTTTTTGCCAGTTACTAGGACAGTACAGTTACCGGTACATGTATATCACAATACGCCATTCAAACGATATGTTTTGCAATGTTTTTCGTCAGAACCGGCATATTGGGTAATAAAAATATATGAAGTTTCGTGCATATCTCTTTGGTTTAAGTTAAAATCTACACAATTTCATTCACACTGAAGTTTTCTATTGCATACTTACAATAAATTTTATTAATAAAAGTAAATACAATCCCTCAAAATTAAATCTAAATTCGAGATTTCAGTTGTCACAACCAGAACATATATTTTAGGGCTTTAGTATGTAGAAAATAGGCTCTGCTTATACAATCAATGTCGTATATGCTTCAAAACGGTATAAGAATCTATACCGAAACGTCGCCATTGTCAAAATAAAGACGTTGATCATCCATAAAGCCTTGTCAGCTGTACAAGTTGAACTGGTCAGAATTGATTTTTCCAGGACAGTACGTGCATGTACACGCGATGGCTGTGGAATGCCTAGTTATTATCGTAGAGGTTTATAGGTAACATTTAGATCTGGGTTGATTTAATTCATAGCCAGATCACTTTCATACCACCTTTTATATAAATTAATTGTTAGTTAATATATAAAACCTACCTTTTCACTGATTTACGTAGCTGGAGGAAGTATTACCCAGAAAAGAATAAATAACGAGAACGTGTGTGGCAGATGTAACACTGGTACATTGTTATTTTAATTTCAGTGACTGCTAGTTAACTCCGTTTCAGGTTTAATATAGAACTTTTATTTATAATTAGTGTTGAGGAAAGTTCAGACAGAGTCTCTGTGACCTTTCAAATCTTCGGTATACACAAGCCATGACGCGCTCGACTGATTGGCCAAGCTGACTCCCAAATTCAGTCTTTGTCTCACTGCTCACATTCTGTCTTCAAACACTCTGCATCGACTAGTAAACAGCATGTAAATCAGGTTAGTTTTCTATATTTTACATATATAATTATGTTTTATGTTATTTCATATAAAGCTTGCAGTAAGTATTAAATAAATTAAAAGTGTTTAAATACATGCAGATATCAACGTTTATTTTATACTCTATTTAAGGAAATATGGCACACTATGGTTAATGTGGCTTATGGATTTTCACCATGATTGTGTTTTAAGGTCCGCCAGCACCTAGGCATTTTAGTTCAAGCAAAGAATAAACGTCTAAAACCTACATCACTTCGGGATTTCCTCCCCCACTAAACAGACAAAGCATAATATAACTGAAATGTTGTTCAAAGCGACGTTCAACCAGGCCATCAACCTCTCAATTTACACTTGAGGGGTACACAAAGTCAGTGGTCTAAAACAGACTTGGCCTCCTATCACTTTGTCGTTGTACAAAGCGATTTTAGCGCTAAGGTGACCGTAACTCCATAAGCGCTATTGTTGTTTTCTACAACACCACCCTGCCAGGTTAACGTTATCTATAAGGTTAGTTAACCTTTGGCCTTTACTGAGATTGACGTCTCCTTTCACAAAACAACCTTATCTCTAAGATTTCAACTTTAGGCCTTTACTAAGGTTGACGTCTCCTTACACACTACAGCTTTAGCTACGGTTAACCTTACGTAAGGTGAAAACACCCCAACCTCAGTGCAACTAAGGTTAATATTTAGTACCAATACAGATGGCGACTGCTTTCATTGTATGTAAGGAATTAGAACGTAGTTTGAAGAAACAGAGGGTTTTCGCGGCCGCACGATGCAACTCTTTGCTCGTTACCGGATCCCCACACATGCCATCCTGACTCTGGTAGATCTTGTAAAGACCATGCTAGAGATCCACCCTCATAAACACATGTCATAAAGGAGCTTTCAAACAGACACAAGATGCTTCGTTAGAGACATGGAAGAGTTCCAACCTTAGCTAAGGTTGCGGCGATAAATCCTTCACATAGGCGGATAGAGAAGGGGGTGCAGAGGTGCGCACCCCTCCTTTTGTCCTGAAAGTTGTTTGAATTAAGGACAACGGTTGAGAAAACTGTATTTTAAGGTTACCTCCTTTTCAAATGCCAACGTAAGGTTGTTTCGTTAGGCAAAAGTGTATTTTAAGGTTACCTTAAATGCCAATATTAGGACCTTAGAGTGAGTGAGTGAGTTGGGTTTGACGCCGCTTTTTTGCAATATTCCAGCAATATACGGCGGGGGACACCAGAAATGGGCTTCACACAATGTGCCCATGTGGGAAATCGAACCCTGGTCTTCGGCGTGACGAGCGAACGCTTTAACCACTAGGCTACCCCACCGCCCCTTAGGCCCTTAGAGATAAGGTTAGCCTTAGGAAAGGTTGTGTTGTGAAATGAGGCCAAGTTGTCTGACTTCCATTTATGAGGGCGCCGCGGTGGGTGTGCGGGTTACTTACTTCCTCCAAGAATGTGTATTCGAATCCCGGATGGGAGTCAACCTAAACTGAACTAGAATCTGCACTGAGAAACTGTAAACCTAATAATAACACATGTTGCATTTGACCACTAAAGCATTGTGTATTATATCGTTTTATGTATCAAGGTTTTGTTTGCCAATTTGAAAATATTAATCCAGTCCTAGTTTATCGCCAAGGTCTCCGCAATTATCGATCAAGAGAAGGAGGGTCATATTTCCTATATCAAAAAGGACAAGAGAAGAGATTTTTATTTATCGCTCCATGTTTCGCAATTTAGAAGCTAATAAACAAATTTAAATGATTGAAATTCTACAGTTTGTTATACAAAGAGGTACATATATTCCTTGGCAATAAAGAAAAACACAAGAACACTGTTACTTCATTTTATATATTTGGTACTTGTAATACGGATATTGTGTTCTGAGTATATATGGAAACTGTGGATTATTGATTCCTGTTTTTTGCAAGTTACAAGACAGTACAGTTACCGGTACATGTATATCACAATACGCCATTCAAACGATATGTATTGCAATGTTTTTCGTCAGAACCGGTATATTGGGTAATGAAAAATATGAAGTTTCGTGCATATCTCTTTGGTATATTGAAGTTCTCCATTACATACTTACAAGAGATTTTATAAAAGTAAATGAAAAACATATATTTTAGGGCTTTTGAGTATGAAGTTTCGTGCATATCTCTTTTGATTATTTTTCATTCATGCTAACTTTCAATAGTTACCTTGGTGACGGTCTTTACAATAGTATACATGGAAAGAAGTGATTAAAAATGTATTTGAAGTCCTGGTATGATTGTACACATATTGCAATACCCCTGAATGGCTTTTGAGCTGCAGTTATCAGTAACGTTTGACTTCCCACACACACGAATGAATAATGTTATTTTTTCTTGGCGTCAATATATATCTGCATTCAACACTGTCATAATAGTATATATACAGAATATAACATCTTTGATGTCTTTGTATGTTTGTACACATGTCCCATTACGTATGGATGGATTCTGGATTCGAACTGTCAGTATGACCTATAACATTGAACACGATGAAAAACTCATATGACATTAAGAAATATCCACTTGGAATGCTTTGGGGACTATAATTGACTGAAATTGTCATTTTAAAAATTAGTGTATAAACACATTTGTATGAACATTTATTCTTGAAGATCCGAGTTTGAATTAATCTTCAGTAACCCATGCTTGTAAGGATTGGGTGGTCAGGCTCGCTGACTTGGTTCACACATGTAATCGTATCCCAGTTGCGTAGATCGATGTTCATGCTGTTGATCACTGGCTTGTCTGATCCAGACTCGATTATTTACAGACTGCCGCCATATAGCTGGAATATTGCCGCGTAAAACTAAACTCACTCACTCACTCTATGAACACTTGTCTCTAATCAAAATAGCCTAATCACGAATAGGCTTAATACTACAATTAACAGCTCATGTAGCAAGTTAATACATACATTTTGAGGAAACGATTGTCTGTTTGTTGTCTAACGCCCCACTCAGCAATATTCCAACTATATGGCGGATGTCTGTAAATAATCGAGTCTGGACCAAACAACCCAGTGGTCAACATCATGAGCACCGATTTTAGGAAACTAACCAGTCACTCTATCTGTATGTTATCAAAACAAGACGTTGCAAATACCATACACACATTAAGGAGAAGGCAGTCTGGTTTGTTATTTGCTAGGACAAATCTCTGTAATTCACTTATTGAGAGTAATACTTCAACATGGGTTTGTTTTTATGATATAATATGGTATATATGGTCGATTCCAACGAAAAGTGTACACAATATGTTTGGGCCCTTAACATTTTAGCATTACTACCTTCATTTATTTCAGGGTGCCCATCACATCGGCACAAGTGAGCGATTCGGGCCATATATAACATGACTACTTTTAATTAAAAATGAGGCTTATGGGAGACAAAAACAGGCCATTTTATTCATTTTGACTTTTATTTTACAAATGTTTTGTGGAAAACATGTTGTGTGTTATATACTAGTCAAACTGGATGAACAGAAGTTTATTAATCTGATTGCCAAATATTTCATGAATAAATCCCCTGAAATGATTTTGTCTAGGGCTTAATTCGTAATTTTGGTAATTTGTTTTCAAGTGGTATCTTTTGCGTTACCTACGAATACAGGTTTCAATGACTCTGTCAATTTATGTAAATGCAACACAAGGTTATGTTTTGTATTACTTTTTACAGCATTAATATGTAAAGTACTCAAATGCAATGGCGTTATATAATATTTCTTACAGGTAATATTCTGAAAAAAATGTTAGAAAATCAAAGTCTGATTTGGTAAAAAAATCATGTTACCTACAAACACCATTAAATATGTTGCTGTTTCCACAAATGAACACATTAGTGAATGATATCCTAAGTTCAAGTGCAAAGGGCCACAATATATACGTGTGCTACATCTGAACATTTTCTGTGCTGTTTTAACGAAGATATCACAAAAAATAACCTGTATTCGTAAGTAAATTTCAACTCCCAAATGTTACCTACAAGTACCAACAACTGATCACATTCAAATAGATTGGTGGAATGACAACACCTGACATGTGTTCCATTTGGAAGTCATCATAGATGAGACCAGACAACATATTGGTGATTAGTAAGAATGTTATATGAATAAACCCATGTCACAATAACATAGGATGCATATGACACCTGTTACAACTAACCAACTTTAATTTTAGTGAGGTTTTAAGTCTTATTATTGTAAAAAAGGCCTCAGACTGCAAGTGGAATTGACATGGGGGCTCAAATTGGTAAGACATGGTGTCCCGCTGGGATTTCCCCGGTTGTGGATCACGGCATTTGTAGATAACATGTATTCGTTGTTAACAAAATGAAATAGAGAACACAATACGCTGCTGTAACATAATTTACACTGAAGACAATTATTGCAGATCATAAAACTGATTAGGTACGCAGTACTGCCTTTTAATAGATTGAAATGGTTCCTTGGAATTCTAAATGGCTACATACCTGAGCGTTCAATAATAATGTTCTATTCAGGGATGCACTTCAGTTCGTGATTTAGACTTTACTATAGTGATATATAATTAATACGCAGTACTGCCTTTTAATAGATTGAAATGTTTCCTTGAAATTCCAAATGGCTACATACCTGAGCGTTCAATAAAAATGTTCTATTCAGGGATGCACTTCAGTTCGTGGTTTAGACTTTATTATAATCATATATAATGAATTCTTTTGAATGTCAGAAAACAAGTTGATCTTGGTGATAAAAGTAAAAGTTTGCATGATATCACGGGATAAACGGTAGATTCGTAGCTAACATGTGTATTCGTTGGTAACATTCCGAATTTGTAGGTAACATCAGTCAGTGTGTTTGAAATTGTATGTCTTGTGCAGGGCTGTCACCGATGTACTTGCGAACATAGGAGAATTGAGACTGTAGTAGAAGTAAGTTGCATGGGTTTAGTAATTAGATTTGTCAAAGGTATATCTTATTCGTAGGTAACTCGTTTTTGTAGTTAAAAGCTTTCTGTAAATGTCTATCTAATAGCAATTCTCATTGCAAAATATTGGTAATTAAAGCAGAATTATAGTTCAGTAAGACGTGTCATGTATTGATTGTTTTAGTGACATGTTTATCTGTACATAGTTTTATATGGTATATGATAATAGTTCAAGCGTTTTGAACATTTGTGATGTGATTTCTTTGAATACAAATGTCAGTTGAAACATTCGGTAAATAAAATTTCAGATGTAATGATTTTAGTTCAATTTCTATACTTCTCATCAACAGTTTAGACTCACTAGTGTAAATATAGCCACTTACTTCAGGCGACTGTTTTAAACTAAATTTTGCAAAATATTCCATACTGTTTAAAGGTACTGTTTACACATGAATTGATGTATTGTAAAATTCGTCAATGTCAATTCGTAACGTTGAAAAGATTATTGTCATGAGTTCAACAAATGATAAAAATCAGTGAAAATTGGCGAATTCTGAACAAAACTTTACACCAAAACGCAGCTGTTCACATGTACGATATTTGCACATGCTTTTCATCACACACACACACACACACACACACACACACACACACACACACACACACACACACACACACACACACACACACACACACACACACACACACACACACACACACACACACACACAACATATAGTGAGTGTTTCTAGTGAGTCTAAACTTTTGATGAGACGTATATTTCCATCAATTATACTGACATTGCTACTTTCCGACATACACTGAGACAAAACAAAGAGAAAGCCTTAAACTGGTTGTAAATAATCTTCATTCACATGTCCTATGCATTAAGAAAACAATTTCCAAACTGTTCGATGTTTTAATAAACCAGCTACGATTTAGTTTGACATATATAAACATTTATGAAATACAAGGAATTACGTGATATTTGTTACCTACAAGTACATTTTTTTATCTTCCACCCAAAATTTAGTTATTGATGCATTTTAAAATTTGTTGTACGTACCGAAAGTTCCACCCGTTGTCTCTCAGATGAATAAGATAGATATGTAATAATGATTTGTTTGTGAACAGAACACTAAGTGGTGCTATCTCACTTACATCAAACAAAGGTACCAAAATGGTTCTATTTTCGTAAAGCTTGAGGTTATAAAACATGAAAGAAACCATGATATGGCTTCAGAGTTTCTATAGTCATTAACATATTGTGCATGCAGAACAACAGTGGATGTTAGGCAACAAATAATCCATCTAATTACAGGATATACAAGGTATGATGTTGGTATTTGTAGGTAATTTAGAAAATGAGCCTTCAACTTCACTGATCCACCAACTTGTAACTTTTAGAGATTAGTGATGGCAACTGATTTTGATAAGAGGCAAATATGTTGACTTTACATTGGTAAAAAGAATTACAAGGTGCAAGCAATTCTATTTTAGACACCTTGTACCCAGCTGTGTACACTTTTCGTTGGAATAACCATATACGGAAAAATGATAATTTACTTTATGGTCATTGTTTTTGTATGAAAGTAATGTTCGATTTCTTCCAACGACTTTCCTTTGGTTTCGGGAAGGTATTTCCAGACAAACGTTACAGACATCAAACAGTTGAGGCCGAACAGATAAAAGGTTCCATCTTGACCAAGAATTGCTTGCATTGTCATGAATTCTTTAGTCACCACAAAAGCCACCAAGTTGTTACCAAGGATTACAATTGAACTGGCTGTTCCTCTTGCACGAAAAGGAAGTATTTCAGACCTGACAAGCATAGGAATCGGTCCCCATCCCAAAGAAAATCCGACAATATAGATCATGAGTGAACAGACAGGTAGCCAGGTTTTCATGGTGCTGTTCAAGGAATTGCTAGCTTGCAACCTGTAGTGAAATCCAAATATGAAAAGAGATGCGGACATGATTATTCCAGCGACGATCAACAGTTTCCTTCGTCCAGCTCGATCCATCAGGAGACAGGCAGCAAATGTAGCTACCACTTGGACAGCACCAACAGCCACGGTAGCACCATGGGCAAGATCTGGAATTGCAGATTCAAAGATTGACACAGTGTAGAATGTGACCGCAGAAACTCCGCTAAGCTGTTGGAATACAGAAAGTGTAAGTGCAATGAAGAGAGGCCTGGAGAGTTCCGGTTTCTGCAGAAATTCCGACCAAGCAAACTCCTCTTGTGGATCAAGGCCTTCTTCAATGTCTCGGCATTCCTCCTGAACATCCATATGTGAATCACGGAGAACCTTCAAGGCCTGGATGGCTTCAGCCTTCTTGTTCTTCCCCAGCAACCATCGGGGTGTTTCTGGGATGAAACATGACATGACCAGTGCTAGGGCTGCTTGGACAGCACCTATAAAAGCCAGACCTCGCCAGTCAAAGTAAAGTCCACAGGCATATGCCAGCAATATTCCCACTGTTATGAAAAGTTGAGTGCATGATCCAAGAACACCTCTCATGGATTTCGTAGAAATTTCAGCGATATAAACAGGAACACAAACTGTCACTAATCCCGAGGAGAATCCGGTAAGAAATCGTCCAGTATAAAGATACGTCAATGTCGATGACGACAGCATCGCAACCCAACCCAATAAGAACGGAACAGACGCTATCATCAGTGATTTGCGTCTGCCAAACTTCTCAATACACCATCCGCCTGCAGGACCCCCGAGTATTGCTCCAACTGTCATGAGCGACCCAAACCAGCCCGCGTCTTGCTTGGTGAAAACACCACTTTTAACCATGCTAGGAATTGCCGGAGAACTGTACCCGAGAACATATCCCAAACACAACGCCCCAAGACATGCTATGACAGTGGTCCGCACCAGACGGGGTGCTCCTTCATATCTTGACTGCAGCAGACGACCTCCAGCTGCTTCAAATGAAGCCATCTTGTGTCTGTTTGAATTCCAAGCTCCTTTACGACATGTACAACATGGGGAAGCAGCAACGGTACATGACGTCCATGATGAAAGACGAGACAAGAGAATGTGAGTGAACGAACAAGCCAACACATGTTGCAAAAACGAGAAGCTACTAAATTCATAATATTTTATTAATACGGATTTATGTACCATGTTGTGTTAATTTGCAAATATTAACCCAGTCCTAGTTTATCGTCAAAGGCGGGCAATTCTTGATTGAATAAACAATGTTAATATTTCCTATATTAACAAACGACAAGAAAATTGAATTCCATTTAGCATTCCACCTTTCCCATTTAGAATACACAAATTTCCTTGATTGAATCCGCATGGTTCATTGTGCGTAACGATACAATTATTCCTTGGCAATGTAAAGTAAAATAATATCCCTGTGTGGCATTTAAGCTGTAGTTATAAGTATGATTCCCCACACAAATGAATGAATAATGTGAATTGTGTATTTCCTGTCTTTCAAAAGGTATTTGCATTTAAACCTAACATAATGCTAGAAAAAACAAACTGTTTCTAGTCTTTGTATATGTGTGGTATACAAAACATTTTTGGGGCGGCGGGGTAGCCTAGTGGTTAAAGCGTTGGCTCGTCACGCCGAAGACCCGGGTTCGATTCCCCACATGGGCACAATGTGTTAAGCCCAATTCTGGTGTCCCCCGCCGTGATATTGCTGGAATATGCTAAGAGCGGTGTAAAACGTACAAAACATTCTTAGTCACGATATGGCTGAAATAGTGCCGATTTGACTTTATATTTGAACTCACTCCTTGTATATTCGTACGCATTTTGAGCTGTCACTTTGAAATAACCACAAACATTTAAACAACATAACATAATTTCCATAGCATTAAGACATATCTACACGGAATGTTTTGGAGGTTATGATTGAATGTGTCGTTATAAAAATTATACTATGCTTAAATACATATGCATAAACACGTATTTATAATCAAAATTACAGAATTGTGAACAGGCTTAAAACAACAGTTGTCTTGACGTGTCGCTGGGTGAAAGTCCAATATTACTACATAGTTTTTATTTTGTTTGTTGTTTAACGCCGCAAAATATCAGCTATAAGTAATCGAGCCTGGACGGCACAATCCAGTAATCAGCAGCATGACCATCGATCTACACTATTGTTATACGATGACAGCGAGCCCATTCGTCGCCTGTTACAAGCATGGGTTGGTGAAGATCAATTCTAACCCGGATCTTCACGGGTGGTTACTACATGGGTTGTCAGTAGCCTAGTCAACAAATGTTATCAAAGCAAGAAGCTTCAAATATCATACACATATGAAGGAAACAATCAGTCTGATTTCAAATTTGTTGGGACCAATCTCTCTAATATACTACTTTATTTAAAGTATCAGAATGCTGCACAGAAACTCAAATAAATCCTGTAATGATAAAATGAGGAGCAAATAAAACTACACCTCTCAACTGCTTTTATGAACTTTTGATTTTCAGCTGAAAGCATTTTAAAGGTCACATGCAACGTAAAACACAACTTTGCAGATTCTCATACCTTTCGGTATGGACTTACAGGAACAAATGATCAAAAATGCAAATTCAACTTATAAAGTTGAAAAATAACGCGATATGCAATATGCAATACACAACTTCGATCATTGACCACATGCAATTTGAACTTAACATCTATCAGGCTATACACCATAAACAAAACGAATTGATTTATGGCTCGTGCACCCGAGTTCTGTCTCTGTCATATTATGTAATTACACAGACAGGCAGGTGTGACATTTGTACACATGACATGTTATGGTGTCTGTTGATTGCAAAATGCTGCACACAAAAATGAGCATGTATTTACAAAACCCATCTCCATACACACACAAAGAGTGTATCGGCAAATGAACTTGCCAATGAATGCCTTCGTTACACTTGAGTGCGCACCCACCCGCTCTGACTGGGTTAGGTATCCCGTGTGCTTCGTTTCGAGGGAAGTAAACCCAAGTACAAAATATTGCACTTTTGATTTGCGATTTTACGCTTATAATTTTGCTTATTTATTTTTTCATGATCAGCAATGTATATTATAGGTCATGAATAAGTGATAATTGAGTTTTTAATTATGTTTGGGTTTTTTGGTTGCATGTGACCTTTAAGTTAGTCATATCATATTCCCAAAAATTCAACTATGTTTGTGTTCAGAAGGCACTTAAACAATACTTCTAGATGGATGTGTTTTAAAATTAATTTCTTTTTAAAACTTCAAAGTTGAAAAAAGCCCGCAAGATACATAACTGCTTGTCGGTATCTTATATCCTTATATTCAAGGTTTAAAAAATGCTTCTGGGGACGTCTTCACAACTTATCAAACATGGAAGTGGTCATGTGGTTGAAGATTCAATTCTTACCCAAGGCTTCATCGAACTCATCTTTTTTTACACCAAATTACTCACGCACAGAATACTTTTGAAAATATCGGTTAAATAGACATGGTCAAATATAACAGATCTTTCAAATTTCAATAGCATAAAAAACAAAATCGGTACATTAAATTTTATCGGTTTCTCGTTTCAGATAAAAGGCATACGTATAAGAATATTTTAAAGAAAATCCACCCATTAACGCTTTTGATCGTATACAATGTACCTATAGATGATGCACCCATTTTATAAGGGACAACATCCTCTCTTTCAAATTGCCAGTGTAAACGAGTGAGTGAGTTAGTTGGGTTTAATGCCAATTTGAACAATATTTCATTATATCAACGATTGAGAGGTTCATGCACTAAGATCTGGCATACATGTACTTCTAATTTTGTCTCAAAGTTAACATAAAAAGAGATCATGCGTAAGAAAATAAACTGAAAAGAAAGAAACTTTAAAAATATGTTCTTTCATTCTACGCGTTATTTCTTTCCAGGTCATGTGTAAGATTAGGGCACGTAATAACACATCCGTTGCAAAAGGCAGTCAAATGATGTCCATGTATCGTGGACTTTGGAATCATAGTTCCAAATATGTCATGATAATAAACATTTTTAGATTGTTCCTGTTGATTTTATTAAACAGTAATCCTTATCATGTTACATCCCACACATTATAAAATTTCAGAATGTTGATGTTTGTGGGCCGCCGTGAACATATATGGCGAGATATACTTTTTTCCATTTCTTACATTTTCATTTGAATTTTTCAAATAAGCACTTTTAACACAATGCTATACAAAACCTGCATCTGAGAATGTCCAGCAATGTATTTAATACATATCCTGGTGTCCAGTATAACGGAAATATATTAGAAATAAATAAAATCAAATAATGTCAAAGAATAAATAAACATGGCAAGCAGACAGTACATTTATCACTTTTCCATGAAGTGAGTAAGAGATAATGGTTTTACACCGCTTTTAACAATATTTCAGCAATATCACGGCGGGGGACACCAAAAATGGGCTTCACACATGTGTAACCATGTGTGGAATCGACCCCGGGTCTTTGGCGTGGTGAGCGAACGCATGAACCACTAGGCTACCCCACCGCTTCTCCCATGAAGTAGATATATAGAGAAAATATAAAAATTACGGTATCATTATTGTTTTTACATAAAGTAATGTTCGATTTTTTCCAAGGGCTTTCCTTTGGTTTCGGGAAGGTATTTCCAGACAAACATTACAGACATCAGACAAAAGAGCGCAAACAGAAAGAAGGTTCCATCTGGTCAAAGAACCCTTTGCATCGTCATGAGTTCTTTAGTCACCACAAAAGCCACCAAGTTGTTACCAAGGATTACAATTGAACTGGATGTTCCTCTTGCACGAAAAGGAAGTATTTCAGACATGACAAGCATAGGAATCGGTCCCCATCCCAAAGAAAATCCGACAATATAGATCATGAGTGAGCAGACAGGAAGCCAGGTTTTCATGGTATTGTTCAAGGAATTGCTGGCTAGCAGCCTGTAGTAAAGCCCAAATATGAAGAGAGTTGCTGACATAATTAATCCAGCGATGATCAACAGTTTCCTTCGTCCAGCTCGATCCATCAGGAGACAGGCAGCAAATGTAGCTACCACTTGGACAGCACCAACAGCCACGGTAGCACCATGGGCAAGATCTGGAATTGCAGATTCAAATATTGACACAGTATAGAATGTGACCGCAGAAACTCTGCTAAGCTGTTGGAATACAGAAAGTGTAAGTGCAATAAAGAGGGGTGTGGATAGTTCCGGTTTCTGCAGAAATTCCGACCAAGCAAACTCCTCTTGTGGATCAAGGCCTTCTTCAATGTCTCGGCATTCCTCCTGGACATCCATATGCGAATCACGTAGAACCTTCAAGGCCTGGATGGCTTCAGCCTTCTTGTTCCTGTCCAGCAACCATCGGGGTGTTTCTGGGATGAAACATGACATGACCAGTGCTAGGGCTGCTTGGACAGCACCTATAAATGCCAGGTCTCGCCAGCCAAAGTAATGTCCACAGACATATGCCAGCAATATTCCCACTGTTATGAAAAGTTGAGTGCATGATCCAAGAACACCTCTCATGGATTTCGTTGAAATTTCAGCGATATAAACTGGAACACAAACTGTCACTAATCCCGAGGAGAATCCGGTAAGAAATCGTCCAATATAAAGGTACATCAATGTCGATGACGACAGCATCGCAACCCATCCCAATAAAAACGGAACAGACGCTATCATCAGTGATTTGCGTCTACCGAACTTCTCAATGCACAATCCGCCTGCAGGGCTCCCGAGTGTTGCCCCGGTCAAGAGCGATCCAAAGCAGCCTGTGTCTTGCTTGTCAATCACACCCGCTTTTCTCATGCTAGGAATTGCTTGAGAACTATACCCGAGAACATATCCCAAACACAACGCCCCAAGACATGCTATGACAGTGGTCCGGACCAAACGGCGGGGCGTTCCTTCAGATCTTGACTGCACTGACTGATCTTGACTTCCTGCTTGTAACGAAGCCATCTTGAGCCTGTTTGAAAGATCCAGTGTGCATATGACGAAGTATCAACCATGCATATCGATTGACCAACTTAGGTAGATATGCAGAAAAATCTTTGATGTGCAGATGTGCACAATAATGTCGTCTGGGCACATGCAGTGTCCCTCTTTCAGCGTCAGAGACGAACTTCATCCCGGTCCGACCTGCGGGTTAGCAGAGGAATCCATGAACGTCCACCCCACAAAACCAGCCAGGGGCTCCTTTCACAAAGCACTAAGATGATCGTAAGTCACTAAGGTAACCTTAGGTCAATGTTAAAGAATGGGAGTTAACCTTAGTAAAAGGAGGCCCTGGTGTCCGGGATCTACTGCTCCGCTGCGTTTCGACACTGGGCCGATGAGGTGTGGACGTCATGAACCCCCCTCTGGATCCGCCAATGAAGTGGAATTCGGCTGAATTCGTTAAAGGTCACATGCAACGTAAAACACAACTTTGCAGATTCTGATACCTTTCGGTATGGACTTACCGAAACAAAGCGTCAAAAATGCAAATTCAACTTATAAAGTTGAAAAATAACGCGATCAAAAAAACCGCGCGAAATCGGAGTTCAAACGTTTCACTAATTTTCCCCAGACTTTTCTGGTGAATACGGGTTTCAACAGCTGGGCTGCGCTCATAGTACGTGCGCAGTGAAATAGGTTCGCGCAACTTGGAAGCGGGCTGTCTGGTGAATACTCGGTGAAGGCTTTGGTGTGAGCTATTTTCATAATGTTTTGTTGATATCTCACAGGCGCGAGCTTTTTATATGTTATGACAGTAAATAAACTATTTATATAATTTCATTTGTCTATTTCACCACACGTTCTTCTTACCGAGTCACTTTCTCAGTTCGATACTTAAAAGCAATGTCATTATTTAGCGTTGACAGAATTTCTACTGACTGAGTTTTGGTTTTACGCCGCTTTTAGCAATATTCCAGCAACATCACGGCGGGGGACACCAGAAATGGGCTTCACACATTGTACCCATGTGGGGATTCGAACCCGGGTCTTCGGCGTGACGAGCCAACGCTTTAACCACTAGGCTACCCAACCGCCCCCAGAATTTCTAACTGTGATATAGATATGTCGCTGTCGAAGACAAAACTCAGTGTCTTGTTTTATTGACACCTGTGTGTCTGCCTGCCTGTCTGCTAATGACAATATTCAATACACAACTTCGATCACTGACCACATGCAATTTGAACTTAACACCAATCAGGCGATACACCATAAACAAAACGCATTGATTTATGGCCCGAGTTCGGTCTCTGTCACATTATGTAATTACACAGACAGGCAGGTGTGATACTTGAACACATGACATGTTATGATGTCTGTTGATTGCAAAATGTTATACACAAAAAATGAGCATGTATTTACAAAACCCAACATCTCTATATATATGTCAGGGTAGAGACTGCGATCTGGTAGACTCGGAGATTCTACCAGTAGAGATTGCGATCGGAGTCTCTACCAGTAGAGACTGCGATCGGAGTCTCTACTGGTAGAATCTCCGATCCTACTAGTAGAGATTGCGATCGTAGTCTCTACTTGCAAGCAAGTGCAAGCTTGTGCAAGCTCATGCAAGCAAGTATAATAAGTGGGGATAATGTTTTCCTATTATTTGCCAGTTATAATTGAACTTATTTATTGTTATCTTGTTAACTTTATTTGTTAAGTCTGTTTTGGAGTAAGGTATTTTGTTATTGTTTTTTGAGTGGAGTCCAAATTTGGCAGCTTGGTCTCATGATGTAAATACAGTGTTACAAACCATTTTAATTTTTTATTTTGATATTGTTTACAGTGAGGTGTTAAATGTTTGTTATCAAAGTCTCAGTTAAAAGTAGGAAGTTCATTCAGATGTATTTCAAAACTTATGATCAGTAATTGTTATAAAACACTGCTTTCCAAAGAGGTGGGGAAATGACCAGGTGGGGATATGGCAGATGGGGTAATGACCTGGTGGGGAATTGCCCTACACCTATCCTCCCAAAATGCCGACATGCCAATACACCTATAGCTTATAACAACAAACCAATTCTGTATTTCCTGGAGCAGTGTTACAATAAGCCAACATGCTTGTTTAATGATCATTTGAAATTTATTGTTAAATAAAGAAATGGGTTTATGAGCATTCACATATGTATGGTATTATTTAATTTGGAAAAAAAAAATTGTTTTGGGGATTAAATGACTAAATGTGAGTTATGTCTCTGAAAATCAGGCGTGTTAAAAGGGCACCGAGAACATTTTTTAGCCGTGCCATTTCAATAATGACCGTGCCATGGCACACTAATATATGGGGTATTTCGAACCCTGATAACAGTTGATCCCTAGATGAAAGAAGTTGACTCCCAAAAACATGTCCATGACTCCCTCTCATGATGACTTCTAAATTGTTTTGCCTAGGGCAAACACTGATTATGCAATTGATCTTGCTTGTAATCAGTTTTGTAATATATGTATAATATATTGTAATATGATCTCTCAAGTCACATTTGTATTTTTAGTCCTTAATATATCTGTAGAAGTGGAAACAGTCTAGTGTTATATCTGAATAAAATGCATAGTACTGTTCAGAAAAAGTGTCTTTGTTGTTTACCCACAGATCACTCGGAGTTTCTACCAGTTGAAGACGATTGCAGCCTCTACTAGTAGGATCGGAGTTTCTACCAGTTGAATTGGAAAATGTACTGGTAGAATCTCCGATTCAACCAGTAGAGACTACGATTGCAATCTCTACTAGTAGGATCGGAGATTCTACCAGTAGAGACTCCGATCGCAGTCTCTACTGGTAGAGACTCCGATCGCAATCTCTACTGGTAGAATCTCCGATTCTACCAGATCGCAGTCTCTACCCTGACATATACACACACAATGAGCCGTGAAGGCGGCATCTGCTAATGAACCAGCCGTTACACTTGAGTGCACACCCACCCGCTCTGACTGGGTTCGGTATCCCGGCTGCTTCGTTTCGAGGGAGGTAAACCCAAGTACAAAATATTGCACTTTTGATTTGCGATTATACGCCTATAATTTTGTTTATTTGTTTTTTCATAATCAGCAATGCATATTATATGTCATGAAGAAGTGATAATTGTGTTTTAATTATGTTTGATTTTTTGGTTGCATGTGACCTTTAAGCCCAAACACTTCCTCGTATTACATTTGTTTGTTGTTTAACGCCGCACTCAGCATTTTTTCAGCTGTGACGGCGGTCTGAGAATGTTCGAGTCTGAACCAGACAATTCTGAGATTTACAAACTAGTGATCGATATTACGAACAACAACCCGGGCCGCTGGGATATACTGACACACAACCTCCAGCTCGGCCAGCTAGATCAGCTGATCCATTAAGACGCCTCTTACAAGCATGGGTAACCCGTGAAGATCCTGGGTAGAATTGGTCTTCAGTAACCCATGCTTATAAGAGGCGACTAACGGGATCGGGTGGTCAGGCTCGCTTACTTGGTTGGCACATGCCTTTGTACTCCAGTTATGAAGATCAATGCTCATGCTGTTGATCACTGGATTGTCTGGTCGAGACTTATTTACAGACCTCCGCCCTGCAGATGGAATATTGCCGAGTGCAATAGTACAACAAACAAATAAACAAACATGCATTTCTCGGCAACAGTTCTGACCCCGTGGGAGAATTGATTACTTAGGGTAATATGTTACCTTTCGAAATTTATGGGAATACATCAGTATAGTTACAAAGAACCTTTCAGAATTTGTTTTAACAATCAGCTTGAACCTCTTATCACGTGTACAATTGTGTCTATTTAACGTACCAAGAGAAACTTGAGCAGGAATCTTCAGTGATGAAAGTACCCACGCCGTCACAGCTGCTGCGACGAGACAGTCTGTTCTGAGGTCAAAGGTAGCGCATAATTGTGACGTCATAACACCTATTACGTGGTGGTAAACACGGTTTCAACAACAAAATTACGTTCAACCCCCATAATTTATGATATAATAATAAAATCACATTGTTTTTAAAAACATAATGGATTCTATTCAGAAAAAAGAGGCAACTATTTTTAATCAGTAACATGAAATGGTGACGTCATATGGATGTGACGTCACAGTAGAGGACGCGATATGGAGATGTGGCGTTGGCATCCATTATTTAAATGTAATTGTCTGAAAATATAAAATCGACAGCTTGATTCTGTTCCAATGGGACCCGTGAAGATCCGGGTTAGAACTGACTCACTGTTCCAATGGCACTTTGAGTTTTTATGTCTGAGAAAGATCGTAGAGGTCAGTAAGGAAACACAAAAAATCCCTGTAACGTTGACATGTTCACTGCATGGTTACTGCGCTACGGATGATATTTTATTGTCAGGTCACGAATTAACACATAAACCCTTACATCGTGCCAACATTATAGTGGGTATAAATTACGAAGTGTAGTAGTAGTAGTTGTAGTAGTAGTAGTTGTTGTTGTTGTAGTAGTAGTAGTAGTTGTAGTAGTAGTAGTAGTAGTAGTAGTAGTAGTAGTTGTAGTAGTAGTAGTAGTAGTAGTAGTAGTAGTAGTAGTAGTTGTAGTAGTAGTTGTAGTAGTAGTAGTTGTAGTAGTAGTTGTAGTAGTAGTAGTAGTAGTAGTAGTAGTAGTAGTAGTAGTAGTAGTAGTAGTAGTAGTAGTAGTTGTAGTAGTAGTTGTAGTAGTAGTAGTAGTAGTAGTAGTAGTTGTAGTAGTAGTAGTAGTAGTGGTTGTAGTAGTGGTTGTAGTAGTAGTTGTAGTAGTAGTAGTAGTAGTAGTAGTAGTAGTAGTAGTAGTAGTAGTAGTAGTAGTAGTAGTAGTAGTAGTAGTAGTAGTAGTAGTAGTAGTAGTAGTAGTAGTAGTAGTAGTAGTAGTAGTAGTAGTTGTAGCAGTAGTAGTAGTAATAGTAGTAGCAGCAGTAGTTGAATGAATGAATGAATGAATGTCTTTATTTCCTCCAGATAGGTCCGAAGATCCTCAAAACATCATGGTTATATAATTATATAATTAACAGAATACTCAACAAACATACACACACACATATATATATATACATAAACATACATAGAATATGGGAACATTTCCCCAAATATATACAGGTTATTAGCAGTCAGGTATTGGCTAGATTATTACCATAAGTAATTGAGAATATGTTTTAGTTTATACAGATACTTTGAGAATTCTAAAATAGTGAAATGCCTTGTTATTTCATCAATATCATTGTTATTGGCCCCAAGAAAGAATGCCAGCATGTCATGCTCTTCCATCATCTCTATTTTTGATATACATGTCAATATCAAGATTATCGATTAGAGTTGAGAAAATACATCTCTCTCTGAAAGTAGAGATACACAGTTTAGTATAACATGGTGATAGAAATCGTTAGCGAAGGTATTACATTTTTACATTCTTTTGATAGTTTGCTTCGGATCAATCCTTATTACATATTGCAATTCTTCTCTCAGTTCTGGATATAAAAATACCATGCTGTATAACACATGAGGTGAAAGTGCTGTATGGATTTTAGAATATCTAGACAAGTCAGCTCTGCATGATAGTTTATATTTCCAAACTTCTTCCTCGTGGTTACTGATTTCATTTACTACAATCTTTCTCCACTTATGTTTCGCCGGGAATTCTCCTGTGCAGATGTAGTCAAATACATAATGAAGTAAGTTATATTTCCTAGCTGTTGAAAGAAGTACTCCACATAAACTGTCTAAGTTCTTGGTATGAGAATAATAGAGTGAGGTAGATGCACAAAAGATTGTTTTACAGATTGGGACACATGATAAGTTACAGAGACGCCCAAGCAGCTGTAGTCTGCATTTATGATGTTACTGCTGTTGCTGCTGCTGCTGCTGCTGTCTAAAAAAGCTATAGTACCTTAATTGCATGCACATATGATAATGTCAATTTATTTTGTTTTGTTTCCAGTTTGGAAATGGAAGCGAACATACATGCACAGCAAAAATATTTCACAATATTTAACAATTCATATGTTACTTTATTTGTATCGGCATTTAGTCAAAACAAATATTTATGTGTACGGACGTTTATAAATATTAAGCACATGCATGGATCCTTGTTTTCCCGATCATCTCATAAACAGTTGTAAATTTGTCAGTAACTTATTAAAAACAACTTTATCTGTAACACATGCTATCGTCCGAGTATTTACAGTATATGTAGCGCAGCCCGCCCCTTTATAGCGCGAGTAAACATTCCCGTTCGAAAACGTGTGTCGTCCGAAAACATACCCACGATCGTCACTGAATGAATTCTCCTCTCGTGTGAGAAATCCTAAAGTATAGACGATGCAAAGGCTTACAAGTTTCCCAGATCACGTGATAAATCTTCCACAGTTTATAATCTCTTGCATGGCTTATAAATAAAAGTAGGTCGGTCGAAAATCCACAGCTGGGTCTGTGTTGACACGTCAAGCAGCCCAAATCGCATTTGCTCAACGTCAAGTTCTGACTTCATTTGCGATTGTTGCGTGGCAGTAACAGTGAGCGAGTCCTATGAATCGCGAGAAGGAGCTTTCATACAGAAACAAGATGGCTTCGCTAGAAGCTGGTGCTCGTTTGGTGCAGTCAAAGTATGAAGGATCTCCCCGTCGTTTGATTTGGACAACTTTCGTAGCATGTCTGGGAGCTTTGTGCTTTGGATATGTCATCGGATACAGTTCTCCGGCAATTCCTAGCATGGTTAAAAGTGGTGTTTTCACCAAGCAAGACGCGGGCTGGTTTGGGTCGCTCATGACAGTTGGAGCAATACTCGGGGGTCCTGCAGGCGGATGGTGTATTGAGAAGTTTGGCAGACGCAAATCACTGATGATAGCGTCTGTTCCGTTCTTATTGGGTTGGGTTGCGATGCTGTCGTCATCGACATTGACGTATCTTTATACTGGACGATTTCTTACCGGATTCTCCTCGGGATTAGTGACAGTTTGTGTTCCTGTTTATATCGCTGAAATTTCAACGAAATCCATGAGAGGTGTTCTTGGATCATGCACTCAACTTTTCATAACAGTGGGAATATTGCTGGCATATGCCTGTGGACTTTACTTTGACTGGCGAGGTCTGGCTTTTATAGGTGCTGTCCAAGCAGCCCTAGCACTGGTCATGTCATGTTTCATCCCAGAAACACCCCGATGGTTGCTGGGGAAGAACAAGAAGGCTGAAGCCATCCAGGCCTTGAAGGTTCTCCGTGATTCACATATGGATGTCCAGGAGGAATGCCGAGACATTGAAGAAGGCCTTGATCCACAAGAGGAGTTTGCTTGGTCGGAATTTCTGCAGAAACCGGAACTCTCCAGGCCTCTCTTCATTGCACTAACCGTTTTTGTGTTTCAACAACTGAGTGGAATCAATGCTGTTATGTTCTACACTGTGTCAATATTTGAATCTGCAATTCCAGATCTTGCCCATGGTGCTACCGTGGCTGTTGGTGCTGTCCAAGTGGTAGCTACATTTGCTGCCTGTCTCCTGATGGATCGAGCTGGACGAAGGAAACTGTTGATCATCGCTGGATTAATTATGTCAGCAACTCTCTTCATATTTGGGCTTTACTACAGGTTGCTAGCCAGCAATTCCTTGAACAATACCATGAAAACCTGGCTACCAGTCTGCTCACTCATGATCTATATTGTCGGATTTTCTTTGGGATGGGGTCCGATTCCTATGCTTGTTATGTCTGAAATATTTCCTTCTCGTGCAAGGGGAGCAGCAAGCTCGATTGCAATCCTTGGTAACTGGCTTGTGGCATTTGTGGTGACGAAAGAATTCATGACGATGCAAACGATTCTTGGACAAGATGGAACCTTTTATCTGTTTGCATTCTTTTGTCTGATGTCTGTTATGTTCGTTGTGAAATATCTTCCAGAGACAAAAGGAAAGTCATTGGAAGATATTGAGCTCTACTTTCTGGGAAGAACATTAATTGATAAGTAAGCCTTTTGTTCAGAGTATTTAATAACAACATGATGATAGCATTTGGGGTGTTATTAATTACTTTTGGAGGTAAATATTTTGCTGGCTTTGTTCCATTAGAAACATGAAAAACATACTGTCAGCATAATCATTGCACAAAACAATGATGATGAACATGATTTTACATTACCCATCAACATATTTATAATGTTTATAATTTATAATTTTTACATGTTTTTGGTTCAGTGTCAGTATGTAGAGGGGACAATTCCACATCCTGATATTGCTGGAATTCTACTAAAGTACATTCTCACTATACGGTAAGCATGTTAACATGGTTAAGCCCTGAAAATGAATCATGTGGTTCTGATGACATAACCAAGGTAAAGAAATTAGGGATGCCATGATACATAGATACACATCAATACTTTTTCTAAGTTGATCCAATTGTCGATACATTCAAAACTGTATCGATATTTAGTTTTGAAAGTATCGATTTAGATATGTTTATGTATCATTTACATTTTGCAATTGTATCATGTTTTTTTTATGTTAAGAGAGTTATATATGATTATTTTTCATGCACAAAGATTTGAAATTAGAACTTTTTTATCTCTGAGAATAAAAAATGTTGATTTTTCATGGACAGTTATAAAATATGTAATATTAATGTTCAAAATGAAACTAAATTTGCGCAACAATGCCGCGAAAATAGGCATCGTTATACGTATCGAATTGTGACATGGGTATCGTGATAAGTATCGATTCTAGAAACTCATGTATCGTGACATCCCTAAAAGAAATGTCTGTTTTATTTTTACTATGTTCGGAGTAGGTCTGCAAGAAGCTTGCAGAATTATAAACTAACACATTTAACATGGTTTGACATTAAACATGTTAAATGTAATCAGAACCACATCAATATATATAATTAGGCTTAAACATTAGAGGGATGTTTTATGTATGTATTTAGTTGGGGTTTCATTTGCTTTGGAAATCACGGAGGTTCATCTTAATCCTCATGGTGTTTCGGACCATGTTTTACTTCCACCTTGTTCCATGATTTACCATTGTTTATCATGTTTACCATATAAATATTTGCATGTATTGATCATTGAATTGTGTCACCTTGTTATTTCTAATCATGTTAATGCATGAAATATGTCATGGCAGGGCTCGATTTAAGCATTAAGAACTTGCTTTGGTGCAACCTGAAACTGCACAATGCAACCTTATTTTTATACCACCTTTCACCCAGTGCATGTTAGTATTTTGCTGTTTATAGAACACAGACTTAATCTGGGAAACAGAATGGAACTGGCTTGGAACAGTGACTGTCTACACAGACAGTGATTAATGATTGTTACTATTCATGCCATGAAATTTTGTGAAATAAGCTTAAATTATCTGATCAGATCCAGAATAATTCTGTTATAGTGGTGTTCGCAATCATCCATATTAACATGATTAATACTCAAACATTATCTTCAACTTTAACAATGAAGTTGCGCAGCCATAGCGACTATTTGAGACCTCCGAAAGTTTTGAAAGTCTCGAGTAGTAGGATATTCTAAACTAACCATGATAACAGTCGATTAGATCCAATGGACATACAATTTATAGCAATGTTGACTTCATTTTAACTTGGAGAAAGTCCTAAATCTGTTGATTGGTTTTGCTTGTGAAGCTCGCTCTTGGCCTTACAGCCTTGAACGATCCTCACGAACCAAACTAATCAACCAATTTCGGACTTTCTCCTACACATACACTGCATCAGCAGGTGCAGCCTGTTTTTGTGAGCAACAATATTACATTAGGTTGCACCAGGTGCAAGTAGATTATTATTCCTTTAATCAAGCACATGGGTGCAATGTATGAAACCCTTGACTGGGGTCACCACCAATGATATTGCTGGTGTATTGCTGTAAGCAACATAAAACTCTGACTCACTCTAAGATTGTCATGTATACCTGATGTCAATTATCCATTTTAATATGAAATGGAGATTTCATGATATGCTGGATATTTTAGGTGGGATTTTTGGTGTTTTGGGTCACTTTTGAGAAGTACAGTACTGTGTAATAATGATGATGACAAAGCGCCTTTGAGCAGCTGAGCGGAGCTGGATATCGGCGCTACACAAATGTATATATGATGATGATATGATGATATGATGATGATGATGATGATAGTGGTATGATTGTAATGGTTCTTTTCCTTGGTCCATGATCATTACAATTGTGTCAGTGAGGTGAAATTGGGTTTAACGTCGTGCTTGAGAATATTTCGCTCATATGACGACCTGCATGCGTGTGTATGTGTATGTGCGGCTGCTTGTACTAGCCCAGACTGAAGCTGGTTTTATAGTGCTAGCTCACTGAGATACCATGCCGCAGTGAAGCATGAATACCCCACTCAGACACAGTATACTGAGTCTGAGCTGACCACTCCCTGTTGTACCCACTAATGCCGAGTTCCAGGCAGGGACCAACAAGTACCATATTTTAATGTCCTTTGGTATGACGCAGTCAGGGATTGAACCAGCGACCTTCCGCTCTCCGGGCGGACGCTCTGACCACTACACCACGGAGGCGGTCTTGTGTCAATGAGGTTTGATGAGAGCAAGTATACTTAACATATTAATCTTGATAACTAACACATTGTTTTTCATTCCAACTATTTTCTTAAACCATGTGTTCATTGGTAGTCAAACTATAATACATTGCTGTGTAGGTAGCTTCCTTATTTCATTGTGTAGATGGTCACTCTGAATACCTGCAATAAGTAGGAAATGACTTAATTTGACCTTAAACATTTTTAAAAATTTCCTTTTATTACCTTTCATACCTGGGTAGTAACTCATAAAAACATTTTAAACATGTTTAAGAATAGACATAATATGAAGTCATTCAGATGAAATTCTGTCATTGTTACCACTGACATCCTAAATATGTTAATAATTACAATAATTCAGTTTATGCATATCTGTTCTAGTGTTCATAGATCTGTGTTTTTAGAAAAGTTTCAATTATCATGATTATGGTAATGCTGGTGATCATCATGATCAAAGTAAGGCCTTTTTTGTTTGCGTTGTTTATGAGACCAATCAAGAACAAACATCTAAAATTAGAGAAAAATATTACTTTTGCCAATTGTTTCACTCTCAGGTGAAACGAAAAACACCATTGTGTGTATGAAATTATTTATAACCATGAAAACACTTACACAAATCTTTATTTTAACAAAATTAATCTCAATCAATATCCTTTTGTATCACTGAGTAATCAATTTCACGATGGTGTGCCCAATTTTAATATGTTTAGGCCAGTTAGAAGGTGAGAATTTATGGATGTCAGGTGATGAAGGAGTAAGAATATACTGGGAAATGTTGTGTTCCTCATCATAAAGACCAGTGAAGATCCGGGTTAGAATTGATCTTCAGCAACCCATGCTTGTCGTAAAAGGCAGCGAACTGTATCGGGTTGTCAGGCACACTGACTTGGTTGACACAGGTCATCGTATCCCAAATGCATAGGTCGATGCTCATGCTGTTGATCACTGGATTGTCTGGTCCCAACTTGATTATTTACAGACCGCCGCCACGTAGCTGGAATAGTGCTGAGTGCGGTGTTAAACTAAACTCACTCACTCACTCCTCATAATAAAGAAGGTGACATCCATAAATTCTCACCTTTTATGTGTATCACTTCTAAATGCTGTTCAAAGACTGTAGGCCAGTTTTTCTAAACCAACCAGTGGTTGACCACATAAGCATTCGTGCCATTTGAGCACAATGCACAAGGTTACACCTTATAATCACATGATTCTTTTAAGTGGGTACTTAATCAAGTATTGAGTACAGAGAGCTATTTTGACCCAGAATTCTCACAGAGGTTTTGATTTTGGTGAGAAAATGTCCTCACATTATTGCATCCTCTTTAAGGGAGGGCAACAAGTCTCTTGAAATACTTGCTTCAAATGTCAGTGGGTATGCTGGTTATGTCAAATTATCAGCTTACTTGAATTCCTGAACAAAAAAAATATGTTCACAGGTTCGCTACTTAATTGTTGTGAATATCTGCTACCCAAATCATGACAAAATTACACTCATTCACACCATACAATCAACAACCCCTTAAAAGCCTGAAATTCTTTAAGCCCTTTTTGAAGTTTTGATATTTTGAAAGCATCCTAGGTTTTTGGGATTACACTTTCTCACAAAAGTACAGATTCTACTACATTTTGGGGTTGGGATTCAAAACCATACTCTCAAAGTCAGGCACCTAATCACCAGCACACAAAGTCTGCGATCTAACCCACTCAGCCACCACAGATTCCACAAAAATGGAAGTCATCCAACTGGTAGTAGAGATCACATACTTGGTGTACTCCTCTGATAAGTGTAAATTGGCACAGCTCCTATGGCCTAAGCTGTAAAGACACAATGCCTTTTCACAGAGAAAGGGTCATTCCAATTATAACAATTGTTGCATTTGACCACTTTACAAAACATATAGTCTATTGATATTTTAAAATCTGATCATTTGTGCATAATATACATAATTCCAATGATACTTAAAACCTGTTTGGTAAATCATTATTGCAAGTTTTATTTTAGGGTGTTATTGTGCTATTTACCTGTTGATTTGTTCAACACCAGTGACATGACTAGTGTCACACTCAGTTGAATGGGTAGGACTGTAGCATGGAGCATATGTTGAGAGAATTAACTTAAGAGAGAATGATTTTGGGCTTGTGGGGTAGAACTGCTGTATTCATGTTTATTATGCCAATAAACTTATATATTATTGGAGTATTGACTTACACGTTTCTGGAGAATATTTTCACTCTGATTGTGTTACTGTGTTTGACATCATACCCATGCTCGTCATTTTACTCAGTGTGCTTCAAGTTATCTTCATATTTATAACAATGGTTTCACTCAAGGCTGTCATAAAGATTGAATGTAGATTTTCATAATATTGGTAAAATTTGAAACTTTTTGAGTTTGTATTGATATTTATTATGAGGGATTGTAGGAAATATATAATGGATATACACATGCTAATATATGTTAGTGTTTCACAGCTGTAAGTAATAGCTTTGTCATTTTGCATTAATGTGTTTGACAAGAACAATGTTCAATGCTTCAAACTTCAGTGTGGACAATGGCATCCCGTTTGCTTACTTAACCATTCTCTTAACGATCAGATAAATTGCAAATATTTTAATGTGTCTCAAAACTACACTATCATAATTCATGGTTTACAGACCATTTTTAAATACATGTATTTTCACAGAGTTCTTTTTGGAGACAGTAAAAAATACTAACAATTCTCCTTACATATATCATGTTGATTCTGCTGCCAAATTGCCAACCCTACTCTCAGTTTTATTTTGTTTTTAATCAGATATTACGAGAGAGGGAGAATATGTGCATTGTGGATTATCTTATCCTGCTTTGAGCTTATGTGTAGTGATTTTTCTAAACGTCATCAGATGCTGATATTCAGCTCCAAGTCTCTAAGAATTGTCAGTAAAATTAAAATTAAATTAATTAAAATTCAACAAATTAAAAAAATTGAAATGTATTTTCTGATAATTTTAGGTGACCTGTTTCACTAATTACAGGATAGTTTCAAAATCCAAATTTTGAACTAAAATTTTGAAGTAGACAATTTACCCAGGTTATATTCCGATAATTTTGGGAGGTGACCTGTTTTACTAGTTACAGGATCATTGAAAGAGAGGATAATTTAAAAATCCAAATTTTGAACTAAAACCTACCCAGGTCATATGACATCATGGACCACCAAGGGCACTTAGTTTATTACCCTAGATAAATCCCTGTTGCTTTGTAATCCTGGTTCCATGCCCGAGGCGTGTATAGTTATCTCTTTAAGCTGCAGAATCAGTCTAAGCCGACACTGAGTTAAATTGGCTTTATGCTTGTGGCCCTGCCTGAGGATTATATATACATACTTCTGAATGCATTGGTAACAAAGTCTTATCTCTTAATGTTATGACAAAATCATTATCTATCATTGATTTTTTCAAAACCAAGCCATTCATTCCTGAGATTATGCAATACAACTGACATTTATCATCGAATTTACATTAGTATAAGAGCTTTATGACAACACCATGAATGCATAATCATGATATGGTTCAGGATTATTTCAGCCATTGTGTGACCATGTAACAGATGCATTTATTTTCCAAAAGTTTTAGGTACATATTTTGGTAGAGATGAGTTTTTTGGTAGTCATGCTAGTTACTTTTTCTGCATGAGGATATATTAAAGAAGCAGTTATTTTACTCCAGTATCATTTATTTCTTTGATTGACATTCTAGAAGTTGGGTAGATGAAGAATGAGGACTATTTTTATAGTTGTATATCCATAAAAATAGTCCTCATTCTTTATAATTTTGTATTTATTATTTAAAATATTGATATTGTATATATATATGATTCATTAAACGTTTGATTTAAGTCCTAAACTTGGTGAAATATAACGATATATTTACGAAGATCATGCTTGTAATGAACTGACGAATATGATTATTTTTTTGTTCCGACCACTTGCTGTGTATTAAGTTGAAATGCATATAACAATAATTTTGGTTCAGTCACCTAAAATAATTTAAGTGTTGACTAATTCATTATAACCTCAGTGTACTGTACATTTAAGCTGTATGCTTTGTCATCCATGATGCCGTTGTGCAAAGCAATCTTAGGACTAAGGTGGATCGTAACTCCCATACCTTAACATAGACTTACGACTGTCGTAGCACTAAGGTGATCGTAACTCCCATACCTTAACTTAGACTTACGACTGTCGTAGCACTAAGGTGATCGTAACTCCCATACCTTAACATAGACTTACGACTGTCGTAGTGCTAAGGTGATCGTAACTCCCATACCTTAACATAGACTTACAGCTGTCGTAGCACTAAGGTGATCGTAACTCCAATACTATAACATAGACTTACGACTGTCATAGCACTAAGGTGAATCGTAACTCCCATACCTTACCATAGACTTGCGCTTGTCATAGCACTAAGGTGATCGTAACTCCCATACCTTAACATAGACTTGCGACTGTCGTAGCACTAAGGTTGTTTTGTACAACAGCACCCATGTCTACAATGAACTGTCCTTGTTTAGATTCAAATATGTAAAACACTAGAACTGTTCTGTTTGATTTCCATTTTATAATGGCTTTTGAAATTGAAATTTACATAATTTACATTTCAAATGAAGATGGGAAAATTTCATGGGAATATTATTTTTAACTTAATTCCATCTTTGACGCACATTTTTTCAAGGTATGTTTTAAAATCATCTTTGTGGGTTTCATCAAAGTTGTACGACCATCACTGTAGACATCCCGTTGATGTCGACTCGGCGTGTAAGTGAAATATTCTCATGATTATTTATGTGGCTTGACAAGGTTCAGTATAAATAATTCTATTTTCGGAAACACAACTGGAAATCCAGAGCATCAGATTCACAAAAATTAACCAGCTGGCTTAAATCCATACGAATCTATATTTTGTGAGGGAGATTGGCATGCAGGTTATTGATTTTCGTCTTGGTTACATTGTTATATTGCGGTTCCTGTGTCTGAGGATGCAATATGTGGTGATTCCATGTTTGTTACTGCTTTATTAAGGCTGGAATGATTTTTGCTAAAAGAAGCACATTTTCAGACAATGTTTAAAAATTCAAATTATTATTTTTTTATGCTTTATTACCAGAGTATGAATTGTACAGAATAACTTAAACTGGATGAAGAACTTCAGAACTTGGGGTTTCATATGTATAAATTCTATGGTTTTCAAAACATATTTTAGAATTCTTGAGGTTGCTGTATTCACATGGCAAATGCAGCTGTTGTTGAGAAAGAAATCTCTACTTACAGTTTTATTGTACTGTTTATCATGAACTTTGTTTGGTTCTTTATCATTGTCATTTGATTGTATTGTGAGACATGCAATGATATTGTCTTTATAACATAGAGCTGATGGAATGTCATGTTAATTATACTGTTGATTGTGTTGGATAAAAGGGGAACAATGTGCAATGCTCAATGTTGTTTTTTCATTTTGCGGACACAAAACAGTGATGATCTGAATAATAATCTCACATTCCTAATTGTTTTGAAGATTCTAGGTCAGGTTGCACTTGACACTGTTATATTGATGATACAGATCCTGTTCCAGATCTAGATCCTGTCATTGTTCCTGGTCTAGATCCTGTCATTGTTCCTGGTCTAGATCCTGTTCCTGTTACAGTTCCTGATACAGATCCTGTTCAAAATTATACAGGAATCACCATGGAGTTCAGGTGATTGAAGGGCATCAGACAGCACACCTGTCTGGAAATAACTATCTGAGCCAGGAGAACCAGTGGTTGACAGTCTGAGCACTATTTCCATCAGCCATACACTGCCATCCAGCTCTCATGGCAACATGTGGGCGGTGGGGTAGCCTAGTGGTTAAAGTGTTCGGTTGTCATGCCGAAGACCCTGGTTTGATTCCCCACATGAGTAGTATACACAATGGTTGTACGGGACCAAGTCCCCCGAAGGGCTCAAATTAAGCCTTGGATAAGTTAATTCGCAAATTCTAGCATAACTCAAGTAAAAACGATTTTTTTACTTGAGTTATGCTAGAGTTTGCTTGAATTTCACATGGGTACGACGTGTGAAGCCCTTTTCTGGTCGTGATATTGCTAAAAGCTACCCCACCGCACATAGTTCTATGCAATTTGTATACAGTGACATGTCTACCAAGTCAGCAAGCCTGACACCAGAATCCTTTAGTCATCTCTTATGACAAGAATGCATTGCTGAAGTTAAGTATGAATCTCAACAAACCATTGACATTTGAAACCCCAAAACAAACTTCAGCATAAAGCACTTATCATGCTTATAGAAAACTTCAAATAATAACATCATACAAAATGTATTTTATTCATGGCATATGTTTCTGTACACATACAAATCTTGTGAGTGTCATGTGATTTCAAATTATCAGCAATTCATTAGTGATAAAAAGTTTGCATTTACAATGACGAAAGAAATATTTTCTGTTTGATTATTTATTACACAGATTTCTGATTTACATCCTTGAAATCAGAGTTCTCTTCGGCAATGATATCACACACATAAATAGAATTAGTATTTACACAGTATTGAGAGGTGTGTTTCATGTTTGGTCAACATCAATCGTGAGGTCGACCTTGGTCATGATAGTGGGTTTGGTCATGCCACCTCCACGAAGACCCTCCAGGAATACTTGTGGTTTCGGGACGTTGCTATAGTTATCTCCCTTTGTCTGGGTGTTCTGGTCTCTGAAAGAAGACAAAAGTGTCAAGTTAAGTCACAGCATGGTAAGGTGGTGGAGTAGCCTAGTGGTTAAAGTGTTGGCTCGTCATGCCGAAGACCCGGGTTCGATTCCCCACCGCAATATTACTGGAATATTGCTAAATGCAGCGTAAAACCATACTCACAGAATGGTAACTTTGAACGATGGCATCAGGGAAGACAATAGCCCTGTAAGTCCAAAGCTAATATCTCCCATGGTGCGGCCCCCAACAAGACTGGCAAATTAACCATTAGCGATCATTGGTTGCAATCACCCCACTGTCATCATTTTGAACACTGTTCAGGGTCGTATATATTGTGTATTGTATTGTGTTAGTTTTGCAACAATTTCGTGTAAAATTGGTTTTAAGAGAACGACATGTCTGCTTTGGAACTGTTTGACCCAAGCCATGGCAAATACTATCTGAATGTATTTTTTCTGAGCATGCACATAGTGAAACTGTATTTAAAGTCAGATGTGCACATGGAGGGAAATTCACAACACGAAACTAGAAATCATTGTGCAACATTGCAATCATTAAGACACCAAAAAGTATTACAGAATGTATGTCATCTAACTTATAAAAACCTGCAAATGATCTATGGAGTGTATTTTAGATTGCTTTAGTTATCAGTCTTTGGTTAATTTACATCCAGGTAGACTTTAGTGACATTATCCAAGTTTAGTTAACCAGACTCAATAGTGATGCTGAGGTTTTACTTAAGCGGTTTCTGCATGGAGACTTACTTTGGCTAGACTTTGGTCCTCAAGTTGCTGAGGTTGGACTGTAACTGTAACACAAGGTCATTGGTGAGGTCAATGGGGTTCAATGAACTTGGATTACGCTGCATTTCAGATACATCATAAGTAACGAAATACAAACCAAAATAATTAAATTATTAAATAGTCATTGACCAGATACAGATCTGATCAACCAAAACTTACAATCAGAACATAATATGATTAGTTTAAAGGTATTCTCATTTACGCAACCATCCATTTTTCAAGGTTTTGGAGAAAATGAGATAAATATTGATTGATGTTTGAAGTTTTTGCCAACCATGTTAACTGTATAAATAAATAAGAGGGCAAAGGCAAAAGATTGCAATGTGGACTTTATCAAAATAATGTTGGACAGAAGGAAAGCCTAACAGTTATCAATGTTTATAAGAGCCCTGGTGCCATTGTACAAATCAACCTTAGCGTTTCAACTGTTGTAAGTCTATGTAAAGGTATGAGAGTTATGACCACCTTAGTACAAATGTTGCCTTGCACATTGGCACCAGAGCTCTTATATTGTAGGAAGTTAATAGTAACGATACCTGTCAGGGTTTAATTCTGCCCAAATGACAACCATCACTTGTTTTGCCTCCTGTATCGTACTGATGATGCCAGTCTAAGAAAACTCAGTATTACACAGCTTATACTGTGTCTTACAAAACCTAGTAGAAGGTCACGTCAGCTAACCTTTTCTACTGACCAATCAGAACACAGCTTACCAATATCACGAAATTGACATTCGCACATACCTTTGGAACTTTTACCTCGAAAAAGTTTGCACCCAAACGATGCTTTTTTAAGTTCAATCGCTCCAGAGTGATGCACATGGAACACGCCACAACAGTGAGTAAACAATATTCAAGGATGTCAGCTTGCGAAAATATTAGCTGATGGTAACCATGTCATCAGAAAGCCCCAAGCGTATATACTGCAGGTCAAATATCTGTTTTATGTGGATTTTCGTTTGTTGAGAGTTCAGTGTCTGCGACTGGAGAAGAGAAAATTTTGAAAAACTCCTGCCAAACCCGAAACAGAAGACGTTGTCAGATTGGTTATATCTGTTCGGCAGTCTTACATTTGATTGGACAGCTCAAAGGTTAGCTGACGTGTACTAGGGTTTGTTAGATTCAGTATAGCAGTGTAATGAATAAAACTGAGCCTAAGTCTACTGAGACTGGGATGACATCAAATATTTCAGCATATTTTAATCACTGACAACAATCCATTGTTGACTGTTGATGAATCTCCTTCTCACCAGTTTGATCGCCTTTCTCCTGAGTTCCCATTCATTCCACTCGTATGTCTTGACGATGTTGGACTCCATGAAGTGAGTGTCCGTCTGTGTCCCACTGTCGTTCTTTGTGACGGGCTTCTCGATCATCTTCCCTGTATCTCTGCCCTGCGCACAAAGTATCAACAGTTGAACAGAAGTGGGAGGGAAACAACATGCTGGTACAACAATAGGTCGGGGGAGGAAACAACACACTGGTACAACAATAGGTCGGGGGAGGAAACAACACACTCATAGAAAACAGGATGATGGGAAACACTTGAAAAAATATACAAAATATCTTAAGAAAAATTATGAAAATCAAATAATTATTTTATTCATACAAAAATGCACATATTATATGACACATTATATTCGATACTTGAGAGACAAAAGAACTGTCAGGTGTAAGTCTGCAACTTCTCACTGCTCATGCCCTACCTGTGAGTATGGTGAGATAGTGGAGAACTGTGTATGGAGTTCTAGGAGTTGTATCAGCTCTGGGCTTCTCTTGGCTCCTTCAGCAACAAGCTGGATGTATCTACAATATCAACAAAGAGGACCGGTTTCATGAGTTTGATGTTCATAATGAACTGTAAAACAACCTTGCAAACTGTATGAATCTGACTTGGTTTAGAATGTAATAATAAAAATCCTGAAATAATGTTCCATACTTAAAGACACTCTTTGAACGGCATTAGAAAAGATACACGTAAAAGTTGAGACTTTATGGATGTCACCTTAATTATGAGGGGAAAAATATAATAATATTATTCTTACTTCTGTTCTGTACTTCATCATATCCAACCATGTAGCTTATTATTATTATAACCAATGACTAGAATATTGGATATTTTCCAACATATTAATAGGGAATGAGCACAAATTCCCTCAAAAGAAAGTTTATTTTTCTGGCCTTTTTATTCATCTTGCTAAATAAACAGGCTTTTGGATGCTCCACCGGAAAGAACATCTTGACACAAATCAATGTCATTTTCATTTTCCAAAGCTGATGAAAATATTACATGCTTGATAACATGTCCCTAAACTTGCAGCATGCCATTATGTGTGAATTCTATATGGATTTTATTCTTTATGCTAATGAATTGCTTTGACATTCAATGTTGAGGTCAGTGGTGTGGAAAATCAATTTCCAGCTTGTCTGACTAGTAATGTGTGACTGATGGACCAGCAGAAAATCAGCTCCAGTTGTTGAAGGAAAACCTTATAATGTAGACCTTCTCTCAAATTAGTGAAATTATCCGTAGAAAGTACAAAATTAAATGCGTGACGATTCCATGATAACATTTTACTTCATTTTTTCATTTCAATCATGCTTTAGGACACACTGGAGGTTTAATTATATTCAATTAGACAAAAGCTAACATTTTGTCTCCTTTTGAGTTCCATTGTCCTATTTTTAGATTGTCATGTATCGCATCAAACAAACATGGCGTATAGGTATCATGTATTCTGTAAAAGTACCATGTTCATGTTCAGTTTCAGTGTCACAAGGAACTATTTAGTGATAAAAAGAAAACCATATCTAATTATATAAAATAATTCACTAGGATAATCAGTAAATCAAACTGTATCCCATCATGAATTCAATTCATTATCATGGCAACTCGATTTGAATATTTATGAATATTTTTAAGAGTGATTTTAACTTGAACTAGTTTGTTGTTTACCAAGTGAGATATGTCATTAAGCTATATGCGGCATTGTTCACGATATATTGCATTTTTGCCTCACAGAAACTATCCTTGAAATGTTTCAACCTAAACAAATACATGACATCTTTGTTAGTATATTTCCTTGATATTAAAGATAAAGTATTCATGAATAGATATTCGTTTTCATTACTATATACTCAATGTTGAGGTCAGTGGTGTGGAAAATCAATTTCCAGCTTGTCTGACTAGTAATGTGTGACTGATGGACCAGCAGAAAATCAGCTCCAGTTGTTGAAGGAAAACCTTATAATGTAGACCTTCTCTCAAATTAGTGAAATTATCCGTAGAAAGTACAAAATTAAATGCGTGACGATTCCATGATAACATTTTACTTCATTTTTTCATTTCAATCATGCTTTAGGACACACTGGAGGTTTAATTATATTCAATTAGACAAAAGCTAACATTTTGTCTCCTTTTGAGTTCCATTGTCCTATTTTTAGATTGTCATGTATCGCATCAAACAAACATGGCGTATAGGTATCAAGTATTCTGTAAAAGTACCATGTTCATGTTCAGTTTCAGTGTCACAAGGAACTATTTACTGATAAAACAGAAAACCATATCTAATTATATAAAATAATTCACTAGGATAATCAGTAAATCAAACTGTATCCCATCATGAATTCAATTCATTATCATGGCAACTCGATTTGAATATTTATGAATATTTTTAAGAGTGATTTTAACTTGAACTAGTTTGTTGTTTACCAAGTGAGATATGTCATTAAGCTATATGCGGCATTGTTCACGATATATTGCATTTTTGCCTCACAGAAACTATCCTTGAAATGTTTCAACCTAAACAAATACATGACATCTTTGTTAGTATATTTCCTTGATATTAAAGATAAAGTATTCATGAATAGATATTCGTTTTCATTACTATATACTCTTAAAACATATCATATTCGCCTCATTGTGGCATTCCATCATTCCAAAATGAAAGAAACACTTACGCAGCTGGGTTCTGAGCAAACTCATAGGCTGCCTCTCTGCTGGAGAAAGCGTAGTGATGATCTCTGAATCTCAGGACACCGATCTCTGGGTTGGAGGGGATGAGCAGACGGTCATACTTGGCCAGGGATAATGCACAGTAGCCCTGGAAACAGTAACAGAAACTGATGTCAGAGATGTCATTTGGGGATGCTAGACTGACATGGATGAGGATCTTCATGGAGTGTAGACCCGTGAACATCCGGGTTACAAGTGATCTTCAGCAAACATGCTTGTCGTAAGAGGCAACTAACGGGATCGGGTGGTCAGGCTCGCTGACTTGGTTGACACATGTCATCGTATCCCAACTGCTCGCAATGTTGATCACTGGTCCAGACAGGATCATTTACAGACCGCCGCCATACAGTTGGAATATTGCTGAGTGTGGCGTTAAACAACAAACAAACAAACATGATGGAGATGGTGATATTACCCATCAGGTCACATGTCCTGAGATATTTCTTCATAGAGCAGCAGTGTCAAATATTAGACATATCTACCAGAGGTATAGCAATATGTATTTGGTATCAATGGAAAGCTTGGAATCATTAGTTTTTCAAAATCAATGTTGCCAGACTTGAAAGTGTCAGGCAACAGGTCATTTAGGCGTCTCCATGGTAACCATGATATTTTTCAGAGAATACGACTAACACAAATACTAATACAAATAAAGGTATATATCTTCACTGTGAATTGTTATTTCATCTTTTTTTTGAGAATTTTGTTGTTTTATGGCTGTACTCAGCAATGTTACAACTATATGACCCTGGCCTCTAAATAATTAAATCTGAACCATAAAAAACCGTGATTGGTATTATGAGTGACATTAAATATCCCTATAGTACCATGAAATTCAAAGAAAGGTTAACCGTTTAAACCAGTATGTCACCTTGCTCAGGTGAATAAATTTTATCCCATAGTCCCAACAAGCCTTTGACATCTGCCACGCAACATAACAACCAAAAGTAGGTCATTGTTACATAACACCTAGAGACATACAACCTCCTGCCTAGAGTGAATGGCTAAACAAATAAGGAAATGACAGCTGTTATTATCAACTAGGGGAGGCAACTCTCTGGCCAACAGAGCTGTTACTATCAGAACTGACTTTCTTACAGTCGCACACGCGGACGTCAATTTCTCTGACATTGTTAAGGATTTGGGTGTCCACATCCACTCTTCCTTGACTCTGGATGCTCATGTTAACCGTTTGAGCAGGACTTGCTACTTTCACCTAAGATCCATTGGTAACATTCGGCAATACCTGACAACTGCTGCAACTCAAGCCCTTGTTCGAGCTCTTGTTACATCTAGGCTTGACTACTGTAACATCATCAATCAGGCCTCAGTTCTAAACTCCTTGATAAGCTTCAGAAGATCCAAAACACTTCCGCCCGCATCATCAGCAAGACTAAACGTTCCCATATCACACCTGTGTTGAAAGAACTGCATTGGCTACTGGTTAGGGCCAGAATTGACTTTAAGATCCTCTGTCTGACATACAAGTGCCTCCATGGTTTGGCTCTCTCCTACTTGTCTGAATGCCTACATTCGTGGAGGGGATGAGCAGCTTGCGCTCTTTACACAAAATCTACTGGTCACCCCATCCTACAAACTGAAATCATTTGTACCTTGGAACTCTCCCCTATGTGCCATCAAAAGCTCTGACACAATTGACATTTTTAAGTCCAGACTTAAAACCCACCTTTTCTCACTATATTACTTATAATTTCGTCTGTAAATACTCTAGTGTAAATAATCTGTAGCGCTTTGAGCATGCTTCAGGGTGTGGAATAGGCGCATTATAAATATGCATTTATTATTATTGAAAATTTTAACTATAAATTGTATATTTATATACTTATCCTATCTCATGACTTGCACCTCTCTCTCTTCATTCGACCATGAGTGGAAACGAATTAAAACTTTGCTCCAAGGCCTACCTTGCCCCTCTCCCGTGCTGTGCGTGCCTTCTGTGTCAGTCGTGCTCACTAGTCCATGACAGCACGAGGCATGCGCAGTCCTCACCCACGTGATCACCTCACATACTCATTCTCGATCTTGGAGCCATAAAAGGACAAAACCGGGACGGTGGTAATCTATGTAGTGGGGAGGTAGGGAGGGACTTTATCGCGTGAGATAGGATAAGTATATAAATATACAATTTATAGTTAAAATTTTCAAAATTTTAAACTTATCCTATCTCACGACTTGCACTTATCCCACGGTAGGAAGGTGGGTCATAGATTACCGAAATTCAGCGATAACAGCTAAGTGTTATGCCCAAACAACCGTGGAAGCAACTACAAGGTAGGCCAGTAACTACCAAGTTACTACATGCGAGGGTTAGTTCGAACCCATTGACTTACTAAGCACAATTGCTCCCAGGGACGGGATTCGAGCAATGTGGTGTTCAGTCACTACCTTCACAAAGTGAAAGGGCGTAGCTTAACGAGTGTAATCAGTCGCATCGCCACGCGATTTCCAAGGTACCCCGTAATAAAAGTCTAGCGACTAGTATCGGGCCAGCCCTGCTTGAAACAACCCCCACAGACACCGTCGAGGAGGGTGAAAGAGAAATTGAATCGGTAAAACTCACAATTTTAGCGTTCAGTACCACAACATCATCTTATGACTTCCATTACTTACCACAATAAGATCACATAGATGTGTATAGGCACTTAGGAGCATGAGCGCTCACGGTGTAACACTTCGAGGAAGGACTCACTTCACTGACTTAATTACTCCGTGGGAGCAGAGGACAGTAAGTGAGGTGGCGACTCTGTAGTCTCAAACAAATGAGAGGAGAAATCTAAATCGGAAGGCGTAAATCAGAAAAAGTATTTCAGATTTATTCAGATTGTACACAAGCAGAAGCGATCGCGACTTGGGATCAACTGCACAGTGGGATCCATATAGCATCGGAGCACAAGGAAGTTCATTATCTGCGATGTTGTGCCGCTGATAACTGCTGGGCAAGGACGAATGGTCCAAACTGATGAAGGCCTTGAATATCCGTCACCGACACATCTCTGAGGTAATGAGGCGAAAATACTGTGTCAGATGCGCCAAAAACAACCCTCCATTATGGCAGTTAGCGAGCAGTTGCTATGCAGCGCCATAGTAGAAGCCAATGCCCTGGTTTCATGAGGGTTGACTGCCGTAGGTGGTGGCAAACCGGCAAAAGTGTAGGCTCGTAGTATTGTAGCTCAAGTAGCCAATATGAGAGTGTTGTCTGCGAGACTTCGCCTTGGGAAGCAGTAGACAAGGGTATAAACAGTCTCTTACCGCATGACGGTGGCTCTCTTGCGATGCTTTAAGGTAGCGCTTCTGAAGTGTAACGCCGGGAATGACTCACTTTACTGGCGTAATAAATCCGTGGAGCAGAGGACAGTAAGTGAGGTGGCGACCCTCCAGCGTCTCAAAAGCGAGACCTGCAATGGTCAGTTCGAACCCATTGACTTACTAAACACAAGTGCTCCAGGGACGGGATTCCCGAGCAATGTGGTGTTCAGTCACTACCTTCATGAAAGTGAAAGGGCCAGGCTTAGCGAGTGTAAACAGTCGCATTACCACGATTTCCAAGGTCTGGCTGACCAGTATTGGGCCAGCCCTGCTTCGACACAACCCCACAGACACCGTCCGTGGAAGTGAAAGGGTAATTGAATCGAAAACTCACAAGTCCCAGAAGAATCGAAGACACAAATCAGAAATAAAATTCAGAATTTTATTCAGATTGTACACAAAGCAGAAACGATCGCAACTGGTGATCATCTGCTGAAGCTGATGGTTGTCCCAAGTGCCGAACAGGCGATAATGACAATGCTGAATTCCAATTAAGCGTTGTGATGAAGGGCCCTTTCTCCTGATGACCACTGCTAGGCCACTTGATGGAGAAAGTGGCCCCCAGCTTGCAAGATGTGCCAGCGAATAGGTGTTGAGTCGGTATGAAGGGCACCTAGAGACTCCAACACAAACATTCCACTTGTTGAGCCACCAGCGAAAGACTGAATGTAGTTGTCGCGGGAAGGCGAATCAACTCCCTGGGGTTGTCGTCCCGATGTATGGGCACAGAACCATCTGAAGAGGGCAAGCTGCAGCTGGCCCCTGTCAGTCAGCACTTGTGCCGGCGCCAACCACCCTAGTAACTTCTGCCACTGGCGAAAAGGTGTGGGTTGGACCAACACTAGTGGTGCGTTGCACTGAATCTTGTCCCACCTCTCCTAGGGCACAAACATCATGACCTGGCGTGTTGAATATTGTCCCAATAAGAAGAAACAGCGGTCGGTGTTACCCTGATTGCTCGAATTTAGCAGCCATCCTAATTGCGTGAGCAACTTGATGATGAACTGTCTGTGGAAAGGAAGGGCGACTGGATCCTGCTGGGCTTGAACACAGTCGTCGATATTGTTGTCAATTGTCACGCTTGACAATGCAGGTAGCTGGTTAACAGAATGGCTATCTGAGTAAAACCCGCGGGGCTGCGCATATGCCCATACAGCAGGATCCTCCATTGGTATCAAGGGCGCCCATAAAAGTAAATCGAAGATACTTCCAATAGTCTGGATGTATCCGGATGTGAAGGTAAAATCTCACAGGTCGAGGACTGACTGACTGACTGAGTTTAGTTTTACACGCCTTTAGCAATAATCCAGCAAAATCACGGCGGGGACACCAGAAATGGGCTGAACACATTGTGCCCATGTGGGGATCGAACCGGGGTCTTGGGCGTGGCGAGTCAGCGCTTTAACCACTAGGCTACCCGCGGCCATCGCCAGGTCGAGGGAAATGAGAGGTCTAACCACTCTTGCCTCTGACAAAAGATATCTCCTGATATAAGAGCGTTCAATAAGTTAGAGCAACTTCGTCAGTTCTGGCCAGTGTTCAATGTAGTATGTTAGAGGCATGGAGATTGTCAGTCAATCTACAGGAGCGTTCACATTATAAACAAATTGTAGAAATTAAAACGTAGGATCGGTGACCTCAGGAGCGTTTCTTTTGGCCGAACAAAATAATTGTGCGCCGGGTGGAGTGATATAGGTAGTAGATGGCTGCCTGGTGACAATCCTTGCATAATGCAGTGACCTCTGAACTTCGGTGCTTGACTAGGCAAACCGTTCACGGGTGTTTCTGTCCGTCACCCTCAATAAGCAGTCTCTCGACTGGCTGTCAAAATCCCGACACAGTCACTCTTATCGGGAATGGCAGCGTTCGTTGTTACTTGCATTTATAGGCTGGACTTGGTATCCGATTAAGTGGGACCAAGAGAATTCTGCAAAGGGCACTTCATAGTCACTCTAATCATCAAAATTCCGGTAAACAAACAGTAGTCCGCCATTTGCAAAGCGTTACACCACGGTGACAAAAATCACGGACAACCTGGTCTTTGGTTAACGGGCGAGTCATAACCCATAAATTCGGGCTGAGCTATGCTGGCTATTTGACAAAACAGTGCGGTACCATGCGCCAAGAACTTCATCCATTTGTTATCTGTCCAGAAACTTGCTTAACATGTAAAACAAAGGGAGCTGAAGATGGCGAGCCGTCTGCAACAATTGCACCAAGGGATACACAAACACGCTGTTACGAGTAGTCTGTAGTAACAAGACTCATCGGGCGTCGTAGAGTATTCCTGGCTGCATAGCGATATCTAGTTATGCCATATCGGTGGTTGCAGAACTGATATCTACACGAAGGGTAGAATCGTTGAACCGAATCATTCATCAAAAGTGAAGATCGGATGGTAGATTAAATCTGGAATGAGATGAGCTCGGTCACGGAGGACTCTTGAGAACTAGGATCGCCAAGCCAGGCCGTCAAGTGCGGCGTGATATCTCTAGATGACTGCGCTACTAACAACACATGTAAATCAAATCGGCATGGTGGAGCACATAGCTACTACCTCTGTACATTGATCTTGAGCGGCCAGGTGAACTGGTTCGTGATAGGGAGCTTTTCGACCTGGTGAAGCGATCTGAGCGGCTGGTAAAATCAGTTCAGGGTGGTGAGCGGAAAAGTTGGCGTGATCTGAATCAGTCCGATGTGATCTGAATCGTGACTGATCTGGATCGGTTCGGTAATCGAACCGGTTAAATGATCTCAGCTGATGGAGAGATCTAGAACGCTCAGATGAACCAGTGAGTAGGTGAAATGTTCGGCCAAGGTGAATCGTTTACGTTGCTGTGAATTGAATCGATGATGTGAACTGTTTCGAGGATAAGAAACAGTCTTAATATTATGGCAAACTGAGTCAATGTCGTATTCACATACAGTGGCGAAACGGTTGATCTGGTGAATCCATTAAATGTATGGCCCGAACCGATTCGATTAATGCGAATCGGTTCGGTCTGGTGAATCCATTTGGTATGGCGAACCCGATTCGGCGTAGTGAACCGGTTTGGCAATTTGATGAATGCGTCTGGTGAAACCATTCGGTATGGCGAGCGATTGGGTGTGGTGAATCCATTCGGTATGGCGAACCGATTGGGTGTGGTGAATCCCTTCGGTATGGCGAACCGATTGGGTGTGGTGAATCCATTCGGTATGGCTAAGCGGGTCAGTCTGGTGAATCCATTCGGTATCGGCGAACCGATTCGGTGTGGCGAATCGTTCGGCGATTTGACCAATAGATCGGATGTGTGAGTCAACTGGCAACACAGAAGCGTTTTGATGAGGCGGAACCACGAGAAGACATCTAATGATGCGCCCATAAAATTATCACCGTTCGACATGGGAAACTGCGGACGACGAGCAGTTAATACCGGTCGTTTAAAAGCGAGGGTTTGTCGGGTGATCAACTGTTGAAGTGTAGCGAGCTCTGTCTGCCAGCCATCGGGAGCAAGTATGTCTACATGCTCTAAAAACGTCCTTAATAAGGGGAGCACATTCCGACAACGTTTGCTCCAGGAACATGGCGATTGGGGATCCGGAAGTAAATATTGTTACAGTGTGCGCAAAATTACGCTACTGAGTCTAGACTGACAAGGCGGGATATCCTGATTCACCTAAAGTGAATGAGACCGACTTCGAGAATCACTCTGGCGAAAACACACCGCTACGGCTAGGTGAACCGGATCGAAATGGCCAACCACCTCAACCAGGCGAGACTGAGCGACTCTGAGGAATCAAAAGCGCTGATGGTGTGTCGGCTGAAACCTATGTTGAGGTGAACTGAGTGGGAATGTGAACCCGTTCGTCCTGGTGAACCCCTCGAGTAACGCGAATCAGTTCGGTCAGGTGAACCCATTTGATTACGTGAATCAGTTCGGTCAGGTGAACCCATTCGAAGATGTACTGGTGAGCCGGCTCGGCCGTGTGAGCCGGTTCGGCTGTGTGAGCCGGCTCGGCCATGTGAGCCGGTTCGGCTGTGTGAATCAAAACGCTGTGGTGAGTCGAACGGAAACACCTGTTGAGGTGAATTGAGTCGGGAATGTGAAGCGGTTCGTCCTGGTAAACCTATTTGAGTACGTGAAACAGTACGGCCAGAGGAACCCATTCGACTACGTGAATCAGTTCGATCAACTGAACTCATTCGAGGATGTTCTGGTGAGCCGCCTCGGCGTGTGAGCGGTTCGGCATGGTGAGCCGGTTCGGCAGGTAAGGTGGTAGCCGGTTCGGCTATGAGTCGGCTTCGGCTGTGTGAGCCGGCTCGGCGATGTGAGTCGGTTCGGCAGGCTTGGCGGGTGAGACGGCTCGAGGAAAGTGAAGCGAGACCTAGAACGACTCTTGCCAGCCGTGGAAGAAGCGCTTCGAACCTTCCGCACCAGATGGTGATTCAACTTCGTGTGGGTGAATTGTTCGGTTAGATGAAACCGTGGAATTAGGAGAACGGGTGCGTTCCAACGCAGCGCCGATCCCGCTTTGGCGATGAATGCTTAGAAGTTCTCGAAGTCTGTGATCGTTCGAAGAAACAGACCTACGAGATAATGTAGATCGCAGGTCTGGCGTGAAGAAATATCGGTCATTACCACCCTGGTGCGGCTCCTGAGAGCGTAAACTGGGTGAGGAACCTCCCCTAAAAGCCGTCTCCGTTCTCAGATAAATAGGAATCTGACGAAGCGTCCATAAAATCTTCGTCAGGCGAGGAGGCGGCCGATTGAGAGCGGTGAGCAGTGAGGGTGAGGCGATCTAAGCATTGTTTCTTAGCGGGAGATGGACCAGACCCGCAGAAATAGTCCTAGCCCTATCTGCCAAGCGTCTGGCACAAGCACGTTTGTAAGATTTAAAGCGCCTCATTAGACAGACCTGAACACTTAGGACAGCGTGTGTCCCAGTCACAAACACCCACACAATCAACACCACGATGTGTGAGGGTCCCATGCTGAAAATACTTTATTACAACGGACGCAAAACTTCCGTTTACTGGCCTTAACAGGCTTAACCATTTTGAGCAATTCTCAGACGAAAATTTTTCACGTCCACTCAGTGGAGCGACAAGAAAGAGAATGAGTATGTGAGGTGATCACGTGGGTGAGGACTGCGCATGCCTCGTGCTGTCATGGACTAGTGAGCACGACTGACACAGAAGGCACGCACAGCACGGGAGAGGGGCAAGGTAGGCCTTGGAGCAAAGTTTTAATTCGTTTCCACTCATGGTCGAATGAAGAGAGAGAGGTGCAAGTCGTGAGATAGGATAAGTTTAAAAATTTATTATTATTAACCATACTTTCTGCCATGCATTATTGTTGACTTACTCTATTTCCATGAGTAAACAAAAATAGTCTCAGCTTACCCGATATTGTAAAGGTAGTTTGTTGAAGTTCTTGGTGGTTTCAGGGAAGAGCCAGTCATACGACTCTACCTGATAGTCCTTTGGGTTGATTCTCTGCTCATCGGTAGAGGTCTGCAGGGAGTAAATCATTAAGCATCAATACATTCGGAGTCAAGATATCAGGGGCCTGTTCTAGAAAACAATGGTAGTACTAACAAAATCATAACTAAAGACATAAGGATCATAAGGTGTAATTTTAGACACATGAAGGTTGAAGTTACGAGGAGAGGTGAGGGTTTATGGCTCAAGAAAGAGTACAAAGGAGAGGTGAAGGTCAAAAGTCTGACGGACTGAGTTTGGTTTTACGCCGCTTTTAGCAATGAAGGTGAAAAGTAAAATAAGGTGTGAAGGTTGAGGGTATCAGGAGAGGAGAAGTTCAAGGTACCAAGAGAGGTGACTGACTGAGTTTGGTTTTACGCCGCTTTTAGCAATATTCCAGCAACATCACGGCGGGGGACACCAGAAATGGGCTTCACACATTGTACCCATGTGGGGATTCGAACCTGGGTCTTCGGCGTGACAAGCCAACGCTTTAACCACTAGGCTACCCCACCGCCTCGGCAAGAGAGCTCAAGGATGAAGGTATCGGGAGGTGACAAGGTTGAAGGCACAAAGATACTCAAATCAGAAACCTGTCCCTTGTAAGTTGGTTACAAAATTAACTCATTCAAGAAAAGAATCCTTAATTTCTTTCAGCTCCTGTGTTATTTTCCAAACTATGCAAATAACTTCCACACGTCCACTAAACAATACTTAAGTCTGACAGTCTATTCACCTGCTTGATCCGCTCCTCATCGCTCGGGATGGTGAGATTCTCCAGGTAGGGGTTGAGAATCTCATCACTGAATAGTTCCTTGTGACCCTGAAATGCAGGCACAATTATATACAAAAACCAACACATATGTGAGTTGAGTTTAATGCTACAATGAACAGTAGTTCATTAATATGTTAGAAACAAACTTTGGTTTAACAAAGTGTTGGATGTCTGTTCCCTACTTCAAAAGTTTAGCTGTGCTCAAATACAAAACTAACATCCAGTTATTTCTGTATTTTTTCTTTCACTACGTCCAAACTGGCACAGGCTACAATGGACCCATTCCATGCTGGAAAGCCTGTACACTCCCCTGAACTGTGGTGCTTACAAACCTAGGAATATGCAATGAAAATCTGGGATACTGACAGACCATCCAGCATTCTGGATTTTCTTAAAAATGTAATTTTTGGAGTAAAATTGATATTTTATACTTATCCTGACTCATGCTCTTTTTGCTTGTCTTCTTCTTCTTGCGAACATAGTGGAACACTTGTATCTCCCTAATTGAAGCTCCCTTCAATTTAAAATCACTAATTAGTATTCACCACGAGTTACCTCCCTTTCACAAGCTGAAGCAGGGAGCCACCCTCTACCCATGTGCCTCACTCTCTCCTCATATACTGAGCCCAACATTTGAATTTACAGGGAAATCCAAAGTGTTATTTGGGAGGATGGGAGGGCTGACCTCATGAGTCAGGATAAGTATAAAATATCAATTTTACTCCAAAATTACATATTTTTCCTTATCCTGACTCATGCTCTTTTGCTTGTAGCATCCTACGAACGGAGGTGGGAATATCTAATACTTTGGATTTTTAATAATTAGTGATTTGAACTGTGATGATTGTAATAACCCTATGGGAACTTCATAAAGGCACTGAACTGATGAATTCCTGCTGCTAACTTATCAGCTGCCATATAAAGGTTATTACCATGTACTTATTATGATAAAGTATATATAACATTAATACAATGCTTAAGACTAATAGACTTAAGCTTGTTAATATGCTAGTATAAACTCCTTAGAGTTTGTTAGCTAAAATACTTTAAGATATAACATAGTTACTAAGCTTAAGATATGATTAAACTTAAGCTAATTATATAATAGCAAACTCTTTAGAGTTTGTTAGTTAATATACTTATATGATATAGATATAATGCTGAGCTTAAGATATGAATAAGCTTTAGCTACATATATAATAGCAAAACTCTGTAGAGTTTGTTAGCTAATATATTTTTATAATATGAGTATAGTACTGTGCTTAAGCTATAATTAACTTAAGCTACATATATAATAGCCAAACTCTGTAGAGTTTGTTAGCTAATATATTTTTATAATATGAGTATAGTACTGTGCTTAAGCTATAATTAACTTAAGCTACATATATAATAGCCAAACTCTGTAGAGTTTGTTAGCTAATATATATTTATAATATTAGTATAGTACTGAGCTTAAGATATAATTAACTTAAGCTACATATATATAAGCAAAACTCTGTAGGGTTTTGTTAGCTAATATATTTTACAATAATATGAGTATAGTAGTGTGCTTAAGATATAATTAACTTAAGCTACATATATAATAGCAAAACTCCGTGAGAGTTTGTTAGCTAATATATTTTACAATATGAGTATAGTAGTGTGCTTAAGATATAATGAACTTAAGCTACATATATAATAGCAAAGCTCAAGTAGAGTTTGTTAGCTAATATATTTTACAATATGAGTATAGTATTGTGCTTAAGATATTATTAACTTAAGCTACATATATAATAGCCAAAAACTCTGTAGAGTTTATTAGCTAATATGTTTATAGTGTAACCATAGTACTAAGCTTAAGATAAGATTAGACTTAAGCTAAAAGTATATAGCAAAATAAACTCCTTAGAGTTTATTAACTAATATACTTTTATGTTAAAAACATAGTACTGAGCTTAAGTTATGATGAAACTTAAGCTATATATATATAATAACAAAACTCCATCGAAGGTTTTGTTAGCTAATACCTTTATAATGTAAACATACTGCTTAAGATATGATGAAACTTAAGCTAATTGTATAATAGCTGAAAACAACCCTTTAGAGTTTGTTAGCTATGATATAAACCTAGTATTGAGCTTATGAAGGAAAACTTAAGCTACATATATAATAGCAAGAACTCCGTGAAGTTTGTTAGCTAATACATGTTATAATGTAACCATAAAGCTTAAAATATGATGAAACTTAAGCTTAAATATATAATAGCAAAACCCTCTTTTAGAGTTTTGATAGCTAATATACCTATATGATATAAAAACATAGTACTGCGCTTAAGATATGAATAAGCTTAAGTTACATATATAATAGCTAAAACTCTGTAGAGTTTGTTAGCTAATACATGTTATAATATAACCATATTGCTTAGAAATATGATGATACTTATAGCAAAAAACTCTTTAGAGTTTGTTAGCTAATCTACTTATATGATATAAACATAGTACTAAGCTTAAGATATGAATAAGCTTAAGCTACCTATATAATAGCAAAACTCCTTAGAGTTTGTTAGCCAATATATTTTAATAATATGAGTATAGTACTATGCTTAAGGTATAATTAGCTTAAGTTACCTATATAATAGTAAAACTCCGTAGAGTTTGTTAGCTTAATTAACTTAAGCTATGTATAAAATAGCCAAAAACTCTGTAGAGTTTGTTAGCTAATGCATTTATCATGTAACCATAGTATTACTCTTAAGATATGAATAACTTAAGGTAAATATATATAATAACAAACTCTGTAGAGTTGTTAACTTATATATTGTATGATGTAATAATCATAGTACTGTGATGATAAAAGGAACTTAAGTAAATTATACATAGCATGAAGCTATTTAGTATTGTTATAAGATAAGTAAAAATCTGTTAGATTGACTTATCTTCTCCGAGGAACTGTCAGCTGTTGTCGAGGACCATGGGATCGAATTGGTGTATACCTGAGACGTCCTCGGTGGTGATATCTCTCAGATAATGGTTTGCAACCACCATATCGATTTCCAGAAATAACCCTCCATTATTTCAATCACATTTGTGTAGAACAATTGTAGAAGTTAGCTATAATATCATGAGTATTAAGCTCATGGAGGGTCGAATAGGTCCATCCGCATATGCACGTGGTATGACAGTTCTGATCCAAATGGAGATATAGTACATGAGACTTCACTCGCGTAAAGTTGATGATAGAGGAAATAATCTGTTGCATTTTTCCTCCTGTTTGGTTTGGTGGAGATAAATTTACAGTGCTCTTGCTGGCCAACTTGATAGAATCATCGTATCATGGGGTCCAAGTATGTCATCCAGGCGTGTTCATAAACCTCACTTGTGAGGTGTTGGAGCACTATATTCATATCCCCAGGTTGGGCGTGAAATTTCGTTTTATTCTCCAAACAGAAGTTTAGTAGGTTTACTAACCATCTAGTTGTGTTAGTCGCTTGATGAAATTCAGCTGTAGTCTGAAACGCTGTGGATTTAGATCCACTTGTATCTTCGTCTAGGTAATTGGCTGCGAAGTCCTTGACGATGTAGGTGCACACAACCAGGTGTGTCTGTCCTCGTTGAACTTTATGTAAAATCGCCTGACTGCCGATCCCTCGTCTTAACTTGACAGGGGAGGTCTCTAACTTGAAGAAAGGCAGTCTAATCATGAATGTTCAGGTTAACTGGACTGTAATGAGGCTTGCTCGTTCACTGATATATAGTTGTCACTTGTGGCGTAAGTCTTGAACTGTGAATTGAGATCGACCTCTGTGTAGGTCGTTGTCCCTCAGCGGTCCAATCAGAACAAGGCATTTTGATTCTGTATAATACCCAGCTGTGATGTCACCGGTGTAGCGGGAAAAAACCCACCTTGAATAAATTCTTGTCGTCGTTGATATTAGCATAAGCGTCGGTCTTCACCGTAGCTTCGAAGTTATCCGAGTGACCACGTGTTTCGAGGGTTAATGGTAATCGCTGAAAACCTCCGGTGCCAAATATCTGCAGCTCTGTAATTTTATGCTGGGTAGGTTATTTTCCTGGTTGTCGTGAAAGTAATTTCAGTTTTGAATATAATTCCGACTTCCTTATATATAAGGGTATAAACAACTTGCAAGTTGTGAGCTTGTAGACTGTATACATGAATGTATCGTCATAATTGTAGAATTAACGTTGAACTTGTTGTACATATTTCTTCTCAGAAACTTTGACGATTAAGAGTTATACTGGCTGTAACAAGGCTGCTGTTCAATTTCGATATTGAATTGTCTGCAGATATGCGTAATGGTCACGCATGTAGATAATCGTATCGTCGTCCGGGATTGTATATTAGCAATTTATATGGAATAGTTGATTTCTGTGAAGATCTATGAAATGTCGTTGACTAATAATACCGCTGACGTTCTGTGTTGTAAATAGCCTGAGCAATTATCTTCACGAGGGCTTATAGATCGGCATCTGGCATACAGTTGATAATCAACTTATGCGACGTCTTGAAACGGACTGACGAGTAGCTATATATGACGGTGGCTAGGTATATGGAAACCTTGGAGAGACTTCCTCGGTGAACGCCGGAGACTTCATGCGAAGTTCTCGAAGTATCCCTTCTAGATCTTCTGGGTGAAGTAGACTTGGAGCCACTTAGCCTTAGCGACCATCGCTGAAGGTGTCGAAATCAAAGCCCGATTAGTATATATATATATATATAAATATATATATGGCGCTTGCTTCGTGAACAGCCTCTGTGTTTAACAGGATGTGGGATCGTGGCAGCGCTTTGCCTAAGTAGGGCGCATGGATCATCTTATCATATTCAGAAGTCGTGTTACGAAGTCTGGTGATAAGTGTCTAATTGATCGTTCTAGATCTATTTAGGCCAGCGAACATACGTCTCGTCATGGATTCAACAGAACCAATATCACGATTGTAGTTCTTATACTTGATATCGATGATCAACTTGTCTATGGGTTGATCTTCGAGGAGACTTGTGAGGAGCGTTGATAGTTTCGCTTCGAAGCTCTTGTATAGTCCCTCGATGTCCTTCTAGATGATGATGATCTGGATTCAGGTGTCCTTCGCATGCCTTCGCGAAGCTTCCTCTGCGTCCGGTCCGGAGAACGACGATATGACCTTCGCGAAGGCTTCCGTGATGTCTGATGGTCGAGTCCACATCTAGGGATGAAACCGCATAAGGTGATGATCTATCCTGCCTTCGCGAAGTCCTTCCAGCGAAGGCTGTACATCTAGGTTCTTTCCTCGCCTTCGAAGGCTGTACATCTAGGTCCTTTCCGCCAGCGAAGGCCTTCGCGAAGGCTGTACATCTAGGTCGCTTCGTCAAGGTGGTCCGTGACTTCCTTCGAAAGGTGACATCGTCCTGGCTGCTCGTTGGACGGGGTGCCTCTGGGGTGCTGTCTCACGTTGGAGCCTTCAGCGAAGACTCGGACCCTGCTACCGCAGATATAGTGGTCCTCCATGATGTTCATAATTTGTCGCATCATGTCTTCTGGGATGGTCTGCGACGAGGTCGTCGGGTGCTTTATCTGCGGTGTTAATGGAGGGTCCACGGAAAAATGCGTCCGACATCAGTGTAGAGGCATCAGGCTGCATGGTGATCTCTGCTGATGTCGTTGTAGCTATCACCGGTCGTTTTCTTGTGAAATGCGTCGGGGATGATGATCAGCTGATCATCGTAGAGGTCCAGGTCATCGGCTGGAACAATCTCGGTTGAGAAAGTCCTAGTAGACTTCGTTGATTTTCCCTCAGAGGTCGGCGCTGCCCTGGGTGTGCGGCGTCTGCGTTGAGTGTTGGTAATGATGGGACCCTCAGGGCGATCATCGCATATCTGCGTTGGTACATCAGGCTGCATGCTGATCTGAGCGACATCGGTCAATCTTTGATGTACATCTGGTATGATGACGGCTGATCATCAAACAGGCCCAAACTGCGATAGGAGCGGTCTCCGGCTGTTGAGATGTGGTAGAAAAACCCTCTAGTCTTCTGCTGCGGCGATGGGATGTCTGGGGAAGCAGGATGCTTCTTGGAGATGGCGGACTCGTCCACACCTCTCCACCACTCTAGCGGAACACCACACGGGAGGGAGTCGGCCAACAGCAGTAGACTGGCGAGGGGTTCGGTGTATCAGTCATACTAGAGTCTGCATCGCGCGACCTATCTGCTAATGCGTGCCAAGCGCCAAAGTAAATATTAATAAAAAGGTAGAATTGGATAAATTAGTACGCAACTGCAATGTGAATATAATAAACATGGCGCCGTACATCATATTAAAGGCGGATCAGCAGCAGCATAAAAACGTAATCTGCAATAGTACAGAATTTTCATCAAGCGTAATCCACTGAAACAAACACGCGTCCCCGTGAATAAACTGTAGAAAAGCGACTAAATATCAATATATAATCGTTGAAGGATACTAGCTAAACCTCTATAGATGTCTATACGAGGTAACTAACTAAATATATTTCAAAGGATATAGTGTGTCGGGAGACACAGACGCTCTCACGTCCAGCTCACTGGGCGAAGAAGGAGAGAGTGAGGCACATGGGTAGAGGTGGCGCCCTCGTTCCCGCGCTTGTGGAAAGGAGGTAACTCGTGGTGAATACTAATTAGTGATTTTAAATTGAAGGGAGCTTCAATTAGGGAGATACAAGTGTTCCACTATGTTCGCAAGAAGAAGAAGACAAGCAAAAAGAGCATGAGTCAGGATAAGGAAAAATTATACATCTTTGTTCACTCTTTACACTAAACTTCAGCTCATAAATCAATGGACCATCAATGCAGTAAACCTTGTTCATTAAAAGGAGAATAACGACAATATAAGATGCTAACAGATGTCAACAACACTACCATCAAAACACCTTGAGTTACAGATCAACTAGACTGTCTCACAGTCCCTGAACCACATTATTGTCCCTACTACCTACCCCTCCCTGCAATGCTAAAGCCCTAAATGAAGCAAGTCTAAATTTCCTCAGGTTCTGAATCTCATATCTCACTGGGGCTCCTTTTCAATAAAAATGGCATTATTTGCTACAACCAAATCATATATATTCGTAGACTAAGCATTAATCTACAAATCACCCCCGAAAAGCTTGAATATTGCTGTGCAACAAACAGACATCCGGCATCAGTGACCTCCCTTACCCTAGTGAAGGGCTCCAAGCTGGCGAGGATGTTGCTTAGCACGCTGAGGAGGACCATCTCGTCCTGGAAGCCGCTCCACAGCTGGGCCAGATGGATGAACTGGGGCTGGAAACAGAAGGATGGACATTCAGGTTGAAGGCAACAACAGTGAGCAAAAACAACCAATAACCAGAAGAATGATGTCAGAAAAGTTCCCATGGGATGTTCAGATAATGGTGTTGACTTTCAATCTCTGGACACAGACTGCATGATACCAATTATCTTCTGTTTGTGGACTGAATGATGTACTGCTGTATTTGTTTAGACTCAGCCTTCAGATTCCCCACCTTCTTTTCATAGTTCAATATTTATATCAAGACTTGACAGTTTTGAAACCACCACTGGCCCTTCCACAATCTATTTATCAATCAATTAATTGAAAACTAAGTCCCTATTTCATCCACCCGTGAATATCCGGGTTCGAATTGGTCTTCAGACTAAACCATGCTTGTCGTAAGAGGCGACTAACGGGATCGTGAGGTCACTGGCTCGGTTGACTTGGTTGACACATGTTATCGTATCCCAATTGTGTAGATTGATATCCATGCTGTTGATCACTGGATTGTCTGGTCTAGGTGGAATATTGCTGAATGTGGAAAGACTTCCACCTGTATCCCCCCTTAACCCTAACGGCATATGTTTATGCTGGCAGTTTAATCTGAACATAGACACAACCTACTTCCATTCAAATCATATTACCTGCCTATGATTTGAATGGAGTAGGTTATATCTACCTTTTCCTCATCGTTTAAATTTAGGGGGGATATGGGCGGAAGTATTACCAAAACGAGTGGAGGTTTAGTAAAGGGGTATACTACAAATCCATTTGCACATTTATAAGAGTTACACAACAATTTGACTACAGTTAAGGAAAATTTATCAATACTATCCTAATAATAGTTCGTTACAAAATACTGGTTTACAAGTGTACACAATGTAGAGGGCATTCTATCAGCAATAGTCATGGGCAAAGCAATATGGCATTAGGAGCTTGTGAGACATAATCACCTCATTTCCAAGTCTGTGACATCATGATTTCACCTTGAGACACAGTTTATGATTCTCCTTATTGTCACAGTTATTCTAATTCAGCCCCAACAAGATTTGTGTATATTTGAAAACATCCACATCATGGATAAAACTACTGCCAAAGTCCAAGTCTACAGACTATTTCCCTACAAGACCAGACTAACACTGAGGTTCTGTAACAATGGTTCGAGTTTATAAATGCTTTGTCTGTAAGCCAGCCATTTCCAATTAACTTGCAAAAGCAACTTGCTTGAATCAATCAAGTCCCAAGCTGTACATTCAATTATGTAACAATCTATTCCTTCAAGTGAATGCCCCTCAACCTCAAGCTAAGTCTTAGTGCACCAAGTATACTCATCAATATATAAAAGTGTACATTATATTTTCAAACATGCATCATCACCCCTAATAGTACATAAACTTCACTCATGAAGATACAGGTTAGAATTAGGTGGCCTGGCTTGCTGACAAGTCATTGTATCCAAAATGCACAACTCGATGCTCATGCTAATGATCACTGGATTATCTGGACCAGATTCTAATATTAACAGATCTCTACCATATAGCTGGAATATTGCAGAGCACAGCATTAACCAACCAACAAACCAAAACAGACTTAAACTTAGAGCAGACTTTGTCAAGATTTTTTTTTCCAATCTGAGACCAAATCCTATCTATTAAACCTTCCCTAAGCCAGACCAAATATGTGCTAAGCACACTTTGCCCATTAAGATCACTTTCCTGATCCGGGGTCAGATCTACTCACATAAACTTGTGCTGTGGGCACAGCTGTCTTGGACTGCACAGTTGCCTGCAGCTGTTCCATACGCTGTGCCAGCTGATTCTCCAGCTGCTCCACCTGGTGGGCACAGCTAATGACGTCATTCTGAAGGAACAGATGCAGGGAATTCTTTTATTCTGATCATACAGGAGAACACACTGGAATGTATAATTATCACAATAATCACACATTTATAGGATATCTGAAATTTTTCAAACACACAAATACATCGTGTCTGGTAAAGAATTTTATTGAGAAAAAAAGTCTAATATGACTCGTCCAAACAAGTCCTATTTCAAACGAAATACCTCATTATCATATTCACAATCTGTTAAGAATAACATTATTTCTTCCTGTAGCCTAGTGGTTAAACTAAAGTTACACTGGTCATGCCGAAGCCGCAGGTTTGATTCCCCAGATATGAGTACAATGCGTGTTCCCTGATATTGCTCAGAGCTCCAGATAAGATTTAGCTCATGTGGGTACTGTACCCACTGTATTTTTTTGGAGTGGGTATTATGAATGTTGAGTGGGTATTTCATTTTCCGTTACCCACTGCTTTCAAAATGTGCGTAATTCAGTGATTTTACTCACCTAAGTATTACGTCATTCAGTAAGTTTACTAAGCAGGTATGTTCTGCCTTATGTCATACCTAATCAAAACCAACTTAGATATAATGGAAATGATTTCATAAAAAATCACTCATCCTATACTGACAGTACAACACTTGTCCTATACTAACAATACAACTTGATAGCAATCGATGTCTTTTTCATTACGCGAGCGATTTTTATAAATATATTCTGTACGCATTTGTTTTAAACTTTTTGCGTATCTAACATTTTAAATGCAGAAAAATTGCAGAACAATGCTTTGCAGACCATTGTGACATCATTGGTTACAATGACATCATAATTAAACAGCATCACTGCTCTCTGCCACAAAGGCTGGTTAGCTGTACACATACACTCAAAACACTGGATCACTCAGCTCACAAACTGATCAAGCTGGAACAATGATTTGTGTCTTTTGACTTCTTTGAGAGGCATTCAGAACTTCTTCATTATACTGGGAGTGACATTTCGGTGGAGTGAGTGAGAGTGTTTATGGTTTTACGCTGCTTTTAGCAAACATTCCCGCAATTACTGCCAATATCACAGAGGGTGAAACCAGAAACGGGCTTCACACAATCGGTGTAAGTTCTAACAAAGTTATCAAGCAAGTGTTAGAATTTACACTGAAATGTCACTCCTACTGTAATAAAGAAGTTGTTTGTACATTGTTATCCTTCCCTGTGTCTTTTGCTAACTCTGGGTGAGGTGAGGTGAAATCTGGTTTAACGTCTTACTTAAGAATATTTTGCTCATTATGCATGTGTATGTGTGGCTGCTTGTACTTGGACTTGAGCTGGTTTTATAGTGCTAGCTCACTGAGATACCATGCTGCAGTTAAGCATGAATACCCTACTCAGACACATTATACTGACTCCGAGCCAACCAGTCCTTGTTGTACCCATTAATGCCGAACGCCAGGCAGGGACCAACAAGTACCATATTTTAACGCTTTTGGTATGATGCCTCTGGGTATCGAACCCGCGACCTTCCGCTCTCCGAGCAGATGCTCTAACCACCAGGTGGGGTAGCCTAGAGGTTTATGCATTCGCTTGTCATGCCGAAAGATGCAGGTTCAATTCCCCAAAAGCGTCATAAAACTAAACTCATTCAATTTTGCTAAGAAATATATAAACATTACAAAGATTTAAAACTCCTTGACAAGCATCAGCATACTAATACTCATGCTGACATATTAGATATCAGACGACACAAAGGTGAGATTCTCTATACAGAACATAGGACACCCACCAGTATGACCCGGAGGAAGGCTTCATGTTGGCGAGTGTTGATGAGAGCCTCCTTCAGCAGCTGCAGGGATGGGCCATCAAATCCCTCATTGTGGTAAATGTGTTCAATCAGAGCTGAAAAAGCCACAGACAATCATGGAGTTCAAAGTTGTATGAATGACAAAGCTGACAGACTGATCGATCATATAGTTTGGCCGTGTTGTTTTTCTAATTTTGTTCTTGTAGCAAGGAGTAAGGAAATATTCTGTTAACGTCTACATCATTTCAAGAATACAGTCTTGCGAACATCAAAATGATGTTCAGGTACTTATAAACATCAGGGCGACATGCAAAACAAACATTAAAATATTCTGTCTTTTTGTGACTGAAACATTTGATCCATTAAGTGACGCTTCATATAACATACATATCTTGCCTGGGACCCATTCTAACAGGCATAAGAAAGGATGCTTAAAATGCTATGAAAATGAGCATGTTCCTACCTGTGTACTCGTAGGCACATTTGAGAGTCCCCTGGATCTCTGTGTCCACACTTTGAGTCGTAGCAGGGACAGCTTCATTAAGGATTGCCGGCACTGAAAACATGACAGCAAATAGACGTGAAGTGGACATAAAATGTCCGAGTTCCATGTTGGGATTAAAAAAATTACAACATCGGGATGTCATCTGTGAAAGTGAGTGAGGGAGTGTGGCGTTAAACAAACAAATCACATCACTGCCAATGCCAAGGTTACTTACAGTCATCAATGCCTTCTCCACCCTTCCCGCACTCCTTGTTAAACAGTCGGATTCCAGTTACTATCATCGTCAGCTCCAGGAGTTGTCTTTCCTTGTCTCTCTTGGTCAGTGACATGAACGTGCCCAGCTCAGTCTGAGGAAACACACTCTGCAGGGCAGCTGGAATAACGAGAGCATTTAGAGTATGCTGAATTTGTATGGCTGCAATGATGATTATGATTGAATATATTTGATGAGTGGATAAGTATCCTCCAGAAATACAATGATTAATGATAGGGGTGGGTATTGCAGAGAATTTTCATATTGCGATATATTGCGATGCGAAAGCATGTATTGCGATATGTATTGCAATATATTGCATGAAGTATTTTTAAACAAAAACTACTTATAATCGAGTTACTTCTTGATTTATAGAGCAAAAACACAACAAAATCATTAGTCTTGATTAAGCTTTAAGAACAACTTTTAATCATGATTTAAATAAAAATGTGAATAATATTTGGCACAAATGAAACAAGGACTTATCCGAACATTTCCGAGTGTTACGAAGTTTTCCGAATGTCAAAATACCGGTTTTCGATCAGCATATCGCAATACGTATCGTTTTCATGTCTGAACCGGTAAATACCGGTAAACCGGTTATATTGCGCAGCCCTAATTAATGATATACAAGTACAACAACAACAACAATACATTTTCAGCATCAATTTGTGATCAATCAAATATTTTCATTTATTACATTAATTACAGAACAATTGTTGTTTATTTGTTTGTTGTTTAAAGCCGCACACGGCAATATATGGTGGCGGTCTGTAAATAATCGTGTCTGGACTAGACAGTCCAGTGATCAACAGCATGAACATTGCTCTACGCAGTTGGGATACGATAACATGTGTCAACCAAGTCAGTGAACCTGATCACCTAGCCCATTAGTCGCCACTTACGACAAGCATGGGTTACTGAATATCAATTTTAAACCCGATCTTCACAGGTCCTCTCAACGATGAAGCAATGTGGCGTCGTATCACTTCATCTTATCAAACAGCATCAACACTCTGTTAAATTATAAACTAGGAAGTTACCTCACAAATATTAGTGATATGCACACCTACCTGTGGCCTCTCTGACGACAGCGATGTCTGTGGGGCTCCCCAGACCAGATCGGAGGAGAACGGCAGAGACAATCTTCCGATACAGACTCTCCAGTTCTTCCCGCGTCCTGGCTCGGCTGTCTGTGATCTCCCTGATGACTGGCTGAAGGCGAGATTCAAGGACACGACGATGTTCCTCCAGGAAGTCAGCTAGTGGAGTGAGTGAACGACTGAGTTAGCCGGTTTACAATACACCATTTTGAACAGCATTTAAGTCATATATTATCGTATGTACTTGAGAAAAGCCCCAAATGATGCTGGTCTCAAATGTTTACAACTTTGGCAACACTCACAAACATGGGTACGATCACATTGTAGGACAAGGTTTCAAACCTTAGAATGAACATAGGCCTAAGGGAGATAACTCTAAACAGCAAATTGGAGCGCCGAAGAATAAGCCACATATGCCTTTCAGCTTGTGGAAGAGACAATAAACAAATTAACACAATGACTCCATTGCATAAAACCAACAAATCATCAACAATATTCCAGTTACAGGATAGTTACTAGGACCAGGCCGGAACACAGTCAAGACTGTTGATTACTAAGAACAACCCTTTCTGTCAATATGTGTGACATGCAATCAACCAAGTCACTGACAAGGGAGGGTATTTCAGGTATTATTTCCTTGTTACCATGGTTACTGATAGATGTATTTGAATAGTGGATACATTGCAGTTCTAGTGTGTAGGTACCTGTGAGTGTCCTGACTTATGAGAGTTATGTAATGAATACCAGTTATATAACGACTACCATTTTCTAATGCATACCAGTTATATAATGAATACCACTGTTACATGTTATATAATGAATAGGTCCAGTTACAAAATGAATAGATTCAGTTCATACAATGAATACCAACTATATATATGATGAATACCATTTATGTAATGAATACCAGTTATACAATGAATAGGTCCAGTTATACAATGAATAGGTCCAGTTATATAATGAATAGGTCCAGTTATATAATAGGTCCAGTTATATAAATCATGAATAGGTCCAGTTAGGTCATAATAGGTCAGCAACTAGGTCCAGTTATATAATGAATACCAGTGAATACAGTATACAATGAATAGGTCCAGTTATTATATAACGAATACCAGTTATATAGCAACTAGGTCCAGTTATATAATGAATACCAGTTACATAATGGCAGTACAAGGAGGTTATAACCATGCCTCAGTTCGTGAACATCAATCTCAGAGTCAGATACACCCGGTCCATTCCTTGTTTTAGCCCTAATGGCTAATTCTCAGATACACCCCGCCATTCCTTGTTTTAGCCCTCTAATTCTCAGCGCCATGCGTACCAACTTCAGACCACTTTCATTATGATGCGGCTGGGATCAAACCATCCCCTTCTGTGGTCAGATTCTCTACCCACTACACCATGGATGAGGTCCAGAGTTCATTGGCACGGGGGAAAAGTCAAAATCAGATTTGTCATGTTGCTTTTATGCGAGTTCACTTACATCTTGTTGTGTAGTTCATGTCGAAGTACACCTGCATCTTCACAGTGTCAAGGGACGGGGACCGGTTGTCCATCAAGGAGTCAACACATAACTGAAACAGTAAGTTGACATGACTGAGTGAGTGACACACCTTGATCCGAACAGTGTTTGGGGTTTAATAGACTAACAACTAGTCTCTGAAATGAACATATTTTACAGAAAAAAAGGCTCACAGTGAAAATAAAAAAATATATAATAAAAAGGAGCCCTGAGACTTTCTCCATTTTAAGATGGAAATCTAGACGTGCCACATTTTGTAGACTCGCAAGGGATTTCTTTGATATATTTGCTTCAGGGTCTGTATGACAGACTAGGGGTTTAACTGTAATATGATCCCAAACCAGAGAAATCATATGTTGCTTTTTTGAAAGTTTTAGGATTTTATGGTGATGATGCTTCATTCTTTATCAATTTACCTTGATGAGTTTCTGAACATCTTCTTTGGTCAATGTCCGGTCAACGTTGAATTCGTTTGAAGGATCCAACACAACTGCTTTCACCTGAAATATTACAACAGGTAATTAAACAATACAAGAGACATTTTGTCCCAAATCTGACAGCAACTCTCAACAAGTCCTGAAGGGCCAATTATCAATCTTACAAGACTGTCCTTCAGTCGTAAAGGTTCATGATCAGTAAAGTACAGTTCATACAGTTTGAACCATGATCTTTTTGCAATCAGCCAATCTCAACAGCACTAAGGAAACATTTTCCAGTTTCAAGTTCACACAAAACAGTCTTCTGATTCAATTAACTATATTGAGGACTTGTTCAGAAGAGACCATGGTTTTCAAAGCAGATCTTTGCTGAAATGTGACTGGCTATAATCATTTCAAGTTCATGAAAGAAAAAAATTCTGTGCTGACACAGTGATAGGGGTAATAAAGATGGTGACAATTCTCGTCCTCAAAGAAAGTATATGGCAGGTTAAGGGTATACAACAAGGAAATGGAAATAAAAATACCCTGGAGGTTAGGTGAGGTGAAATTGGGTTTAACGTTGTGCTTGAGAATATTTCGCTCATATGACGATGTAAATATACCCTGGAACAGTGGATAATCATGTCATAGCAGAGACTATACAAAGACTTGATTATGAAGTTTTCTTCACATTTGAAAATATTTTGATATGAAAAATTAACTAATAATGCAGAGAAACACTTTAAACCAATCTTGCAAAGTCTTACCATAAAAGCAACAAGTGTTTCGGAGACAGCCTGTCCCTTGCTGGCACATTCTTGTGCTATTTCTCGGATGATGTTCTTAATGACACTCTCTGCCTGTGCACGAGACATCTTGAAGGTGTCAGTGATCTTCCACCATGAAAAATCTAAAAGAGAAAAGCATACATGTTCACATCTTCAGAGATTCCAAAGACCAGGATCTGACCTTGACTCCTGAACATGCTGAATTTGGGAGACCTCTTAACTTTTCTCTGTCTTCAAGGGAAGTTATGTGCATAAAACAGTTTTTATAAAAAAATTGTAAAAAAGAATTACGCTATAAAATTCATTTACTATAGTTCTGTGCAGTTACACTGACCTGCTCCAACAACACTAGGAGGTATTTTATAGTGAAAGTAATGACTTCACAACATTGGACAACTGAATGAAAATAATAGAGAATGTATTGACGCAAACTTGAATTTAAGATGTTTGTATCAGTATCCAAATTTTAGTAGGTCCAGTCAAACTTGACATAGAATTCCTTCACTTGGTTTCACAGGAACCCTAGTTTTTAGGGATACCACGATACATCGCTACTTTTTCTAAAATGATACAATTATTGATACATTCAAAACTGTATCGATATTTAGTTTTGAAAGTATCGGTTTAAATATGTTTATGTATCGTTTACCTTTTGCAATTGTATCACGTTTTCTTATGTTATGAGAGTTATAAATGATTAGTTTTCATGCACAAAGATTTGAAATTAGAACTTTTTAATCTCTGAGAATAAAAAATGTTGATCTTTTCATGGACGATTATATAATATGAAATATTAATGTTCAAAATGTAACTAAATTTACACAATAATGCCACGAAAATATGTATTGTGATACGTATCGAATCGTGACATGGGTATACATGGGATACATATCGATTCATGAAACTTATGTATCGTGACATCACTTCTAATTTTGTGCTATTTTTGTATCATGCTTTGTCTCATGTCAGATAAATTTGAATTTGAGGAAATATGGAATCATTTAATCTCATCTTTAAATTGTTTTAGCTGTTTTACAGAATTACTTCACAACTATCCAGTGTCCCAAATGTTTTGATTGATATTGTAATATTTCAACTACAGTTAAAGGTGACGAGGACACTTTTAGCAGTGTTTAAATTTCCTGCCTGCCCGACTGTCCAGAACGGTCTATTTTCATCTCGGGACAGTCAAATTTCAAATGTAGCCTGTCTGGTGGTCTGGTAGATATTTTTGCCCCTAAGACTAAATATTTCATAATATCAGACAGGTTCTGTTGTCGTCAGTTTGAGGTGTTTATGGTATTATGTTAATTATGTTAAATTACTTACGACTGGACAGTTCATGTTACGATAGCCAATCACAATCAGGTACTTTCAGTTCACCTAAACTTGGTGAATTGCCTGTTAGTGCTATGTAGTTCATTGCGATGCCTACAAACAGTGAATGGAGCTTGCATGAGTTGAAAATGGCAGTCACAGTTTTTTATTGTATCCGGACTGGTCACTTTTTAAAGTTACCAGTCCGGCTGTCTGGCTTGGAATTTTGGGAGTTTTAAACACTGCTTTTAATTTTTTGAGTTATCAAGACAGCTCCAACTCAACATGTGATAAAGATCATAGATTTAGTTGGTACTCATGTCGTGGTGACTCCTACTATTGGTCAATATATTCAAAATAGTTTCATGCCCTGATTCCATCACAGAGAATGAGTATGTCTTAAGACATGTAGGCTACTATAAACACTGGCAACATCCAAATGGTACACTGGTTACAGGTGAGATAATTGATAATTCAAAAAGGTGATGACAACACAACCATTGATTAGTTGTTGAGTCGTATTTTTTTAAACCATGGAATATGTTTAGATTCACTAGTGATATTATGGTACAACTGTTGGCTGTGAAGTAACAAATATGAGAGGCAATATGAGAATTAAGGTTATATGACAAAATCTAGTTATCTATCAACAATCGTGCACCTGTCAAAAATGCTCTAAAAAATCGAAGTGATCCCTTAATTTGTACTCAGCATATATAGGCCGTTTCAATGCGCGTTAAATCACTTGCATGTGTATCACATCATGTCACCCAGCATATCACAATCACTTTGAAAGTGTGAACAGAAAATCAAATAGGAAATATTCTAAAACTTAGACCTACGACAAGTTACGTTAAATCTTCGTTTGTAAACATACCTTTATCGTAATTGAGATCTAAAGGACAAGCAATGAATGCACTGTGGTATTTTGACAAATGATACCACAAACCCACGTCTCCTTCATATGTACTTACTTGTTTGATTCAATCATAAATAGCTGTTGTGCGAGTGAACGTTTAGGCAGAATGCATCTCAAAAATGATTTCGTTCTGCCGCCATGATGTTGACATCACCATGACGATCAATGCGTGCGCAGTGTGAGGAAATCGATTTTCTGCGCACGTCCAACCCGGAAATAAAGTTGGTCACGTGACAGGGAATGGCTGCTGTTGGTAAATGAAGGGGATAGAAGCAGGATGAAGATGTGTTAGTCACCGTCTGAACGATCGTGCATTTATATAAAAATGACGATCTGGCGAATGAGCGAAAGCAGGTCAAAATTCGGCGTTGGTGAGCAATTAATTTTGCCTCTGAATTGTGTATGCATCATCGTTTAGAAGGCGAACCTGCCCATCTCAAAAGTGACAAAAATGAAATCTGACATTTAATCGGAAGTGAACACTTCAAATTATGCTATGGCTGAAATATGATCTATTTGATTGCAGCTATATATGTTCTGTCTGTTCCGTGTTCTAATTATTATGTAACAGGACTAGTAAAACAGTTTTGGGATGTATACCCCCTCATTTCGCGCATGTACACACATCGAACATATATTACTTTAGAGAGATCAATGTGTAAATAAGTATGATAGATGCTCATTTACCTGACAAAATTGGTTCACCATTTGAATGTATCTTCACATCTTGTACATCAACTGACTGACATTATTGTTAAAATGTTGTGGTGATGTCATTATTTTTCACTATCTCGATATTCGCATTATTGTCGACTTGTGGAAATTTGAGGAAGTAATTAGCGACACATGTCACCAAGATAAGCATTGAGGCCAGGCTCAAGATATATCATGTTGAAAATAAACTTCAAACAGCTTATTTAATCTAATGTAAATATTATTATGATTACACGTCAATACCTTCAGAAAAGATAAACATTTGTGGTCATCATGATGTAAGAGAAAAAGGCCAATGTCACTTTTACAAACTTTGTATACCGAAACAAAATCTACTTTCTATAAAGTTTCCATTTCAATTTCTGATTCCTTTTGCCTAGGTGAAAAAAATGTAGATTTGTATGATAATTAATTGAAACGTCCTTCATTTTGTGTTACAATTGATATGTTATTCTCATGTCAAGCTTTGTTAAGCACTGTTAAGCTGAATTAAGTTTCTATAAGTTTAACATTACTTTCAATGTGTTGATTGCAGATAAGGAGGAAGTTAAGATGATAAATCGTTGTTATCTTGGTCATTTTCTCCAAGGGACACCATTTCAGAGGCATATCGGGCGGTGGGGTAGCCTAGTGGTTAAAGCGTTGGCTTGTCACGCCGAAGACCCAGATTCGAATCCCCACATAGGTACAATGTGTGAAGCCCATTTCTGGTGTCCCCCGCCGGGATGTTGCTGGAATATTGCTAAGAGCGGCGTAAAACCAAACTCAGTCAGTCAGTCAGAGGCATATCAGGAATTTGAATACATTATTGTTTCATTGTTACAGCAATTTGCAACTTCAGAGATGAAACGCCACATCGCTTGAAATTGGACATTGGAGACACAGTCCATATTGTGCAGGAAACAGATGGTAGGATTATATGACAGAAAAGATATACATCATATTATTTAAAAAAATATTAACGTAATTTAATGAAAGTTCAAAAGAGTTTTATCAAGTGATAAATCTGAAAGACCTGTTTCCCCATTTCAGCGGGCATCTCATTGTTAGCTACCTGAGGGAAGTTGAACTGTACCACAAATTGTAGCTCTGTAACGTGAATAACAAATTGCCTGCTTTTGAATTTGGTGCTTCAACACTTTCTGTTTTTAAATGATAATGTAATGAATATATATGATTTCAAAATAAAACTCATTTGTACTTTGTGCTCAAAATGTGAATGAACTCAGATTTAATCTCGTCACTATATGGCTGGAATAGTGCCGATGTGACGTAAAACTCAACTCAACTGAACTAGTTGGTGCTAACTAGTCATATATTTAATCCTCGAAATGAAATGTTGCTAGTATTTTACTGTCCTGTGATGACAGCTTTTTAGGAAACTATTTTCATTGTATTTTTTGTGTCCAGTCAAAATATGGCAGAAATCATATAACTGTCAGTATCAACCATTTATGATCATGATCTGTTTTAGACTGGTACCATGGCTTCCTCATCAGGGACCGGTCGGAGGTGGGGGTGTTCCCCAAGTCCTTCGTCCACGTCAAGGAGGCTACTATTGACATGGCTGGGTAGGTACTATTGACATGGCTGGGTAGGTACTATTGACATGGCTGGTTAGGTACTATTGACATTGCTGGGTAGGTACTATTGACAGGTTTGGGAAAGTAATATTGACTATTGACATGGCTTGCTAGGTACTATTGACATGACTGGAAATTCAGTGACACTTGACAAGGCTCGATTTAGTGCTTTGTTACTTGCACTGGTGCAACCCAATATCACAAAGTGCAACCTAGTTATTAGTCTAACTTGCACCAGGTGCAAGTAAAGTTTTGAGTGGGTAAACTTCTGAATAACACATCTAAATAATTCAATAGCATATATATTGCAATAAAAACAATGCAACTGGAATTTGACTGGTGCAACTAGGTTTTTATCTTAGGTTGCACCTGGTGCAAGTGGTTTAACATCTCTTAAATCGAGCCCTGCTTGATCATTGTTGGCCATGTGTAATAAACATGAATCTTACTGGATGTTCTGTTATCTGGGGTCACTAATGGCCGACAGGTCCAAGGCCTGCAAGTTGAAATGAATAAATTTCAGTCCAGCTTTAGATCATCTAGAAAATTTGTAACTCAGATTACTGCGAAACATCCCTGGATGTGATTTGCTGTGTTGATGAATGATGTGACATGTGTTATATGCAGGTCGAACGAGCTGATCACGCCGGTGGAGCCCCAGATTGTACATGAGCTGACCACTGTGCTCAGAGAATGGCACGGCATATGGAAACAGCTCTATGCGGTCAGTATACATAGGAGATGAACTTACTTGCTGTTATTGGGTGTTTAAGGATAAGGATATAAGTCCTCCATAGCCTATACTTGTCGTAAGAGGTGACTGAATAGATTTAGATGTGAGGTTAATAAAGTGTCCAAGTATCCCCAAAAGCTGTATCAGTGCTCAAACTAACAGTGAGAAGGATCTGGTGGTAAGGTTTGCCAACATGATTAATAATAATCACTGGATTTTCTGGTCCAGGCTCAGTTAAAATTGGTCTTCAGTAACCCATGCTTGTCGTAAGAGGTGACAAATGGAATCAGGTGGTCAGACTCGCTGTCTTGGTTGACACATGTCATCGTATCCCAAATTCCATAGATCGATGCTCATGATGTTGATCACCAAATTGTCTGGTAAACAACAAACATTCAAACAAACAAAAGTAAAGTATCAGTCACCTCATTACTATGATGGTGTTGCAGAACAAGAGCAGGAAGGACTTCGACAAGATCAAAGACATGATGCTGGAACTGATTTCCTGGAGGAGAAAGATCCTGTCCCGAAAACTTACAAATGTGAGTGATGTTGTTACCGTGGTTACATGTGATAATATTTTCAAAATTTAATGTTCCACACTCTTATATTCAGCCATATTTATGTTTCCTGACCACTTTTCCAGTTTTGTCAAGAAGTTACAATTTTGCTGGGTTACTTCCCTTGTTTCTAGGCAGTCTTGACCCCTCATTAAAGCTCGACTAACCTTAGCATACTGTGTGTCAAGAGACTGAGAACCTGAGATATAGATGTGATTGTTGGGACACAGACTATTTCAGGGCGGTGAGGTAGCCGAGTGGTTAAAGCATTCGCTCATAACGCCGAAGAACCGGGTTCGATTCCCCACATGGGTACAATGTGTGAAGCCCATTTCTGATGTCCCCCGCTGTGATATTGCTGGAATATTGCTAAAAGCGACATAAAACCAAGATCACTCACTGCATTTCAGGACGAGCTGAAGGTGCTGCAGCAGGAGATTACCTCAAGGATCGATGCTGGCAACGAGTAAGTCAGATGAGCATTAAAAATGTAGCAGTGCATAATTCAAATATTATTTAATGATGTTCAAGAACGCATGAGGACTGACCATTCATGCTGTGAAAATCCGGGTTAGAATCGGTCTTCAACAACCCATACTTATCATAAGAGGTGACTAACAGGATTGGGTAGTCAGACTCCCTGTCTTGCTTCATGCATGTCATTGTATCTCACTTGCGAAGATCGAAATGCTCATGATGTCAATCATTGGATTGTCTGGTCTAGACAGTTATTTACAGACTGCTGCCATATAGCTGGAATATTGCTGAGTGCGGCGTTAAACAATAAACACACACCATTTAGGATCAGGGGCAGTGTTTTTTCATCAAATGTTAAAATAAGAGGATGTTTGTGTTGGCTCAGGTTTTGAAGGTGACAGGTCAAAATATAGAGATGAAGGTCAAGGTCATAAGCCTGAAAGTGTCTCTAACATCTTAATTATGAGAAGACTTTTGTCGAAGTTCGACTGCATTGTGTATGTATGTTTATTGTAAACCAGAGTTGATTTTATTGAACCAGACAGTTCCTATGTCTATTTTTTACATTTTTGCAATCAAAATGTTTAATCTACCAGACAGAACATTGCATGTAATGTATTTTTTTAGTCAATTCTTTAGGCCATTATGGATTAAGTTTACTAAACTGAACTTAAGTTGACTAGACTCAGACCAGTGAGAGATGACATGAGACAACGAATGTTATATCTTCAACTTTTGATTCTCATCCTATGGTACATGTTTCAGTCTGTTGAAGTTAGACATGACGGTGCGAGACGACCAATGTAATATCCTCAATCCCGAGTCTACTAGTGTGATAGAGGTGTACAGATGTGTAAGTATATTGCTGCCAAATGTCGGCCTTAGCAAATGCTCCCTTCAACAACAAGAGTGACGTGTGGAGAACAGAATAAATTGTCAAGAGGAATTTGTTTCTTGCAAAGAGTCACTTTTATATATAGACTTTTGTTATGCTGACTGGTTTAAAAATTGTCCATGTTTTGTAGGGCACTTTTGTATCCATAAAATGGTTCAAAACACACAAGTTTAGCTTTAAATGTTTAGACTTTGTTGTCTTGGTAATCCTGAAGTCCAAGGTGCTGCAATTCTTGGTGCCTCTGCTCTACAGTGATCTGGATTTAACTAATATGGTAATTGCTGATAACTAGCGTCATCTTCAGTATTCCTCCACAACAAACTGGCATGCTGTAACAGCTGAAATATTGTTCCAAACAAGATTTTGTGTCATCAGATGCATTTTTGTGTATTTGTTTTACATCGACCTTGTTGTTTTACAGCATGTGAATGCAGCAGAAAGAATCCGAAGACAGACAGTAAGTAGTGTTACAGATGCATTGTTCTCAACTGCATGATATCACCACAAACAGGTCACGATATCACTACAAACAGGTCATGATGTCACTACAAACAGGTCACCATATCACCACAAACAGGTTCATGATATCACCACAAACAGGTTCATGATATCACCACAATCAGGTCATGATATCACCACAATCAGGTCATGATATCACCACAAACAAGTTTGTACGGGTCATGATATCACCAAAGACATGGTTGTATAGATTATGATATCACCACAGACAGGGTTGTTCAGGTCATGATATCACCACAAACAGGGTTGTACAGGTCATGATATCACCACAAACAGCGATTGTACAGGTCATATCACCACAATCAGGTCATGATATCACCACAAACAAGTTTGTACGGGTCATGATATCACCAAAGACATGGTTGTATAGATTATGATATCACCACAAACAGGGTTGTACAGGTCATGATATCACCACAAACAGTGGTTGTACAGGTCATGATATCACCGCAAACAGTGGTTGTACATGTTGTGATATCACCATAATCATGGTTGTTCAGGTCATGATATCACCACAAACTGTGGTTGTACAGGTTATGATATCACCACAGACAGGGTTGTAAGGTCATGATATCACCACAAACGGGTTGTACAGACCATGATATGTCCACTAACAGCGGTTGTACAGGTCATGATATCACCACAGACAGGGTTGTACATGTCATGATATCACCACAAACAGGTTGTGATCTCACCACAAACAGGGTTGTTCAGGTCATATCACCGGAAACAGCGGTTGTACAGTTTGTGATATCACTACAAACAGCGGTTGTACAGGTCATATCACCACAAACAAGGTTGTACAGGTCATGGTATCACCACAGACAGGGTTGTACAGATTGTAATATCACCACAAACAGGGTTGTTCAGGTCATGATATCACCACAAACAGCAGTTGTATAGGTCATGATATCACAGCAGACTGGTTGTACAGGTCATGATATCACCACAAACAGTGGTTGTACATGTCATGATATCACCACAAACAGTGGTGTACAGGTCATTATATCACCACAAACTGGTTGTACATGTCATGATATCACCGCAAACAGCGGTTGTACAGGTCATATCACCACAAACAGGGTTGTACATGTTGTGATATCACCATAAAGAGGGTTGTTCATATCACTACAAACAGTGGTTGTACATATCACAAACAAAGGTCATGATATTGTACAAACAGCAGTGTCATGATATCACTACAAACAGCGATTGGTGTACATGTCATGATATCACCACAAACAGTGGTTGTACATGTCAGTTGTACAGGTCATGATATCACTACAAACAGTGGTTGTACATCATGATATCACCACAAACAGCGGTACAGGTCATGTATCACCACACAAACAGCAGTTGTACATGGTCATGATATCACTACAAACAGTGGTTGTACATGTCATGATATCACCACAAACAGCGGTTGTACAGGTCATGATATCACTACAAACAGTGGTTGTACAGGTCATGATATCACCACAAACACCGGTTGTACAGGTCATGATATCACTACAAACAGCAGTTGTACATGTCATGATATCACCACAAACAGCGATTGTACATGTCATGATATCACCACAAACAGTGGTTGTACTGGTCATGATATCACTACAAACAGTGGTTGTACATGTCATGATATCACCACAAACAGCAGTTGAACAGTACACTGATATCACCACAAACACCACAAACTGGTTGTACATGGTCACTACAAACAGCATTGTACATGTCATGATATCACCACAAACAGCGGTTGTACATGTACATGTCATGATCATGATATCACCACAAACAGCGGTTGTACAGGTCATGATATCACCACAAACAGCGGTTGTACATGTCATGATATCACTACAAACAGCGGTTGTACATGTCATATCACCACAAACAGCGGTTGTACATGTCATGATATCACCACAAACAGCGGTTGTACATGTCATGATATCACCACAAACAGCGGTTGTACATGTCATGATATCACCACAAACAGCGGTTGTACATGTCATGATATCACCACAAACAGCGGTTGTACATGTCATGATATCACCACAAACAGCGGTTGTACATGTCATATCACTACAAACAGCGGTTGTACATGTCATGATATCACCTCAAACAGCGGTTGTACATGTCATGATATCACTACAAACAGCGGTTGTACATGTCATGATATCACTACAAACAGCGGTTGTACAGGTCATGATATCACCACAAACAGCGGTTGTACAGGTCATGATATCACCACAAACAGTGGTTGTACATGTCATGATATCACTACAAACAGCGGTTGTACATGTCATGATATCACTACAAACAGCGGTTGTACAGGTCATGATATCACCACAGTGGTTGTACATGTCATGATATCACTACAAACAGCGGTTGTACATGTCATGATATCTCCACTAACAGCGGTTGTACAGGTCATGATATCACTACAAACAGCGGTTGTACATGTCATGATATCACTACAAACAGCGGTTGTACATGTCATGATATCACTACAAACAGCGGTTGTACATGTCATGATATCACCACAGGCAGGATTGGATGTGTGATACAGGTCATGACACTTGAACAAACAGGTCATACAGGTCCTGGCATCCCCACGACCAAGGGTCACTGAGAAATTCTTGAAAACTTTAGGTTCAGTTTCACAGTTCGCTCTTTTTCAAACTTTTATTTTATACTTGTTACAAATACTTATTCAGACTGACAATAACTGTCGTAAATTTTAAGGTAACCTGAATTGATTTTCCAGACCACCGGTGCCTGGTGGAAATATCCATGCTGTTTGTTCTGTCCTTTCAGAGTGCAGTCATCAGTGAAGAGATCAGTAAACAAGTCTCCCTACCCCTTACTTTCAACCTGTTTGTAATGCTGAGGAACTTTGTGTGCAAAATCGGTGAAGATGCGGACATTTTGATGAACTTGTTTGATGCCAAGGAGGGTAAATTCATCAGTGAGAACTATCTTGTGAAATGGAGTAAGGAGGGTGTACCAAAGGATATCGAGATGTTGAACAACTTCAGAGTCGTCTTCACGGTAAGTTAGATATGTGTCTTGTAGAGAATATTTATTGCATTATAGGATTACTGAGACTGGAATTGAGAAACATTAAACAGTCTAAATAGCCTAATGTGGTTGTGTTTGGCCTTGTGCAAAGAGCACAGTTCGCACATCAGTTGAAGTTAAGCAAAAATGGTCACAGAGAGTCTGTCAGATTGACGCTAAGCGTTTATAGGACTTCAGTCCTGCCCCACAATGAAGCACACATGACACATGTGGTCTTACCTTAGGCAAGTGACTTTGAAAAAATTGCCTCTGTTCACACAGCAGAAAATGGGTACCCAGTGGGATGAGATGGTCCTATGACTGTTGACCTTCTACTGGCTCACAGGCAGCTTGGGTTGTCATACACACTGATCCACGGACCGGAGTAATGATCTGTGCTTTGAGCATACCCCTTGTGTGTGCATGTTTTCACAATATAAGTACATTCATTATTGTTACTGAGTGAAACTGTTATGTTTTGTATCTGCGTGATTTGCTTTCATTCAAGGATCTTGGAACGAAGGACCGAATGAGGGAGAAGGTGTGTCTGGTCTTCCAGATTATCAGAATAGGTAAGACTCTCTTCATGAGACCGATTTCAGCCAACTTACTGCAGAAGCTTACAAACAATGCTGGCTTGTGGTTGTTTTGTAACTTATATATGTAAGGGGAGACAACTCACTCCATAATTTTGATCATGTCTGCGTGGACATATTTGAGTCATGAATATCTTTGGCATGTACTTTGAGGATTAAAATACGTTTCATGATCAGTTTTTCACCTTGCCTGAAGATTGTCTTTATTTTGTCAGGTGTGATGGATTCAAAAAGATGCTGACAACAAGAAACAAACTCAGGGTATTAGACGTCCATTCGGAGTGGCAGGTCTGCTTGCCTACTTTCTCTGTAACATTTCATTAAACATAATTGACCAAGTCCACAATGGAGTAGCTGGTTATTAATAAATCCCCAGCAGTCAAAGTTTGACATAATTGGCGACCAAATGGATGACGTAAAAGGCGACCAAAAGGACTCAGTGACTTGGTTGTCACATGCCATCTTACCCTAACATGAATCGTTGCCCACAATATCTATCACTAGATTGTCTGGTCCAGACTTGATTGTTTACATGCCCATTGTCAGTTGTTTAATGCCAAATCATGTGAAATGCTGAAATATTGCTGAATGCTGCATTGAACAATAAATACTGGCCAAATAGTCTGCTGAACAACGTTTGTTAAAACACAGAAGCCCAGGAAATTGTTCTTCTGATGCCTGCTTTTCTAATTATCTGAGGGGCGGTGGGGTAGCCTAGTTGTTAAAGCGTCCGCTCATCACGCCGAAGACCCGCGTTCAAATTAGTGATGGTCCAATTGATTGAAATAATCGAAGATTGGTCATAATGACTAAACGACCAAGCAATCGATCACATTTTGTCATAATCAAACACAAACAATTTTGGAACATTTGTTTGCATTGACAATATTTAGCACAAGGTTGGTTTTGTTTGTTGCGTTTCTTAAGCACTACAAGCTCATTCCAAGTCATGGTTAAATTTTATCTTGAAGACTCCAGGAAATTTATGTTCCTAATATATTAGTTATCCTTTAAAGACACGAAATTTGCCAAAACAACCGAAAGAACTACATGTTTTTTTCTTTATTTTGTGTGCATTAACAAATATAACAAAGACAATTTGATAAATAACGCTAACCAACTATTTTCGATGATTGATCGGATGTAATGAACCAATCATCAATTATAAGATTTTAACCAATTCCCAACACTAGTTCAAATCCCCACATAGGCAAAATGTGTGAAGGCCATTTCTAGTGTCCCCCACCATTATATTGCTGGAATATTGCTAAAAGCGGCATAAGATCATACTGACTGACTCACTCAATTATCTGATTTGATTTAATAAAAATGATTGTCACAGTTGGATCTCATCAAAATGATCCTTTGTCCACATTTTTCAGTTATCTAGTTCAAAGTTGGAAGGTTGGAGTTGTCATGTTCATTTTCATAATCTAATGGCTATCTTCACCTATTTCAGCTATGGAAATCTCAGACTACATTCAAGGAAACAAAGAGTGCAATGAGGACCAACAATACTTCATCCCTTTTCAGCAGTAAGTTGTGGAATTTGTACTTCACTTCATCCCTTTTCAGCAGTAAGTTGTGGAATTTGTACTTCACTTCATTCCATTTCAGTAGTAGGTTGTACAATTTGAACTTCACTTTTATGCAACATATGTACGAATTAGAATATCTTCAGAACGGTTGACTAGATTATTTTCATATTTGGTACCTAGGTTCATCACAGTATAAGAAAGGTCCCAGTCAGGTTTGGTGACCTTGACCTTCATTTCAAGGTCACATGGGGACTTTAACTTTTAACTCTTGTCAGCGAGATATCTCAAGAACCGCTCTCTAGATTTTCTTCATATTCAACACCAAGCTTTATCTAGGGAAGGCACAGGGCCCAGTCGATTTTGGTGACCTTCACTTAATTTCTAGGTCATGGCGACACTTTGAAGATTTCAGCATGTTAACCTGCATGTTAAGCTGTCTTAAGAACCGTTCACTGGATTTTCTGCATATTAAACACCAAGGTTTATCTAGGGAAGGTGCAGGACCCAGTCGATTTTGGTGACCTTCACTTAATTGTCAAGGTCACAGCGACACTTTGAAGATTTCAGTATGTTAACCTGCATGTTAAGATGGTCAGCGAGATATCTCAAGCACCATTGACTGGACTTTCTTCATATTTGACGCCAACCTTCATCTAGGGAAAGTGCAGGGCCCAGTCGATTTTGGTGACCTTCACTTAAGTTTCAAGGTCACAAAGACACTTTGAAGATTTCAGCATGTTAACTTGTATGTTAAGATAGTCAGCAAGATATCGCAAAAAACATTCACTAGATTTTTTTTCATATTTGACACCAAGCTTCATCTAATGAAGGCGCAGAGCCCAGTTGATTTTGGTGGCCTTCACATAATTTTCAAGGTCACTGCGAAAGTTTGAAGATTTCAGCATGTTAACCTGAATTCACTGGATATTCTTCATAGACTTTCGAGACTTCCCTTAAATGTTTTTCAATAAGCAATTTCTTTAGTAACATTTTTGCATGTTTCATACACTATGACATTCATGTCAAGGTCAAAGTCAGTCTTGAAAATATTTGTGTGTTTGAACAACTAAAGAGAAGATATCAAAAGAGGTTGACTGGTCATGTTATTTTTACATTTAACTTCACCTTAAACTTTCATTACTTTTTAAGTTTGATTTGATAATTTGTGGCGGGGGATTATGTCACCTTAGTGACAATACTTGTTTATCCACCACAAGTATTACAGCATGTTTAAATTCCTTTCAGATGTGGCGAGAAAGAATTCATGGAGAATGTTATCAAGAAAGTCATCACAGCTAAAGACATCAACCACAAAGGGCAAGGGATCTGGGTGTCGCTCAAAATACTCCCCGGGGACCTCAAGCAGGTGGGTGTGGCTTTCTGAGACAAGTGTTTTAGCAGTGAATATTGAATGTACCACCTTCCTATTAACATAATCTGGGTGGACCAGTGTTTTAATCATTCCCAAGTAGTCCACGCCATTATGCCATGTGCTGCACAAGGGTCCCAAATTTCAGATTTGGTTTGACATTTAGATGTCAGTTAAAATTCAAATGTGGGCGGTGGGGTAGCCTAATGGTTAAAGTGTCTGTTCATCATGCTGAAGACCTGGGTTCAATTCATCACATGGGTACAATGTGTGAAGCCCATTTCTGGTGTCCTCCGCCGTGATGTTGCTGGAATATTGCTAAAAGTGGCATAAAACCATACTCACTTACTCAAATTCAATTGAAAATGAAATGCTGTTCCTGTCGGCCCAACTCACTGTGTTTCTGAAACTGTTTCCTGCAGGTACAGGAAGACTTCCCTCATATTGTCGGCGCCAACACTCCCATCGCACGCAAGATGGGATTTCCGGAAGTCATTATGCCAGGTGAGTTGTCTCCCTTAGATATATCATATTCATCATGATACATCAGCCGACTCTTATCTTCCTTCACATCATCATAACAATTTAACAATGTCATCAGATATCAGATTTATACTGATGGTCAAAAGTTATGCAACCATGTTTATCTTCGCTATGATTTGGAAACTAGAGAAACCAAATGAACTGTGATTGTTTCAATTTTTGAACCATACAGTTATAAGTTGAACCTCAAATCCTGCAAATAATTGCCTTGAGATAAAGGATGGCTCTTGATGGTTCAGAAGATTATTTCAGTGTGTATAATTCTTCTATATCTGTGCATTCTCAGCATTAATGTCAGAATTAAATTACTTCTGATATCCTAACTGATATGATATATTACTTCAAATATATATAACTGCATTCACAAGATACTGTTTTGGCCAGTAGAACAAATAATTTTGTATCAAACGCTTTTGTCACTTTGAAAAATCTTTCATATTGTAGCATGTGTGGTAAAATTCTATGATGCATGACTTTTTACCATCAGTATATTTGTTACAAATTCATGTTAGTGGTAATTATTACATCAGTTCTATTATTTTCCTTATCCTGACTCATGCTCTTTGTTTGTCTTCTTCTTCTTGCTTAACATAGTGGAACACTTGTATCTCCTTATTTGAAGCCCCTTCAAAATAAAATCACTAATTGGTACTCACCACGAGTTGCTCCCTTTGTCCCCCTGGCGGAAAAGGTGTCGCCACCCTCCGGCCATGTGCTTCACTCTCCTTCTTCACCCAGTGAGCAGGATGTGAGAGCCTTGTGTCTCCTTACACACATATCCTTTGATAATCTCTTAGTTTTTACCTCCTCATAGGTTACTATAGAGGTATAGCTAGTATCCTTTACTATTTGTATTGATTAATTATCGATTTCTACTGTTTATTCACGGTATTCGTGATTGTTCAGCTAGCTTTACGCTCATGAAAATCTGTACGATTTGTAGATTACGCTTTTCTGCCTCCGATCCACATGTAATATGCCCTAGTTGTTCTACTGCGGTAATGCTTAAAATCACGCTTGCAGTTACTGCATTAATTTATCTCATTCTGCATTTAATAAATATCATCTTTATGCCTTTAAGACGCGGCTGCAGATAGATCACGCAAAACAAGGGCAAAACATGGCAGAGAGTCCAGATATTCCTTCCAGTCAGCTGCTAGCGATCGACCCTCTCCGCCTGGTGTTCTGCTAGAGACCCCGCGGCAGAGGAACGGGACGAAGTCCGTTATTCGAAGAAACGACCGCCTCCCCAGACATCCCGGCCATTGCAGACTAAGTCTAAGAGGGCTCTCATCGTCGCCTCAACGCAGATTGAGGACACCCAGGGCAGCGCGAGACTTCCAAAGGGAAATTCCACGAAGACAGCAAGAACTTTCAGCCGAGATCGCTCCAGCAGCAGAGTTGGGCCTCTCTACGATGATCAGCCGATAATCATCCCCGACTTTACGGCAGAAGAAGCGACCGTGTCAGCTTACTGTGACTTCTGCAGAGATCTCCATGCAGCCTGATGCCTCTACACCGACGCCAGACGCCATTGATGTGAACCCCATCGCAGAAAAGACGCTTACGACTTACTCGCCACAGATCATCCCAGAAGACATGATGCGGCAGATTATGAACATCATGGAGGACCACTACAAACTGCGCAAGCAGGGTCCGAGCCTTCGCTGAAGGCTCCAACGTGACAGCACCCCAGAGGCACCCCCAACAACGTAGCAGCCAAGACGATGTCACCTTCGCTAAGGAAGTCCCGCGCACCACCTTGACGGCGACCTAGATGTACAGCTTCGCAAGGCCTTCGCGGGCGGAGAGAGATCATCACCATCTTCGATTTCATCTCTAGATATGGACTCAGACCATCAGACATCACGGAAGCCTTCGCTAAGGTCATATCATCGATCCCCGGACCGGACGCGAAATGAAGCTTCGCTAAGGCATTCGCGAAAGACATATGATTCCAGATCTTCATCGCCTAGAAGAACATCGAGGGACTGCCAAGAGCTTCGCGAAGCTATCAACATTCACCTCACAAGTCTCCGAAGATCATCCCATAGACGATCTCCACTCCGCTTCATCACCAGGTCGATCACCCATCAGATCTCCACATAGAGCGCGACAAGTCAACTAGATCGCCACAAACCTCATCAGATATTCAGACAGCTACACGCAGTCCCGGCGAAGAGCATCTACAATTTATTAATGATGATGGTTTTGAGGATGATGGAGGAATCATATTTTCTGATGCAGAGATACGGTATTGATGGTCAATAACCTAGATCTCACATCACCATCTAAAAGTGGCAATACAGCTCAGACGTATTTGATGAAGGAAGATGATCCAGATGCAATCACTCTACCCCGATCGAATTCGATTGCGCAGTGCCACAGAATCTAGATGCAGCTTTCCAGAAAGCTACGAAAAGTTCAGATACCACATCTACCCAACTTTCAAGCCAAGAAGTTCTCCACGATAACATGGACTCCTTCTACAAGGCCCAGGACATCGATGAGAACTATAAGATCATCAGCGATGTAAAGAACAAGATTTACAAGATGGATGATCGCAAGTTGGCTCATATAGAAACCATGACGAGACGTGATGTTCTTTGGGTTAAATAGATCTAGGACGCATCAATGAGACTCTTATTACTAGATTCCGGATTCCACGACGGAAGATGATAGAATGATTTATTCTGCCTTACTTATGCAAAAGAAAGATCAGCAGTTTTTAACGGATCATCTTACATCTGTTTCAGCAGCACTGACCTTAGCTCGTCGTCAAGGCCTCCTCGCCTCCTGTAATTGGGGAGAACTTTACAGCCCCACTTTATACAGCCCCTCGGTCGACAACATCCATCTTTGATCGGAGAAATCGACAAGGTCGCCAAGGAAGTCTCTAAGGATTCCAGGGAAGTCCTTATGATTAGATCGATGGACACACTAGCCAGCGCCATTCGGCCAGACTTCACAAAGATACTCAGGCAGATCTAAGTTCACGGGCCTACAAAGAGCAAGAGACAGGAAGATAGCCAGCTCTAGAGGTAAAGATTCTTTTAAATTAAGCCCATATGGCAACTATAGAGGAGGATCAGGAAGAGGCAGGACACCCAGAGGTTCCCGCAATTATAGACGCTGAAACACAGGTTCGAACGACTGGAGTCTTCCACCCCAGCCGTTCCAGTACAACCAGCTCAAGTGGGTGGGCGCCTCCAACTACACTGGGAAAACTGGGGAATACTGCAAGATCCTTACGCCTCCAACATTATTCAACACGGATTTCGTATCCCTCTACAGGACAAGCCTCCGCTGACAATCAAACCCCCAAGTTCGGTTTACAAGCAACAACTACCAAAGATAAAGAGGCTGTCTCATCACTCCTATCCAAACAGGCCATAGAAGTAATAGATCAAGCAAGCGTCGAACCAGGTTTCTACTCCCCAGTTTTCCTAGTTCCCAAGAAAAACTCCACGGAGAAATACAGACTCATCTACAACATGAGCTTTTTCAACAAGAACTATCTACGCAAACCACCGAGAGTTTCGCATGATACATTTACCTCAGTTACGCCAGATGATTCGTCCCTATGGACTACATGGGCAGCATAGATCTACAGGATGCCTACTTGCACATCCCCATTCATCCCGATTCCAGGAAATACCTACGATTTACTCTAGAAGGGCTACATTACCAGTGGAAAGTACTCCCCATTCGAATATCATCAGCCCCTGGCTATTCACGAGGATAACTAAACCGATTATCAAATTTCTACATCGTCAAGGCCACGAGTGTCGCGCTTTTACCTCGACGACGGGATACAAAGTAGATCAAGATCCACTGCGTCTCAAACTACAGTTAAACTACATCATAAAGCTACTAACACAACTAGGTTGGTTAGTAAACTTCACGCAAGTCGGACCTAGTACCATCGCCAAGACCTACAGTTCCTAGGTATTCGATTCATCACAAATCGCAAACCGTATTATGGTACCAGAAGACCGTTGGCTCAAGATACAACAGACCATTCCACCAGCTCTACTCTCCCGTTACCACTCGCGACAATGGCAGAGCCTACTAGGTCTTCTCACATCAGCCCAAGACATGACTGTCACAGGCAGATTACAGTTACGTCCCCTACAGGTCCTCATCAACACACATCTCAACGATGTACAACCATTCAGTCTACCGAAACATCTCAGACCACATCTACTATGGTGGACCAAGAAATCAATGTCTGCGAAGCGATTTGTTTAGCAGAGCAGGAATACAAAACCCATCTGTATGTAGACGCTAGCGTCACTCCAAGGTTGGGGAGCTCATCTCACCAACCACACGATATCAGGGTTATGGAATCAGCAAGAATGCAAACTCCATATAAACAGTCTAGAAATGAAAGCTGTAATCAACGCGCCATTCTACATTGGAGCACATTTCTACAAAATGCGCCCTAATGATCCATACAGACAATTCGACAGTGGCGTTCTACATAAACAAGCAAGGCTCAACGAGATCGATGAACCTTTTGAACCTAAGCTTTCAACTGTTGATTTAATACAAGATCTAAATCTACATGTCAAAGCAGTGCACATTCCCCGAGCCAGAAATATACTAGCAGGCGCTCTCTCGGCCTCATCTACCATCACCGACAGAGTGGATGATCAACCGAAAAATTTTTGCACAGATAATCAAGCAATTAGGAGCCCCGCTTAATAGACCTATTCGCCACGCGATTCAACAATCAGCTACCGACATTCGTGTCACCAGTCCCAGACCCCCAAGCTTGGGCAACGGATTCTAAGTCTATCATGGGAAGGCCTCAATGCGCATCGCTTGCTTCCGCCGCCAGCAATAATACCTCAAGTATTACAGAAAATCAGACAAACACAGAGCCTACAACTCACTTTGGTCGCCCTACTGGCCGGCCAGAACGTGGTTTCCCATACTAATTCAAGAAATCGGTCAACCAACACTGGAGCTACCCAAGCGCCAAACCTGTTAATTCATCCTCACACCAAACAAGTGCACGGAAACCCAGCAATGTTCCAACTACACGTATGGACTGTATACAAATGTGTTTAAACAAGAGAGGATATTCTGCCAGGGCAAAAGCAGTCACGCTTTGCCTTACTCGCTACTCAACTCGTAACTTGTATACGACGACAAGTGGCACAGTTTCAAAAATTATGCAACAAAGAAAGGGTTTACAGCAAGAGAGGCTTCACAACCTCAAGTGGCAGACTATTTGTGTTACCTACGCCAAAACAAACATTTAAAAGGTTCAACGATATCAACATATCTTGCCGCTTAGCTCTGTAATCACCATGAGAACGGGTGTCAAATTGACAAGATCTCCAGAGTTACTGGCCTTACTCACGAGCTTTCGATTGGAGGACCAAAAGCGGAAGTTCCACGCCCCAGCTTGGGATCTGAATGTAGTGTTACAACACCTCACGAAGTGAGGTCTATGAACCCTTGGAATCGACAAACGTTGAATTTCTCTCACAGGAAACATTGTTTCTGCTATCGCTAGCCACAGCAGCAAGAATGTCTGAAATTCACTCTGGATTACGAGAGGATACAGTTTGATGACAATCATAACACAGCGCACCTCCAGGATTAAGATGGGATTTCATTGCAAAGAATCAACTGCCAGGTCAACCAGACAGATTATTCCACATCCCGCTATCCTCTATTCTCGATCACAAGATACACAAGACCTATCACTGTGTCCGGTAAGAGCTTCAAAGTTTATTTACTGACGATCCAAAACAAGGAGAAGATTTCTCAAGCGCTTATTCATCCCATTATAAGCCTACTTAATCAAACAGAAGTGTCACGGACCACAATATCTATTTGGATAAGGACTGTCATTCTCCGTGCCTACAAGGCAGCAGGCTTGGACCCACCAACAGCATCAAATCCATTATGAGATCAGGGCACTGGCCTCTACCCTCGCCTCTACACGTAACTGTTCCTTGAACACGATTATGGAAGGATGCTATTGGAAATCTAACATGGTATTTGCTAATCACTACCTAAGAGACATCACTACAGAAGATGTCTCTGGCATTCACCATTTCGACCACTGGTCCCTCGCTCAGCAACTGACAGTCCCTCAGAGGGCGTTAAAATATTAGCCTCACAAGATTAATATGTATTTTATACATACTCATCTAGCTTATAACTCTAAGGAGTTTTAGGGCTATGTATATATGTTCAGCTTAAGTATTCTACCTTAAGCATATACTTGGATATAGTCAATTTCAGTGCCTCTATCAGAGTCACCTATATATATATATATATAATTTATATGTATTGTTCAATATATTCATAATGTAATTCCCCTTAATGGCTTTTATATAACCTATGGTTTTCTTTATACAGGAAACATCCTAAATCTAAGACTTCATGAAGTTCCCGTGAGGGGATATTACAGTATATCTATACAAAATCACTAATTATAAATCCAAAGTATTCTGTTACCCACCTCCGTTCCGTGGGGATGCTAAAGCAAAAGAGCATGAGTCAGGATAAGGAAAAATATGTAATTTTAGAGTAAAATTGATATTTTATACTTATCCTGACTCATGAGGTTAGTTAACCCTCCCATCCTCCCCACATAACACTTTGGATTTCCCTGTAAATTCAAGTGTTGGGCTCGCTAAATCAGGAGAGAGGGAGCACATGGCGGAGGGTGGCGACACCTTTTCCGCCAGGGGAGACAAAGGGGAGCAACTTCGTGGTGAGTACCAATTAGTGATTTTATTTTGAAGGGAGCTTCAAATAAGGAGATACAAGTGTTCCACTATGTTCGCAAGAAAGAAGAAGACAAGCAAAAGAGCATGAGTCAGGATAAGTATAAAATATCAATTTTACTCTAAAAATTACATTCTCACCGTGCTTGATAGCATAAGAACATTAATTCTACAGAATTTGTTTGTAATATTTGTGAAAATAAATATTTATTAAAAGCAAGATAAAATTTTGTATTAAAAGTAAGTGTCATGTTTTGGGTAATATTTTGAATAATTATGATAATTGCTATGGTAACGGGAGCTGTTTGATTTCGTATAAGTCACTGTTCCCACTGACACTGTATGTTATTTAAATGTACAATAGCTAATATCTTACCTGTTTTTCTCGCCCTGTTAGTGGAAGGTAAGATGTACTGTCAGTGGATATAATTATTTTCAGTTTGAGTTTTTTACAAATCAGATCAAGATAATGTGTTTTTTGTATTCATCCTCTTTAATGGTGGAAAATTTGTTGAAGGAGTTCACTTTTCTTAGTATTTGTTACACATCGTTTTTTTCCCGCTTAATTTTTTCATGTCATATAGGCCATATTCATGTTTTTTTTACAAAATGTGTGATATTTTCTGTTTTCATCTAGTTGTTATTTGTTTTACATTTTCATGGTGTGTGTGAGTGTTAGTGCACATGTACTGGGTGGTTGGGTATTTATTTAGTTCACCTGACTGAAAGTCATGGTCTACTTGTCTTTCGTTCTTCATTGTCATCAACACCATTTTTGTCTCCTCAGAAACAATTTCACGTGATTGTACCAACCACTGTTGAAATCTGAATCAATCAGCATACAAATTTGATTTTCAAAATGGCCGTCTCGATATCCATTTTGGAAAGCCTATTTGCTGCAATTATTCAACCATGTTGGAAGAGTGACTCAACACATTCCTATAAAGTATGACCATGATCTGACCTTTGCACTTTCGCCATGCATTTCGGTTCTCTCAAAATGTTTTTTATGTTGGAATCATTTGGAATTGTCTGAGGAAGCTGAACTTGTAGGTTCATCTTTACATGACGTCATGTCATATTCAAATCAGTTGAAATTTATGTCATCTTTTAGTCATCAGTATTTGTTCAGAAAATATCTGCAGATCTAAATGACTGGTGTTTATCTTTGTTGACTTTTTAAACCGTTGACAAAATAGCCAAGTGAGGTACAGTGAGCACTATTTCTACCTTCTCAATGGACACTCATAAAGAAAAACTTAAGTCTTAACAAAGAAGATGAAGTCTTGGGCAGTTTTTCACACTTTAAAGAAAAGTGGGGCGGTGGGGTAGCCCAGTGGTTAAAGCATTCACATGTCATGCCGAAGACCCAGGTTTGATTCCCCACATGGGTACAATGTGTGAAGCCATTTTCTGGTGTCCCCTGCCATGATATTGCAGGAATATTGCTAAAAGCGGCATAAAATGGCGAAGCCGAATTTTGAGGACCAACATGGGGGTCGGTTTATCAACCGGTTACATTTTCGTCAGATTTTTTCTGACTGGAGGCAGAGACAATATACCGGTATATGGTCTCTGCTGGTGGTAGGGAAAACGACATCATATTGCTTCGCGTGAATGAACAAGAGGAAACTTTATGCTCAGGGTTTTACCTCGACTCACAAAAATGGGGGTCCCCTAATTATTAGTTTTATGGGCAAAAAAAAATGAGGGTCCTGGAAGTAATGGTGTGGAGAACTGTACCTTTTAATAATTTGTTTAGACCTGGAATGAATCATTTAACCACATGGACCAGTGTATGAAATGATGCACATAACTGCTCTGAATAAACAACCAATCTCTTCACAAAGTCATAGATGTTTTGTGGGTACAATGAATAATATTGTGCATCCTTCTGGAGGCAGTGAAATTTTTTTCTGCATCCATTCTCAACATTTGTGCATGCTGGACGCATATTTGAGAATCGCATAAAACCCTGATGCTACCTTTCTTACCTTAGTGTTAGCTGGTTATAGGATATTTATATAGCACACATATCCAGGCAACTAGTGCTTGCTCAAGGCACTGGTATGTTTCCCTCGATCACTGGATGTCAATCTCAACGTCACATCATATTATCAATCTCAACTCCCTGGGGAGTATACAACTGATTACTGACCATGCTGACTGTGTTCTTACTGGCGTGAACATTACTGCAGAATTTGGTTGAAATCAGACATTTCCATGCCACGTTATTGTCATTAGTTATAATTTCATCCTTTTTCGTTGTACATATGTTGTGGTGTTGGTTTTTCTGTAGAAGTTGTTATTCCTATTTAAAATATATTTGAGAAGGGGCAAGGTCACGCTCATAATCTAAGGAAACAAAATTTACTGTTGCCTCCCTTTGCTGTGCCAGAATCTACTGATTGTGAGGATTGAATTTGCCTCTGATTGATATGATTCATTGTTTCACTAAACATTCAGTACTGGTTGGTCAAGCTGTGAATTTATTGATCGTATCCCAATTGTGTAGATCGATGCTCATGCTGTTGATCACTGGATTGTCTGGTCCAGACTCGATTATTTACATTCCACCCCCAAATAGCTGGAATATTGCTGAGTGCGATGTAAAACTAACTCACTCACTCACTGTGACTTTATTGAGAGTATCCACTGCCGTGATATTGCTGGAATATTGCTTAAAGTAAAGCGGCGTAAAACTCACTCACTTATTGAATCATAATATCTGTCACTGGTTTATCTGGTCAAGACTTGATTATTTACTGGTGGGGTAGCCTAGTGGTTAAAGAGTTTCCTCGTCACACGTCAAAGGCCTGGTTTCGATTCCCCACAATGAAGCCCACGCATCATGTGATGTTGGTGGAATATTGCTCAAAGTGGTGTAAAACCGTACTCACTTCCTCATTCACCCAACTGAGGGTTGGTAGGGTATCTTAGTGGTAAGAGCAGTTGCTCGTCATGCTGAAGACCTGGCTTCGATTCCCTGCATGGGTACAATGTGTGAAGCCCATTTCTGGTGCCCTCCACCATGATATTGCGGGAGACCCATGAAGGTCCGGGCTAGAATTGGTTTTCAGTAACCCACGCTTGTCATAAGAGGCGACTAACAGGATTGGGTGGTCCGGGCCTGCAGCTTATCCAATTGCATAGATCAATGCTCATGCTGTTGATCACTGGATTGTCTGGTCCAGACTTGATTATTTACAAACCGCACCAATCTTAAACTGCCATTAGTTAAAGGTTGAGATGTGAGTTGTTCGCAATTAATAAGTTAGATTAAATTTTCATCCTTATTGTTTTTTTAAACAAATTATTGAACATGTTGAAGACGTGAACGTCAATGCTAATTGTAACTTGCACTGTTTAGTAGCACTATGCATATAAGTACAGATATATAATCTCTTCCATCAATGTAATAGAGAAAGATATTTGTGATTTTGTTTTTCACTTTGGTAACAAAAAATATGATTTGTGTTTTTTAGTTGTTTTTAAATGTTTTTCGTCATGGGTGAATGTGTGTGTGTAAGGATGGAAATCTATTGAAGAATATGATACAGTGCCTGGCCAAAAGTGAGTCATCAAAATGGCCACCGTGCGATTTTGTCTGGTGTTGGTATGTCTCGTTTTTTTTTGCAAATAAAAGAAATACAAGGTAGATACATTTACGTTTGGTGATCAGTATTTGGTTATATGACCCTTGGCGAGAATTACATGTCTCAATTTCCTAGGAATCAATTGATATAAGCTCTGAACATGGTGAAGTGGGATACGAGTCCAGAGTCGGGTGACCATTCGCACAAAGTCTTCTCTGCTTTTAATGTTGTGTATTTCCTTTTCCACTGGACTTTTCGATGCCCGCCATATATTTTCAATAATATTGATGCCAGGGCTCTGTGACAGCCAAGTCATACAATTGACATCATTTTCCTGTTTCCACTGTTTCGTTCTTCGAGACGAGTGGACCGGCACATTGTCGTCTTTGAAACTCCACTCGTTAACTGGCCACAAACTGTCTTCAAGGACACTGATAGTGATATATTTGGCCGAATTGATGGTATCTTCAACCGGTACCAGAGTCCCCACACTGCTGAGAGTGACAAAAAAAAACAACAAAAAAACAAACCCACACATCACAGATATTTTACAGCCGCCTCTTTGGCCCAAACACTCCGGGTGCCACGCTTCGTTGGGCTTCTGTCAAATACTGACACACTTCTGCCAATCAATTACAACTTGTGTCTCATCGGGAAATATCACCCTTTTCAAATAATTATCAGAGTGCAATTTAATCGTTCTTTACACCATGTGACATGAAGTTTTCTGTTGTTTGGACTGATAGTGATAACCTTTCTAACTTTCCTACGGGAATATCCATGAAAGCTAAGACGAGTGTAATTTATGAGGCAATGACAGATTCACAAGACTGGTCAATTCACTCAAAGGTGCTCTTCAATTGTCCCGAACACAATGAAGAATCTTCCGATCCACCCGATCATTGCACAAAGAAGGCCGACCGCTTCGTGACCCGTTTTCAATATTTTCCCCTTTCAGCAAATCGCTTAAAAAATTTACAGACACCAGACTGACTTACTCCTAGTATATCAGCCATATATCTTTGACTTCAGCTATCTAGATGTAAATTGACAGAAAATCCTTTTTGCTCAGTTGTCATTTGTTTACGTTTGGCAGCCTGGCTAGCAGACGACAGGACATTTATAACTTACCTCCCTTTAGTCCTATTTCCGGTTTGAATTACCGTAGATATACCAGACAACTTACCTGATATGTTTCAGCTCAATTTTATTTTAAAATGATTAGAAGTGGCAAAATAAAACAGGTACCGCACTTCAAATATTTCCGGCGGCCATTTTGATGACTCACTTTTGGCCAGGCACTGTATGTCCTTATGGGAAAAGCTTTTCAACAGGTTCATAATTGAACTTATTTTTCAACAATCATCATGATCATTATTATTGTGGAATAAGCACCTGTATTGTGGGAATGTTCACCAGTCATGTTAAGTATGACATATTTACATAATATATTTATTACTTCTTTATCAGAGCATTAACCATTTTAACACTGAACATTTTTGTAATTTGGACTTTTCAATAACAAGGTGTTTGCATGACATTAAAGTTTATTGAACCAGATCTTGTAATGAAATGTTTAACATGCTGTACCTGTATTTCTTTCAGGCGATGTGAGAAATGATATCTATGTGACCTTGATGCACGGAGAGTTTACGAAGGGGCCAGCCAAAACCGCAGACAAGAATGTTGAAGTTACCATGATTGTTTGCAACAAACAGGAAGGGGTGTTACAGGTATTACTTCCTTGTTGCTATGGTAACTTATGGACAGTGTTCTGCCAAGGCAGCAGCCATGTGGAATTCTCAAAGTGATGTATCCTTTGGTGCATAATATTAACGCTTGGTGGGACATCACTCAGTTGGATGGGTTAATTGAAGTCTGTAAAATATTATATATCATTGGCCATCAGTGTTTGTTTACTGAATGTACGCTTCCTGGCTTTTTCTGTCTAATTCGTCCCATTTTGCCATTAGTGCCTTTCATTGGCTGAAGCTCCTATCAGATTTAGCTTTCACATTTTTGCCGATATTGTAGTCATAGTTCTGAAAATACCATATGCGTCATGTTTGGTATTAATTTGTGTATGATGTCTTAGTTTGTGACCCCGTATGTTTTGACAATGACCCCTACTGGGGCGGTGGGATAGCCTAGTGATTAATGCGTTCGCTCGTCATACCGAAGACCCGGGTTGGATTCCCACATGGGTACAATGTGTGAAGCCTATTTCTGGTGTCCCCTGCCTTGATATTGCTGGAATATTGCTGAAAACGGCATAAAACTAAACAAACTCATTCACTCACTCACCCAACCACTCCTCACTCACTCACTCACCCAACCACTCCCCGTTCACTCATTCTCCTCACACACTCTCCTCACTCATTCACTCACTCTCCTCACACACTCATAGAAGTCAACCACTCCGATTTTGGCGAAGTTTTCCGAGTTACTCCGATTTTCAAATCCAAAATCCACTGAGTATCAATGGTGTATATTGGGTGTTATTGACGACAAAGTTTCACAAAATTGTATGTAAGTGAAACAAAATGGCGGAGACAACCACGTGTTGACCCCCAACTCGCCGCTTCTGTGTGCGGGCCTGACTTCCAGCCAGGCATGAGATTAGCAGAGATTTCTTATGAATGTTGAAAGGGTTTTGTCGCTTTTATTGAAAGGAGTTGAATATCCTGAAACTTTAGCCATGTATAATTTAACTTGTGACAAAGCAAGCCTAAAACCTCATCGCAAATCATGGCACATGTTTTGGTAGCTCAGATTCTTGATCCCCCAACATAGAAACAAGATGTATTTCTGAGGTTCACAACTGAACATTTTGCTTCAGAACGTGATCAGCTATGGTTGCGGAGACAGCATGATGTCGGAGTACAAGTCGATGGTGTACTATCATGAAGACAAGCCCAAGTGGTTTGAGTTTGTCAAGGTAGGAACAAAAATAACAACCTTTTGTTGATCATTCATGACATTTTGTTCCAGTTTACATCAGTGTTTTCCAGTAGACTTTTCATTAGTATCTATTTTATATAAAAGCTCATTCAGGTGTCATTTTATCTATATGTCTGCAACAGGGGTTCAAAAATCCCATCACCCGATGCCCGGGACAAGTCAGTTTTCATTTCGGGCAATCAAATAATGGTATCTTACTTGTTCATGGGCTACTAGATAATTTTCACTTATGCTTTCAAACTGCAAATAAACTTGGATTTAATTTCATATCTGCTCAAAATGTAGCTATTAAATTTTGCAATGATATTAAAGTAGAGTTGTCTTTCTTTGCTATTTATCACTTCAATAATATTCACTAAATAATAAAAAAGGAAAGGTTGCTGATTTCTGAGCTCCATTTTTCAGGTTGCCATATCAACCGATGAAGAATTTAAGGGTCTGCATCTGAAATTTCTCTTCAAACATAGATCTTCTTCAGAAGGTATGTTCAATATCTCTAAGCTTCATTTAACTTCTTTTCTGACTACAAACTCACTACGGCTGCTAAAAGTGTTTACTGGAATAGAACAGAGATGTTATACCCTGGAAGTCGATGATAATGATGGGAGAAGGTGCCAACAATATCCAACATTGGCAGGAATTTAATGATCTTAATGTATGTATCCTCTTTGTATCCAGACACAGCAGAACCCTGTTGTCTCATATCTCCACAGTGGAACCCTGTTGTCTCATATCTCCACAGTAGAACCCTGTTGTCTCAAATCACCAGTTATGGTTTAGTCACGCTGGTACCGTCCAACTCTGATTATATGTATCGCTATGTGTGGCTTGTCAAACAAGATTTTTCAAATTCCCTATTGATGTTCAGTTGTCATAAGTGTTAAAATAACTGATCCCCTGATAACAGGGATGGCAATTTTCCGCTTATCCATGGATTTCGGGCCATATCTATTTCAAATTGATCAATTCTGTAAATCATCTAAATTTGTTGAGAAACCCTGAACTTCCCATTAGATGACACAATATTAAGTTTTCTGCTGAAAATAGCTTTCCCTGTTGCCATCCATGTGATAAGCATGACAAATATTATCTAAAGATAGAATATTCATCAGGAATTTTGCCTAGACAAGTCACAGCATAAAACATGACAGACGAGAAGCCCTTAATTGGCCTGAGTATCGACTGCAGGTTAAAATAACTTAACTGTCTACAAACATTACATGGATGCTGTGTAAGGTTTACTTGCCGAACCATGGTTTCAGACAATTTCTCGGGTCCTCAAAAGTTCAAAACAACAGCTGAGTAGTAGGGACCCCCACAGTGCTTTGTTTATGAGTTTCCAGATATTGTATGTTTAATGTCAACATGACCAAATAGCCGTCTGATGTCTTACTTTTCCTGCGATATGTTACAGCTAAGGACAAGTCAGAGAAACCATTTGCGATGTCCTTTGTGAACCTGATGAATGAGAATGGGACAACTCTTGAGGATTTATCTCACGAACTTCTGGTGTACAAGGTACTGCACCCATCTGTTGAACTGTTTGTATGTCTGTCTGTGTGGCTGTTTTGTATGTCGTTGTTTCCAGTCTGTATGTCTCAGTTTGGTTGTGTGACATTTTACAAAATTGTCCTCTGTTGGTTCAGTGTTCACGAATGCTGTTTCAAAGTAACAGGACATAGGGTCCTGTAAGTTTCAGATGTCTGTCTGACCCATTGAAAATTCACAGGACCCATAGAATAAAATTAAACACACATTTCAGATTTAACATTTCTTATAATTGGCATTGAAATTATTAACAAACATAAGATTTATAAACAGCAAACAAGTGTCACATGTCACATATAACAACTTCAGTCAAAGTCATTTTGAAATATACAGTCAGACATTGGGACCGGCGGGTGGTAGATTTCTATCGGACCGTTGGCGAATCTGGCGGATTTGTCAGACGGTCAGACGCTATTCGTGAACACTGTTGGTTACCCTGCCATGTTGGAATTCCTGGTAAAGCCAGCACTCACCAAATCTGTGACACCATTTCTGATACCCTAAATCAATTACAAGCTGTTATTAGATGTTGCATCAGAAATCTAACGTAAAAGAATTGGGACACCTAAGTAGGTAGCCGAGGTCCTAACTTGACCCATAAAATCAGCATCAAAATCCTTATTCTAGAAACGTTCGTAGCCCTAAGAATTCTTAACTTTGATCGTAGCCAATGTGTTAAGAATGGGCTTAAGAAGTTCGTAGGACTACAAACATTTCGAGAATAAGGGCCCAGGTACATTAGCCGTACCACGGACATATGTTCATCTTCTCGGCATGATCTGATTTGACGATCACCAACACCTAAGGAATTATGTAAATCCAGGCGGTTCATGCAGGTAGCATAATTAAATTACATTTGTGGCGTCATTCCATTCCTGAAAAGTAATGGAGCGATGTGTACCAGTTTCAAAATAAAACCTTCATTTTGTCATTTTGACATTTAATTTTGATAACAGAAATATTCCCAATACTTCGAATGTAATTTAAGTAGGGTAATATCCTCGTAACTCTCCATTCCTTAAAAATAATGGAGCCGAGTTACTCGGACATTACCCTCTACGTATTGCAGATCTCATGGTCCCTAGTATGGTGATATACCTACAGTTGATGGTGATCTACACCCGTGAAGGTCAGTACAGTACACAACCCTGTGCACTTAAAAGAACCCACGAATCTGTTGGTATATGACCAGATGGTGGCCACATGAATATGTGCAAACACCTAGTTCCGGGTACAGCAACGTGCAGTAAACTTGGACAAAGTACTGTGACTATGTGTCCCAGTCCACACAGCTGTGAATGGGTACCTTATAAGGATGGGAAAGCCACACTAACTCGGTGCGCCTAGTGGCTGCAAGAGTTGTATGCTCCCCAGGGAGTTGAGATTGATAATACAACGTGCCGTTGAGAGTGACATCCAGTGATCAAGGGAAAAAACAAAGCGCCTTTGAGCAGCTGAGCTGGATATCGGCGCTATACAAATGTTAGTATGTATGATGTGATATATGTATGTAGAACTGGTCCTCAGCAACCCATTCTTGTCGGGATCGGTTGGTCAGGTTCGCTGGCTTGGTTGACACATGTCATCGGTTCCCTATCGCGCATATCGATGCTCATGCTGTTGATCACTGGATTGTCTGGTCCAGACTCGATTATTTACAGACTGCCACTATATAGCTGGAATATTGCTGAGTGCGGTGTAAAACTAAACTCACTCACTCATTCACTCAAGCAAGCAAGCAAGCAATCACCCACCCATTCACTCACTCATTCTCTCTTTCTCCAAAAGAAATGCACCTCGGACAAACTTAGCACCAGCCATTACAAAACACTAACCCAACATTTATGTTTGCAGATTGAAAGTAAGAAACATGACGACAGCCCATCATACCTAGATCTACCATCAACCCGCTTGGACCTGGAACACAAACAGGCAAATGACAAAAGCCGCCAGTCAATCCAGGCTGGTTCCTACACCCTCAGCAGCAGAGATTCCTTCCACATAACGTCCTTCGTCTGTTCCACCAAACTCACACACAACGGTATGAAGATAGCTGAAAGCGTGAATTTTCTATCATTTGTTTTATAGTTTCTTTGTTGTTATGCCACAATGTCAATGTGATCTGCTTGACCATATAGTCTGAAGACTAACACCATTAGCATCGATCTTGCCTGTAAATATTTGATTATTAATTGGCACCAGACCTGATAATCCAGTGATTGACATCATGAGCATTGGTCTGGACTGTAGATCATTGACACTGAACCAGACAATCCAGTGATTGACATCATGTGCATTGATCTGGACTGTAAATCATTCACACTGAACCAGACAATCCAGTGATTGACATCATGTGCATTGATCTGGACTGTAGATCATTGACACGGGACCTAGCTATCAAGTGATTGACATCATGAGCATTGATCTGGACTGTAGATCATTGACACTGGACCAGACAATCCAGTGATTGACATCATGTGCATTGATCTGGACTGTAGATCATTGACACTGGACCTGACTATCCAGTGATTGACATCATGTGCATTGATCTGGACTTTAAATTATTGACACTGAACCAGACAATCCAGTGATTGACATCATGTGCATTGATCTGGACTTTAAATTATTGACACTGAACCAGACAATCCAGTGATTGACATCATGTGCATTGATCTGGACTGTAGATCATTGACACTGAACCAGACAATCCAGTGATTGACATCATGTGCATTGATCTGGACTGTAGATCATTGACACTGAACCAGACAATCCAGTGATTGACATCATGCATTGATCTGGACTGTAGATCATTGACACTGAACCAGACAATCCAGTGATTGACATCATGTGCATTGATCTGGACTGTAAATCATTCACACTGAACCAGACAATCCAGTGATTGACATCATGTGCATTGATCTGGACTGTAGATCATTGACACTGAACCAGACAATCCAGTGATTGACATCATGTGCATTGATCTGGACTGTAGATCATTGACACTGAACCAGACAATCCAGTGATTGACATCATGTGCATTGATCTGGACTGTAGATCATTGACACTGAACCAGACAATCCAGTGATTGACATCATGTGCATTGATCTGGACTGTAGATCATTGACACTGGACCTAGCTATCCAGTGATTGACATCATGTGCATTGATCTGGACTTTAAATTATTGACACTGAACCAGACAATCCAGTGATTGACATCATGTGCATTGATCTGGACTTTAAATCATTGACACTGAACCAGACAATCCAGTGATTGACATAATGTGCATTGATCTGGACTTTAAATCATTGACACTGAACCAGACAATCCAGTGATTGACATCATGTGCATTGATCTGGACTGTAGATCATTGACACTGAACCAGACAATCCAGTGATTGACATCATGAGCATTGATCTGGACTGTAGATCATTGACACTGGACCTAGCTATCTAGTGATTGACATCATGTGCATTGATCTGGACTTTAAATTATTGACACTGAACCAGACAATCCAGTGATTGACATCATGTGCATTGATCTGGACTTTAAATTATTGACACTGAACCAGACGTTCCAGTGATTGACATCATGTGCATTGATCTGGACTGTAAATCATTCACACTGGACCTAGCAATCCAGTGATTGACATCATTAGCATTGATCTGGACTGTAAATCATTCACACTGAACCAGACAATCCAGTGATTGACAGCATATGCATTGATCTGGACTTTTGGTTTTTTTAGCATTAATGCAGGAAAATGTTAATGTTTGAAATCAAATACTCAGTGTGAATCACCCATTAAGCTTGTAAAAGTTTGTCCCAATGTCACTTTCAATCTAGGATTTGTCAGATCATCATGCCCCCGTGAAGGTCCGGGTTAGAATGAGCCTTCAGTAACCCACCCTGTTGTAAGAGGCGACTAACGGGATCGGGTGGTCAGGCTCACTGGCTTGGTTGACACATGTCATCGGTTCCAATTTCGCAGATCGATGCTCATGCTGTTAATCACTGGATTGTCTGGTCCAGACTCAATTATTTACAGACCGCCGCCATATAGAGATGATTGTACTTTAGGCTTATGACAAGTGCCCTTTGACTTTCATCAACTGACCCATGTCCTCGCTGTTGTCCACAGTTGACCTGCTGGGGCTGCTGAAGTGGCACGAGGTTCTGAACGACACCGAGGCTCTGAAGCGCCACCTGTGGCACGTGATGAAGGAGGAGGGAGAGGAGATCGTCAAGGTGAGAACAAGGCTTAGTCTTCTCTCTGGTTTGGTAAAGGAATTGAACAATTTGCCTTACAATTGAAACAAATGGTTCGAATTGTGTTCATCTGCATCTGCAAGATTCTTTCAGTCACATCTTTGGGGTATAAGAGTGGGGGAAATGTATGGATGTCAACTTCCGAGGACATGGCGTTTTAGAAACGCCTGATGAGAATTGCATTCACCACTTGAAGAAGGAGTATAAATATACTCCAAAATGTCATGGTGGGGTAGCCCAATGGTTAAAGTGATTGCTCGTCATGCCAAAGACCTGGGTTTGTTTTCCCACATGGGTACAATGTGTGAAGCCCATTCCTGGTGTCCCTCACCATGATTTTCTGGAATATTGGTAAAAGCACATAGAACTCACTTTAAAAGAGCAATGTCCCTTTTGTGATTGTAATCATTCTCAGCATATCGCTAGATTAACAGGGTCCAGATTAGCAAGGTTTGACTGTATTAACTGACTACTCCCTGTCTGTGTTTCACAGTTTTTACAAGATTTGCTGGATTCCCTCTTCAACATCCTGATGCAGAACTCAAACTCAGAATCGTGCGACAACCTCGTCTTTGATGCTCTGGTCAGTATACATGCTGAAGATTCACCATACATTATCAGTCTAATCTAGTACCTGTGTCCAGCACTCTGATAGTGGTCAGTTTTGATATCAGTGAGATATCCTACACCACGTGGTAGCTACAAAAAGCTTCACACAGGCCAGAAATGGCCTGTATTTTAATCTTCCGTGAAAAAGGCTTAAGATTTTGGCTGCTTTTTACTGCTCCTTAAACTTTAGGTAACTATTGTTGATTTTTCTCTAATAATGCATGTGGACATCATGTAGCTAAAGATTAGGATATCATTATGGTATACTGTATTGTAGTGGTGGTCCGATTAATTGAAATAATCGAAGATTGGTCGCGAGGACAAAACGACCAAGCAATCGATCATGTTTTCTCATAATCGAAAACACAATCAATTTTGGAACACTTGTTCGCAATAACAATATTTTTCACAAGGTTGGTTTTGTCTGTTAGATTTCATGATTGAATTTATTTTAAAGACTCCATGAAATTCATGTTCCTAACATGCTAGTCATCCTTTAAAGATGTAAAATTTGCAAATGCATTTTGTGCAATTTGCAAAGATAACGAAAGAACTACATGTTTTTTTCTTTATCTTTTGTGCATTATAACAAACATAACCAGGAAAATTTGATAAATGACGCTAACCAATTATTTTTCGATGATTGATCGGTTGTAATGAACCAATCATCAATTATGCGATTTAAACCAATTCCCAACACTACTGTATTGTGTATTATAACACTGATCTAGCATGAATTCCTCTTCTTCCTAGGTGTACATCATTGCTCTGATCTCGGACCGAAAGTACTCCCAGTTCCGGCCTGTGCTGGACGCCTACATTGAGAGCACGTTCAGCTTTGCCATGGCGTACAAGTATGTCCAGTTTGACTTTTGCTGTTCTTTCCCTTATCAATTTACTCACAAGAAATAGTAGGTTTCTCCATTATTTTACTGATGAAGGGCCAGCCATTTGGTGGTGTGTGGTCATGTGTACAGTGTATTGGTCACAAATCAGATGAAATTAGTAAAGCTGGCTGTGAAGAGTGGTTAGATGGGTGACCTTGTCTGGCACTTTGGTTCCTGAGAGTTTCTAGGGCCAAACTGTGACTGTTCACCTTGTAGCAACGCGCAGCTTGTGTTGCATACTTCTCAAGGAGCTGAGAATGAAATTTGATTGCACACTGATCCATTGATTGAGGTGATAATAATTTAAGGGCACTTGTGAGCAGACTAGATGGAACCCAGTATTAATATGTTGCTGCTGTTGCTGTTGATGTTTTTGTTGAATTAGCAGTAACAAAAGGATTCAGCTCTCTTGAAGGAGTCAGAACCTCAGGGAAACTCATACACCAAGATTCCCCTTATACAAGTAGCACAATTAATTATAAACAATAATTCATTAGAGTTCAGTTTTACCAAGGGAGATAATTAGGGTCATAAATATGCAAGCCACTAGATATGTTTGTGATATGTTTGGTTCTTGATTTGCCAGTGATCATTGTACTGTTTCTTCTGTACCACAGTAAGCTGATGGTGATACTGAAGGACTATGTAGACAACGCCAATGAGAAGACCATCAGGAATGACTCTCTCCTCCGTGCCATGAAGTCCCTGGAATATATCTTCAAGTTCATCATTCGGTCACGAGTTCTCTTTGCAATGTAAGTATACTAGTGTCTGGGTTTGTAGTCAGACCTTAGTTGTGTTTTTCTGTGTATTTCTGTTTTATCCTGCCTGAGCAATTTTCCAGCTATACGACACTAGTCTGTAAATCCGTACCAGATATTCCAGTGATCGGCATTATGAGCATTTATCTACACTGTGGGGATTCGATGACATGCATCAACCGAGTCATCAAACCATACATGTTCTCGTTAGTCGCCTTTTACAAAAGCATGGCTAAAAGATCAGTTCTAACCTGGATCTTCATGGGTCACCTGAGTTGTGTGGATAACAACTGCTCTTAGTATGTACAGGAGTAGAGACTGGAACGGATTTCCGTTTGACATGGTACCAGTATGTTACACATACAAATGACCTTATCTCAGACCAACACTTACAAGGGCCTCTTTTTATAGTAGACAACAATGAGGTCACCACATATCAGGAGCAAAAGTTGTCATCTGAGGGGTTTGGGGGTGGGGGAAGCCTAGTGGTTAAAGCATTCGCTTATCACGCCGAAGACCCAGGTTAGATTACCCGCATGGGTACAATGTGTGAAGCCCATCTCTGGAGTCCCCGCCATGATATTGCTAAAATATTGCTAAATCGGCATAAAATTAAGCTAACTCACTCACTCACTGAGGACCAAACATGGAGTCAGCTCTGTGATGATGTCAGATGCCTGTTGATAACCTACATTGACTCTCATGTAGATAGCTACATCTTTCTATCTTTGCAGGATCAACGAAGGGCGTGGCAAGCAGCAGTTCGAGATCACACTGAAGAACCTGCTCCAGTCCATCAACACGATGATGCTGTACTTCACAGACCACACACTGCTGATACAGGTAACTTTCACCACAGAGAGGCTAGAAGATCACACCCGTCTCACACGGTTGACTTGCAATTATTTACGTGTTGTATTCATCAAAAGAAACTAGTTTAAGAGGATGCAGAGTAATTGACTTTAAGAAAAACATTTGTAACATGTAACATTCAACAGTCACTCGGCATCGTCATCAGAAGCTGTGTCAGCTATTGCAGACAATGTTTGACCTCAGGGGTGCAGTGATAGTTATTATTATACTGACATTTGTATACCGCTAATATCCAGCCCAACTGCGAAGGCGCTTTGATTTTACCTCGATCATTGGATGTCAGACGCAAACAGCACATCGTATTATCAATCTCAACTCCCCGGGGATCATACAACTCTTGCAGCCACTAGGCGCGCCGACTTAATGTTGCTTTCCCATCCTTACGAGGTACCCATTCACAGCTGTGTGGACTGGGACACATAGGCATAGTACTTTGTCTAAGTTTTACTGCACGTTGCTGTACCCGCAACTAGGTGTTTGCACATATTCATGTGGCCACCATCTGGTCATTTACCAACAGATTCGTGGGTTCTTTTAAGTGCACAGGGTTGTGTACTGTACACTAGGGGTTGTGACAACACTGAAAGAGTTACAAAGACATACAAAGTTGACTCATAGGTTTTTACACCCGGTCACAGGTGGGCTCGATCCCGACACCTCAAGCTCACTGGATCACTAGTCTGGGGCCTGAGACAGCTCGCCCACCATGCTCCTAAGACTACTGGTTGTGGAAGTTTAATGGTTCTGTCATAGATAGGAGGAGAGAAGATTGGGTTTACAAATGTGACTTAATTATCATGACCATGATTATCCTATCAAAGCATTCAAATCAGGGTTCAACCTTGTACAACAACCATATATGTCACGTGTTGTACAAATTATATATAATAATGTGTCCATTTATATAGCGCCAAACTCCACACTAGGTATGCTCATAGCGCTAACAATCAAGGCCATTATTACCCCAGATAACCCAAGCTGCCTGTTAGGCGCTAGAAGGTTATAGTCATATGACTTTTTTCCACCGGGTACCCATTTTCCTGCTGGGTGAACAGAGACATTCTTTTTCAGAGAGATCGTCCTTGGGGTACATATTAAGCATTTTCCGGCTGAAAAATGTCCTGTGACAGTTGTATCAATGTTTTTTGAATAAAAAGATTGAACAATAAATAAACTCTTTTATTTATTATACGGCCCCTACCTCACGGAGTTACCTCCCTTAACGCATGCGCACCAACTGGGTAGGCTCCTAGACCCGTATCATCATTCCTTCTGCTGTCACTGCCATGAACAGGCGTATGTAATACTTCATGAGCCGGACGCAGCTGAACTTTCTGACGAACCAGAAATTGAACATGTCTCAAACACCACCTGTATGTATGGTCTTTAATTGTTTATGAAAGGAACAGTAAAGCTTTACAGTTGGTTGTTTCATAATTGTGACTTTGTATTAATTCTAATACGCGAACTTTCCCGTGGTTTACGCACATGTTGCTCTGCCATGGCGGGAAGTTTAGCGTGCCATGTGGTCGTAATATTGAGTATTAAAACCAACTATTACTTTCCGTGGTAACCTTCACGTATTTTTCAATGTTTTCTACGTGTTTATATGCTGCTGGCCGCTGTTAGCTACATGCTTGCGTGTTTGCTTTCAGGCCTTTTCATCCTGTTCGGTCTGTGGACAGAGTATTCCACGGGCCGACGGGCATGACATGTGCGTCGCCTGTCTAGAGAAGACTGGCCATGACGCGGACACATGTACAATATGTCTTGGGTTTTGCCCCCGGGCCCAAAAGAGGAGGGCGGCAGATACGCTTCTACCGGGAGATCGTGGAGGGGTGGGGAACTGACGCAGGTCCCCCCGTCTAAGGCTAAAAAGTCGTCAAAGGGAAAAAAATCCCGTGGCCAAACCCCCTCTCCCGCCAGTACTGGTGGCTTTGACATGTCGATAATGGAAACCTTGTTTCAGCAGCATATGGACTCTGTGAAGTCCCTGGTTAGAGTGGGAGTCAGTTGGAGGTCTCCGCCAGGAGTTCCTCGCTCCACTCGGGCGGGGCGGAGAGTCGCTGGGGATCGCCGGGCTCGGCTCGATCCTCAGCCTTGAGGCGCCTGTTGACCCGTTGCCTCTGGCTTCGGGTCCAGGCGCCTCGGCTGCCCGGGAGGGGAGGTGCTCCCAGTCCCCTCTCCGGAGTTGGCGCAGGGACCGCTGAGTATTCCTGGTGTTCCGTCCCTGCGCACTCCCCGCCCCATGAGAGCCGGAGGCACCAGTTCTGCCTGGCCTGCCTCCAGCGTCTCGACCGGGTCCATGCACGCCTGCTGGCGCCGGCGTGGAGCAGTCTGTCTGCTCTTCCCTTTCTGTGCTGCTTCCTAGCGCTAGGGCAGCCCACCGGTCGGGTTAGGGTCCTCTTTCGGAGGAGACCCAACCTCTGACTCGGGCTCGGGCGCCGAGGCAATGGAGCTTGGGAGGTTGAGGAGCATGACGGAGGCTTCCGCTTTGCTTCGCTCTGCGGGAGGTCCGGCAAAGAATTGCTGAGGGCCTACCCAAGCCGCTGTGCCTGTGGGGTTGCGCGGGACTCGGCTGAGTTCCGCTTGCCTGGCGAGCGCTTTGCCCCTCGGCAACCCTCGCGAGACGCAGCTCCGCATTTTGCCTTCGTTGGTCTCAGGCGTGGTTGATCGCTTCTTGTCTGGTGCCCGAGTCCGGTTCGACTTGCCGGATCTCGTGTGGCGGCGCTTACCAGCTTGGGGAGGACTCCTGTTTGTAGTTCCCATCGCTGACGAGTGCGTGTTCACTTCCGCCTCTGGGGAGGCTCGGCTTCCTCCGAGCAGCTCCGGCTGCTCGGCAAGGGCGCCTCACTCCACCTTTTGCCCTCGCTGGCGCTTCCCCGCGCACGCATACCGACCTACGAGGAGGTCTACCGGAACGCGATGCAGCAGGTCAGGGTGGTCCACGAGGCCTACCTCTCCTCTATTCAGAGGTCGGCCCTGGAGGCAGAGGGCATGCTGGCGACGTTTAGCCGCGATGTCGTGCTGCTCCGTCAGCTCGGAAGTGCAGGCCCACCTCGCTGGCGGCGACTCTTTGCGGTCTGCAGCGTCGACGGTGATGTGCGCGCAGTCATGGGGATGCGAAGCTGTGGCTGTCGACGCCTCGGTACGGCAGCGGCGCAGCAGACCTTGCTGGCCCTCCCTTTCCGCCTGGGAGCGACCCTCTTCCAGGGGCCCAGCAGGTCATACGGGGAGGCTGCTGCTGCAGCTACCTCCTCAAGGATTCTAAGGCCTTGTTGGAGCACCTGCGGTGTCTCGCTCCCAGCCCCCGCTCCACCTTCCTCCGCCGGGCGCAGCTTCTACGCCTGAGTCTGCCGGCTGGCTTCGGCCGCTTGGTAGGGGTAGGCGGAGGAACAGGTCCGCCAAGGGTAGGGGCAAGGAGCAGTCCTCGACTAGCTCCCAGCCTTTTCGCGGGCGCGGGAGGTCTGCCCCGACCTCCCGTTAACCCATCAGGCTGCCGCTCAAGCCGTGTGTCACACCCAGTCAGCTCCGCTACTAGGGTCCACGCACCAGCCCTACCCAATATCCTTAGTGGGAGGCCGCTCTCTCTATTCCTGCCGGAATGGGAGAAGGCTACCAACAACGCTTGGGTGCTGGCCACGGTCAGCATAGGCCATTTACCACTGTGGAAGCGAGGTCCGCCCGACTTCACCGGCATACGTCGCACTCCGGTGCCGTCATGTCAAGCCAGGGCGGACATATTGCGCGACGGTTCAGGCTCTGCTGGACAAGTCCGCTAATCGGCGCATTCCACCGGGAGAGGAACAGGCGGGATTTTACTCCACGTACTTCCTCGCCCGAAGAAAGACGGCGGGTTCCATCCGATTCTCAACCTCAAGGGGTTGAATCGCATGCTAGAAGTACCATACTTCAAGATGGAGACACTGGCGCCGGTGATCTCATCTGTTCAGCCCGGCGATTGGCTCACGCCAATCGACCTAAAGGATGCGTGATCTGCATGTACCAATACATCCATCGTTCAAGCAGTACCTTCGGTTCTCTTACGACGGGATGTGTTACCAGTTCAGGGTGCTCCCCTTCGCATATCGACTGCCCCAAGGGTGTTCAACAAGCTCATGTTAGTCCCAGCTACCCTCCTCGCTCGCTAAAAGGAAGGCGTTGTTACCCTTACCTAGACGACTGGTTGCTCGGAGCACTAACTCAGCCAGCGAGTCAAGATAGTTTCACACAGTGATAGACATTCTAACTCGACTGGGGTGGATCATCAACCTCAAGAAATCCGACCTGGTACCCACCCAGGACTTGGTTTTTCTTGGAGCTAGCGATTCCAAACGAAACAAGGATCTCGCTTCCTTGTCGCCCGACCGGATCACCAGAGTTCGGGAGATGGTATCTTCATTCCTCTCCCAGCCCCAGGCACCAGCACGACTTGGCTCCGTCTACTGGGCCATATGGCGGCGACGATCTCTGTAGTGTGGCGGGCGCGGTTGAGGATGCGTCCTATACAGCAAGCTTTGGCTCGGCTGTGGACTCACACGGAGGATCTGGAGCGCAGTCTCACAGTCCCCGAAAGTGGTTGACACCTCACCTTCAGTGGTGGACAAATGTCGGAATCTCACCAGGGGATCCCCTTGGAAATCCGGACGCCAGCTCTCACAGTTCAGACCGATCGCGCCCTCTCACGGGCTGGGGTGTTCTGGGCAGTCTGTCGGCATCTGGACTCTGGTCCGGCCGAAGCCCACCTTCACATCAACGTGTTGGAACTGAGAGCTGTGCGGTTGGTATTCGAAGCTTCAGAGAGCATGTCCGGTGGCCAGGTAGTCCGCCTTCAGTTGGACAACCAGACGGCCATATCGCACATCCTGAAGCAGGGAGGCACGGTGTCCCCAGCGCCCTCCGGGAGGCGGGACTTTCTCCTCTGGTGCGATCAGTGCGACTGTCAGGTACTCCCTGTTTATCTCCCGGGCTGGAGAACGTCGCAGCAGATGCGCTCTCGCCGGATCCTGGCCCCGCGACGAGTGGATGCTCGACAGGCAGATTTTCAGAGTAATCTCCCAGTTGTACGGGTCGCTCCAAGTGGATCTGTTTGCGTCCGGGCGGGACGATCAGACACCCGGTTCTGCTCTCGATACCGACCCAGGGCGCTGGCTGCCGACGCCTTCCTGCTGGATTGGACGGGCAAAGTGCTCTGGGCTCCCCGCCGTTACCACTCATTGCCCGTGTCCTTTCACAGCTGTCCACCCAGCCAGCTCGCTACTTGTGCTACTGGCACCGCTTTGGCCGTCACAGAGCTGGTTTCCGGTAATTCTCAGGTTTCTGGCTCAGCCTCCTGTTCTATTACCTTTACGACCGGACATTCTCACTCAGAACGGAGCGCCCCACCCAAATCCACGGATTCAGTGGGTGGCTTGGCCTCTGTCAGGTCTAACCTCGAGGCACGCGGAATTCCTGCAGCAGTTGCAGACACAATTCTGGCTTCGAGGCGGGATTCGACAAACGTTCAGTACGAGGATAGGTGGTCCCGCTATGCGCGCTGGTTTCGATTCTCTTCGGAGTTATTTGTCGATTGTGAGCGGTATTGCATTCCCCCCTACGGTGCTCACTAATAGACACTTCGTGGGTGGGGCTTTATTGACATTCACACTATGTGCGTTGTCTCATTATGCTAAATGGAGGTCGTCTTTGAGTACAATTCCTCCGTCAGTTCCCCTCCCAGCATGCCTCTCGCGGAAGCGAAACTGGGTCAAGTGACAGGTGAGTGTTATGGCGTCTGTTCAATTTTTTTCCATGATACGATCGCTATATTTGTGTGTGCTTGGACAGAATTCCCTCCTCCCTGGCCTCCGGTCTTTGGGAGTCTGTGTTTATGCATAATATGTACCCCAAGGACGATCTCTCTGAAAAGAATTAACCAAACCTGAAGAGGTTTTCAATTCTTTGAAGAGAGTCGCCCTTGGGGTAGGGCCTCCGCCTCCATTCTGTTCACTGATATATTCAGCAGAAGGAATGATGATACGGGTCTAGGAGCCTACCCAGTTGGTGCGCATGCTCTAAGGGAGGTAACTCCGTGAGGTAGGGGCCGTATAATAAATAAAAGAGTTTATTTATTGTTCAATCTTTTTATTCAAAAAACATTGATACAACTGTCACAGGACATTTTTCAGCCGGAAAATGCTTAATATGTACCCCAAGGACGACTCTCTTCAAAGAATTGAAAACCTCTTCAGGTTTGGTTAAATTTTGAACAAACTCACTTGCCGAAGGTGAGACCACATGTGTCACATGTGCTTCGTTGTGGGGCAGGACTCAAGTCCTAGAAACTCTCAGGAGTCAAGCTGCCAAACACGGTCACCCATCCAAGGACTCTCCGAGCTTGACGCTGCTTAGCTTCACCGATTTGTGACCTGAGCTTTAAGCACAGGACCACGCGCCACGACAATATATATATCTTATCATCCGTTTGTTCACCAGGTGGGCTATAAATCTGTCTGGTCTGTCTGTGTAACTGTTTATTGATCTGAGAGGTATGCATTGATGTGTACGCCATTTGTCTCCTTCAGGGGGCAGCACTGAAATACATGAGTGCAACGATCACAGACATCATGACTGTCTTTGATCCAGTGGAACTGAGGTGAGTACATTTGCTAGAATATGAAATGATGTAAAGAGAATACATTCAGAAAATATGTAGCAGTAAAGGCCACAATTCTTGTCTTATTGCATGTGTATTTAACAATGATTTTGAAGCAGAGTTCATCAGAAGACATTAATCCTGTCTGCGATCATTAACCAGGTCTCTATCTTCCCCAGCCCCAAGTAATTTAGATTAACTGACTGAGTTTGGTTTTATGCCGCTTTTAGCAATATTCCAGCAATATCACGGCGGGGGACACCAAATTTAGATTAAACATGTACGGGGTGGTGTCATTGTCTTTATTACCCACGTGGTCAACGTATTGGTAATTGCATACTAATCTTGTACGTCACACGAGTGTCGTATCGCATTGACCCCTGTCGTAACGACTTGACCTGAGATTCTAGCGATTTGATTGGATAACCGATGACCTCTCATTTAGGTCACGTTGTGACAGAACTACTTTTTCATTCATAACTGACATGTGAATTCATTCATTCTACAACTGTGGGAATGTAAACACTGCGAACGTTGCCGTATCACTGTTTAATTGTGAGTCGAACTGAGACATTTTATCCATCGAAATACATAAATGTTAAGTTTCCACCAGTGATGTTAGCCGAGTGAAGCAACTGCAAACCAAGAAACGGGGTGCTACGGAGTAGTTTAATGTAGGAGGCTGACATGCATCGTGAAGTCGGTTACCAAGGGGGCAGACGAGCAAGGCGTTGTGATGTCAATACAGTGTGACGTCATGCAAAAGTGAACTACAGAACAAAATTCTTCTGCAACCTCTTTATGAAACCGGTTTCGGTTTGAAACCATAAAAATAATAAAAATGCGCTATTTTGTCAATTTAATCCATGTAAGACGTGGGTAATAAATAAAATACCACACTCGGTCTCATTACATGCAAATTATACGAAACTCATGACCTTCCTATGGTTTCTGACCTCACTTTCGCTCGGTCAGATACAATAGGAAGGACACTCGTTTCGTATAATTCGTATGTAATGAGACCTTGTGTGGTATTCTCTATGTATATACACAGTGGTTGGAAGTGTAGCCTTGTGTTCACATTGTTACATCCCAAAGGTCTGTGTTCTAATCCCCTCAGGGGTACAATGTGTGAACAATGTTTGTACCTTGGTGTGGTACCACTCACTCACTCACTCACTCACTCACTCACTCACTCACTCACTCACTCACTCACTCACTCACTCACTCACTCACTCACTCACTCACTCACTCACTCACTCACTATTTGATCATGTAATTCTGGCATTGCAGTCACATTCTGGTTCAGTTCATCAACAATGTACCCAAAGACCGTCTGACCCGCCAGAAGATGAAATGTATCGATGACATCATCCATACAGAACTCTTCAAACTTCCAGGTAGGTGGAGATAAGTCTCACTGAAATAGGGGACATGACTGGCCCATGACTGGACAGTGTCTGACATGACTGATGCTGTTTATGCTGAGTTTGAGCAGAGTGTCTGACATGACTGAGGCTGTTTATGCTGAGTTTGAGCAGAGTGTCTGACATGACTGATGCTGTTTATGCTGAGTTTGAGCAGAGTGTCTGACATGACTGATGCTGTTTATGCTGAGTTTGAGCAGAGCGTCTGACATGACTGATGCTGTTTATGCTGAGTTTGAGCAGAGTGTCTGACACGACTGATGCTGTTTATGCTGAGTTTGAGCAGAGTGTCTGACATGACTGATGCTGTTTATGCTGAGTTTGAGCAGAGCGTCTGACATGACTGATGCTGTTTATGCTGAGTTTGAGCAGAGCGTCTGACCGACTGATGCTGTTTATGCTGAGTTTGAGCAGAGTGTCTGACACGACTGATGCTGTTTATGCTGAGTTTGAGCAGAGCGTCTGACACGACTGATGCTGATGTTTCTTCAGACTGTCGCCTGGTGCTGCTGGCGCCGATCCTGGAGCACACCCAGCTGTTGATGGAGAACAAGGAGGAGATGGAGGACTGCGTCAGCGTCCTCAGTGACATCATGCACATCTTGTGGACACCATTACCGGTCAGTCAGGCGTCAACCTTTCACACATCAGCTCCAAGTCACACACAGATATTTAGAATACTACTCAAGAATACAGGATCTTGTAATTTCCTCCATGTACAATTTACAGTTAAACATTGTGTGTGCTATTTTTCCTCAGTCCTGACATCTGATCAGCAAATTCCGGCTAGAATTGATCTTCAGCAACCAATACTTTTCCTAAGAGGCAATTAATCATGATCAGCATCAATAACTTTGTTACATAGTTACATTAATTGTTAAAGCCTACGCCCATCACGCCGAAGACCCAGGTGCGATTCCGCACATGGGTACAATGTGTGAAGCCCATTTCTGGTGTCCCCCGCCGTGATATTGCTGGAATATTGCTAAAAGTGGCATAAAAGCAGACTCACTATAAATTCTGATCATCCTGAACCCTTGAAGTTTCGGGTTAGAATTGATCTTCAGCAACCCATGCTTTTTGTAAGAGGTGACTAACGGGATCGAGTGGTCCGGCTTGCTGACTTTGTTGACACATGTCATTGTATACCAAGTGCGTAGATCGATGTTCATGCTGTTGATCACTGGATTGTCTGGTCCAGACTCGATTATGAACAGACCGCCGCCATACAGCTGGAATGTACAGTCGTGTCCCATTTATCCGGACACTTGTGTTTTTCTTGGAATTGTCGGATAAACGAATTTCCGGATATCTGAACCCCGGACCATATGTAAAAAGACATACAAAGAAACAAATATAATAGACCTCAGACGTAATCTTTATTGATAAGACATCAACAATTAACAATGCATACATAAAATCACATCTTGTCAAATAAAGTAGTCAAGTCAATAGCACGTGCGAACATACCTGTACATGCATCTGTCTGTCAAATGCTAGCAAAACCAATCACGAAACAGTTCTGATGTCATCCACGCGTTTGCATTGTTCTTGTACCTAACATAAACGTCCGGATTAAAGTCACTACCAAAACAACGGGGATGTCTAGCCTTGCCAATCACAACACAAAATTAACTCAGTGTCACCTTGCTAATTACAGGTAGTTAATCCTCTCACGCTTCAAAGACTGCCGACTTCTTTTATGTTAGGGCACGCAGAGGCCACTCTGTAAAATGCGTGTGTAAACATACTGACAGGTGCTCAGCCATCCGGATATACGAGAGAAAAAAGCATGTAATTTAGTGTTTCATGTGTGAAAATGACCATCCGTCACGGAAACCGGATTTCCAGATAAGTGAGTAATTTTACAACGTTGTGAATTTGTTTTAAGGAATTTTCGTTTGGAAGGCGAGTTTTCCGGATATCTGAGGTTCGGATAAACAGGGCACGACTGTATTGCAGAATGTGGGGTTAAACAAAATACAAAACAAAACCAAAAAGTTTGATCCTCTTGACCGATTCCTGAGCTATGTCCTCCTCCCCAGGGCACACATGAGGCTGAAATCAGCGTCCTAGAGAAGATCATTCTGCGTACAGTCATACAGTCAGTCATCGGCATGGACCGCAGCACTAAACAAGCGGTAGGTACACCAGGCATATCTCAGCATCGTCAAGTCTGTGTCAGTATATCACGTGTACATTATATCGTCATCGCTTCATCGCTGTGTAGTCCTGGTGACTCAGATATACCAGAAATATAGACAGCAAGGTCCAGGATTTTGTTGGCTGGATTACATAATGTTGCTAGTTTCGTGTAATTTTATCATTTTGAACATTAAAATCATCTCTGTTGGATTGTTAGGGTAGGATACGATCTGTCATACAACAGGCTTATACTGAAAGATATAGTGAATTATGACAGGTGTATACAGTAAAGATATAAGGAGCTCGGCATTAATGGGTACAACAAGGACTGGTCGGCATGGAGTCAGTATAATGTGTCTGAGTGGGGTATTCATGCTTCACTGCGGCATGGTATCTCAGTAGGCTAGCACTATAAAACCAGCTTAAGTCTGGGCTAGTACAAGCAACCGAACATACACATACACACGCATGCACGTCGTCATATGAGCGAAAAATTCTCAAGCACGACGTAAAAAAAAACAATTTCACCTCACCTCACATATAAGGAGTTGTACAACAGCAGTATTACAAAAGGGTGTTATTTATTTCTACGACCCAAAGGTGTGGAGGATATAATAAGTTGTACAACTGCCCTATTTAGTATACATGTGATTAGTTGTACAGCAGCTCTATCCTGGATAGATGTATAGAGTTACATCAGTTGTATACAGCACAGAGTATCAAAAGTTTTACACCAGCACCATTACGACAGTTTTTAGATATAATGAGTTATGCCATGTGTACAACGGACTCATTTGGTATTCAGTATTATGAGAGGGTATAGTATGTTGTACCATGACCCAAAGATGTAGTAGTATAAGTAACAATACAACATGTCGTACACATAGGTAGGATATAATGAATTGTACAACTGCCCTGTTTAGTATAGAATATATATATGTTGTACAAAAGTCCTCATCTAGATGGACATACTGAGTTGCAACAGGTGTATGAGATATAGACTATAAAAAGGTTTACAACGGCCCTATTGTGGCAGGAATATTATCTGTTGTATTACAAAACAGAGGGGTTCAGGATATTATGAAGTGTACCATGTGTACAACAGCCTCATTTGGTATTCAATGTAATGAGTTGTACAACAGTCCTTTGGGGCAAAGGATATGATTTGTTGTACAAAACTCCAAAGACAGGATGTAATGAGTGGTATAGCAACCCTACTAGTGATTGCATATGTTTTGTTATACAACAGTTCCTTTAAGGACCATTCCCAATTTTACAATAACCCTGTTGACATACTATATAAATGAGTTGTACAACAGCCCTATTGAGTATAATTTCAGTTTTAAAGGTCAAATAAATTAAATAACTGATCTTAAGCTCAAATTATTGTAAAATTAAATCTTTCTCAGCATTTGAAAACATTACTTTACTCATCAACACCTTCAAAAAATGAAATTCCTAAACATGAACTGAAACATACACTCGTCAATTTCACCTCATCAATCACCTGTCATGCATTCACTGTCAGAGTCAGTTGTAGTGTCTGTTGTCATGGTTACACACATATCTGACCTTGTCCTTCATCTGTACTTGTTTCTAAATGTTAGTGGGTAGAAAGTCTGAGTTCGGATCCATACAAATCTTAGCAGCATCCGTGTTGTGGTTGGACTATTAATGTTTGGTTTTCTGTTTTTTCTTCGCAACTAACGATCATAGAACCGCAGGTTACAGGTATTTGACTATTGTCTTCGATAGATGCATCAGTCTTTTTGCAGTCACAGGAATCGTGTGCATAGTGGTCTGAACTGTCGTCAACTGTCATGTGTATATCGCCCTCACCTACCATCCATCCCTATATAGCACCATTGTACTAACTGCATCACACCATGTTAAAGCTTCGGACACCCACCATTACTTGAACATCTTAAATGTGAAAGAAATGTTTATTTAGCTTCAAAGTGTTTATTTAGTTTTAAGACGTTAATTTAGTTTCAAGGCCATGTGTAGGGATGAGAATTTTCCGCGGATCCATTGAATTCTGCAGATTTGATCGTGCTGGGGTCATTCTTGTGAATCGCCCCCAAGATCCCCAGCTCATTTTCCTATTTTTTCACTCATACCCATTCTCATCCCTGCATGTGACCCAGAGGTCATATTATAGACAGATTTATGTTTTACTGTCTGTTGAGATTAAAGGCCATGTGACCCAGGGGTCATATTATAAAGATTAATATTATACCGTTTATTGAGTTCAAAGCCATGTGACCCAGAGGTCATATTATATCAAGATTAATATTATACCGTTTATTGAGTTCAAAGCCATGTGACCCAGAGGTCATATTATATAAAGATTAATATTATACCGTTTATTGAGTTCAAGTCCATGTGACCCAGAGGTCATATTGTATAAAGATTGATATTATACCGTTTATTGAGTTCAAGTCCATGTGACCCAGAGGTCATATTGTATAAAGATTGATATTATACCGTTTATTGAGTTCAAGGCCATGTGATCCAGAGGTCATGTTATATAAAGATTCATATTATGCATGATATTAACACATATGGTAAGTGTCATCTTCTGGCTAGATAGACATAGCTCTTGTAAGTCAATGACTTCCCTGTTATGTTTTGCAAGTACTTTTTTTGTGAACTGAGTATACAAAGGGCTGATGTTTACAACATCGCATTCATCTTTCAGAATATTACATGTACTACAGAGTGCATCTTCGTAATAATCTTCACATAACCTCTACATATTTTTTTATTCAAGATTCATATCCACTTATATTTTAAAAAGCTTTTCTGTTCAAGTTATCAATATGTAACAAATATTTCTCACATGTTAAATGTGTTTAGGGATTTATCTTGACTTTCCCATGGGTTTAAGGGGTGGTGAGGTAGCCTTGTAGTTAAACTGTTGCCTTTGAGAACCGGGTTCGATTCCCCACATGGGGACAATGTGGGAAGCCCATATCTAGTGTACCCTGCTGTGAAATTGCTGAATGTTGCTAAGAGCGACCTAAAACCATACTCTCACTCCCAGGCTTAAAATATAAGGTGCCAGTTCTTTGTCAAAGTATATTCTACCTCAATTCCATCTCTTTCATGTTACTTGTATGGGTATATTTTGTCTTCATCAGAGGGATGACTTTGTTAAGCTTCACAAATTTATGAAGCAGTTTGTGTTTTGAAGAGCATGTCTCATTTAATTTCTTTTTTAGAGTCCGGTAAACTCCTATATTTCCTCAATCATGTGCCTAAAATGTTCCCATGGTTACCTGTATTTGATTAGATCAAGTGGTAGGGTCAAGGTCATTTGTAACAGTTTTCCAAAACTTCAGTGGGACTAGCTTGAAAGTTATTGAAATGTTGTCAATGAGATGAAACGTTTCCAATATGGATATTCATGGTAGTACTCTTGTTGGTTAAATATTTGTCGTCATATTGATGAAATAATGCTTACTCAAAGTGGATGAATGGGAGCACAACTAGAGGATATATTCTAGATTCAGCAGCCATATTGTAATATTTTTTCTAATTTTGTATGTTGGCTATTTCAGTCAGATAATGAATGTGTCAAGAATGATACATAATGTCATTCTTAAAATAATGTTTTCGACAAAATTTCTCTCTGATGAAATGTTTAGAAAATATGTATGAATACATTCTTTCAGTGAACTGCCAGATTCAAAATATAGTGTCAAACAATATTCAACAATGTTTGTCTAGAATACCATCCACACAGGAAATAAAACCAATCTAAACTTATATTGAATGTTTACTGAGAAAGCAAACATTCTATTGCGAAATGATATATGCGGATTAAAAGTAGTTCCTGGTAACAGATAAAAAGTAGTACCTGGTAACAGATAAAAAGGAGTACCTGGTAGCCATGGCTAAGTTTATTGGTTCGGTCATTTTGCTACTATAACACTTTTATATGAGAAATGTTTGTTTGGTATTGGTGATGTTAGAATTACAAGGGTTTTGTCCAAGCTTTAACATCCGTCTTGTTTTTCTTTAACACCATTTCAGCAAGTGCTCGCAACCCTACCTTGTTAAATGTCATTCACAGTGTGTTTTTACTGAGAGGCAGTGTTTGCATAGATTAATTCAACATGATAATTTAAATCTGGTTTGAAGAAGTAAATAATCTATTTACAATTGACACTGAGTCAGTACCGTGTTGAAAAACATTAATTTCAGCGCTAAAATTTGTGCTTTTCTTCGACAAAGATGGAACACTTTTTCTCACAGTTAGTCTTCCTGAGAATGAGTGTTTTTGTAAACAGACCAATTTAACAACAAATGCACAAATAATTTATGTCTTAAATTTATTCCTAAAATTAATTTATAGGTAAACTATCAGTTTACAAAGGTCTCCCAGTCAGTGCCTTGACAAATATGGAACACTGTTTCTCATGATGGAGTTGATTTCCTTGATATTGTATCCCATGATTTGGATTATTTCCTTGAATATTAACTGTTGTGTATATCACTGATGTCAATCACAGGTGTTGTCAATTTCACCTGGATTCTTTCCATTGTGTACCATGTCACCATTGCTAATATATTGTTCATATCACAGTGTATATTCACTCACCTTGCAATCAGCTGATCTATGTCACCATCTTCCATCAATCACTCACTAAACTTTTTTTTTTTATTAAAGAAAAAAATTGACAGTTTGACAGTTTTAAATTATTGGGGTTTTTTTGCACGTCATAATGTTCTTAAAATTGTTACCTCAATATAGCTGGAATATTGCTGAATGCGGTGTTAAACAACAAACCGAACCAACTTAAACTTGTTGATTTTGAGAAATGTGTCAAACTGTCAAGCTGTCAATCATAGTGAAGGCATGCCCATTGCAGTCACCCCCTGAATGGTCTCCCTGCATTTCAGCTATCTAGTTCACAAGAACTTGAGGACGGAACAGTGCATGATGTTGGTGTAAGCTTCACTTAATTCACAGCAGCATATGACCTTCACCTCCCTTGTATGCATATAATTAGCAGTGTATCCAAATTTGGAATTGAAAACATCATAGTGTCTTCTGGTTGCAATTAAACTTTTATGAGGAAAAGATTCAATAGTGTTATTGTCCAAGATTATGGGGAGGGGAGGGGATGCTGATAGGGTCATGAATATATATGACTGTCATAGGATGTTATGAACATTATTTATTTTAAATAGTAAAATCTTTCAGGGAGACAATGAGGGAGGGTGTCATGAATGAAAAAGGCTTTATTTCACTGTTACAGTATTGAACCCCAAAAGATGAATAAAACAAAAAACAGATTTCTTTGATATCAGATGTAAGAGAATTTCTTTCCTTTTGGGCTGACAAATTGTTTTGTTTACAAAAATATTCACCATTCTCAGTGGTGATGATATACTTTCTCATAATTAGGATGTTTTGAACTTTATTCTAGTGTGCTTGTTTATTTTCACTATGATCTACAACCCTATGTTGTTTTCAAGCCATAACATTGCTAATATCTCCAAGACTGTTGTTGCTGCTGCTGCTGCTGCTGCTGCTGCTACTGAACAATTGGTTAGCCATCCACATCCACTCACAGCATCATGTAACCTTGACCTTCACATCCCCATCACATTTGCACTCTAGGCCATAACCTTGACATAGTAACGTTGTAGTATGGCTGCAGTTTTGTCTTGTAAACAAGAATGTTGTTACCATGGTAACGTCTGTCGAAACATCTTCGTTCCTTTTGCACTTTTCTCTAATGAATCATCTGACACAAGCACTTTTGTTTGTGTATACTAATATTTCAAAATGTGATTTTAATTTTATTTGGTTCAATGTTTTAAAAAACTTCAAAAATTTATTCAAATTTATTTTGTCTCTATGTCAATTCTGTTCTCATCTCAATTTCATATTTACATAAGTTTAACTTTAAGTTATACTAATTAACTAACCTTCATATTAGTTAAGCAGCATTTAAATACTTTCAGTTACTCAGTTTCGTTATTCTACTCCACTGTAACAAACTGCAGCATATTCTAACACAACATCCTATCCGCAGCAATTCTTTGGCCATCAGCCTCCTCAGAATGTATGTTACAAAACCATCAACGTAAGTATCTGCCGCTTCATCACAGTCATTCATCACAATAAAATACCATTCCTTTTGCAGCTTACAGAGCTAATTTCAAATGTATAATTGTATTCTATGTGTTTTTCTTGCTTTTATCATGTGCATGCTTATATCAAATTAATGTGACTTGTTGAATTGATTATCATGTTACCATGGTTACAGAGGATTTGGACTAATGGATAATATATGGTGATAGATATTAGAAGTGATTTGTGATTACTGATCAGTGACAGATGACTGTTGAACAGTCTGTGGTGAATGATCTGTGAACAGCAATCTGTGATGAATGATCTGCAAAGAATGATCTGTGAACAGCAATCTGTGATGAATGATCTACAAATAATGATCTGTGAACAGTGGTGTTATGAATGTGAGATGATTGCTCTGAGATGAATGATCTTCAATAGATTGTAAGTGATGAAGTAACCTTGGTTATTATCTTGGACCATGTCTTATAGAATGTTAAAGTAACATTGTTCATTTAACTGGTTAAATGTATGTACAGAGAGTTTATTCTTGCAACTAAGTGATATGGATATATATGACCACTTATGTTTCATAAATGTATTTAAGTTGTACATTATGATGCCAACTTGTACCTCTAATGCTGCAGAACGCGACCGGAGTGTAAATAGAGTTCAGTTCAAGTTCAGTTCAGATAAATTACCTGTGATGAATGGTCTGCAGTGTATGATCTGTGATGAATGGTTTACAATGAATGATCTGTGATGAATGGTCTGCAGTGTATGATTTGTGATGAATGGTCTGCAGTGTATGATCTGTGATGAATGATCTGCAGTGGATGATCTGTGATGAATGGTCTGCAGTGTATGATCTGTGATGAATGGTCTGCAGTGTATGATCTGTGATGAATGGTCTGCAGTGTATGATCTGTGATGAATGGTCTGCAGTGTATGATCTGTGATGAATGGTCTACAATGAATGATCTGTGATGAATGGTCTGCAGTGTATGATCTGTGATGAATGATCTGCAGTGGATGATCTGTGATGAATGGTCTGCAGGGTATGATCTGTGATGAATGGTCTGCAGTGTATGATCTGTGATGAATGGTCTGCAGTGTATGATCTGTGATGAATGGTCTGCAGTGTATGATCTGTGATGAATGGTCTACAATGAATGATCTGTGATGAATGGTCTGCAGTGTATGGTTTGTGATGAATGGTCTGCAGTGTATGATCTGTGATGAATGGTCTGCAGTGTATGATCTGTGATGAATGATCTGCAGTGGATGATCTGTGATGAATGGTCTGCAGGGTATGATCTGTGATGAATGGTCTGCAGTGTATGATCTGTGATGAATGGTCTGCAGTGTATTATCTGTGATGAATGGTCTACAATGAATGATCTGTGATGAATGGTCTGCAGTGTATGACCTGTGATGAATGGTCTGCAGTGTATGATCTGTGATGAATGGTCTACAATCAATGATCTGTGATGAATGATCTGCAGTGTATGATCTGTGATGAATGGTCTGCAGTGTATGATATGTGATGAATGGTCTGCAGTGTATGATCTGTGATGGTCTACAATCAATGATCTGTGATGAATGGTCTACAGTGTATGATCTGTGATGAATGGTCTGCAGTGTATGATCTGTGATGAATGGTCTACAATCAGTGATCTGTGATGAATGGTCTACAGTCAATGATCTGTGATTAATGATCTGCAGTGTATGATCTGTGATGAATGGTCTGCAGTGTATGATCTGTGATGAATGGTCTGCAATGTATGATCTGTGATGAATGGTCTGCAGTGTATGATCTGTGATGAATGGTCTACAATGAATGATCTGTGATGAATGGTCTACAATCAATGATCTGTGATGAATGGTCTGCAATGTATGATCTGTGATGAATGGTCTGCAATCAATGATCTGTGATGAATGGTCTGCAGTGTATGATCTGTGATGAATGGTCTACAATGTATGATCTGTGATGAATGGTCTACAGTGAATCATCTGTCATAGATTATCTTTTCCATGACTATTATTTTAGCAGAAATTGGTATTGTGTGTTCTTAATGTTTGGGGTACTTTTTGTTTTCTTTTTTTTTCCTTTTAGTGAACTTTCTGTTTCTTGGTTATGAAAAATATGAATTGTAATTATGAGAATCTTTCCTCTATCCTTGCATCTCAAAGGGAGACCCAAAAAAGTTACAGGCAAGTTGTAAGATAGAAGTAAAAGTAGCGACAGTGGTTTTAGTGATTATTTCAGGAATACAATAGCAGATATAACCTAGATAATTGCAATGTACAGTAACCATGGTTACCACAATATACAGTGAAATGTTCAAATGTGTCATACAGCTGATGACTTGTACATCATTGTCAGAAGATTGATATATTAAAATGACTGTGATTAGTTTCATACCTCTCAGGAGAAATTGACATGATACATTTTTTTTTTTAAATTTTGCACTATAATGATTCATTTTATTGTTGATATTTTTTAATATAAAATATATTTGCTGTTAACATGACTGAAAAATCTTGCTATGCTCACAGTTGTATGATAATAATTTTAGTTCATTCCATTTCATTTTTCAGCTGCATGCGAAGCAAGTAAGGATTGAATAATATAATGTCAGTCATTGTTGCTATGGTAACATCTAAGGTGTCCATTGTTTCCAGGGCAACTGTGTGGCAGTCATGATGAGCATTCTTCGTCAGATGTCAGAAAACCATTACCAAGGTTACATCAAGAGCTTCCCAACGACCTTTGACCTTTTGGACTTTCTGATGGAAATTCTCATGGTATTCCGTGACCTTGTCAGTCGCAACGTCTACCCGTCCAATTGGTTGGAGATGATCATGCTACAAAATAGGTACATGGAAAGACTGGTGGCGTCAACGTATCAGGATACACTTTTGTGAACACAAGATCTCTGATTTGTTACATGATTTGATTACATTTAATCATCCCTTCAGATAACTTCCGGTCGACCTTAAGAGAAGTTTGACCACCCAAACAAAATGGAAATTACGTGGCTTTTTGAGCCAGTCAGATTTCACCTTTTTGAAAACAATTTGGTTCTTGTTTTTCTCAAGACAGTCTGTCATTCAAATTTTCTGTCCCTCGTTTAGAACGTTTCGCGTGAACAAATGAAAAGACATACTGACAATATAAATGGTCACATGATAACAGGGACAGCATACCATTTTTATCCCACCAGCATGTAATGCGGTTGGATATAGTCGTCGCCTCTTCCGTCCGTCCGTCCGTCCGTCCGTCCGTAATCATTTTGTTTCCGGAGCATAACTCAAAGACCATTCGATATTTTTCAACAAAAATTGGTAGATATGTCAAACATAACCTAAGGTGGTGCCTTTTGCTATTTACAAATTATTGTCATTTTTATTTTCCTTGGTTTCCATGGAAACATTTTGGACTTAGTCTCAAAAAGTAAAGATTGCTTTTCGTTTCCGGAGCACAACTCAAAATCCGTATAATATTTTTCAACAAAACTTGGTAGATATATCAAACAGATCCTAAAGTTGTGCCTTTTGCTATTTGCAGATTTTTGGCATTTTTATTTTTCCCAGTTTCCATGGAAACGATTCGGACTTAGTCCCAAAAGTGAGGGGTGGGCTTCTTTTCCGGAGCACAACGTGAAAACTTCTTAATATCTTTCAGCAAAACTTGGCAGATATGTGAGGCAGATCCCAAAGTGGTGCCTTTTGCTATTTGCAGATTTTTGTCATTTATTTTTTTCATGATTTCCATGGAAACGATTTGCACTTAGTCTAAAATCAAGCTGGACTTTAAGTAACTGTCAGATGATTTGTTCTTTCAAAGATGTGGGGGCCGGGGGGATATGTCATCTTCTGATGACTCTTGTTCATATTGATGTCATATGTTCAGGAAACTTATTGAAAGCAAGTGTTTAATCAGAACTGCCTCTCTCTTTTTAGATACAGAATTTATGTTTTATGTGTGCTCCTTTGAATGCTTATAATTCTTAGGTTCTAGTTTTGCGTCCTATTGTGATATTTGACTCCTAATGTGGAGGCGAACTTGATATCTTTCCAGCATAATACTACGAGCCCTGCGTTTCTTTGCAAACACCATCCATGACAAGTTCTCAAGTCCATTTGAACAACAGGTGAGACCATGCAGATGTCTCTGAATATGTTTAATATTCATTGTCTGTACACCCACAACAAGATGAACTAACTTACAAACTGTCTGTCATCAGCTTGACCAATGACCACGTCGTACTTGGATTGTCTTGTTGCCACTCCCAGTGAGTAGCATTTCTTGCTCCTGCCTATCTGGCAGAATTGATTGAGAAATACAAACCTTCTTTACACTAAGGTCTGCTGATCAATTACTTCTTATAGGACCCAAAACCCACCTTAAAAAGTATGGACAGAGATCATTTGCTTACATGGGCGTCACACAAAAAGACGTTAAAGTATGGTACTTGTTGGTCCCTGCCTGGCGCTCGGCATTAATGGGTACAACAAGGACTGGTCGGCTCGGAGTCAGTATAATGTGTCTGAGTGGGGTATTCATGCTTCACTGCTGCATGGTATCTCAGTGGGCTAGCACTATAAAACCAGCCTAAGTCTGGGCTAGTACAAGCAGCCGCACATACACACGCATGCACATCGTCATATGAGCGAAATATTCTCAACCACGACGTTAAACCCAATTTCTCCTCACCTCACCTTACATGGCCCCGACTCTGTGGAACGATCTTCCCATGGTAATTAAGAAATCCCAATTATTGACAGTCTTTAAAAGCTGCCTAAAGACATATTTCTTCCAAAAGTTCTATAAAGAATAAATTACCAGTAAAAATATAGCATCTCTCCTGCAGTGTATTTTAATTTTGTGCAGCGTGATGAGCATTCAGTAAGTGCCTAGAGTTTTGGGTGCATTACAAATCTACTGTATAATTAGTATAATAATACCCATGTGTTAACCTCCGGTATTCAAGTCAGGCATTTGTCAGGAACTGACAGTTGTATTTCTCAGTTAATATACATTAATACCCACGAATTCTTAAATGCTCAAATGTAGCTCAGGCTGATGTCTATGAGGATTGGTTAAGAATAGTTCAAGCATTCTCTGGAGAAACATACAATTTCAAAAACATATTTGTCAGTTTATGTACAAGGTATCACTAGGGTTATTTTAAAATCTCCTCCATATTTACATATCTGCATGGCTGTACACAGATCAAACTGACAGGCTGCTTTAAGCAGAAATACTGTTGAAAACTGTGTTAACGCTAACCCACTCCTGTGATGTACTCACTGGGAGGCTTCTGAACTGCTACACATCTCGAGTTTGGGTGCCAGTAAATAATATGGTGCGCAAACAAAGTGATGTTTATGGCACTGGTGTTGTTACTTACAATTTACTTGTGTTGTTGATAGTAAATATAGGATGTGTGATGAACTAGCAGGGTCTGGAACATGCCTCAGTCTGTGCTTCAGCTTCGGACAATGTGATGCGTTGTTGTTTCAGCTTCGGACAATGTGATGCGTTGTTGTTTCAGCTTCGGACAATGTGATGCGTTGTTGTTTCAGCTTTGGAACAACTTCTTCCACTGCACGATCTCATTCCTCATCCAAGATCCTCTACAGCTGGAGAACTGTCTGCCCTCCAAGAGACACAAGATCATATCCAGGTATGAGTCATGTCATACCATATGACATGTCATATGTCATACATCATATCACATGTCATATGTCATACATCATATCACATGTCATGTCATGCCACATATATTGTATATCATATCATATGTCATACATCATATCACATGTCATACATCATATCACATGTCATATGTCATACATATCACATGTCATACCATGCCACATATATGGTATATAATATCATATGTCATGTCATACATCATATCACATGTCATGTCATGCAACATATATTGTATAACATATCATATGTCATGTCATGACATGTCATGTCATATATCAGTGTATGTCACGTGTCATGTCATGTCAATTTTACATTAGTACATAGTCACACACATTTAGTAACACCGTGAATTTTGCTACTGAGCCTAGAGAATCCTCTGACCAAAATTGTTCAAAAAAGGATTTAGGATCTGATTATGCTTTGAAAAGTTAACTCAGGCAACTTTTCTTAGCTCCAGCTGTTGAATGAAAATATGTGTTATTTTTCTATACTACCATAGTCCTTAGATCATTTTTGACTTCTTGCTTATGCAACATAACTAGTTTGCAATATGGAACAAGTTTTTATGGATAACAACTTCTTTATTTAAGTAGTTTGGTACAAGAATCTGTATTGAAACGTCGAAAACCATAAAACTAGTCCAACTAAAATGCCACTCAAACAAGGTAACTAGTTTGGTTTTGACTGAAAACCATTAGTCCCTAATGGACTCATGACCCTATCTGTCTAAGCCATGTGTCTCCAGTGGGGTGTACAGTAGTTTGCAAACTGAAACATACCGTATAATGCCCTAAATATGCCGATCTCATAGATAAGCCGACCCCCTAACTTGACCCTTAAAATCAGCTGTCGCATAACCTGGGTATGATTATACAATACTAGAATATATTTCTCTTCATAAAATAATAGTTGCAGGTACTATATTTTTAAGATCATTTCATCTCGTTATATTATCGGGTACATTTTAACTATATCACCGGTAGGGGAACGTGTGCACTGAACAGCTGATTGCTATTTCCGGCGCTGTATATGAGACAAATACACAGGGTAATCTTAATCCCTGCATATAAGGCAATGCCTAGCAAAAAACAAATTAGAACTGAATAGGTAGACAATCTTGTCTGGTGATGTGTTATTGCAAATTTGAAGTCTTTACTGACATTGTCTTCTCTTGTCAGTTTGTTCATACGAACGATACGATGTCATTTTGTTACCCCCTGAAAAAAAGTTTGTGTAAGTGTAACCCATAGATAAGCCAACCCCCTTCTACAGAGAGCTATTTTTGGTCCTCAAAATTCGGCCAATCTACAGTAATATACAGTTGGTCATCGATCTTGTGGTACACAAGTCCATTCCTGTACACACCTCTAGTGATTTATGCATCTCAGAATGGATGAGGTTAAACATGATGATATCATCTGTTTCAGATATAAGGACATGAGGAGGGAGACAGGCTTCGAGATCAGAGCCATGTGGTTCAAACTTGGTGAGAATTGAAAAATAAATACTGTCAAGGAAAGATTGTGTATTACACACAGTGTGGACAGTACTTTTAACATCATTCAAATCTTACTGTCATGTCAGCACCTAATGTAACAAGGGATCTTGTATTTCATCACAAATAGCACCAAACCTAGCTGATGTCTCAGTCAACAGGGATGGTAGGGTAGCCTTGTGGTTAAAGCATTCACTTGTCACGCCAAAGACCTGGGTTCGATTCCCACATGGGTACAATGTGTGAAACCAATTTTGGGTGTCCCCTGCCGTGATGTTGCTGGAATATTGCTAAAAGCGGCGTAAAACTGAACTCACTCACTGTCACGTGATGTTGAGGTGAAAGGTTTCCCAATCATGACTGTCTATTTCTTTGATGTTTTTCAGGCCAAAATAAGACACAGTTTATCCCAGAAATGGTCGGGCCAATATTAGAAATGACACTGATTCCAGAAAGTGGTAAGTACACCGTCCTTAATGTAAAATTACTGTATTTGCCATATTCAACCCCAATATTAAACCTCTTGCCTACATAAATTTACTGTCCCGACTTCCTTCATGTGCAATTTGTAGTTTATGCGTTTGAAATTTACGTGACAGCCAGTGTGTTTTTTTTATTTTATGACAGATTTGCTCTATTCTGTTTCAATCATGCACATTGGTTTTCTCAATCTGCTGTAAACATCTGTGAACGTGTTAGACTGGGGATATGTGCTTCTTCATATGGTGACATATTTTATGAAAATCATTATGATTTATTCACCCGTGAAGGTCCGGGTTAGAATATTGATCTTCAGTAACCCATGCTTGTCATAAGAGGCGACTAATGGGATCGGGTGGTCAGGCTTGCTGACTTGGTTGACACATGTCATCAGTTCCCAATTGCACAGATTGATGCTCATACTGTTGATCACTAGATTGTCTGGTCCAGACTCAATTATTTACAGACCGCCACCATATAGCTGGAATATTGCTGAGTGCGGTGTAAAACTAAACTCACTCACTCATTATGATTTATTATTTGGTATTTAGTTGTTCCGGGTTCTCATAGAAAATATTGAATACCAATACTGCCAGCAAATTTGTTAATTGTCTTAGTTGACATTACAAACAGTTCGGGCTCCAGGTAACTTCTATAAGGGGCATTTTAGAAGTTAGGAAGTACAATTGAACAAAGTTTAGGGATGACAACTTTATTTCATGAGTGTAGCATTTCTATACAGATTCTTGTACCGTTGTCATTCCTGCTTGAAGTGATGAAATATAGAAGTTGTTATCCATAAAGTTTGTAATATCCAGGTATGCTTATGTTAACTAACACTATTTTTGTGGATGGAATTTTGTATATGTTGTCACAAAAGAAGTTCCTGTTTCACACCCTTTTTCCAATCCCTGCTGCAGAGTTGAGAAAAGCAACAATCCCCATCTTTTTCGACATGATGCAGTGTGAATTCTCACAACCTATTCCAAGATCCAAGTCTTTGCAGGGAAACTTCAATCAGGTCAGTGCTCAACTTTAGTTGATCGACAAATAAATAAATTTGGCCATGCCTGACAACTTACAACTGTTTCGTGATTGACTGATTGAAACCGGGAAAGGCTTGTGTGCAATTTTGTTATGAATTCTTTTCAGGTTGAGTGTAAAAGAGAGAAACCTTCTTCTTCTTTTTTTTCATAAAATCTTTCCAGGACTGTTTCACTCACTCATGTAAGAAATAGGCCCAAAATGACAATGCTTGTTTACGAACCAAATTTCAAGAGTGATGAGACAGTGTTTTAGCTAAGAGTTGGTTCATTCAGCGTACATCATCATCATCATCATCATCATCATCATCAATCAACATCATCATCATCATCTTTGATATGTCAGTCTCAGGATTCATCAGTGTGTAAAATATATCTAATCAAATCAGGTTAACTCACTCATTATAACCCATAAAAATGCGGGTTAGAATTGATCTTCAGCAACCCCTGCATGGTTGACGCATGTCATCATATCCAGTTGCGTTGATTGATGCTCATGATGTCAATCACTGAATTGTCTGGTCCAGATTATTTACAGACCTTCTCCATATATTGGAATATTGCTGAGTGAGGTGTTAAACAACAAACAAACACCTTTAAATTATCATGCCTCTGTTTATCTGTCCAGGTTGAGAATGAGATGATCACGCAGCTGGATGCCCTGGTGGAAGGTGGTCGGGGGGACGAGCAGTACATGGAGCTGATGTATGACATGTAAGTACATGGAGTCTGTGTATAAACTTTGGATTGTCGTCACGTTGTTGTGTTACTGAAGTGCAGCTTTTTCACAAGAGCTGTCGGGCGGTGAGGTAGCCTAGTGGTTAGAGCATCCAATCATCATGGCGAAGACTCGGGTTCGATTCCCACATGTGTACAATGTGTGAGGCCCATTGTGGTGTCCTCTGCTGTGATATTTGCTGGAATATTGCTAAAAGCGGGTAAAACCATACTCACTCAGTCACAAGAGCTGTTACAATTCGTTCATTTATTCGGTAAACAAACGTATCGAATTCAATTCATTATTAACAATTACATGGAATTTCATCAGCGCCTAGTTTCCACATATGGTGCTCAATGGCGCTGATTATTATTACCCCAGATTATTATTGCCTGTGAGGCGCTAGAGGGTTAATGGTCACATGATTTATCCCACCGGGTACCCATTTTCTGCTGGGTAAATAGAGGCATTTGGGAACAAACTCACTTACTAAGGTGACAGCTGACTTGTTAGTGTTTTCGTTACATAATATTGATGATATGCATCATATTCCCTCATAGTGGACTCATTGCAGTCCCATTTGTAACACAACTGACATGCACTTTAGAGCTGTATTTAAACAAACCCATCACCCTTGTCCTCCAGACTGAAGCAGCTGTGTAGTGGTCACGCGACGATGAGGGACCAGGGTCTGGTGTTCGTGGAGACGATACGGAAGCTGCTACAGCGCCTCCTGGAGTACCGCCTCATCATCCAGGACGAGATCAAGGAGCACAGGATGAGCTGCATCGTCAACCTCTTGGTCAGTGTCATCTGCCCTACATGCCTTGCAGGCTGGCTCTTTCCTTCAGGGATCAGAGTTGTGTGCCTTATCAGTGTTAGGATCTACTGTTTTAGGCTTGATATGTGATATTTGACTAGCCTGTACAGTGGTCCATCAGACAAGCTAATCCAGACAAAAGTACTTATTGGGCCTCCAGTGGTTCCGGGCATGGTGGGGTAGCCTAGTGGTTAAAGCGTTGGCTCGTCACGCCGAAGACGCGGGTTCGATCCCCACATGGGTACAATGTGTGAAGCCCATTTCTGGTGTTCCCCGCCGTGATGTTGCTAGAATATTGCTAAAAGCGGCGTAAAACCAAACTCAGTCAGTCAGTCCAGTGGTTCCAAACAAACATTATTGCGTTTATTGACAATGAATACTTTGAATCCTGCACTTATTACTTATTACAGACGATGTTGAAACATAGTGCTGTGGTCACATCCTGACAGTGTGCAAAATAGCCACTGGCCTGCTAGCCCGTGGCTAGTAAAATTCCAATCGGGCCAGTAAATCTTGATAGTTACTGTCCCGACTGGCTGGTGAATTTTCATGGGGTCATTTTGTAAATATATCACTCTTTCCGACTTGTTATGTTATAGTACACTTTTAAATCATGCAAGATTATGGCCTGATGAAAATGTTCATCATATTAGCAGCTTAATGATGAAACCTGTGTCTACATTTAAATTTCGGGCTAGTGAATTTTTTGCGGGCTAGTAACTTTCAATCATAGGTAGCCGGACTGGCTAGCAAAATTTGGAACCTAGTTCCTGATCTCCCATGAGCATCTTTCTATGCATGCATCAGCTATAAAATGAGGTTAGCCATATCATACTATTGGTATTCGCCCATCTCGCTAGACATGTGGATCACCAGCTCGAATCATTTCATCCTCTGGCATTCATCATTTGTTTAATAACTTATTTTCGTGCTCTTGTCATCAAAATGTAACTGTTACCATGTCCCTTCTTTTTCCCAAGAGATTTTTGAGACGTGATGTTTTTGATAAGCACAATAGGTTCTTCATATTGTCATTGGTCACTTCACAAATATTTATAATATACCGGTATGTTACAAAAACGCTCATAATGACCTGATGGATCTAACAAACTGCCTTTCTTGGTTCCGGACACTTGCTGTATATTTCAGTAAAAATACGTAACAGCGAACTACTAAAATAATGCTAAAAATACTTTGTTGTTAGTTGGCTGTATGTTTTCAGATTTTAGGGTATTTTAGAGTATTCAAATTTCAGCCATTGGTTCCAATTAAAATATCTGGTATCACACACTAGGTAAAACCTGCAAATTCTGAAACAGGAATCTTCTAAATATGGTGGTTCAGAAGTGACTTATTTGATTTATATTCTGAGATATTATGATGTCTCCTGCAGGGGGATACTAATCATCGGTTCCCAATTGCGCAGATCGATGCTCATGCTGTTGATCACTGGATTGTCTGGTCCAGACTCGATTATTTACAGACCGCCGCCATTTAGCTGGAATATTACTGAGTGTGGCGTAAAACTAAACTCACTCACTCACTCAATCTGCTGCAGGATTTCTACCATGACATCAATCGGAAGGAAATGTACATCCGCTACTTGCACAAACTGTGTGACCTTCACCTTGACTGTGACAACTTCACTGAGGCAGCCTACACACTTATGCTGTATGCCAAGCTCCTTCAAGTAAGTATATTAAACCAAATCTTTTGAAATGATCAGGTCACATGTGACCTTGACTTTCACGATGCATCAAGTTCACATTTTCTTAAAGGTCACATGCAACCAAAAAATCAAACATAATTAAAACACAATTATCACTCCTTTATGACATATAATATGCATTGCTGATTATGAAAAAACAAATAAACAAAATTATAAGCGTATAATCGCAAATCAAAAGTGCAATATTTTGTACTTGGGTTTACCTCCCTCGAAACGAAGCAGCTCATTTTTTGTGTATAACATTTTGCAATCAACAGACATCATAACATGTCATGTGTTCAAGTATCACACCTGCCTGTCTGTGTAATTACATAATGTCACAGAGACCGAACTCGGGCCATAAATCAATGCATTTTGTTTATGGTGTATAGCCTGATTGGTGTTAAGTTCAAATTGCATGTGGTCAGTGATAGCAGCTGTGTATTGAATATTGTCATTAGCAGACAGGCAGGCAGACACACAGGTGTCAATAAAACAAGACGTTGAGTTTAGTCTGTGACAACGACATATCTATATCACAGTTAGAAATTCTGTCAACGCTATATAATGACATTGCTTTTAAGTATCGAACTGAGAAAGTGACTCGGTAAGAAGAACGTGTGGTGAAATAGACAAATGAAATTATATAAACAGTTAATTTACTGTCATAACATATAAAAGCTCGCTTCGCCTGTGAGATATCAACAAAACATTAGAAAATAGCTCACACCAAAGCCTTCACCGGTATTCACGGACAACGGCTTCCAAGCTGCTTGAACCCTACTTCACTGGCGTGCTTTATATGAGCGCAGCCCAGCTGTTGAAACCCGTTTTCCCCAGAAAAGTCTGGGGAAAATTAGTGAAACGTTTGAACTCCGATTTTGCGCGGTTTTTTTCATCGCGTTATTTTTCAACTTTATAAGTTGAATTTGCATTTTTGACGATTTGTTTCGGTAAGTCCATACCGAAAGGTATCAGAATCTGCAAAGTTGTGTTTTACGTTGCATGTGACCTTTAATGAACTATAAAGATCCGGGTAAGAATTGGTTTTCAGCAACCCATGCTTGGCGACTAACAGGATCAGGTGCCCAGACTCGCTGACTTGGATGACAAATGTCATCATATCCAAATTGAGTATATCTTGTTCTTGCTGTTAATCACTGGATTGTCTGGTCCAGACTCAATTATTTACAGATCACCGCCATATAGCTGGAATATTGCTGTGTGCGGGATAAGTATTTAAGCAAGCAAGTACTACCGACATGACTAACTGCGAGCTACAAATGACCTAGGGTGGAATGGGGCCAAAGCTTGGTGATTTACTTGATGCATGTTATCATATCGCTGTTTCATAGATCAATGCTTGTGTTTTAGTTATATCTTTTCTTGTCCAAGCTTGATTATTTCCAGACAGTGAATAGATAGCTGAGGTATCGCTGAATGCAGCATTACACAACAAACAAATGTTTTGTTTCAGTGGTCCGAGGAGTCCCTGCCGCCGATGTTGCAGAATGACAAGTACCAGGACTGCATGACACACCGCGAACTGAAAGAGAAACTGTACTATGACATCGTCAACTACTTTGAGCAGGGAAAGGTAGGTCCAGGAATTGACTCCAATCTTTTACAGGGACATGTTCTACTATGAAAACATAGTATGTTTATCTCCCATTCGACAACCTGCCTGGGTGCCGTTGTACAGCACAACCTTAGTGCTAAGACTACCTTAAGTCTATGTTAAGGTATGGGAGTTACGGTCACCTTAGCGCTTTGTACAACAGTTCTCTGGTCATGTGGTTTGACGTCTGTCTGGAGAGAAGACCTCTGGCTGTTCAATCATTATAAATTTTTAAACTTATCCTATCTCATGGTATGCACTTCTCTCTCTTGATTCGACACTGAGTGGAACGATGTAAACTTTTTTCCCTAGGCCTCTCTTGTCCATCCGCCAAGCACTCCATGCTACCCTCATTATAATTCCTAGCTCTCATGCAAAGCATGCGGCATGCACCACTAGCTGCCCATGTGACTATCTCCGAATCATCATTCTCTTTCTTGTCGCACACAAGTGTGGACGTATTTTGCTTGGCTCATCGTTTTCAACTTAGTCTACAACATGGGGAAAGTTGACCAGCCAAAGAAGAGGAACAAATGCTCCTGGTGTAATAAAGTGTTCTCCGCGAGTGATCCACGTGGATATTATATTGACTGTAAGGGACAGTGTAAATGGGACTCCCGTTGCGATAAATGCAAGGTTCTTACTTGGTGACTACACTCAGGCTTACGCTCGTCATGTTTCTGACAGGGCTCATTATATGCCGCTTTACTTGACGGAGCCAGTCCCTCCAAGTAAGGAAAGTTAAAGCGTCCTACTTTGTCTGCTCGGCGGTCACAGTCCCCTCTCTCGAATGAAGAGGATTTCATGAGAGCATCATCAGATTCTTACTTATCGAAAGACATTCGGCATTTGTTGGGTTCTCAACATTCCAGCCCGAGTCAGCTGATCTCTCCTGACTGCGCGCGCATGCGCAGAAGCCGTCCTCGCTCTTGTCGTTCATCCAGTAGTGAGAGGAACCAGTCTACCCCACCTCAACGCCTGTCAGTGTTTATTTCGCCGTCTCCTTCCCATTCGGCGGAAAAAGTGTGTCTTGCGTCCAGCTACCTCGATCTTCTGCTTCGCTGAAGCCTGCCGGATAGTTTGCCACAGTTTTCCTGCTCCCCTCCAGCTCGACTTTCGCCAGACTGTCCACCTTCCCCAGAATTAGACCAGCTCTCTACGAATCAGCTTTCGCCGAACCGATCTTCATCAAAAGGCCAGTCTATGCTTCGGCATTCTCCGGATCGTTCGTCTTCTAAACAGACTTCACCTAATCGAACTTCGTCGAATCAACGTTCGCCGAAATGGAAGATTTCACTGAAATGGCATGTGATGAACCGACTTTCGCCAATACGGCTCTCTTCCAAGCGGTATTCAACGGAACGCCCTTCTCCAGATCATCTGTGTACTTCCCAGAACTTTTGGATCCTACAGTCATGTCTCCTCAGCACGGACACGGCTTTCACCGAGTTATTTGGACCAGGCTCCTATTATTCTTCGGATTTCTTCACCTGATAGACCTGGTAGATCTACTTCACCGCCGAGACGCCACTCTTCGACTCGTTTGCATTCAACTAAGCAACGCCTCCATCTACTTCGTTGAGATTAGTTTTTCGATCGAAGTCACCTCCTCAGACTTCGTCTTCTCGTCAGCATGGGACTTCCTCTTCTACGCACTCTACCCGTCAACCTAGATCTCCAACACGATCGACTGCTGCCTATCATTCAAGATCCGGGGATCATCATTCTCGTTATGATACTTCCCCTCCTTGTTCCCGATCTCATCGGGTCTCGATATGTGCATCTTCTCCTGGTTCGTCCCCCTCCAGACATCAATATGGTTTTACAGATAGGAAATCTACTCAACGGGGCTCCAATTATAGATATCAGCATAATAAATCAGTTGTACGAGCATTTATCGAATCAGCAGTCACTGAATCAACGTTTTTCTACTTAAGTAGCCATCCCATGGTTCACCAAACTCTTCCAAGTATCATCGTCGAACCAATTCGGCAGAATTATGATATTTAGAGTCACTATGAAGTACACTGACAGATCTGTCTAGGTCCTACAAGCGGATAACAATCCCAGCCTTTTATTGCCAGTGACGATAACAGTGCCGGTAAGAGTGATTATGTCGGGATTCGTCAGCCAGCGGAAAGAGACAGTTCAACGAGAGTTACTCGGCTTTCAACTTTAGCCCTAGCCCTCAGTTCAGAGGACAGTGCAGTTCTGCTCGCATGGTACCCAGGCACCTATTTTACTGCCTTCGTCTCCCAGACAAACCTTCCCTGATGTTGTCGGGTTTTTTACCTTCGTCATTACAGCAACTTTACGACTGTTTCGGTAGATCGACGATCTTCATGCGTCGAATCTACTAACTTTATCACTCCATCTGACGGAACAATACTTCATTTGGGGAACCAGTGTTCCTGTCCTGAGATCACCAATTTTACGACCTTCATCACTCCGTGTGAACGTTCCTGTAGATTGACTGACAGTCTCTATGCGCCGACTCTACTATATTCAGCACTCGGTCAGTGCTGCCATGGTAGCTTGACTATTTAAACGTTCCTATCTCAGGAGAAATATCCCTACATTAGTGACAAGAGTTGCTATAGGTCTCCTTACCTCAGCACTAGCCTTCACTTACAGAGGTCAACTTTAGGCTCTACTTCACCATCGAAGCTACATTGATAATTGCATTCAGGCACAACAGGATTCATTCCTACTTGGCCAACTGCAGTTCACCACCATGCTGCTCCGGCAGTTAGGGTGGCTATTGTACATTGTGGAATCGAAACTAACATCGATCCAGAGACCCCACTTCATCAATCCATTGTTTGACACCAGTCAAGGGAGGATGTTCGCCCTTCAAGACAAGTGGATGAAGATCTAGCGATGTGTTGCTCCAGTGCTATCTCAGTGGCAGGAGCTACTAGGCTTTCTGACGTCAGATCAAGCCCAAACGTACAGAGTTCAGCCTCGGTCGTTACAGCACTTTTTGTGCACGTACCTTTAGGCCGACAATCCCAAGGAACTGATTCATCTTCCTGAACCTGTCATGCCGAAGACCCGGGTTCGAATCCCTACATGGGTATGATGTGTGAAGCCCATTTCTGGTGTTCATGCGTAATACAGATGCTGTTGACCACCAGCAAGATTCTACTTTTGGTCGTGTACTAAGTCCTGACCAGCGAGAAGTTAGTTTATTGACCTAAGAAGCCTGGCAGAGCCAAACCCAGTACCGCTTCCCGACCGGGGCAACCTGCATTTTCACCCTCACCCGGAACTACGCCTCTGGTCCCCTCAGACCCTTAATCTACACTTGGCGCATCTCCAGAGATTACTCATAGCTAAGGCTACTCTCGTCAAGTAGCCACAGCTATCACTTCAGTTCATCGTAATTCGACCCGTTCTTTCTATGACGATAGTGGAAGAAGTTTGAAGGCTGTTCCAACATTAGGGAAATCCATATCCCAATTTGCCTCTACTCAGGTCGTTTCTGCATTTCTGCAGCATCTCCATGCTACTAGGGAACTCAAGGGTACTATGTTAGCTACCTAACTGGCTGCTATCAACTCGGTTTTGGCTACTAACACTGGTACGAAGATCTCCACTCTTCCAGAATTGCAGAGTTTTCTTCACTTCTACAACTCACCGACCAGTCCAGGAAGTTCCGACTTCTGGCCTGGGAACTGTCCGTTGTCCTTCGTCATGTGATTCTACAGACTACAAACCTTTAGAAGACAGGGACTTCGAGTGAAGTGACATTCTTCTTCCTGGTAGCATGGCTACTGCTGCTCGTATATCTGAGCTTCACGCTCTTGTTGTCAATCGCTTGCGGTTCGAGCCGAAGAAGCATGGCAAGGTTTTTTCCTGGGTCTCCACTGGGACTTCATCGTGAAAAACCAACTGCCAGGGCAACCGGACCGGATGTTTACCATTCCCCCGTTGTCCATCTTTGGGCCTGATGATACTGAAGATTTGACACTCTGCCATGTTAGGGCTCTACACCTTTACCTTGCAGCCTCCAAGGATCGTCGATGGCTACAAAAGCGCCTCTTCATACCCTTGTCGGCCGCTTCAAGAGCTGATGTTTCCTGAGCCACATTGGCTTTCTGAATGCGTGGCACGATCCTGTGAGCCTCCACTTTGTAGGGTTACCCCCGCCAATCCTCATGAGACTCATGCATTAGCATCGACAATGGCCCTCCGTAACAACTGTTCCTTGACCGCTATCATGGAAGGTTGCTTCTGGCGTTCAGATATAGTCTTCTCTTCACATTACCTGCGAGACCTGTCTGTCACAGATGTCCTGGGTCTACACTAGTTCGGACCTCAGCAGCTTACATCAGCCCACCAACGCAGTTGAGGGACAGTTCCGCTTGCGCGTTACTGCTTCTTTCTACATACAGAACAAAGTTGAACAGGATCTAAATCATTGTTCTCAAGTTATGGGTTTAAGAACTACTTCACTTGGCTTCCATACCAAGGAATCAGAATACATTCAGAGGTGCTCGACATCCTCGCTTACTGTCCTCCTCCACGGAGCAATTAAGTCAGTGAAGTGTGACACTCCAATTCCAGTGGATTTCATTGCGCTCCGACTGGTTAGCTGCGGGCACATCCTTTGACTAAGCTTATGCAAAGGAGTGAGGGTCAATTTGATGCTGTCCCGAACTGAACGTTAAAACTTGGAGTTCCCGAGTTGTGCTTCTCTTTCACCCACCACTGGTCGGTGTCTGTGGGGGTCTTGTCAAAGCAGGGGCTGGCCCGATTATTGTCAACCAACTTTAATTTACAGGGGTACCTTGAAAATCGTGGCGAAGTGACATACTTTCTCGCTGAGCTGCGTCCTTCTTCAGAGGTTGCAGCTGAACACCCATCTTCCTGGGAGACGTTGTGCTTAGTAAGCCAAGGAGTTCAAGAGAACTCAGCACAAGCATAGGAGTTGTGTGCATGCGTAACAGGCCTCCCTTGTGCATCGCTATCTACAGTTGTTTCCAGTCTACACAGTTCCTGCTGTTCACACTGTCAAGACCCAGGGTATCTGCCGTCCAACAATGGGATAAGTGCATACCGTGAGATAGGATAAGTTTTAAAAATTTAAAATTTAATATAAATTGTATATTTATATACTTATCTTATCTCACGCGACGGATTCCCTCCCATCCTCCCTGCAATGCAGATTCTCCAAGATTGATATTATCCACTGGCTCCAAGAATGAGAATGATGATTCGGAAATAGTCAAGTGGGCAGCTAGTGGAACATGCCGCATGCTTTGCATGAGAGATAGGAAGCTGTCTTATAATGAGGGTAGCATGGAGTGCTTGGGCGGATGGACAAGAGAGGCCTAGGGAAATAAGTTTACATTGTTCCACTCAGTGTCGAATCAAGAGAGAGAAGTGCATACCGTGAGATAGGATAAGTATATAAATATACAATTTATATTAAAATTTTCAATTGTTGTTATCCTGCCTTGTGCTAAGCATTATGGGACACGGGCAAGTCATCTATGACGGTGTATTATGTATGCTATGTCTGAGGAAATATCCATGTTAAAACTGTGGTATGAAATCTCGGTAACAGGAAAAAATTTAAACAGAAAAAAAGTAACAGATTTTACTAGGAAAATAGTAACAGGAAAAAAAGAAACTTTTTCCAGTTGTTTGTTTTTATCTGTTAACAAAGTATAACAAAACTTGTGTGGCTTGTGTACAACTGTATCTTCTACGTCTAAAGTTGTGCTTAGGCTAGCACGGCAGTCTGACATAGCATGCTTACCACATTTCCACCAATCTTGTTTCTTGACTTGCTGGCAACAGTGTACATGTGACCATCAGGGCACAGCTTCCTTCCTCTCTTGTTACTTTCTATTACCTCCATCATGAACATAAACCCTAACATAGTCAAGCACATTATATCGTAGGTGAGAAGGACTATCAATGAAATTGCTTAGTAGAGATTTGGTCTATCACTATGAAACCAGCCTGAATATGTAACAGCAAGCACATACAGCAGTCTGTACATGAACAATACTTTATACTGGTTAATACTTGCAAACTGGTAACCTGATATGAGAAACGCAGTCTTAGTTCACTTGTCACCTTGTACACTTCCACAATGTTTTGATCTTCAGCAACCATGCTTGTCGTAAGAGGCAACTGAGGGGATCGGGTGGTCAGAGTTGCTGACTTGGTTGACACATGTCATCATATCTCAGTTGCATAGATCATGCTCATGCTGTTGATCACTGAATATTGTCTGGTTCAGACCCCAACCATTTTGATGAAATATTGCTGAGTGCAGCATTAAACAACAAACAAACACTCCTAGATATGTGAAAGTAGGCTAGATTCCATGTATTCTTGTACTAACATAGCTTCCATCTCGTGTTCAGATGTGGGAGAAAGGCATTGAGCTGTGCAAGGAGCTGGCTCGCATGTACGAAGAGGAGCTGATCGACTATCCCAGCCTCAGCCTCATTCTGGTGAATACTTTAACAAATCGTTATGGTTGACTCCTGACATTTTCTAGGGCTGTATTCCTGTCAATGTATTCCTATCTGATTGTCGACAATTGCAGTGCAGTGATACATCATTACACACTTATTGTATGGAGACACTGTATGGAGATGCAGAGCCCCAAATGAGCTGCTGATTTTCACAAAGCACGCAGAACATATTGCCACAACACAGCTGAGTTAGGATTCCTTGCATAGACCTACACTGGAATATTTGTGTTTTAATCCATGAGTATAACAGCACTATGTAGTTATCCCATGGATCATGTTTGAGCGTGGATATGTCTTTTTAGGTCTTCAGTTGATTGAAGACATGACATATACTGTAGAGCTGAGTCTGGCTGAACTATTGGTCCGAACTCTGGTGCATGTGACATACTTATTGCTGAACTCAAACACATGTAGATAAGAAGTCACATGTAACAGCAACATGGGCAGAGTTATTTAAATTTGAATTAATTTCTACGATAGACTTGACCAATTGGAACAAATTCTGATCAATTCCCGAAGAATTTTATCAACACCTTTTGAGGATAATCGCATGAGTAATTTCTCAATAGCTCACAAACCATATAAAGGCTTGGAGACATGTTAAATATATCCTGCTGTTTCTGTTCGTCGTTCACAGAAGAAGCAGGCCGATCTCTACGACAGCGTCATGAAGGAGATGCGACCGGAACCAGAGTATTTCCGTGTAATCGGCAGGGTATTTCCGTGTCGGCTACTACGGTCTTGGATTCCCATCTTTCCTCCAGGTTGGTCCACCAGGGTTAGATTTGGTCCCCAACACTCGGTATGTTTACCGGTCTAGTCTAGTGGATTGACGTCTGCCTGGAGAGCAGAAGTCTGGTTGTTCAATCCCAATGTCTAAATGATGATACAAGTAATCTTTAGATGACAGTAGCGAAAATGTTTTGCTTTTCTTGGGTTTGTTTTCGTTGTTTATTGTTCCATCCCATCATTTCAGAACAAGATGTTCATCTACCGTGGCAAGGAGTACGAAAGACTTGCTGATTTCAATGCCAGGATGCAGAACCTGTTTCCAAATGCTGATGTAAGTGTAGATAATCAAACAGTCTTGGTGTCTCGTTCTACTGAACTTAACTTGAAAACAAAGAACTGATGCCACCTGATTCATTTCTACTAATGAATTAATTGATCAACTGATGGGTCAAGATGTATGTCAGTGTATTGTTTGTGACAATGCAATGATGGTCTTGTCCAGACTTGATCATTTACATTCTGCCGTCATTTAGTTGTTGTGTTAATTAGTTTGGTGTTAAAGAACAAACACATACCGGTACGCAACCTTGATTGCTTAGGTACATTTTAGTGAAGGAATGTGATCTCATTTGTGTTTCAGCTGATGAAAACTCTCGACACTCCTGGTGATGACATCCGAGACTCCCCAAAGCAGTGTATCCTTCTGAAGGAGTAGTAGTAGCTGTAGCAGCTGCAGAGTAGTAGCTGTAGCAGCTGCAGGGTAGTAGCTGTAGCATTTGCAGGGTAGTAGCTGTAGCATCTGCAGGGTAGTAGCTGTAGCATCTGCATGGTAGTAGCTGTAGCAGCTGGAAGGTAGTAGCTGTAGCATCTGCAGGGTAGGAGCTGTAGCGTCTGCAGGGTAGTAGCTGTATCATCTGCAAGGTAGGAGCTGTAGCATATGCAGAGTAGTATCTGTAGCATCTGCAGGGTAGTAGCTGTAGCATCTGCATGGTAGTAGCTGTAGCATCTGTAGGGTAGTAGCTGTAGCGTCAGCAGGGTAGTAGCTGTAACATCTGCAGAGTAGTAGCTGTAGCAGCTGCAGAGTAGTAGCTGTAGCATCTGCAGAGTAGTAGCTGTAGCGTCAGCAGGGTAGTAGCTGTAGCATCTGCAGGGTAGTAGCTGTAGCATCTACAGGGTAGTAGCTGTAGCATCTGCAGGGTAGTAGCTGTAGCATCTGCAGGGTAGTAGCTGTAGCATCTGCAGGGTAGTAGCTGTAGCGTCAGCAGGGTAGTAGCTGTAACATCTGCAGAGTAGTAGCTGTAGCAGCTGCAGAGTAGTAGCTGTAGCATCTGCAGAGTAGTAGCTGTAGCGTCAGCAGGGTAGTAGCTGTAGCATCTGCAGGGTAGTAGCTGTAGCATCTACAGGGGTAGTAGCTGTAGCATCTGCAGGGTGTAGCTGTAGCAGCTGTAGCAGCTGCAGGGTAGTAGCAGCATCTGCAGGGTAGTAGCTGTAGCATCTACAGGGTAGGGTAGCAGCATCTGCAGGGTAGTAGCTGTAGCATCTGCAGGGTAGTAGCTGTAGCATCTGCAGGGTAGTAGCTGTAGCATCTGCATAGTAGTAGCTGTAGCATCTGCAGGGTAGGAGCTGTAGCATCTGCAGAGTAGTAGCCTCAGCATCTGCAGAGTAGTATCTGTAGCATCTGCAGAGTAGTAGCTGTAGCATCTGCAGGGTAGGAGCTGTAGCAGCTGCAGGGTAGGAGCTGTAGCATCTGCAGGGTAGGAGCTGTAGCATCTGCAGGGTAGGAGCTGTAGCATCTGCAGGGTAGTAGCTGTAGCATCTGCAGGGTAGGAGCTGTAGCAGCTGCAGGGTAGGAGCTGTAGCATCAACCAGCAAGATGAATCTCAAATATCACATTAACAAATTATTGGAAGAAAATCAAGTAACACCCTTCCTTAGCTTGTAGTCCTCCAGATCAATGCTGTCAGCCCAGTAATGGAGCTGAAGGAGAGGTTTGTGGACAAACACATCAGTGAGCAGATTCTCAAGTACTACCGCGTCAATGAGGTCCAGAAGTTTACATACTCCAGACGGTCCGAGGAGAGCAGTAACGACGTCACTGTAAGTCTTCTCTCCCAGTGCAAGGGCGGTGGGGTAGCCTAGTGGTTAAAGTGTTCGCTTGTCGCGCCGAAGACCCGGGTTCAATTCCCCTTATGGGTACAATGTGTGAAGATCATTTCTGGTGTCTACCGCCATGATATTGCTGGAATATTGCTAAAAGTGGCGTTAAAGTCACTCACTCTTCCTGTGCAGAGTTGCTTCCCTTAGCATGCAAGGATCTGTTGACAAGGATCCTTGGTCTATCAGCTCTAAATATCCATATATATCACACACTTCACACCAACGATCAAATTAAACAAACTTGAAAACAGGTTACGGTACCGGTGGCTTGAAAATGTTCTCACACAAAGACATGAGACTAAGTCGTAGTTACACTGTCATTACGAGGTTATGGCAACATCACAGGAGACCAACCAGTTCTGTTCAAGGTCTCTCTGCTCTCTTCACTCTGGTAGACAACAGCCAAGCAAACTAATGGTGATATGTGTATCATATGAGATGTAACAATCAGTTTGTTAGAATTTAATCCTGGTGTTATTCTCAACTCATTCACTATTAACCCGGGGCGTTGGGGTAACCTAGTGGCTAAAGCGTTGGCACGTCACGCCGAAGACCCGGGTTCGAATCCCCACATGGGTACAATTAGTGAAGCACATTTCTGGTGTCCCCCTCCGTGATGTTGCTTGAATATTGCTAAAAGCGGCGTAAATCTAAACTCAGTCAGTCACTATTAACCCATGAATATCTGGGTTAGAATTAGCCTTCAGCAACCCACGTTTGTCGTAAGAGGCGACTAATATGATCAGGTAGTCATCATATTCCAATTGTGTAAATCGATGCTCATGCTGTTGATCACTGGAATGGGTGGTCCAGACTCGATTATTTGCAAAGCTATGGCGTCACTTCAATATGTCCTTATGCAAGAGGGGCGGTGGGGTAGCCTGGTGGTTAAGGCGTTCGCTCGTCACGCCGAAAACCCGGGTTCGATTCCCCACATGGGCACAATGTATTAAGTCCATTTCTGCTGTCCTCCGCCGTGATATTGCTAAAAGTGGCGTAAAACTAAAATCACTCACTCACTCACCTTATGCAAGAATATTGTCTCAGAGACTAATTATTAGTTATAGTTGCAGCATTATTTGCAGTGTGTCTGAATTACAAGTTCTGTTCAAAGTTGTCCCATCAGCTTACATGACTTATATGTTTATTTTCTACAGAAAATGTGGCTGGAGAGGACGAACCTGATCACGGCCTACCCTCTGCCGGGCATCGTGGGCTGGTACCCTGTCACAAAGATAGAAACAGTGAGTTCAGACTGCTAGTCTACTTCAGTGTAATGTACAGTGCTCTTGTGCTTTGTTCAGAAGGTGTAAATTTTGAACAAACATCAGGGTGCCGTTGTACAAAACAACCTTAGTGCTAAGACTACCTTAAGTCTGTGTTGAGGTATGGGAGTTACGGTCACCTTAGCACTAAGACTGTCAAGTCTATGTTAAGGTATGGGAGTGACGGTCAACTTAGTGCTAAGACTATGTCAAGTCTATGTTAAGGTATGGGAGTGATGGTCAACTTAGTGCTAAGACTATGTCAAGTCTATGTTAAGGTATGGGAGTGATGGTCAACTTAGTGCTAAGACTATGTCAAGTCTATGTTAAGGTATGGGAGTGACGGTCAACTTAGTGCTAAGACTATGTCAAGTCTATGTTAAGGAATGGGAGTTACGGTCACCTTAGCTCTAAGATCGCTTTGTACAACGGCACCCTGTTCATTAAATGTATCTAAAATAAAACTGGTATGCCAATGAAAAGGCTGCATTGGCTAATTGCACACTTTCAAATTGTTTGATTGTCATTTTATACATAGGTAAGTAAATATTGAAGAACACAACTTCATGGATAGCTTTTTCTTGTTTATTACATAGAACGACCTTTCGATTGAAATTGTTGCACTCTTATCAAGCTGAAAGTAACTTTCATAATGAAGTATGCCTCGATACATGCTATTATTTGCATGCTTGCAATTTAGAAGTAATGGAGCCTAAGTATAGTGTTTGCATATTTTAATTCAATTTGAAGGTGTGAAATTGCATGATATTTTATTTCTGTCTGCACCAGGTGGCTGTCAGTCCGCTGGAAAGTGCAATAGAAACCATTGAGTCAACCAACAAGAAACTCTCCAGTGCCATAGAGCAGCATCGGCACGACTCGGAACAGAGGGTCGACCCTTTGGGGATGTTGCTGAACGGAGTAGTTGATCCTGCTGTCAATGGGGGAATCTCAAAATACAAGGTCGGGATAAATTGGTTGTTGATCTCTCACATTAGTTGATTTTAACTGTTAATGGGAGTTTAATGATTCTTGGTTGTGAGGTTCTACACCTAAGCACCTCTATATTTTTCCTTACAGGTGCTCTGCACCAAAACAGCTCTATGTTATTCCTTGCAGGTGTTCTTCTCTCAATGACCTTTATGCTTCCAGGTGATGTTCTCTCAATGGCCTCTTTATGCTTGCAGGTGTTTTGCTCTCAATGACCTCTTTATGCTTGCAGGTGTTCTCTCAATGACTGTTATGCTTGCAGGTGTTCTCTCAATGACTTTTATGCTTGCAGGTGTTCTCTCTATGACCTTCTCTCAATGACTGTTATGCTTGCAGCTGTTCTTCTCTCTATGACCTCTTTATGCTTGCAGGTGTTCTCTCAATGACCTCTTTATGTTTGCAGGTGTTATCCCAATGACTTATGCTTGCAGGTCTTCTTTCAATGACCTCTTTATGCTTGCAGGTCTTCTCAATGACCTTTTTATGTTTGCAAGTGTCCTCTCAATGACCTCTTTATGCTTGCAGGTGTCCTCTCAATGACATCTTTATGCTTGCAGGTGTTCTCTCAATGACCTCTTTATGCTTGCAGGTGTTTTATCAATTACTTTTATGCTTACAGGTGCCCTCTCAATGAATTTTATGCCTGCAGGTGTTCTTCTCTCAATGACCTCTTTATGCTTGCAGGTGTTCTCTCAATGACCTCTTTCTGCTTGCAGGTGTTCTCTCAATGACCTCTTTATAATTGCAGGTTTCCTTCTCTCAATGACCTCTTTATAATTGCAGGTGTTCTACAATGAGGAGTATGTACTGCAGAGCGGTGGTGAGAAAGATCGAGTCATGGTAGAGAAGCTCCGAGAACTCACAGTTCAGCAGGTTTGTCTTAATCGCCCTCCAGACACATCAAAGATGATTTGAGAGTATTTCATGAAATATATGTATGCACAAAGCTGACCAATTTAAAGATGAATGCTCTGGGTCAGTCTGTTGTGTATGTTATCTGCTATTTTCTAGAGCGTGTTCACCTCAGTCAGATTGTTGACTATGTATTCACTGAAGTACCTGTGAAGATCCGGGTGAGAATTGATCTTCAGCAACCCATGCTTGTCGTAAGAGGCGACTAACAGGATCGGGCGGTCAGGCCCGCTGACTTGGTTGACACATAGGTTTCCCAATTGGGCAGATCGATGCTCATGCTGTTAATCACTGGATCGTCTGGTCCAGACTCAATTATTTACAGACGCTCTCATATCGCTGGAATATTGCTGGGTGTGGTGTCAAACCAGAAACAGTGTATTCACTGATGCATCAGTCAGTCAGTCAGGAACTGCTCAGTATTCAGACTTCAAGTAAGAGTGAAGATCTTGTGTTCTTATTATTGTAATCAGTACCAAATGAAGGGGCTTCATTGCTGAAATAAAATAATGTCCTGTTACTTTGATGTCTTTCAGATTGTGTTGCTGAGAGACGCCCTGTACATCCACCGCAGGAAGGCTCCGGAATCTCTGAAGCCCTTCCACACCCACATGGAGCAACGGTTTGCAGAGATGTGCAACATCATCGAGAGAGAGTATGGCATTAAGGTAAGAAATGTGCAACATCATCGAGAGAGAGTATGGCATTAAGGTGAGAGATAACATCATCGAGAGTGGCAGGTGAGAGATGTGCAACATCATCGAGTATGGCATTAAGGTGGTGATGGCATTATCATCATCGAGAGAGTATGGCATTAAGGTGAGAGATGTGCAACATCATCGAGAGTATGGCATTAAGGTGAGAGATGTGCAACATCATCGAGAGAGGCATTAAGTTGAGAGATGTGCATGGCATTAAGGTGAGATGTGCAACATCATCGAGAGAGTATGGCATTAAGGTGAGAGATGTGCAATCATCAGAGAGAGATGAGAGATGTTAAGGTGAGAGTATGTGCAACATCAACATCATCGAGAGAGAGTATGGCATTAAGGTGAGAGATGCAACAACATCATCGAGAGAGTATGGCATTAAGGTGAGAGATGTGCAACATCATCAAGAGAGAGTATGGCATTAAGGTGAGAGATGTGCAACATCATCGAGAGAGTATGGCATTAAGGTGAGAGATGTGCAACATCATCGAGAGAGTATGGCATTAAGGTGAGAGATGTGCAACATCATCGAGAGAGTATGGTATTAAGGTGAGAGATGTGCAACATCATCGAGAGAGAGTATGGCATTAAGGTGAGAGATGTGCAACATCATCGAGAGAGTATGGCATTAAGGTGAGAGATGTGCAACATCATCAAGAGAGAGTATGGCATTAAGGTGAGAGATGTGCAACATCATCGAGAGAGAGTATGGCATTAAGGTGAGAGATGTGCAACATCATCGAGAGTATGGCATTAAGGTGAGAGATGTGCAACATCATCGAGAGAGAGTATGGTATTAAGGTGAGAGATGTGCAACATCATCGAGAGAGTATGGCATTAAGGTGAGAGATGTGCAACATCATCAAGAGAGAGTATGGCATTAAGGTGAGAGATGTGCAACATCATCGAGAGAGTATGGCATTAAGGTGAGATGTGCAACATCATCGAGAGAGTATGGCATTAAGGTGAGAGATGTGCAACATCATCGAGAGAGAGTATGGCATTAAGGTGAGAGATGTGCAACATCATCGAGAGAGAGTATGGCATTAAGGTGAGAGATGTGCAACATCATCGAGAGAGTATGGCATTAAGGTGAGAGATGTGCAACATCATCAAGTGAGAGTATGGCATTAAGGTGAGAGATGTGCAACATCATCGAGAGAGTATGGCATTAAGGTGAGAGATGTGCAACATCATCGAGAGGCATTAAGAGTGGCATTAAGGTGAGAGATGTGCAACATCATCGAGAGTATGGCATTAAGGTGAGAGATGTGCAACATCATCAAGAGAGAGTTTGGCATTAAGGTGAGAGATGTGCAACATCATCATTGAGAGAGTATGGCATTAAGGTGAGAGATGTGCAACATCATCGAGAGAGTATGGTATTAAGGTGAGAGATGTGCAGCATCATCGAGAGAGTATGGCATTAAGGTGAGAGATGTGCAACATCATCAAGAGAGAGTTTGGCATTAAGGTGAGAGATGTGCAACATCATCGAGAGAGAGTATGGTATTAAGGTGAGAGTAGTACAACATCATCGAGAGAGAGTATGGCATTAAGGTGAGAGTAGTACAAGAGAGAGTTTGGCATTAAGGTTAGAGATGAGAGTTTGATTAGAGATGGGTCAGATTGATCCATGGTGTGTAAACTTGTACCAGCAACCCTACTCATAATCAGTCCCCTGGTCCAATATGTGCCCCTGACCAAATGCTTGACCAAATTAAGCTGTCTTAGTACCAATTACTAGCACCAAACTTTGACATGAAAAATATTTTTCTTGTGACATTTTAAAGAAAACGCAAAAATGTAGTTGGGGAATATAATTGTTAGGTAACTATGATAAATACTGTTTTTATTTCATTGACATTTGCTGCTCACTCACTCGCTCACATACCAATACGACCCGTGAAGATCCGAGGTAGAATAGGTCTTCAGCAACCCATGCTTGCCACAAAAGGCGACTATGCTTGTTGTAAGAGGCGACTAACGGGATCGGGTGGTCAGTCTCGCTGACTTGGTTGACACATGTCATCAGTTCCCAATTGCGCTGATCGATGCTCATGCTGTTGATCACTGGATTGTCTGGTCCAGACTTGATTTTTACAGACCGCCATCATATAGCTGGAATATTGCTGAGTGCGGCGTAAAACTAAACTCACTCACATACCAATACACTCACTCACTCACTCACTCTTCTGTGGTATTTCAGGTAGCAGACCGGGGTTTCCACTCAGCGACTTTGAGACGTAACCAGTCTTTGCCGATCTGTACCAACAACCGACTGAGTGGCACCTCCTTAGGCAGCCCTGTTGCAGAGTAAGGGAGACAACTCTTTTTTATCTTATTATCCGTGTACAAACGTACAAAATATTTTCCATAGACGTTGACATGGTATAATAATGTTTTTTTAACCTCATACTAATATTCTTATTGTCAAATTGTTTTGTCAATTTTCTAATAATTGCAAATATCTGAAAATGTCTCCTTGAGGTTTGAGAGGGAATGAGAAAATGTGAAAAATATTTTACTGAATTAGTTTCCATGTTTGTTTTATACATATTGGAAAAAATAAAGGCTGTTGTCTTTCCTACATGTTGAAAGAGCGGACTTTGGATTAAAATCATTCCCCATCTATCAGTGCTTGTCACGAGAGGCATTATATCTAGTGTGGTCGACCCGTGAAGATCCGAGTTAGAATTTGTCTTCAGCAACCCATGCTTGTCGTCAGAGGCGACTAACGGGATTGGGTAGTCAGGCTCGCTGACTTGGTTGACACATGTCATCGTATACCAGTTGTGCAGATTGATGCTCATGCTGTTGATCACTGGATTGTCCAGTCCAGACCCGATTATTTACAGACCGCCGCCATATAGGTGGAATATTGCTGAGTGCGGCATAAAACTAAACTCACTCACTGTTGTTAAACAATGAAATAAATCTAATTCAGCCCCTAACATTCCATTAGATTTCTATTTTAATGTTGCATTCGTTGACTGACACAAATTTATTTTACAATGCCAGCAAAAAACGGATGCTAAAACAGAAAAGGTATAACAATAATATTTTTGCTATCAGTATTTGAAATGTTTTTTGTTTTTTTCGGTGCTTTGTCATTTGTTACGGCTTTTCTTATTGGTGTTTTGTGTCTGTGTTTGTTATCATTTCAAGATATCAAGAATTTATTTTCTCTCTGTATTATGTGATTCCTTTCTGTTAAACTGCTTCTCAGTGGGTAGATGATATATGTGATCTAGACTACCGTTGTCAAACTTTCAGTTTGTGACGCCGCTATGGCTGAATGTGAAGCATCAGTGACTTTTTGTTCTGGAAATTAGGTGCCTGATTCTAAGAATATCGGTTCTTATCCCAAATGGGACTCAACCCCAAAGTACTAGTATCTGTACTTCACCGAGAATATGTATGCTGTAATATAACATCTGTAACATTTGACCAGGCATTGCTGTCAGGGATGGAAATAACCCATTGCCCGACGTCCCAGTCCAGTGTTCTTTTCTGTCGGGCAAGCAGATTTGTATATCACACTGTACCGGTGTCCAGTTGACTTTCCAATTTTAATTATGTTGTTTATTTAAAAAATCAACAAGAAAATCGGCCAGGTATAGTGGAAAACATTATCAGGGATTTTACATGTGCCATTGTACCGCAGTACACTAGCAATTTTAAAGTTATTTCCACCCCTGGCTGTATTCATATTTTTCAGTTCTATTCAGTGTCCATCAATTATTGCTGATGTCTGATAGATGTACAATCATGTTATCCTTCTCAAAAAAAGTTTAAGAGCACCTAATTCATTATTATGCATAAGAGCCGGATGCTCGCAATGTATATCTTGTTTAAGTTGAGTAATCTATCTTTAAATGGAACTAAGTGGAATAATGCTGATGGCGGCGTAATACTAAACTCACTCACTCTCACTCAGATATCTAAATGTTTGTGAACTTATGTGGGGCCCGGTCCGCAACCGTGCCTGTAGTTCAGAGTTGCCTCCCTTAAATGTGATAGAATCCTGGCTGCTGTATCCGTATGCTTCTCCCTATAATTAAAGAATATTTGTAGACAATGTTGATAGGACTGGTTGGTTTTCAGTCGGGCAGGTAGGTCTTTAAAGTTATCAGCCCTGTGGTCTGGTACAAAGTTTTGTGGAGTTTCATACACTGGACTACAACCAAAACTTTAGGCTAGTCTTAAGAACTACGTCACTTCTGGCTAGTCTTAAGAACTATGTCACTTCTGGCTAGTCTAAGATCTGTATGGCTTCAGGCTAGTCCTGCATCACTTCTGGCAGTTGTGTTATTACAACTCAACCTGATTAACCTTAGACCTTCTGCAGTGTCTCCTTAACAGGCTTCTCTGCTCCATTTTAAAACCATGACTTGATATCTGTATGTGTGTCTCCCTACACTACCCTGTACTTCTCTTGCCTGATAAGACTCAACACTGAAACGTCTCTCCTCATTGTAATAAAGAATTTATATGTACTACAAACAGAAGGTTGGGAACACCCTAAAATTTGATAGTCATAAAAACTTAAAACGTTGTGAGGTCATTTATGCTCTGAGGTCAATGCAACTTTTTGTGTACTTAAGAGGCTCTTTAAACGACATGTTAGAACATGCAGTGGAACAACTGATTCAATATTCGTTGAGTTTGAGTGAAATGAAACATTGTCAAAAACAAGGATGCTGAAACACACCATCACCATGTTGGATTCAAACGCCCAAACACAACAGCCTAGTGCATGTGGAAGACAGACTTTCCATGCAGCTTGTGGCAACATTTGAATCAAACATGGTGCTGGTGTGTTTCAGCGTTTAAGTATATATATATGACTATCAAATTTTAGGGTGTTCCCATACTTTTTGTCTGTAGTATATATCTTATCCTTACTTAATCATAGTATTGCTAACTCAATCACAGATATTCTGGTAATCTGAAGTACTTCTATTTTCTCGTAAATATTGAAACATTAAATCACCATTTTCTCCTTCCAGAGCCAACTATGCTATCCCAACCACGCCTATAACGAAGGGCGCGTCGACGCAACGATCACAGTCAGTGTGGGTGAAAGCGGACAAGGTCAGTTCTCCTTCTCCAGGCAAAACGAGTCTGCAATCTCGCGCGTGGGCAACATGATTAAGCGTGCATCCCAGGTGGCCGATCAGCTGACCACTGATCTCTCCCACAGGAACTCCCTCGAGTCTCCCATTGAGTTGAATGAGCAGGCATGTAGTGTTGTCTCTTCTCTTTAGTTACCTTCCAGTCTATTTGTTCTGCTTTCCACAGAATACTGAGTGTTCAAATTCATTTTTGAAAATTAAAAAAAATATATTATTTTTTAAATTAAAAAATATTTTTCGAAAATTAAAAAAGAATTCCTTTAATTTTTATAAATGTTTTATGGGAAAATTTCACGTATTCAAACATATAAGAATTGAAAAAAAGTCTGTTTAATATTAATTTTAAAATTATTCTTAATCTTAAAGGTCTTTTTTATTAGTATTTTAAATATTTTTAAAATTTACTAAATTTGAAGCATTTTGTATTTAGTTGAGCTCTATGAAACAAAACCATTGCTCTATGAAACAAAACCATTGCTCTATGAAACAAAACCATTACCTTTTTCTTGAAAAGTAATGAAGAAATAAATTATGATCAAAGAAAAGTTATATTGGCTTCAGCTGAATCATTTTTTGTTTGGCATTTGATCTGAAAGAAAGTGACTCAATGATTGTCAAATGTTCAAGAAAAATGAGAGAATGAAAATAATATTTTTTCCTACTGTTACTGACACTCAGTATTCTGTGGTATTTTGTGATGTAAAATAATTTGTTCCAATTAACCCATGTTCTTTTGATATTTGACCGTTTCTCTTGTTTTGCAGTATGGTATTAATATATTTGCTTTGTGTTGATTTGTTTGATATTTTTTTCTTGTTTTTGAATTTTATATTTTATTTACCATGTTTAAGTCATTTGTGTCAAATATTGAGAATATTGAGTTATTCTTCCTTCTTGCTATTTGAATTATCCAGCAGAAAGTCCTCAGTTCCGGAATTTGAATTTTCAAAATTAAAATTTTATTTTCAACAAAGTGAAACTTTAATACTCCTGAATAAATTTTTATGAATTTATACTTTAAAAAGTTAAACAAATTACGGTTCAGTATTTCTTAGTCTTCACGCGAAAATATCGATTAATTATTTCAGTCGAACAAATTGACCTTGACTTTACCCCAAAATATCCTGTCTTAGTCACTAACAAGATTTCAGTTAACCCAACTGCATGGCCAAAGACTGATGAAATACCCGTTTCCATTGGCTGAAATACTTCTGGTTCTTGTTCCTGATTGGTCAGTGTTGGTGTGAGTAGCATGACAAGGAATGGACCTGAATAACATGATTTGTATTAGAGAGGTTATGGAGATACGATTCCTTTGGAGAATGAATTACTGCAATAATTAATCCTTATTCTTGTAAGTGTTATCTTTGATATGTATCTGAGAATAGAATAGGTCAGGGGTACAGATAAGCTGTGTATCTGCGTAAATTACACAAATTTTTATGTGAAAACTCAATTCCTGTTAAGTCTGTTGTGTACAAGTATGCTTGAAGTTTTGTAAATACTCAATAAATTTGATCTTACATGCGTACAAACAAAATAGATAAAATAACTGGGGTATATTGAGAGATTCAATTTCAGCACCTGAACTTGGCAACTTGCAGTCTTTCTTATCGTTTCTCATATAATAGATCAAATATAAATAACAAACACATAAACCAAAATTTAAACTTTATATTTTTACAATTCGTGGAAAATGGCAAAATACCCATTTAGTTTGAGTGAGGTGGGTATAATTTATTTGGTTACTCAAAGGAAAATTAGGATACCGAACAGAGATGAACACAAGCGAGTACATAACTCAATGACCCCAAAAGTTATCTGTAGTTCTGATAGGTAGTTATACAAACTAAATTACACTATTATCAGCTGAATTAGCATGGTCCCATTCTAATAAGTGATCTTAGCAACATAAGACGATCCTAGCGCTAAGATTGCTTTGTAGAATAGGGACCAGGGACCCGTTTCACAAAGCTATCGTAGGCTATGATTGTCATACCTCCTACACTGTAACATAGACTTGCGACAGTCATAGGGCTACGATAGCTTTGTGAAATGGGGCCCAGGGTCTAAAGTAATTTGTCTATCTTTAAAACTGAAATGTTGAGGACCTGGGCCTAGATTTTCGAAGCTCTCTTAACGCTAAGATAGTCGTAAGTGCCATACATTAATATTAACTTACGACTATCTTAGCGCTAAGAGAGCTTCGAAAATCTAGGCCCAGTTATTTAGGAGACTAGGGTTAATTCGTAAATGGTATAAGTAAGAGAAAACATTGCTTTTAAGTATTTTGCCTCAGACTCGTTCCTCAAAGCGATCAAGCGCTGGGATTGTCATAAGTCTATTTTAAAGTATGGTTGTTAGGATCATCTACACTATGATCACTTTATGGAAGTCATTAGTGACTTTATGGAAGTCATAAGTCAAATCGTAATTTGTTTTTGATAAATCCATCATCAGGTTTCATGACTTCAGTTACCATAGACCTAAAATATACACAACAAACTTCTTAAATGCCTGATATCGTGAATCATTGTAGGCAAAATCAGTACTGTATTTCTGTCCAGAGTTTAAGCCAATATTGAGTAGTTACTGTTAGAATACAATTGTGTTTGGTGTAAGGGTAGCCTGTGTGACAATATATATTCTGCAGCCAATCAAAGCCTAGCTTCCTATGCTACCAGTCCAACCTTTCTGAACTTCGCAGCTTTAGGCTCTACCTTTAGAAGCATTGAAGCAATTTTTGCTTTTATTTCATCAATATCAGTAAGATTATATTTTGGTGCTTGTAAATCCTGTTTGTAGGGTGTTAAATGTTCCATGATAGAGACTATACTGAAATAAACATTTAGATTTAATATACATATTTAAATTATTTTAGCCATTTTTAAAAATATTTATTAAAATTATTTGTAAAATATTTTTGGGATTGTTATAAAAATATTTTTTAAATGTTTTAAAAATCTGTTTTAGTGAAGCATGATGTCGGGGATTGGTTATTAATCTTTATTATAATTATTTTTAAATATTTTCTTAAAGTTTTAAATATGTTTTAGTGAAACATGGGGTTAAGGATGGTTTTGGTGCTTGATATTCATCATTTTCATTTATCACCGAACAGTTTATATTTCATTAAAGCTTATTTTTAGTAGTACTTGTATTGTTCCAGGGAAAATGTTGCCTGTAGAGAAAGAGAGATGTTTTTTTTTCTTTTTACTCTTGAAATCAGTTTCTCTCAAACAAGCTTGTTATGCCTTGGATGTCAGTGAGTTTTGAACAGAAGCACAAGAGAAAGTCTGTCATGAGGAATGAGATATATGTGAAGTTACAGACTTAAATAAGTTGAAATTTGATAATTTTAGAGACGAACATCAAAGGGGAAACCCCAATTCTACACACCACTTAGCGAACAGGTGAGTCTTGCGTCTATTTCCATAACAAACATGCCGTTATTGCCGTCGAACTCTCTAACTCATCTCTAGCTATGCAGTAACTCAGTAGAGCAAACCTAGAATGTTCAAGATGGAATTAATTTCTTTTTTCTGACAATGAGTTTTCATACATATTATTTACCAAAATAACGTAGATTGATTGCATGGGTTAGAACTGTTTAACTAGAAATATATGAAAGTCTTCCCCTTTTTAGTTGGAATGAAAGTTCTTTTACTTATTAGGAAACCTTTTTCTCTTTAAAAGACATTACAAATAGGAAGCTTAGACATTCTTGTTTGGCCCCTCTTTGTGGAAGGGATATATATGAAGTTTGATATATTTGTGTTGATTAAAAGTATTATGTCAAATCTTTTTTATTAGCCGCAAGCAGAAAGTGATGTAATAATATTTTTTAAATTATCACTTTTTTCACTTCTTAAAGGCTGTCTAGGATATTTATATGTGTTTCTCAACTTGTGGTTCATCTTCAGATTGAGCAGGTAGACAGAAGGAAACTTTAGAAATGGTAGCAAAAATTGTATTTAAAACAAATCTGTTAACAAAATGAAAATTTAAAATGACCGCTTTTAATGGAGATTGACTGATAAGTTGCTTTCTGGTCAAGATATATGCAAAAACTGTCCAAATGTTTGTCTTGATGGTGTTTTATTCTACGAAGTTGCAATGTCTTTGTTCAGAGATTTATGGCTGAATTCTGGCACAATGAAACAAGGCCAAAGTCAGATGTCCTTACCTTTTTTGAAATTTCTTCATAAGAAAGAAAATTGACTTTTAATGGAATAAGAAATTTGTCAATAAACCCTGAAAGTGTGGGATGGTATTAGAGTGATATATCTAGGAGTCTGAACAAACTTTCCATGGAGGACAACTTGGGAAGAAATGGTTAAAGTATGTGGTTCAAAATTGGGACATATTCCTTTCAAAGTTCTATTATTTTTAATTCTGGAAATATTTTAACTTTCAGGCCTCTTTATATGTCCTTTTATTGGTAAGATACAAGTCACCTTGTTCTAGCTAGCAAATTAGTGATTATACTGGTTTAACATAAATTGGGAGGTGTGTATTTCTCATTGTGGGAGCGGTGGGGTAGCCCAGTGGTTAAAGCGTTCACTCGTCACACCGAAGACCTGGGTTCAATTCCCCAGTGTGTGAAGCCCATTTCTGGTGTCCCCTGTCGTGATGTTGCCGGAATATTGCTAAAAAACGGCGTAAAACTAAACTCACTTACTCATTCATTGGGAATTTTTATTGGTGTTTGCTGCAGATTTTCGGCCAGTAATTTTCATCAGTTATCAGTTAATCATTATCCTCTGAGCTGGTCTAGATTCACTAATGATGAACTAAGATGTACCGAGCAAGACATTTTTCAGTGCAACAAGGATTGAAGAATGACAAAGTTGAGAAACACAAATAGATACAGACAACCTGACTGTGTAACAGCAACAGAGCACCTTCCATCTGTCTCATCAACATGATATATATTTTTGTTTCCACATCCTTCTTAACTCCTTGTTTTTATGCATTATGTTCTATACTTTGGTTTGATGCAAACTTATCAATTAACTAGTAGGTGTTTCTGCGGGTAATAAGTTAACCCGTATCGTGTCATGTGACTGACCAGTTAACCATTGACAATTTCTCATGGTTCCCAACCTGTGCGTTAGTCAACCAGTGCTTGTGTCAGAATCAGTCAACCAATGATTGTTGTCTCAGAATAGATTCTTAGTGAACCAATGATTGTTGTCTAAGAATAGGTCCTCAGTCAGACAATGATTTTTGTGTCAAAATAGGTCAAGCAATGTTTTTGTGTCAGAATAGGTCCTCAGACAAAAATCCCCTAACATCCAAAGTTTATTGTGTCAGAATAGTTCCTCAGTCAAATGATGATTGTTATGTGGGAATAGGTCCTCAGTCATATGAAAATTGTTGTGTTGGAAAAGGTCCCCTTGCAAGCAAAACTTCTCGTGTCCCTTGTCAACCAAAACTAGTCTCAGAATTGTTCACCAACCGATAATTGTCTAATCAGGTCAGCGTTCAACCGATGATTGTTGTGTCAGAATAGGTTGTCAGTAAACGAATGATTGCCTAATGAGGTCAGCGTTCAACCGATGATTGTTGTGTCAGAATAGGTTGTCAGTAAACGAGTGATTGTCTAATCAGGTCTGCAGTCAACCGATGATTGTTGTGTCAGAATAGGTTGTCAGTAAACCAATGATTGTCTAATCAGGTCTGCAGTCAACCGATGATTGTTGTGTCAGGATAGGTTGTCAGTAAATGAATGATTGTCTAATCAGGTCTGCAGTCAACCGTTGATTGTTGTGTCAGAATAGGTTGTCAGTAAACGAATGATTGCCTAATCAGGTCTGCAGTCAACCGATGATTGTTGTGTCAGAATAGGTTGTCAGTAAACGAATGATTGTATAATCAGAATCAGTCCTCAGGAAACTAGTGTCTGTTTTGTCACGATAAATACCAGTAAGCCAATGCTCTTTATGGCAACAAAATACAACTATTTATAAACAAAAGACACAAGGACAAGAATAATGGCAAGTAGGCCATTTATTTATTATCACAGGGCTTTTTATTGCCATTAGAGTATCAAACTGAAAACCAGTTCTTAAGAATGTGTTTAGTATCTATTTGTTACTGTTTTCTTTTTAACGAACGGCATGTTTGTTACAGAGATAGATATACAAAAAATGACATCTATCTGGCTTCCAACAAAAAATATTCCCAGACCCTATTCTTGGGATCAACTCTAATACTCTTCTGTTCCATGGAAATGGTCATCTTATCGCATCTCTTTGCTTTTTTTTCATAAAAAAATGTCGGCTTTGTAGTCAAGTCGTAGTTTTAAAAGTATTAGGTACATTTTTCAGGAATATGATAACACAGTTAGTTTTGATGGTAAATTTGTGCAGAATGTGTGACAGGCTTCCATTCATCATAGTTATTATTATTTGATAATTATAATGATACTAACAAACCAAACTGCTTGATAATAAGATACAAACTCATTGCATGTTGCATGGTGATGGTTTTGAATTTAACTGTTTAAAATTTCTGTGCACAAATAATCCCAGTCTGGTTCCAGTTCAGTGTACATGACTTTTTGACAATTAATCTTTTAGTAATAACAACGTCTCTGACTTTATGTCAGACACTTTTAAGAGGTGGATTACAATCATCAAATTTTAAAAAAATATATTTTTGAGAAACAGGGATTATTAAAAAAAATTGCATGTTGATGTCTTTATATACTGGTTTTAATAGCTTTTGTGATATTATGCTTGTCTATATAATAATACACGTATTTGATTGCTGTTATATTGGAGTATATGCTTTTGAAATGAAATTTAATGCATGTTTGATTTTGACCTTGTATATTTATTATTTACTGTTAAAGCTTATGCCCCTCTTTTTGAAATACAAACCTGCTCATTTTCACTACAAATCTCGCGAAATGAAATCTGTCTGGTCATTTGGTGGAAATTGTATTAGGTGAATTACTTCCCCTTGACAACTCAGGATCTTGGGATCTCGGGATCTCAAGCTGTTAGATAATAGTGTTGCTCGTAAGATGCCTTAAGTCAAATTATACCTTTTTTAAAATGAGGTTCTATTTTTAAAATTACAACTTATTACTGATTGTGCCACACATCTTTACTGTCTTTTTTCATCAAATTCTCGATTATCTAGAGTGGTATGTGTTTATTCTGTGATTTCATTTCAGGATCCATTTATTAACATACCTTCATTTTTTTCCTTATCCTGACTCATGATCTTTTGCTCTTCATGAGTCAGGATAAGTATAAAATATCAATTTTACTTTTCTTTAAAAAACTTTTTCTCATCAAAATCAAATATCAATATCTGTCTTGAAAACAAACATACATATACATTTTGCCACATGAAATAAAATTTAGAAATGATACTCTAGATATTCGAGGATACTTTATGCCTTACACAGCTTTGGGTTTCACAATATCTTCACAGTGTTTTACCTGGACCGTGGTCCATGGTACACACTCTGGGATTAGGATAATCTATATGAAAAATATTATCATTTATTTTACTGGTTTCTATAATCTGTGTTGGTGCTATGGTGCCAATTATGGTGGTCATGCTCACATTTAGACGTATTATGTGTCATCAGTATTTTGAAAGGAGACATATTTTGGGACTTAAAAAATTTGAATCTTTATATCAAAATGGAAAACAATTATTTGTTGTTTCAGCGTAATTAATAATTCTGAAAATTATTTCTTAACATTTTGTTCTAATATCTTGTTTTAAAGACAATAACATCATAAAGATGACTTCGGAATAGTGTCCCTTGATCTGTGACCTATTTACAGTTGATGAATTTTGTTCACCTTCAAAAAAATTTAATTTTTGTCTCCGAAAGTCTAGATTAGATTGTTGAAAATATTTGGTTAATTAGTCATGAGAGATATGTTGTTTTTCTCTCCATACTGCTGTGTGGAAATTTTTGACTCCATTTGTAACCCTTTCTTGTCTTAACGGGCGGCTAAAATGGATATCTGGTCATCAAGCTCTATGACTTCAGACTTGACAGGTCACCGTGCCTCTATGAGGTAGATCCCTCATGCTTTAGGGGCCAGTGGGAAAGCCTAATGGTTAGAGTGTTCACTTGTCATTCTAAAAACCTAGGTTTCATTCCCTACCTGGAAACAATGTGTGAAGCATTTCTAGTGTCCCCTGCTGTGATATTGCTGGAATATTGCTAAACGCGGCATAAAACCGTATTCTCTCAGTCACCAGTTTGCTTGATCCATTATCTATCTACTGATCATATATAGCTGGAATATTGGTGACTTTGGCAAGATGTAACACTCACATTTCATGACACACCCATGAAGATCCATTTTAGAATTAGTCTTCAGCAACCCATGCTTGTCGTAAGAGGCAACTAACGGGATCGGGTGGTCAGGCTTGCTGACTTGGTCGATCGTATCCCAGTTGCATAAATAGATGCTCGTGCTGTTGATCTCTGGATTGTCTGGTTCAGACTCAATTATTTACAGACCGCCGCCATATAGCTGGAATATTGCTGAGTGCGGCGTTTAACAACAAACAAACACTTATGACACCTGTCAACATGGACAGTGAGCAGTCATATTTCAATAATATGTAAATATTTTTATCCAAATTCTGACGGAAGAGGATCTAGCAACAGTACAGAGGGCTTGGTATGGTGAAGTAGTGCTCATGTTTATGCTTTTTATACGACATTTATATCTAACCATAGCTCACAACACGACGGCCGCCCAGACCAGAGACAGAACGCAGAGGAAGTCGGCCACCCAGCAACCAGTTCCGACCAGATCAGCTGTTGAGTACAAGCAGTTTGAGCCTGTCATCGGCTAACACCCTAACAGGTGGTCAATTTAATACATTAATTTATGTTTTTCCTCAATTAGACACCTGGCCTCAAATCAACAAGGTACAGGGTATCCACAAGCACCTGGTGTCAATTAAACACCAGTAATATTTTGCACACAAAATTCTCCTTACTACAATCTTGGCAGAACAATTGATATTTAAAGTAGAACTTTTCGAGAGAACAGTGTAGAAATTTAGTGTCTTGAACCACATGGAAATTCAGTGTCCTCATTCTTGTGGAAATTCAGGATATTGAACCATGTGGAAATTCAGTGTTTTGAACAATGTGGAAATTCAGTGTCTTGAACCATGTGGAAATTCAGGATATTGAACCATGTGGAAATTCAGTGTCTTGAACCATGTGGAAATTCAGGATATTGAACCATGTGGAAATTCAGTGTCTTGAACCATGTGGAAATTCAGGATATTGAACCATGTGGAAATTCAGTGTCTTGAGTTGACAGATTCTTCTCATCTTTTATGTCTATTAACATACCGAAGATAGGTCTGAGTGATTCATTCATTGAAATTAAAATTCTAAATTAAAATAAAACGTGTCAGAGAAATATACGCTGGGAAATATGGTACTTGTGTTAGCTGCAGTTTCTGCTCTATCAGTCACGAGGACCATCATAGGAGGCGTGCTATTTTCAGTCTGATTCAGATGGAATTAAAAATTCCTGAAAAGATTTGTAAGGCCACCAATTTTATTTCTTGTTTTACGGATTTTTGTCCTCAGAAAACCTAAAGGCAGGAGGGAAATTTAAAAAAAAAAAATATCAACGTCAAAGTAATATTCCTTTTAAATACTAAAACTATTTTATTTTGGGCAATTTATGAAGTGAATATGGGGCAAAACAATTTTTTTGTAAGTTAACATTTTTGGCCAATAAAAACATGATGATTTTATTTTTGGAGCGGGGGAAATTCATTTTTATTTTTGTTCTTATTCTTGAATAAATACGACCGGCGGATCCGTAAAACAAGAAATAAAATTGGTCTGGCCTAAGAATATTTGTTTTCTATTGTTAGGTCTTCAGCAGTGTCTGGGGACTGAAGCTGCAGAAAATAAACAACTGTTGAGATATTTATATTACCGGTAGATCATGGGTAGATGTTCAATTTCATATATACTACTCACACTTTGCTAAGGATAATTTTTTTTCGAAACTTCACTTAAATTTATAATTTAAAATTGTATCCATTTAAAACTGGATAAATAATGATATGGTAACACATCTTTAGGAAAACAGCCACTTTAAGCTAACTGTATGCAATTGAAACATGAGTAACCATTAAAATGGTTTTCATTTGGGATCCACAAGATGCAGTGTCTTACTGAAAACTTTGATCTATTCTGACAATAGGCTTAGATATTTAAACCAAATTTGACCCCACATCATAGTTTTCTGTTGAATCAATGATTTGATCCTTAGCAAAATGTGAATAGTATATATGAAGGATTGTTGTTGTTGATTACGTTTTGCTTGACACTAGTGACATTGTCCGACGACTGCCACCCGACAAAGTTCAGTTACATAGCCCAGTGGTTCAAGTGTGGTCACACCAAGACCCAGGTTCAGTTCCCCACTTGGATACAATGTTAAAACACATTTCCGGGTCCCCAACTGTGATACTGCTGAAATATTGCGAAAAGCGGCGTAAAACCACACTCACTCACCCACACATTTTCAACTTGATTTGCACACAAATCTTTTGTTGATGACTAATGCCAAGTGTTTTCCCTCAGATACCAGCGACACCGACATGTCGTCCGATGATCCCCCGCCCCTCCCAGACAAGCAGGGGGCCGACTACAGCAATTCTTCCGTCGACTCCACTCCCGTCATGAGGCGCACATCCGTCACGCCTGGATCCCATAAAAACAAGGTCAGCAAAGCTTTCAGCAAATTCTACAAGACCGGTGACAAAGAGAGCAAAAAGAAAAATAAATGATAACAAAATGTTAGAAATGCAAGAAAGACTTTTTTATGAAAACTTCCCAGAGACAAATATTGGTATAAGCTCCGATTCAGGCTGGCACTCTCTGACGCAGCACTGCAGCATGGGAAATAGTTTTTTTGTCACTTGACAAAACATCAGAACAGCATTTGAATTTTTTTTTTAATAGAATTGACTACAACACTTTTATTGGACATATATATTGTATATCTAATAAATATCAGTTGTACATAACATTAAAACCAGCCTAGTGGCTAAACTTTTCACTGATCACTTTAAAGACCCAGGTTCGATTCCCTACATAGTTACAATGTGTGAAACTCATTTCTGGTGTCACCCCGCCATGATATTGCTGGAATATTGCTAAAAGTGGCATAAAACTGGACATACTCGCTGTATCTCTACCAGAGATTCACATTCCCTTATCATAGAAGTGGAAACTTGCATTTTGGGCAATCATTTTTTAAGACTTTGGGAAGCATTAATCGAGCTACATGTATTTCTTTTGCTGACATGCTGTCCAGTGCTGTGTTAGTGTGTCACCGCCTTAATACAACTGAGCATATATTGTTACCAACTAAAGATCTGTAGATTCCATAGAAAACGTCCTTGATGGTTCTGTAGAAATATTCAAGAATTATAATATTCTAGTCAATTTCTGTGTACATTTACAGTGAAATCGAGGATAGCGTTATCGAGAAACAAGTGTCTTTGTTCTCAAAATGTTATTTTTCATTAATATTTTCAGTTACCACATCCTTTGTTTCATTACATTATATATGAGCTTTTGATTAAAACTGACATTTTGTTTTTTCAAATTATATATACTGACTGCTGCCTTCTTTTGTTTTTAAAGTTTAAATAGTGCTTGCCAAGGTATGGTAATTTAAATTAAGTTTATTTTGACTTTGATTTATTTTTGTTTTTTTGTCTATTCACTTGTATATATTTTCATCAGTTTGACAGCATTTATTATGCACCAGAAAGTGTTCACGCTATCAATTCTACCACGTAAATGGAAACACTGCAATCTACGTGTCCCCAATCAGTGTGGAATCTATGACAGGCCTTGGTTCAGGGTCTGGCTGATGACAACATCGCCACACCACAAAATATGTAATTAAAAAACAAAATTCACAAGTTTAGCCAGTAAATTTGAGACAAAGATTTTTCTAAAGGGTTTCCAAGGTACTGGAATATCAAAAGCAACTGTGGCATACATTTTAGACCAAAAACCTGAAGAAAAATGACAATGTTTGGGGAAATACAGGAACAAAAACACAGTTCGACGACATACAGTATGATGTGTAACATGTCAATATGCATGGCCCTCCTAGTCAGAGCGTACATTGTAATGGTGATGATGATGATTTGGAGATTTAACATTTTCGAACATCATGCGTATTTACATATAGATCGTACTTCAGATTAACGTTGGAAGGGATAACCTTTTGAATAATGCTTACAGGGTATCTGTTAAATGTTTATCTCAAAGTCAATGATTTTAAGTATTGTGGTCGAAATCATGGTATAAGTACATTATAACCTATTGTCTCAAACTCCCAGGAACGAGGAAAACAGTTTTGACTAATCAGGGTTTTGACATGTACTGTCTCACATGCACTGTAATCATTGGATTATTGCATCATTGTTAGGTTTTTACCTTAAAGGTTATAAATTAACAGGGTAAATGTAAATTGCAGTATAATTGAAACTGATATTGTCTTACATTAATGAGAGCAAAGCATAGCTCAACCGCTCATAAGATGTGACTTAAGGAAAATGTGGAGTATGTGCAATAAATGGCACAGCCACTGCACATATAAAACATCACTACAGTCCATACTACACAAGTCTGATGATGCTGTGCCATACATTGTTCACCCTCCCCTGAAAATTACAACACTAAATCATAACATTTTTTAAAGAAATGTTAAAAATCCTTTGTCACATTAACTGTCCTTAAATCATAAAAAAATGAGATATATGTTTAAGTTAATAGCAACAAGATTAACTGTTTTAAGTTGTATTGCTTGTATTAAGTCCATAGCAAAGAGAAAACATGGAATTGATAATATATCTACCTTCTCCACAGGGTTTTTCTTTAAGAAATAAACTGAATGTGCCAAAGACGCAATGGCTGCATAATATCTGGTCACTGTTATGTTTCATTTACATTTTCCTTTGATTTCTTTTCAGCCTCTTTGATTTTCTGTTTTGTGTTATTGTTTTCCTCTTTTCATGACACATGTTTAAGTGCAGAGATCTCTAATGATCATTGAGTCACGATATGACTGAGATATTGCCGATATGACGTTAAATATTAACTCACTCACTCACTCTAATGATCATTGAACAGTATTTTGGTTTGTAACAGTATTATGATTGAAACAATGAGTCAGTGTCAGTCAATCATCAATGGTCATCAAAGGTTTCCATAGAACGCAGTGCACTGTACGAGTTACCGTATATGACCACAAATAAGCCAAATTTTGAGGACCAAAAAAGCAGCCTGTAGAAAGGGGTTGGCTTGTCTAAAGGTTACGCTTTCATCAAACTCATTTTTCTGGTGGTAGCAAAATGACAGCGTATTGCTTTGTGTGAACGAACAAGAGAAAATAACTTGTCAGTAAGGACGTCAAATTTGCAATTAAACATCACCAGACAAGATTATATACCTTTTCAGTTCTTTTTTTTTTTTTCTAGGCATTGCAATTTGGGATCATTGAAACAGTACAAAAACCGATGAAAGCTTTAACTATGACTAGCCCGATATTTAGATACTTCATTGACCCTGAGCAAGACTTTGTTAATTGTTGATAAGTAAAAATTCCACAGTACCAGAAATATCATCATGGACCTTGAGGCAATATATATATCATTGAACAAATTATCATAATTCGTAAACAGTCCATTGATCATGTTCGCCACCCTATGTCTGCAAGCGATCAACACATCTACAGAATCAACTCTGTCTTTGCCTGAATATTCTGAGTATGATACCCCAAAATTCTCTTAAATAAAATGTATAGATTTCACTTTTATTTACAGACTATTTTAACTGTCAATTCATATACAATATAAATTCATCAGTTAATACATTGTTTATCATGTTTATACCAGTAGCTAGAGTAACTATTCAGCATTAATTGTGTTTATTTTGTTTTTTTTTTTTCCCCAAATTATCTTTTTCAAATTTATTCTTCTACCTGTTGATTTGAAGACATGAATTTTAATTCACATCATCTGTTGTCCTTAGTTTCTAACCCAGATTCCTGTCAGCATCTTTGATTATCCAGTGTTCTAAGTCTCCGTTATATTATGATGCATACCTGGGATTTACTGCCAAATAATCATTACGACCTCATCGGTTTCACACCTCCTATTGACTCATATTTCTAAATCAACTTTTTAAAATCAAAACCAGTTAAAATGATTCTTCGGAATGTCGGTTCAGCATAAATCTACATTCAAACCCGAAGTCTAGTCTAAGCAATATATATACAACTTGGAATTGGAAGACAGTTGTGAGTAATCTTCTAGCTGGAAAGATATTTGCCCAGAGTACTAGGAGTTGCATTTGCATTCAAGATGGCATACAAAATTCAAGTCAAGCAGTGAATATATCAACACTTGTTTTAATCATGAAAGAATTATGAAAATATTTTGGGTATGAATGTTAAGCATTCCATTTTTAACTTTTGGTCTCAGAACAAAGGTATGATGAGGTTATGGTCCAAGGGCCCTGTTCCACAAAGAGGTCTAAAGAATTGGGTATGAATGTTGTAAGTCAGTGTTTAGGTGCGGTTACGATCACCTTAGCGGTAAGATTGCTTTTTGAAACTGGGCCATGGGTATGTAATAGGATGGTGATAGGAGACTGGATTTTCACGGATGTGTCACGGGAAACTGGAGGTGTTCATTTCTTCTTAGCCTCTGCACATAAACGCAAACATTCTGCCAGCTTATCACATACTTTCTACTCAGTATATTTGCAAGTATATTTCTGAAGCTTTTTCTCATTTCAATAACTGTCTCACTTGCCTACTGCAGCCAGTGCCACCTCTTCCACTTGATACGGACGATGATGACATTCCACCACCCGTGCCTGAAAAACCTTCGCTACCCCACTGATCCTGCGACCTTCACCTTTGTGCCTAACCCTGAAGGGCAAGGGAATGTCAGCTGCAGCATGCAGAGATCACCTTTGATCTCTGTGCTTAACTGGAGCCATAGCAATGACCTGATGCATGTGAAGGTTGTAAGGACATGACCTCTTGACCTTGACCTCCTCTTGACCTGAGTCTTTTATTGGAAATGACCTATGTAGCATGAAGGTCAGTTTCTAGATGACCTTAGCCTTGCTAAATAAAGGGAATGGAGCATGTCCTTGAACTCTGAGCAAAGGTCAATGAAATTGACCTCAGTATTAATGTAGGTCACCACAAGAGCATCATGTCAGTGACTCCAGAGAATCTCGCCTCATTATGCCTAGAGCATTGTCTGATGTTATGTCTTTGAGATATGTCAAACTATTGGAGAATGTTTCACAACCATGCTTATGCTCACAAACTGGTACAATATCAAAACATTAAGTCTAATAACCTTTTTTATGCCTTGATCATCAGCATTTTATTATATATTTTATGGCGTTAGTTCTTGTTGGAGAAGTATCAGTTACTTGTCAAATTCATTCAGCATTGTGGATATACACAGAGGTCATGAGCATAGGTATGTTTGTCAAACTTCCCTGGTATTCTGTGGATGTCAGCAATATTTTCTGGCCGAACACGATCTTGCCGAGCTGTGTATGTACTAGTGTCTCTGTGCAGAATTCTCTCACATATGCATGATGTGCGAAGCTATCACAGAATTGTTCAACATCAACCTCGTATCTGCGAAAAGTATTTCCTCACAGTCAAACAACCCATCAACAAGCCTCAAGATGTATATTAGCAATCTAAATGGCTTATACTATAGGGCACCATCTTTGTAGAACGATATGTAAATAACTAAATGTGTCAATGATTGTCCAGTGACATAATGATTTTTTTAAATACTGTCATGTACAAAGTGGTCGCTCATATTGTAGGAATCGATTTGATTTATTTGTGAACGAAAACACACACAAAATGATTTTAGTCCTTGTTAGGAAATCATATTCTTAAACAGATCTCTTTGAAGACTCCCTCTCTTTTTCGCTAACGATCTCTTTCAAATGTAGTCCTCTTACTCTCTGGATCTCTTCTCTATTGCTTTTCAATTGCTTGTGCATCAGAGATCATAATAGCGTGTCTATGTTATGAAGATGTTCTGTGTGTATTTGGATGCCACTTGGATCATATTTTCCTTGCAACATTTCATCAAGTCATCGCTCAATTTTTTTAAGGAAAGGGCTCCAAGATGATTTTTTACATGTCATTTCTTTTGCTCAAATGGTATCATTTGAAATATTTTCTGAAACATTTATGGAACATACATCATCTGTTTAACTGCAAAAGAATGTACTGAGTTGACATTTTGTAGGTCTTGACTTGCAGTAGTTGTCAAGAAACCAGGATTTACCCAAGGTGAATTTATCTGGAGGTAAATTGTAGCATTTGTGTGCTTTTAATCATACACTTTATGAAGTTTTACCACTTTTTTGCAATGTTTGTACTAATATTTTTAGCATAATGCCATATTTGACTGTTTCTACAACACATTCAGTCATTCAGGTAATGTGAATACTACGTTCTTCCATAAATCCCGGATCAGTGGTGAGTTTCAAGTCCTGGATTCATGAGATCACGAGATGACTGCATGTTTAATGGTTGTCGCGTCAAGGCAAGGTCCACACCAGTTTAAAGAAATCATGAGAAGGTTTTAAATTTCAATCTGCTTTAAAAATCTCTCACAGTTTAAAAAGGCATTGAAAGCCTTTGGATTTGGCAACCATGGTTCACTATGAAGTAAATAGATATGTGATAATTATTTCATCTCGAAAATGTGTTACGTCATGTAAAAAATATTATGTCTTTAACTTAGAGGGTATTTTTTAAGCACACTTGCATAGACTGAATAGTTTAATACTTTCATTCAGACAATGAAATAAAATAAGAGTGTATAAGACAAAATATTATGGATGCCAATTTCTTTTAGTGATTTGTATACATGGGTACAATATGTGAAGCCCATTTCTGGTATACACAATGTTTCAGGGATTTTCCTTGCCCCTTTGTCAGGTGAATGATGAAGGGGCAAGAAAAAGCCCTGAAACATGTATACAGAAGTTGACATCCATAATATTCTGGTTTATGCTTAAATACCAAATTTTATATACCTCTAAAGAACCTGAAAAGAAGATCATTTCATAAAAGAAATTTGAAAGCAATATTTCATATGGTCTTAAAGACTTGTGGAATGTGGTCTTGACTAGTGTTGGGAATTGGTTAAAATCTCATAATTGATGATTGGTTTATTACAACCGATCAATCATCGAAAAAAATTGGTTAGCGTCATTAATGAAATTTGTTATTGCACATAAAAATAAGAAAAAAAACATGTAGTTCTTTTGGGTTTTTTGACAAAATTTCACATCTTGAAAGGATGACTAGTATGTCAGGAACATAAATTTCCTCGAGTCTTTAAGATAAATTCAATCATGACTTGAAAACGAGCTTGTAGTGCTTATGAAATGTAACAGACAAAACCAACCTTTTGAAAAATATTGTTTATGAGAAAACATGATCGATTGCTTGGTCGTTTAGTCACTGCGACCAATCTTCGATTATTTCAATAAATCGGACCACCACTAGTCTTGACAGGCCTTAAAGATTTGGTTACAAATTTAGTGTCTCAAGAATTGTATCTACCATACATGTGATTCCAACAATTTATATTTGTGGTTGTCTTCTTAACAACTTTGCTGGGTTTTTTTATTTGACTCATTGGGACCTTAGGAATTTATTTGTCGTGTCAGGGTGATGATAAGTAATTGTGATGCTTCTTTGCTAATTTTACACTTGTTCCTTTTGACGTGACAAAAATAGGAATCACATGTAAAACGCTACCTAAGATCGATGTTCTTAACTTAATGTGCCTTGAAGCGACAGATCATTTAGCCCTAATTTGATTGGTCAAAATGTTAATACCCTATCCCATATAAAGTATTGGGTGGCATTGTTCAAAGACATGAACCTTCTTTAAATGACTGAGTCAGAATCAATCCGGGATATGGAGTAATGCAGTAATTATCCTGAACGACTTTGTGTGATTACTATGTAACACAAAGGCTTCCTGTACACACTGAGCGTGATTTCAAAGTAATACTAAGTAATACTAAGTAATACTAACTGTAATACTGTACTTTCTGTACAGACTTATGTGACCTGTGTTACAAACAATGGACACATGTTTCAGTAATACATTTGAGACACATCATTCTGTGTTACGATCATTTCATCATCGAAGCTTTGCGTCTTTAATGCATTTATGGCTTTTGTTTTCATTGATTGGTTCATGGTATGGTATGTTTTATCGGAAAAAGATTATAAGTTTTAAGTCTGTCACTTACTTTTTTAAAAAGAGCCACAAAATAGATTTCTGGCATCCACATTCTATTTTTTCTGTCAGGTAATTATTGATTTTGGTCTCTTTGAAAAAATTACCTAGTGGATTTCTATAATAAGGTGAAAATGTACTTGTCAAATTTTTTCCCATCAATAATGTGATTTTCATGCAAAATTCTTTTTTTTTTCTAGATATATTTTTTCCAGATCTGTTTGGTCATTGGTGAAAATAGATATTTGTGGGGAAAAAAATTGTCCTCGATTTCTTAAAATTTGAAATTGAGGCAAACACAAAAACTAAATTTCAAATTGTATGTTACATACATGTATATGTTTTACATAGTGTTTTACAAGTTAACAAAATTGGAAAAAAGTAATGGAATTATGGAGTTTTTTTCCAACATTTGTAAAATTTTGGTCAGTAGATTTGTAATCCACTAACAACATAATATGACAGAAATATCTATTTGTAGGCACAGTTATCAATATACAGATAGTAAAACATAATGGGTCGTAATAAAGTTAGTAATTTTACTAATTGTGGCATTTAGTTTCAGTATAGTTCCTAACGCTCTAATCATCGATACTCTTCCTTTGATTGTGCTGCATTATGGGAGTTTTTGTATTCCTTTACCGATTGTATTTTTGATGTGGTTTTAAGACTGACGAAGACACAATATATTTTGTAAGGAGCTTGCATTTGCTTAGTTTTATGTTCTGAATAATTCTTTTTACTTTCATACGGTGCTACACACATTTGTCTTTCCTGATGTTTGATAATACTGATGGTCGATATCTGCCATATTTTCAGAAGTGTTGCTAGGCAACAGAATTTTCTCGTGTTGAGAAATTTTGTCAAACAGTGACACTGTGAGTGATTCCTGAGATTTCAATCAGCATGGTTGTCGGAAAGATATATTCTGGTATAGCAAATGTTCGTATTGTCGAATGCAACATGAAAGAACGAACAAACGTCAAAAAACCAAATTGCTGCAGTATCTCCATGACTCGATAAGATATTTTTCTTTCAGGGTCAGTCACTGTGTCAATGTGAGTCATTGTGTCAATGTGAGTCACAGTGTCATCACTTAATCCTGAATGGATAAAGGCAAAATATAAAATCCTGGAAAAAATTTGAGTGCTGTCCCAGTAATTACAATATCAATATCAATTTTTGTCAAATGTATGCACAAGAAAAAAGTTAAGCACCACTACATTATTTATATATTCCTGAACTGTGTATATTTTGTTAATATCTACAGGAAGAATTAGTCTAATTTGGTACGTGTCTAAGATAACACAAATACTTGTTTAAATGTCAGAACACCGTTCTGTGTGCCACCAGGTGTCAAATGTGACTCGATATCTTTGCAGTTATTTTAAATGCCAGTTGAAAATGTAGCAATGGAACAGATGCTAAATATTTCCTTCGACAATCAATTTGGGTTTCCTTATTTCCATATGAAGACTATCCTTTATGAAAATAAGTCCCTTTAAATTGATGACAAATTCTTTTTGGAGATAAATCTCTTTTGCTAAGTCACAAATTTTACAAATGGCCATTTCATTGGGAATTGTGTAAAGTGGTGCTTGTCTTGTTCCTCTGTGTGTGCACTGATATATGTATATTGAATAAAAATTCCTGATTTTATAAGTCCCCCAATCCTGACAATGCTGAGTCTCTTTTTTTTCTGAAACTAATACATTGACAACAGTTGACAAATTTTGAAGGCAGCATTTTTCAGGCATAGTGCTCTTGACCATTTACTGACCGCTCATCTGTTTTGTGACAGATATCGACATCCAGTAACGTATATGTGCGACTCATTTGCGCATTTTTCTTTGTACATTTCATTTTAGACTGTGAATACGCCCATTAAACACCCCCATTATCTGTCTTGCTATAATATGCTGTACCTATGCAATGTTTTGTATGTTTGTATATTTCATAGACAGCATCCTTAAAGGATTTATTCCATGCCAAATATTTGGCAAGTTTGATTTCTGATTAGTCTAGTGGACAATCACTTGTATATTTCAATAGACATCTGTAAAAGTATTGTCAGTATCTATCTATATATATAGTAATCTGCAAAAACCTGAAAACAGAGGGGCAGTGGGGTAGCCTTGTGGTTAAGGCATTCGCTTGTCACACCGAAGACCCGGGTTTGATTCCCCACATGGGTACAATGTATGAAGCCCATTTCTGGTGTCCCCTGCCGTGATATTGCTGGAATATTACTAAAAGCAGTGTAAATCTAAACTCACTCACTGAAAACAGAGACATATCTGTATATGTTTTCTCTGAAAACAATGACAACTGTTCTGCCATATTTTCTCGGACAGAGCATGTGATCCGTTGTATTTGTTATTAACATAACAAGATTTCTTCTATTTTCAGATAATCAGGTACTTAAAATCATTTAATGTTGATGCTATTTGAATATGAGGTCTAAATTGAAATTCCTAGATCAGAAATTGTTATTGATGTATAATAACATAGAAATTGTTATTGGTGTCTAATAACATAGAAATTACAGTTTTTTCATTAACATGGTTCTGTTGTCAGTTGGTTTGGTTTTTTTATGATTACATTTAACTGCTTACAATTATATTATAGCATTTATCAAAAAAGAGAATTTCAGTTGTTTTTTTTAAAAATTAAAAATTCTCAAAACAGGCTGTCTTAGTTGACATTTCTTTGGAACCATGTAGCCAAATCTTATTGTAATGGGATGATAAAATTTCTACAAAAATGTTTTTATGAACCTGTGTTTTTTCTTCAAGTATCAAATTGTTGGTTCATGACCTCATACTGCAACGATCGAAGTGATTTCAAGTTACGTATTTAAGATATATATATATATATTGAGACTAGTCAACCTATCAAATTGTACAGGTAATATTCTCACAAACATACGTCACTTACAAGCGTATTTATCATGTATACATATTAATGTAAAATAATTTTACTAAAATACAAATATTGCATATATTCCTTCTGATCAGAAAATGATCCAAAATAGAAAAATATTTTCAAATATTTAAAATATCAAAATTGAAATATGGTTGGAATCCAAACTATATTTGAAATTGTCAGTGCATATCAAAGGTATTTTCTAAAGTTTATTATGCACGCAATGGTTGTGGCCAGTCTGCCTTCTCGTTAAAATCTGTTGCTCAATCTACTGTTATCACATTTGGAAATCAATGTCGATATACTGTATTTATTTTTTATACTGTGACTAGTGCTATGAAAATGTCATGCTCGACTTCCTGTACAATATTTTGTCAAAATGATGTCAAATGGATAAAGTATAAGTAATAATACGTTGTATGTCCTTGCCGTTTTCGTTATGGCAAATGAAATTTGTGGAAGGGATTAGCAGTCTTTTCAATTCAGTTATATTTATGAATATGAAGCTGATTTAATTTAATCAACGAAGTTTGAAACATTTTATATTAAAATTGCAATACAAGCTATTTTATTTAAATAAAAGGGTCTAGTTATTGAATAATCATTAACTGTTTCTTTGAATCATTGGTGCCATTTGCTTCTGGAACCAGATTTCAGAACTGGTTTTCATACATTTAAGAAATGTGTAGCTTTTTTGCCAAAATATTGATTTTCATATCACCATAGTCATCATGTAACTGCAATTGTTCAAGCTTGTGAGATTACAAAAGTTTGTTCTGGACAGCTAAACATTCTTGTTGCCATTATGGCGCCTGTGTATCATATTCATATTGTACATAGTCATGTGAGGAACTCTGTGACCTCATCAGTACCTGCCTGTCTGTCACTAAGAAACTGGAATAAACTATTTCATAATAACCCGTGTCTCTGTTCTTCAAACTTGTAGAGTGACCATGTGATTGACTGTATGCAAGTGCTTGTGAGATTGTCTCTGTAACTGGGGGCGGTGGGGTAGCCTAGTGGTTAAAGCGTTCGCTCGTCATGCCGAAGACCCGGGTTCGATTCCCCACATGAGTACAATATTGTGGAAAGATTTCCGCCTGTAACCCCCGTTGTTTATATCATTCTAAGCCTAAGAATAGATGGGGTTTTTTTATATTGTATAGAAAACCTACCCTAACCCTAAACGTAACATAATGCTAAATCTAAACCCTAAACCTAAACCCCTAGAAATAATCATAATAAATAGCATACATTTCAAACGTGGGTTACGGGCGGAACTCTTACCAATATTACAATATGTGAAGCCCCTTACTGGTGTCCCCTGCCGTGATATTGCTGGAATATTGCTAAGAGTGGTTCAAAACTAAACTCAGTCAGTCTGTGTAACTGGCAGTGTGATAATGTTTTGAGTGGAGATATCACTCAACAATGTTAAATAGTTTTAAAACTGGCAGTCTATACATATGTTCACATGTGCAAAACAAGTATCATGTAAATGATTAAAAGTCTTACTTTGGTTATACAATTGTTCCTGTTCCAACTCATTCCTCAGAATAACAACACATAAATCCATCAAATGAAATTCACTCAATGCTGACATGGCATATTCAGATAGTTTAAACTTGCCAACATGGCAAATCCTTTCATTTCACTCCCGACCTGAGCACTGAGCACTTTGTGTTTTTCCTTGCTTGAAGAAGTCAAAAGCCCAAGCTACAATTATATAACCCCTTTGTAGTTTCATTACCCCAGCTTAATTACAGACAATGAAGAGTGGTCAGTGGTAAGCATAGCTTGTGAGTTAGGGTGAATAGGTATTTTAAGGAATAATAATATATTTGAGAACCACTCCAGATTTATAAATATATATACAGATTTATAGATAGTATGTATACTCACCAACATTGAAAACACACCAGTCTAAAATTGTCCATATTTTCATGAAGATGGATTTCAGCATGACAATGATCAATGAATATGACTAACATGATGTCGAAGGGCATGTCTAGTTGAAAAAATTCTTTAGAAACAAATTCCTGTTCACAGTATAACTCTTAATTCCAAAATGCATCTGCATGCAGCCACGCCATGAAAAAAGCGTGAATGTCATTCTGAAACCATGCTGACTGACATTAAAAGCAGGTGTTTGAAAAACGATTCTCATTGCTTCACTAACGATTTTGAAACGAGGATAGAGATGCCGAGGTTAACACCTCACGAAAGAGAACGTACACTAGGCATTATTCAGGTTGGCACCAGCAGAAGGGATATTGCTTGACAACTTGGACTTGGTCACTCCACCATTCTTAGGCTTCATAGACATCAGCAGACAGGCAGCACCCGCGACCTTCCATGACCTTGGGAACGTGTCATGACACCTTGTCAGGATCGCCATATTAACCTTGACCATATCCGTGATCGAACACTGCCAGGACTGCTGGTTTAAGGTCGACGTAGGGTCATCAGCGTTGACACCGTGCGACACCATCAACATGTTACATGGCTCCATGCTCGATGTCCTTACGCTGGACCTATTCTGACTGACAGACACCGTAATGAGCATATACAATGGGCTAACAGGCATGTTCAGTACAACAATGGCATGGTGTGGAAGTCACTGACGAGTCACGTTTTCATCTACGTAATGCTGACGGCCGATTACGTGTTTGGCATAGATGTGAACGTTATGCTGATGAGTGTGTGGTTCAGACAGACCGTTGGAGCGGTGGGAGTGTCATGGTCTGGGGTGGAATAAGTTACAATCACAGGACTGCCTTCATGTCTGTCAAGGGAGAGTTAATGCCCTTTACTACCGTAACCAGATTCTTCAGAATCACGTCATATCGTTCTTCAATCACCACCAAGCTGACCATACTTTTCAACAGGATAACGCACACGCACACACAGCTAGACTTCCCATGCAGTATCTGGCCCAGCAACAGATCCAGGTAATTCACTGGCCAGTACTGTCGCCAGATGTATCCCCCATTGAGCACTTGTGGGACGAAATTGGTCAAAGTCTTTCGCAGCGACAACAGAGGCGAAACATTCAGGAACTTGAGGCTGCACTACAGCAGAAGTGGAATGCCATCCTCAAGAACTCTATTCGGATGCATACTGACTCAATGAGGAGACGTTGCACTGCATTTGTCAATGCAAATGGCGGTCACACGCGATATTGACTTTTCGATTTGACCCGTGTTTGATCCTTTCTGACTGTGGAACAAGTAAATGAATGAGCGTCTTTTCTGTGTTGTTGTTTTTGTCAGTCATCCATCTGTTATTATCCACTAAAAAAAGATCAATTCCTTACACATGCTTTTAATAATCTGAACTTTTGTAAGTGGTGTGTTTTCAATGTTGGTGAGTATATATACGCGATTCTCATAGCAATAGTGTGCATGATTCTCAGGGTGATGCAAAGATGCAATTGGCAGTATGAATGATAATTTCCTCACCTGTGTTGGTGTTGAACAATGATTTCTAAGGGTTGACCAAGAACAGGTCAAGATCTGTGACTTTCATGATGGGGCGTATTGCATGATTGTTGTGCATCTCAGTTGCTGGTTTGCCTACTCAGGACAGAATCCCTCCTTTTGTAGTGACCAGTGGTGAAAACTACTTTATTCTGAATACTTCTTTTTGTATTGACCCGTGAAGATCCGGGTTAGAATTGATCTTCTGCAACCCATGCTTGTCATAACAGTTGATCAACAGGATTGGTTGGTCAGACTTTCTGACTTGGTTGATGTCACTGTATTCCAATTGTGTCGATTGATGCTCATTGTGTCAATCACTGGAATTCCTGGTCATGACTCCATTAATTCAGAGCTTTTCACAAGACAATCACAAAAACACCAAACCAATGCTAAAGAGAAGGAATCCATTTTATTTCTTTGCATATAAAGCCAATCTGCTGATGGCAATGTCTGTCACTGCCTGGTACAAGCGTAGCAAACAGATGTATCAATGTACACACGTGGACAACTAGAGACAGAAAGAGGCTGCACCAAGCAGACCTGCACGCTGCAGTGGATCACAACTTAGGCCTATATCAACATCATCAGATTCTGATCACAGCCCCGTTTTACAATACCATCTTAGCACTAAAATGTTGTGACTAATTCTTCACACAGACTTTCAATAGTACCAGCATCAAGACTCCCTTTCTTCCACAGACCTACGATGGTCCTGGATCTAAGACATCGTAACTCCCTTTCTTCCACATAGACTTACAATGGTCCTGGTACTAAGAGATTGAAACTCTCTCTCTCTCTTCCACATAGACTTACGATGGTCCTGGTACTAAGAGATCCTAACTCTCTTTCTTCCACATAGACTTATGATGGTCCTGGTACTAAGAGATCGTAACTCTCTCTCTTCCACATAGACTTACGATGGTCCTGGTACTAAGAGATCCTAACTCTCTTTCTTCCACATAGACTTATTATGGTCCTGTTAATAGAACATCGTAAATCCCTTTCTTCCATTTAGTCTTACGACAGCCCTGGTACTAAGAGATCGTAACTCCGTCTCTATGGGCTTAGCACTAAAACAATTGTATTTCCCACTCTTCAACACATACAACTGTTGTCACACTGATATCGCATTGAAAAGCGGGGCCCTGATGCCTTTAATATAAATATTGGTGCGGTTGTCCAGACCATACTGCCACTGAATCTGATTTCATTCTAGTTAGACCATCAACCTCGGTTACCATGGAGAGAGTTCCTGTTGTACAGGGACTAACTTAACTCCACTAACAGACTAACAAATTGTTCTGAAGGTGTAACTAAAGGATTTCGTTAGCCTTTTCAGAAACCACAAACAATGGCAGACATGTGGTTAGTTGCCAGCGCTACAAAGCAGGAGACCGTGAGTAATCTACGTGAAGCCAAGTACAGGGGCTAGTTGAGGCTAGACTGTCAAGGTCGTGGGACTAGTTCGCTGAAATCAGAGTAATATTCCAAACCATCAGAATAAATAACAATGCAAAACATTACTCCAAAATATGTTTACACCATGTAAATGGAATATTATATCCTACCTTGAAATCTTTGCACAAAACATTTTCTAACCGATCCTCCATAATTTCATGTATATGATTTCAAATCAAATCATACTATTACCTTAAATTGACGGTATAAATTGAGTGTTGTCCAGTAATGCAATATGATAGGCAGTTGTGATATAACATTCATAAAACAGGGAGTTCAGATCTGGTTAAATGAAATGAACATCTCGCAGAAAAAGCAGTTCTGCAGAAACTGACTGAAATTTGTTACAGCCTGAAAATTTCAACATTTTTTCCAGGTAATTCATGTTACAGAACTCCAAGAAAATTCATTTAAATTTTCTATTTTTTCAAATTTGCATAATTCAGGTTGGATTTAAATATTGATGAACTGTATGATACAGAAAGGCCTTCAGAATTCATGAATGTCCACAAGATGTAATCACATGTTCTACTTGCTTATTATGTATATTGCACTTGGTAAAGTTCGGAATCAAATCGGAAGGAAAAATGGCTAAACTTAAAAACATCTTTAAAACAAAATTCTATGAAACTAGCATTTTTTCTGATATGTTAAAGCGAATGTCCCTAAACATGGCTACGGGACCTAATGTCATACAACAGTGGCAACATAAACCGCGACTTGTCACCGAGGCAACATCCGACAAATGGTAATATCACAAAAAAAATCATTTCAATATCACTTGTTCTAAGCTTTCATGCACATTATGATCCAGATGCCATTATTTGAATAAGACGTGTAAAAGTTTAGCTTTTTGACCATATCTGGTTTTACGATTGAGAATGACAAAACGAACTTCTCAATTCAATAATTTAAATATACCTGTAATCCAATATATTGTAATCAACATGAAAATTCAATCACATTTTCATACTGAATTACCATTACACATTGAGGTTGGATATTGGCCATGATTCAACAGCAAAAAATGACCATGATTCAAAATTCAGTGACATATCACACAAACAAATCCAAGATCGGGATGAAAATTAACAAAGAATAAACAGACATACCATGACTTATAACAAGCATACGAACATCAACGCTCATCAACAAACAATTGGACAAGGGGACATTGTTTTTCATAATTCAACACTTACAAAGCAGATTAATATCTCACCCAATTCTCAAATTAGACTCTCCCTGATTTCAAGATCAAACATCATGGGAGAATCCATTTTGGAAAAAGAGGGTTGCAAGTTGATAACACCAACAATACCAATTAAACAGATATGATTAAAAAAATCTACAATCGTAAAAAGCACCAAATCAACACAAACTTCTTTCATAAAACGTTGATAGCATAATATGACAACTATCCTAGCAAGCCTAAAGAACATTCACCATAGACTATTCTTAAAATATTTTTTTTATTACAACAGCAAAAAATGTGTCAGATCACCTTTACTCATTGTTGACTCTGAATTTGTAGAGTCCCAAAACTATATGTGAAAAAATGAAAAAGTAAATAAGTGTTTTTAATTCTGCCGCCAATGAACAAGTAAACCTTAAAATGAAAACCCATATTTTACTCTATCAATCAATATAAATATATAATTAATAATACAGTATACAAACCTGTTGAAAACTGAGAAATCTATAAACCACAATAATTTATGACGAATTGTAACACTTATTTTAGAGAATGAATCTCATTACACACTAAGACCTCTTCCTTATTAATTTTTTCACAGATATAAATACAAACAAAAAACATCACTACAAACAGAATGATATAAACCTGTTTATATCCAAAGTGGCTAATCCAAAGGAGACCTACTAATCTGCTCGGTTGACAAAGTTTACAGATTTTAGAGAATAAAAAAAGATTTTATAACTTAAATTCAAATTTTAGTCATATTTGTGAACTTTCAGCTTGGTAGATCCACAAACAAAGATAAAATGAATCTTGAAATATTTCTGATCTAATCACATAAAAAAGTAAAGAAAAACAAAAATTCAATGACATAATTTATGAATATCCTAGGGTGAATGTTGTCCGGCAAGATCTACACACTAGGCACAAGCACTGCACAATGAAGACACACAACACTGCCAACTCCATCACACAACAAGACGAGGGTCAACGCCGTCCTTCAACTCCTTCGACTCATTCACAAATGAGGATTCATTCTCACCATCCATCCATCCATCCAACTGTACATGGTTTTAACTACATCCTTTGTACAAGAACCGAAACAACAACTGATAATCAACACGGCATATGTACAGATCTACCACGCCTGTAGGCACTCGAGTCCTGTCGTAAAACCCCACTGGATATTACGCTGTACGCAAACATGATTTTAATCGCAGAGGCGCACAAGCTGATTACTCAAGCTTCGGGGCGATATATTACAAGGTATAAAAAAAAAATGTCATTTCTCAAAAATTACTTCACAGAGCAGAGATCGAAAAAAGGTTCAAGGGCTAAAAGGTATCAAATATTGTTTGAATACTTCTAAGTCAATGTAAAACATCTGGTACACGAAAAATTGTGTGATTTGGATGTAACACTGCTTTTGGCAATAACCTAGACAAAATGGTGGAAATACAAGGAGAGTCTCCACATACTGTACCATGATGGGAGTCGAACCTGGGTTGTGATGAGCTAACGCTTTAACCACTCACCTACCCATCTGCCCTTACAACATTCAAAAATATAGTGTATATATAACTCCAGCTTCATGGTGTGTCTCAGTCTGATTATCTTAATTGGCTTTGATAAATAAGCATTGAATCAATTTGTGGAATATCTCGTGTTCTGGATTCACACAAAAGAAGATGGTTACAGAAATCTACATTGAAATTAGCAAGTTGATTATCCTATAACTCCGTGGTAATTATGCTGACCAAGTGCTATGTACAAATATGCAATGGACATGACAAGTAACCATGGTTACGGAAGTGTGATTAACTAAAGAACGGCAGAAATTGTATGGTTTTGTCATCAAAGAATCTGCCAACACATACATGAGGCAACGAGCAGATGATAAATATACAAGCAAAAAATAATTTACAAGCAGTGAACTGTTTCCATTGTTGACACAATCATAAATAAATGCAGACTTCTTTGTATGCAAACACAACCAAATATGACCTATGAATAATGCCTCTTGGTTTGAGAAAACAAAGATAAACAAAAATATATTTAAACAATTCAGATTCCACACTATATACCATTAACAGCCAAATACCCATATTTGCCAAATACCAAGCTTTCTGAGAACCAAAGAATAATAAATTTGAACATGCTTCTCATATCGATCACAGAATATAAAACCATCTTCAGAAAAAACATTACAAATGAAAGATCTTAAAATATAAAACATTATAGCATCAGTTTAAATATGCAAAATAAAACACAACCTTATGTGCATAAATAAAATATGGCCTGTTTGTTTTTATCAATTCTGGCGCTTATTAACCGCGTCAGTTTACAATGGTTGACAGTATATAATGTTAACATTCAAGGCTGAATATATAGCAGTTGTACTGTTTTATAGTGATTATGTTTATAAATGCAATAAGCATGCACAGTCTCTATGTCCATAACACTGCTCTCAGATAACAGGCCATATGCTGGATAGAAGTTCTAGGTCTATGCTTAGCCAGCATTGCTAGATAGACAACGAAGATATTATGCTCTCAAAGAAGAAGCAAACCCTCAAATGGGAGGGTTTAGGTTGGCCATGTGTCTCTATGATCATGAGATGCTACCTGCAATTGTTCAGTCAGAGTTATCTCCCCTTGAGAAGCAAACCATGGTTAGCACAGCCATTTTGGTGTAACATTTCATCAAGGTGTAATTCCTGCATTTCCCCACTTATTATGTTGAGGGAATCTTGAACAGGGTGGGAATTCTTATATAGCACTTCTTCAGTGAATCCTTGAGGAACTTACCAGTTCTTCAGCACTAAGAATCAGATTTCAATTCTCGTCTCTTTTCAACAATGGTCAACTGGTTGAAAATCTTCCATTCATCAAGAAACCATTTTCTTCTTGAAACTCCATTCCATAACTTCTTAATTTCGAAAAAGAGGAAGGAAACCTAATAGTGGTTGTTAGTAACCTTTAGAGGGCTCCATAAGACTGTTAGAGTTATCTCCCATTTACATTCATAACAAAATGGGACAGCTTCTCCAGAGTTATTCCCCTTTGCACAAAGGAAGCAAGTTTGGAGTTATCCAAGCAAGTTTGGAGTTATCCCCCTTACACATACCGCTGAAAAGTGCAGTGAATGTCTCTGCCGATTTGTGGGCTACAAAAGGCATATACACAGATGCAAATGGGCTTGCGGTTGGACGTTTGTTATTTGTAACAATTCCTGTGATTGGATGATAGATGGGTCCTGATGGCGTCTGTATCTAAGCAACATCTCAGTACAAATGTTGTTTTCTCTTGATGTCATTCCTCTTCCATTCTGCTAGTCTATAGAATTTATCTTTAGGCATTTCAAATATACTGTGGAATTCTTCCTCATTTAGATGAATCTGAAAAAGAATTACAAATCAATATGAGACGATTCCTGAAAAAACCTTCAAAACACTCTCAGACTAAGAAACATATACTCTTCCGTCTCTCTCAAGGAAAACATTAGAGCATGTGATACAGTCATAAAAACTGGGAATTTCTGAATATTTGTCTGTTGACGACTACATATTTACCAAAATGGAAGAGCAGCTGACCATTGGCAAAAACTTATGCAATATATTGCTACACAGGCTACCATAATCCAGAGGGAATGTTTACGTTATAATTTACTGCACTTTCATAGCAACATAAATGCAAATCCTTTTCACTCCCCTTACAGCACAAGTGGGGGAAAAGTCTAAAAATAGAAATTAAAAACAAGTGTGGGGCAAAAGTGGTAGCCTAGTGGTTAAAGCGTTGGCTCAACATCATCCGCCCCGGTTCGATTCCCCTACATGGGCACAATGTGTTAAGCCCATTTTCTGGTGTCCCCCGCCGTGATATTGCTGGAATATTGCTAAAAGCGGCATAAAACTAAACTCAGTCAGTCAGTCAGTACAGCACAAGTGAACTTGTTCCTTACCTCTAAATGGTTAGTATCTACGTCTTTGGGCAGATCAAAGTTTGTTATCTTCAACTTCTCATATGGATAAATCTGAAACACAAAGGAAAAATTAGACCTGTATATCACCCATGCTCTTGTATATCATTTGTGCTAATTGTTGTCATGACAGGTATGAGTTCCACTTATACTTAAAGGCACTGTATCACACCACATTCCTCCAAAAATACATAATGCATTTCTCTCATAATACTAACTATCAGCCCTCAGGGAAGCTACCATATAATCCATTCCCCCAAAAATTAAGTATTTAGATTACAATATTAAATTAAAAAGTTCGCATGAACTAATGCAATGTTGCATTAAATCAACTCTCGTGCCCTCTGGCGGCCAAACATTATTTCAAGCGACCCAACAGAGCTATGTCCCTTGGAGCGCTCTTTACGAATATCCTACGACAACTTGTGATTGAAATCAGTTCAGCAAACACTGACAACACCTTTGTGTATTTTTTCGATGTACAGAGCAATTGTTTACATTCCATATATGGCAAGTGTTCTCTGTTTGGAAGCTGTTTGCCTCGAAAGTTTCAATTATCGATTTCAGGCAAGTCGTAAGGGATAATAAGTCTTTCATTGCATCAATAGGAAGCTAAAGTGAGTGCATATGCCCCAATATATATAATATAGGCCAAACTATTTTTGAAAATGTGTGACATTGTGCCTTTCAAGCTGTTCAGCTGTACATCCTTTCACCACAACCAGTAATTACTGAAACAAAGTCACATGGCCTCACTATCATGCATCCTCTCCAGAGGGATCTTACAACGAGCCTGTTAATGCTGAAATGTTCCCATGTATTACAAAGACAGACAGACGGTTTTTATTTTATTTCCACAAATAGACTTCATGAAATATTTGTGGGTTCTTAATGAGAACTTGGAAACAGCTACAGGTCCATAAAGGGAAGTAACTCATTCCAGAGTGACCTCATTTTCAACTGTCTCTAAGGATGTGACCAATTTTGTAACTTGTGACTATTTCATCAAATAAAGGTTCTTCTACAGTTAAATGATAAAATGTTGGATGTCCATAGCAATGTGTACCTGTTTTTCTTTAGCACATCCTGAATCAACTTGGTACATACAAGAACTTCCAGCCTGAAATGTAGGTGTGTACAGGTGTGTACAGGTATGTGCAGGTAGGTACAGATGTGTGTTATGCTTACCGGGGTTCTGCCTCTGTATACCAGGTGTGTGTACGGTATGTGCAGGTATTATTGGCAGTGTCTGTACAGGTGTGTGTCTTGCTTACCTGGGGTTCTGCCAGGTGTGTCGGTGTGTACAGGTATGTGCAGGTAGGTACAGATGTGTGTTATGCTTACCGGGGGTTCTGCCTCTGTATACCAGGTGTGACGGTGTGTACAGGTATGTGCAGGTGTGTACAGGTGTGTGTCTTGCATACCTGGGGTTCTGCCAGGTGTGTCGGTGTGCACAGGTGTGTACAGGTGTGTGTCTTGCTTACCGGAGGTTCTGCCTCTGTATGCCAGGTTTGTCGGTGTGTACAGGTATGAACAGGTGTGTACAGGTGTGTGTCATACTTGCCGGGCGTTCTGCCTCTGTATGCCAGGTGTGTCGGTGTGTACAGGTATGAACAGGTGTGTACAGGTGTGTGTCATACTTGCCGGGCGTTCTGCCTTTGTATGCCAGGTGTGTGTCATGCGGTGTGTACAGGTATATGAACAGGTGTGTACAGGTGTGTGTCATACTTGCGGGGCGTTCTGCCTCTGTATGCCAGGTGTGTCGGTGTGTGTACAGGTATGAGCAGGTGTGTACAGGTAGTGTGTTATGCTTGCGGAGGTTCCGCCTCTGTATGCCAGGTTTGTCGGTGTGTACAGGTATGAACAGGTGTGTACAGGTGTGTGTCATACTTGCCGGGCGTTCTGCCTCTGTATGCCAGGTGTGTCGGTGTGTACAGGTATGAGCAGGTGTGTACAGGTGTGTGTTATGCTTACGGAGGGTTCCGCCTCTGTATGCCAGGTTTGTCGGTGTGTACAGGTATGAACAGGTGTGTACAGGTGTGTGTCATACTTGCCGGGCGTTCTGCCTCTGTATGCCAGGTGTGTCGGTGTGTACAGGTATGAGCAGGTGTGTACAGGTGTGTGTTATGCTTACCGGAGGTTCCGCCTCTGTATGCCAGGTTTGTCGGTGTGTACAGGTATGAACAGGTGTGTACAGGTGTGTGTCATACTTGCCGGGCGTTCTGCCTCTGTATGCCAGGTGTGTCGGTGTGTACAGGTATGAGCAGGTGTGTACAGGTGTGTGTTATGCTTAGCAGAGGTTCCGCCTCTGTATGCCAGGTTTGTCGGTGTGTACAGGTATGAACAGGTGTGTACAGGTGTGTGTCATACTTGTCGGGCGTTCTGCCTCTGTACGCCAGGTGTGTCGGTGTGTACAGGTATGAGCAGGTGTGTACAGGTGTGTGTCATGCTTACCGGGGGTTCTGCCTCTGTATGCCAGGTGCTCTTCTGCAGCTTGAGTAATGATATGGAAGGACCTTCGTACCCAGATACACCACTGATGCCCCACACCCGTGGCTCTCGCTGAAACATCAACACAGCTCATAATGTCATAACACCACAAACTGAAACATCAACACAGCTCATAATGTCATGAACACCACAACTGAAACACTATCAACACAGCTCATAATGTCATGAACACCACAACTGAAACAAATGGCGAAAAGACATAATTCATTTACCACACAAATAGCTACTTAATAGTCTATATATCACTTTTCAATGGAATGGCCAATCGGTATGTCATTCTCTATAATGGCATAACCACATATGCAAGGAAATGAAGAATCAAATCAGGGTGAATCTGTTTTCACAAATCCATGACAAACAGGTTCCAGGAGAGGTTCTGGCACAAACTTGCATATATGGGCAATAGTTCTTGAATAATCCCTCATGCAAGACAGCTTTGGCAACGAGATAATACTTTAGGGAGTGGACAGTCCTCTATAAGGGAGAAACACATCTTCAGCACAGAATACCTATCGCGGGAAAGTAGAGATATCGTGGAATATCTATTTTTAGAATGTTTTGACCAGCAACATGGCGGACACGATGAGCTTTCTAGCGATGTATAACATGAATGGGTTCGTCCCTGCTGGGAGGGCAGCGTTGTTAGGGGTGAAAGTTCGGCGTTTTCAGGGTTTGATTTCACACATTTTAAATATTATCACATATATGATTATGTTTGTGGGGTTTTATATCAATAAATCAGACTCTTTATGCCCTCTACGTGGTATCGTGAAGTACATTATTAATTATACAAAAAAATCAAAATCTCGATTTTGACGTATTGAGCAAATATGTCAATTTAAGGTGCCGTGTCTGGCCTTAAATCAACTCTCGTCTCTGGCGGCAAACTTGCGACCCAACAGAGCTATGTCCCTTGGAGAGCTCTGTACGAATATCCTACGCACAACTTGTGAATGAAACCAGTTTAGCAAACACTGACAACAGCGTGTGCAATTGCTTACATTCCATATATGGCAAGTGTTCTCTGTTTGGAAGCTGTTTGCCTCGAAGTTTCAATTATCGATTTCAGGCAAGTCGTAAGGGATAATAAGTCGTTTATTGCATCAATAGGAAGCTAAAGTGAGTGCATATGCCCCAATATATATAATATAGGCCAAACTATTCTTGAAAATGTGTGACATTGTGCCTTTCAAGCTGTTCAGCTGTACATCCTTTCACCACAACCAGTAATTATTGAAACAAAGTCACATGGCCTCACTATGCGATCCTCTCCAGAGGGATCTTACATGCTGAAATGTTCCCATGTATTACAAAGACAGACAGACGGTTTTTATTTTATTTCCACAAATAGACTTCATGAAATATTTGTGGGTTCTTAATGAGAACTTGGAAACAGCTACAGGTCCATAAAGGGAAGTAACTCATTCCAGAGTGACCTCATTTTCAACTGTCTCTAAGGATGTGACCAATTTTGTAACTTGTGACTATTTCATCAAATAAAGGTTCTTCTACAGTTAAATGATAAAATGTTGGGTGTCCATAGCAATGTGTACCTGTTTTTCTTTAGCACATCCTGAATCAACTTGGTACATACAAGAACTTCCAGCCTGAAATGTAGGTGTGTACAGGTGTGTACAGGTATGTGCAGGTAGGTACAGATGTGTGTTATGCTTACCGGGGGTTCTGCCTCTGTATACCAGGTGTGACGGTGTGTACAGGTATGTGCAGGTGTGTACAGGTGTGTGTCTTGCTTACCTGGGGTTCTGCCAGGTGTGTCGGTGTGCACAGGTGTGTGTCTTGCTTACCGGAGGTTCTGCCTCTGTATGCCAGGTTTGTCGGTGTGTACAGGTGTGTGTGTCATACTCAGGTTCTGCCTCTGTATGCCACTCGCGGGCGTTCTGCCTCTGTATGCCAGGTGTGTCGGTGTGTACAGGTATGAACAGGTGTGTACAGGTGTGTGTTATACTTGCGAGGCCTCTGTTCCAGGTGCCTCTGTATGCCAGGTGTGGTTTGTGTGTGTACAGGTATGAACAGGTGTGTACAGGTGTGTGTCATACTTGCCGGGCGTTCTGCCTCTGTATGCCAGGTGTGTCGGTGTGTACAGGTATGAACAGGTGTGTACAGGTGTGTGTCATACTTGCCGGGCGTTCTGCCTCTGTACGCCAGGTGTGTCGGTGTGTACAGGTATGAGCAGGTGTGTACAGGTGTGTGTCATGCTTACCGGGGGTTCTGCCTCTGTATGCCAGGTGCTCTTCTGCAGCTTGAGTAATGATATGGAAGGACCTTCGCACCCAGATACACCACTGATGCCCCACACCCGTGGCTCTCGCTGAAACATCAACACAGCTCATAATGTCATGAACACCACAACTGAAACATCAACACAGCTCATAATGTCATGAACACCACAACTGAAACATCAACACAGCTCATAATGTCATGAACACCACAACTGAAACAAATCTCACAGGCGAAAGACATAATTCATTTACCACACAAATAGCTACAGAATAGTCTATCACTTTTCAATGGAATGGCCAACTGGTATGTCATCTCTCTAATGGCATGACCACATATGCAAGGAAATGAAGAATCAAATCCAGGGTGAATCTGTTTTCACAACCATGACAAACAGGTTCCAGGAGTGTTCTGGTACAAACTTTGCATATATGGGCAATAGTTCTTGAATAATCCTCATGCAAGACAGCTTTTAACGAGATAATACTTCAGAGTGGACAAATTCCATATAAGGGAGAAACACATCTTCAGCACACAATACCCTCATAATACTAATATCGCCTACCTTGGGAACATCGTCAGTATTCAAAGTCGACGAAGGTGTAGCTGTGGGGAAAAGAAACCTTGATTAGCATGAACAGTGATAGGATAAGTTTAATGTCAGTCATCTGTAACGAACCCGGGTCTTTGGCGTGATAAGTGAATGCTTTAACCACTAGGCTACCCAACCGCAAACATAAACTTTAGAAATAATTCAAGTCAGTTGTTATATGTTATGAGTGAACAGCCCCCATACTCAACTTCCCGCTGCTTGCCATAAACTGTGAATAAAACGAGCCACACAGATCTAGGCAGGTGAAATGTCTGAATGTGTTTGTTTGTTTGTTTGTTTACCAGTTTGGTTGTTGTTTAACGTCACACTCAGCAATATTCCAGCTATGTGGCGGCGGTCTGTAAATATTCAAGTCTGGACCAGACAATCCAGTGATCAACATGAGCATCGATCTAAGCAATTGGGATACTATGACATGTGTCAACAACCCTCACCACCCAATCCCTTTAGTTGCATCTTACAACAAGCATGGGTTTCTGAAATACAGTTCTAACCTGGATCTTCACAGGTCCAAACTACCATAGACTTGAGACTTGTTTGGGAGTTTTATCAATTTTGTTACCAAAGTGGTAAATAGTCAACAGAAACATAGAACTTGAAATTCACATCACGATTATTACTGAGAGACAGTACTACTGAACTTGTCAGTCTAGCCAATATGTCTGACCATGGAGAGTTGTACTCACTTCTGTCTCCGTTCTGCGCCGACACGTTCGTGTTTATGTGGTAGAGATCCTGCAAATAGCCACAGTCAAGTCTTAGAAAACAGCAATCAAACATTTTCTACATCAACTTCAACCCACTACTCGTTAACATATAACATTTTCATTCACCACTACTTGATCAAACAGGTATGGTTGACTCTGATCAGGTTAATTAAGGTTCTACCTTGAATGTTATCAAACAGAAATAATTGTTATTTGACTTACAAATTCATCTCTAGCACCAAAGAGACCCGAAAGTGGCAGAGTTGCTGCCCTTGGCGCCACACCATAGGATGGTCCATAGCCAGGCTTGGGTGCTGAAATAGACACATGGGATTTAGCTCTGGGGAAACATGTATCAAACTGCCCTTCTCTGGACCAGGGTTGGCAGTGAGTGGGCAGTGAATTAAATTTGACCGTGCATCAAATTTTTCAACTTAAACAGTAGAGGTGTGACGATACGGAAATGTCACAATACGATACGTATCACGATATCTTGGAACGATACGATTCGATTCGATGCATATCACGATATGCTATCTTTAGTTATTTTCTTTAAAAAAGTATATTTTGATAGCAAGTAACAGTGTAAATTTTTACATAACCGTCAATTTCTAGTGAACATTAACAATTTTAAGGTTAACGATACATATCACGATACGAACAAAAGTATCGATATATTTATCGTCAGATAAAGTATCACGATTATCGATACTACGATGTATCATCACAGCTCTATTAAACAGTAAGAAAAATCTTGAGCCTGTAAAGACATCATTAACATCAAAGTTCAAGGTTACAACTATTAGAATTCAATTTCAGGATCTGTAATAAGGATCTGGACATACAGGATTATCAGTTGATGGATCAAGTTACCTCAATATCATAAAAATAAAATCATTTACTCTGACATGAAGATCATGAAGATCTGACCAACATTCCAAATAATGTCAATGGCAGGTGAGCCTTTAGTGAACTTTGACCCCCAAACTATCCGAATGATGCATGGATTCTTCTCAGCCAATAGCATGAACACAAAGATAACCTCAATCGTACACTCAGAAACAACAACCTCCATCAAACATCCCCAAAATATATATGCATGCATATAATTTGTTTCCAATCGAAACTGCCCCTTAATATCCATTATCAAGACACAGAATTCAGAAAAGTTTCTCAGAATGTTTTACTGGTTTAGTTTAAGAAGCCTTGATGCTGATTGGCCAAGTAGAAAGTACACTTGAAGTGACCTCCCATGATCGGATATTCAGACAGAGAGACATCATATCAGAGAAACCGATCATGTTTTTAAGCTTAAAAACCCCTTTCATGATTTCATATGAAGTAATTATAACCAACAGCATGTAATATCCCTACGAATCATTTGATTGTTGTTATAAGAACAAATCCTCACTCTGACTGTAGCCATAGCCGATGCCAGAGAGAGATCGGTAACCACGGAGATCGCTGTCATCCCATGCGTAGCGAGGTCGGTCAAGGAATCGAGAAGGAGCTGAAACAGGAAGTGAGGTGAGGTGAGGTGAAATTGGGATTAACGTCGTACTTGAGAATATTTCGCTCATATGACGACGTGCATGCGTGTGTATGTGTATGTGCGGCTGCTTGTACTAGCCCAGACTTAAGCTGGTTTTATAGTGCTAGCCCACTGAGATACCATGCCACAGTGAAGCATGAATATCCCACTCAGACACATTATACTGACTCCCAGCCGACCAGTCCTTGTTGTACCCATTAATGCCGAGCGCCAGGCAGGGACCAACAAGTACCATATTTTAACTTCTTTTGGTATGACGCGGTCGGGGATCGAACCCGCGACCTTCCGCTCTCCGGGCGGACGCTCTAACCACTACACCACGGAGGCGGTCTTGAAACAGGAAGTATCAGAATTAGACTGTTTGTCTTCTTTATGGGTGTTGTCTGTTTGTTAACTGGAGAGTTATAACTAAGATACCTCCATGTCATTACAGTACTAAAATGCTAAAACAATTTTATTCACTCAACAAGTCAACATATTATATGTCACTCGACAGCATAATATATATATAGGGTCAGAATTTGTTTTCTATCTGGAAAATTTCACTATGTTAGAAAAATAGATACAGCTACAAAATACGAACAAAAAGTAACCAAAATTAATGACAATTGATCACAGAAATTGTACAAAGGCATTGTAAACTCTGAATCAAGTAAATACGTTAATATATTCGGCCAACCACCCACTACCTGATCTCACTGACTGAGAGAGTGAGTATGGTTTTTAGCAATATTCCAGCAGTATCACGGCGGGGGACACCAGAAATGGGCCTCACAAATTGTGTCCATGTGGGGAATCGAACCCGGGTCTTCTGCATGACGAGCCAACGCCTTAACATCCAAGCTACCCCCACACCCCACTGACAAGTACATAGCACTGATGTGTATTGAAGTGCACCTCAAGCTTAGATGGACTTCAAACATCAATATAGCCTCTAGTCCTGTGTCAAGGATTTGTGTAGCCATTCAGGGAGATAACTCACATCTTACCTCTAGCCTCCATGTTTCAAGCATGAAAGAGAAATGATACAGGCTCTCCTACACCAAACCAGAATCAGTCATTTAACAAGTGTTTGCCACGGATATGATATGTCCCCCGCCGCTAAAGAATGGAATATTTATATTTACTACTTTTTATTTTTGGGTCACACCCAATGTAGGCTGTCGACATAATTGAAAACATTGGGTGATATCAAGTTAACAAGAGTTTGAAAAGTGGTCAAAGTGTCGTGGTAACCTTGAAAATAAGGTCAAGGTTACCTAAATCGACTGTGTCTGGGTAATCCCCCAATATTGGCTGTCACCAAATTTGAAAACATTGGGTACCACAGTTCATGAGATATTGCGGGAGAATCGGGACGTGCGTAGTGCGTACGTACTGACGGACAGATGCCGCTGAATACATAGTCCCCAATTCCGCGTTGCGGGGGGGACAACAAGTAGTTTTATAGGGAGGCTTCAGTGCCAACTGAATCATCTGACAGCTGTGATTGGATGATTTTGTGTAAAATTGTTGTGCTTTTTAAATGTACATCCATGAAGTAATTTAAAATAACCATGTTTTTCAATATTTAGAGCTGCCTTGGTCTACATTATAACTTATGCTGAATCCAATTACATATATTTTCAAGTGGTTGACATTTGTGCGGAACTAGGGTTGGTCTGTTTAGCTTCCTGTCCTCAGCAGAGGAGCTGGTTAAGCTATGGGGTATATTCTGCTTTTCACACATGTAATACCTGTAGGGGATTACTTTAAAAAAAAAACTATACCAGGATAAGATTCGTTTTTGTGGAACCTCTAGCTCCAAGAATTTTGACTTCGAACAAAATATGGCTACTTATATTACTTTTGAAATTGGAAAAAAGGTTTTTGACATTATTTTCCTTCTGACATGGTACTCACAGGCAAACATGGGTGACTGGAACCGGGTGCTGTATCGGGGCACATATTTGGCACTGGGGACCCGCGAGGAGAGCCAGGGGTCCATCGGCTTCTTGGGGAGAGACTTCCTCTCCTCCATCTCCTTGTAGATGAGGGAACCGATGCCGGACTTGTCCTTCAGCTTGGAGATCTCCTCCAGCTCACGCTCAAACTTCGGATCCTGCTCTACCTCCTCGTCATCATCTTCATCCTTCTCACCCCGACTTCTCCGCCGTTCCCGCACTGAGCAAAACATTAGCACATGAATCAACATATTCACATGGGCACTGGAGGGTTAAATAACACATCAACTGGTGACTCGTTACCCAATATTTGCATTTGTTACCCAATATTCGTCATATGTATCATATTTGCTTCCTAGAGGGTTCATTGCAGCCCCAGCCAACATATCCACAAAATACTCATAACATGTATCAGATCCATCACAAATCATTTGTGAACTGTTACATTCCTACTTCCTACACTCCACTCTCAAAGACAAAAACAGTTTTCATGATAAAACATAGCACTGTTCCTGTATTCAATAACAACATATTGAAAGACCCAATCATCAGTAACTACATCTAACAGTGTTCACGAATAGCGTCTGACCCTCTGACAAATCTGGCAGATTAGCCAACGGTCCGATAGAAGTCTACCACCCGCCGGCCCCAGTGTCTGACTGTATATTTCACAGTGACTTTGACTGAAGTTGTTATATGTGACATGTGACACTTTTTTGCTGTTTATAAATCTTATGTTTGTTAAAAATTTCAATGCCAATTATGAGAAATGTTAAATCTGAAATGTTTATTTAATTTTATTCTATGGGTCCTGTGAATTTTCAATGGGTCAGGCAGACATCTGAAACTTACAGGACCCAATGTCTTGTTACTTTGAAACACCATCCGTGAACACTGCATCTAAGCAGATAAACTTACAGATCTCTGGTAGAATGGCTGCCGGGGAGGCAGGTCCTGGCCAGTCATCCCTCTCGATCTTCTCAACCTCGTTTGGTGGGGGTCGCTTGCCCCCTGGGAAGGTACTCATCCTGACGGCCTCCGAGTTGCGGAGGCTGCTGGGAGAAGAGCTGCGCCGCACCTTGACAACACGCGTCTGCCCTGACGCCAGCGCCATCATCCCGCTGCTCCCCGATGCCGATACTACAACAGCGACAACATTCAACAACTACAGAACAGAAGGAATTGGGGAGGATATTTGATCCATTCACTGTCTCTAGGAAACGAAACAAAGGACTTTTGACCCACTATACAGTACATTTCTCACTTTGTTTATTTGTAGTTGTAACAGAGATCTGGAAATAACTGAGTCTGGACAATTTAGTGATCATGAACATCTGTCTACGCATGGCATAAGATGACATGTGTCAAACAAGTCAGCGAGCCTGACCACACAATCCTGTTAAGTCGCCTCTTATGACAAGCATGGCCATGGGTTGCTGAAGATCAATTCAAAACCTGCATCAGTTTACTAATGTGATGCATTTAACTGAACATAAAAGATTTGTCACTTGAATTCTGGCAAGTTTAATTTCTTTTTGTCATCAGTATATTTGTTCGAAAATGACATCCAAAGTAAATTCAGACTTAAATATAAACTTAACGACACTATTTTTTTTCAAATTTCACAACAGTAGGTAATCGTTTTATAATAAATGTTCATAATAAATACGTTCACAATAAATAATTTGCTAATAAATGAATATATCTTACTTTTTCTTGCTTTGAGAAATTCTGGTTTGTCGCTTGAATAGGAGAAGTTAGCTGAAATACAATAGAGAGAAACATATAAAAACAGCTTCGGTAATTATATCTGTTAACAACCCTTAACAACAAACAAAATTCTCATCTCTGAATTCAGTTTAAACAACAGTATGGCTCTATGACCCTGCCATGAGAAATGATGATGAGTATTTTAATCCATATTTTCATTATCAGTGTTACGTACCAAATTGATAATTTCTTTAATTTTAAGGGCACAAGAACACTTCATGGTCAAGCAGGAAAAAAATAAATGTGTACTCACAAATACCACTAAAACTTCACAAAAACATTTTTACTGAAATTTTGAAATCCACATTTTTATTTCCTTATGCAGCTGAAGGTGAAGTCCGAGAGTCCTGACAATCTGTTATGTTTCTATGGAGACAGATGCTCTGAGAAGCATCATCCAGCCTATTATATATTCCAATACATGCATGCATTTGTGCACTCCAAAGATGAACATACCAGATACAGAAGATGAGTTAAAACATGAAAGATTTGATACGTGCTTATAGAAGTTATTTGTCCAGAATACATTATTTCCGTCTCCTTTAAACATCTTTGTCCGTGACTGCCAAAATAAATAAAAACCTATCCATATTTTTTAATTCTGAAGAACATAACTTAAAAATATTTCCTGTCATACATCATTTATTCCACATTTTAAATGAAACAAAAGAAAACCATTTTCAGAGCTCCAGATAAGATTTTAAGCCATTATATTATTCCCTTGTTTTCAGTCTAATTGGGTTGTTGCATTTTTCATTTTGAAGCTTAAAAGTATGCCTCATGAACTGTTTCATAGTCTATACACGGCATTATTATTAAAACAATATGTTATTAACCATTTTGAAAATATCTTTCACAGATTTTCACCCCAGGTGACTTGAACTCAAGCTCACAGCAGTTTTGACAATTTATCTGTTTCCCTAAACAGGAAGTATCATGTGTCGAGGCAACTCCTAACAATGATCTAGACCTGATGACTAGAGAGCATAGGTTGCACTTCAGTGGTGTGAACACTGCTGTAGAGTTCAAGATCACTGAACATTTTCAATTTGATGAAAATACAGTGTATTTGGTGCCAGTTGAAAATGCTAGACTTCCGTAGTTAACCTATTGTGTTTGGGTAAATTATCTTGCAATTTTCTAAGATTGCAAATCAAAATAAACTGTGTTTTTATATATGTGTTTTAAACAAAAGGCTTACCTGGAGCACTGAATTTGCATAATTACAAAAACATCTACATATTTCAAAATCAGCATCCTGTGAATCTTTAGTATTCAGTGCTGGATATGTAACACATCATAAAAAACAAACAGTTAAAAATAAACAAAATAAAAAAACAAATAAGGATGATTGTCGTTTAGTATTTTAATGATGATATTCACGATAATCATTTATGAAATGACATCTTGTTAGAATTGTAACTTATGATCAAACTGAACATAATGTCGACATAAAATAATTTCATCAAAACTTTCTTACAAAAATCAAATTAAACAGGTCTAGTTCCAAGTCAATATAAGTGTTTTAGTGTTTTCTATGCTATTTGTAATATATGATTTTTATTAATGAATGTCAATATACTTTTTTTAACAATATTTAGGGCACGCACAAAATAAAAAAAAAAGAATGAGAGAAAAAAAAACATCTGACAGTATAATTGTCGTTCAATTCACAGCAACCAGAAACATCAACTTTACAAAAATAATTTGACGACAATGAGGGAAGGAATTAGTCTATAAACCTTGGTAACGTCCGGGCTCGACTGAAGAGAAGAATTGAAAATGTATTTATTTTCAGATGATCAGAAACACAAATCGATTCTCTCAAATTTCATATCATTTCTCAAATTACAGACGAAAATTGTTTAAAGAAACATTTTGTTTATATGTAGGTGATATGCATGTATGATGAAACAGCCAAAGATCTGGACTGTGGTTGCTATAGAAACAGCATCATATGCAACAAGGATGACATCCATTGCCGAGGTAACTGCATCCAAACATCAATGTTTTATTCAAACATAACTGATGCTGATATCAGAAAGTAGGGCCTGTAGCTCACCTTTACCCTTATATTCATATGACAACTTGACACAAAATACCCATGGAAGTCACATTGAATTACCCAAACAATTACCTGCTGGCAAACCTGAATGAATGTTGTTTTACGACCAAGTTAACAAAGGTATGTATCATAACATGTGCATAAGATACACTGGATAACCAGGAACGACCACAAGAGACTTTTCAGAACAAAGATACTACGGGAATGCCCATGGAGAAAACATAAAGTAAGGTCGGTTAGTATTTCCTTTAGCAAAGAATTTCTCAATGTGTGAACCTGAAAATTCACCTGTTCAACTGAACAAAGTTGAAAATATACTGATGATGAAATCATATCTCATTCCATTTGACTAAAGATTGCTCATACAGTAAAATAGATGAAATTTAAAAGCTTTTAATCAATAACATAAAAGGATCATAACATTTTTTCAGCTGAATATTTTGTTTGATTGTTTGTTGAATAATGCAGGAATGGGAGAAAAAATTATTCCTTCCTTTTACTAAAGAAGGCAGGGGCGGTGGGGTAGCCTAGTGGTTAAAGTGTTCGCTCGTCATGCCAAAGACCCGGGTTCGATTCCCCGGGTGCAATGTGTGAAGCCCATTTGTGGTGTCCTCCGCCGTGATATTGCTGGAATATTGCTTAAAGTGGCATAAAACTAAACTCACTCACTAAAGAAGGCACAACCGAAAATGACGTATGAGTACACCTCCCCATGTCAACATCACTAGAAGTTTCTTTTAAACAACTGAATTAGAAACTTGTATTCCAACCACACGACCCAAAAATAACAAACAGCCCTGTGATTGATATCATGAGCAAAGCTCCATGCTGTGACACACTATCAACCAATTTACAAAGCCTACTAACTTGATCCACTAAATCCCCTTGCATATAGGCACAGATTGCTGAGGGGACTGCTTCCTTGACTCTGACAGGACATTTGCAATTCCTTTCACATGCAACGCTTTTAAGACGCTAGATCAAGAACCAAAAAAACGCATTTCTTCATTAACTACAATCTTCTCTCAACAGATACTGTAAGCCCTTGGTATTCAAATCACCCTCTAATACAAAAACATTGCCCTTGAATACAGACACCTCAACTCAGAACTTTTACTGTAAATCCAATCTACAAAGGAAAGAAGAAACTATCTTCACTAATGACAACTAAAATCCAAAGCTGGATAAAAGTGTACCGACTTTGGTCGTAAAGAAACAAGAAAAGCAAATAAGTTTCAAATAAACGTACGTGGTCTATGATATTGGGGAGATTTCTGAGTTTCCTTAGGGTTGAGGCTCGCTCGTTTTAAATAATCCGTTTTGCTGTTCTCCAAATAACTGCCAGTGTAGAACCGACCGAAGTTCATCCCCCGACTTTCTTTCCATCGAAGAGTCATGCTGCAGATGTAAAGAACACATTTTAGTTTCAGGAAGACATTAAAACAAGTTCTGTTAATGAGAAAAGAAGAAATGGATGTATAAATGTTTGATAATGATCAAAATGGAACTATAGATTTTAGTACAAAAGAATTATCAAACCTTTCAAGAAAGAAAAACATTGCAAAAAAATATGAGATAAAACAAACATCATAGGGCAGAAAAATGGCTAAGACTTAAAGATAGGTTTTAGAAAGAAACATTAATTCAGCCAAGACATATTATCAAATCACCTAATCATTATACTTATAATGGCATTACAATGGAAAAGAATCTGTAATAGTACAAAAAACATATGAAGATGGTTCACTACACATTGTGGATGTGATACAAGTTTTCTCTGACCTCTTAACATACAACATGATGATGTGATTGTGAGATAAACCATACCTAACTGTTTCTAAGTGAAGACTTGTTTAATCACTATGTTTGAAACTTTCAAACATCAGTATTAATTGTGATTTCTAACTAGATGCAATAAACTTCATCATCATGGCAGAAGTTGCAAAGTGTGGCAAGAAATAAAAGCGCATAGTTTCCTGGTGATAAGTAATTTGCTTGCAGAGTGACTAAAGACAAGCATGAACAGATCGAGAGAAAAAGCACAAAATGTTGCCTCGTTTGTTTACAAACCTTTCTGGAATTTGACCAAAGATTTCCCGGTAAACACATCCCAGCTAATGAATGCATTAAACACTAAAAGAACGAACATGTACTGGATGAACGTCAAACTTAACAATTTCACGCAATTGTGTCTTTGGCAATAGAAATCAAGTATTGGTTGAATTTAAAATATTAGCCATGCAAGCTGCATAATATTTGCAATTTTGCATGAAATGATTATTTTTATGGCTTCTGAGGTGCTCTTGCTACATGCACTGAGAAAAATGTGGGAAAACATTATCTTATGTTAAATGAAGATGATTAACAAATCTCAGTTTTCATAAAGCTTATTGTTGCACAAATGACTGAAAATATCAGGACAAAACTTTCCATGCAAAAAAATGACAACTCATTTACGAAATATTGCTCAACTTGTTAAAAACATTTTTGAAACATCTTTTGTGAGCAAAATTCATTTTTTAAATAAGATATCAACCATGGTGAAATGATCTATATGAACATGATCATATTTCCAAAAGACTGATACCAACCTCATACACAAAACCCTTTCTTTCATAATCATGAAGATGATTAATGAAATAATGGTTTAAAATGAACATACCACAACATCAACACAACTACAACGTGCCTTCAAAAATACCAAACAATATCAAACACAACAAGATAAAAAATAACACATTTATCAGTATCCAGTACTTTTCAAAACTGATCAATCAAATTTTCATCAGCAAGTGTTGCTGTAAGGGAGATAACTCTTACACTGCAGAGCTAACTCTCACCAAGGGAGGTAAGTACATACCGAGGCATTCCGTCTCCAACTGCTTGTGGTAGAGGCTGATGTTAAGGAACTAGTGGGGCTCGGGCAGCGAAACGAAAACTAAACAAGAGGACAGCAAGAAAGAAAGAACTAAAACGTTAGCTCACGCTCACCAAGGGTGACCAGCGTTGGTGCCAAAATGTTTCTGTCAAGGTGAAAGTTGTACTGACATCTCTACCAAAACACTAGGTTCAATTCCCAAAACAGTAACTATATCAGAAGCCCACAAAGACATTGCATGAATACTGCTAAAACAATACCCGCTCCCTCTTTAATATTTTAAGCACTGAATTTCTTTCACCAGAGAGTATTTTTGGTTGGATGTTTATATTTAGAATTGGTATCAAAACAAAGCTTTGGTGGCGAATTGGTCTAGAATATTTACCGTTACAGAACACAGACACCATGCTTGGACAAGTGGGGATGCTCCAGAGAAAATGTTTTATATACTTTCACCTTGACAAAAAGTAGAACAAAAACGTTCCACATAAATTCAAACAAAAACCTCCACAAGCTCATTTCAAGCAACAACAAAAAGCAACACAAATATTGCTCATAACAAGTCATAAGCAGTGTCATTACCTGCAAAATACTTTCACATTAAAACCTTTAGCTTGAGTGAAATTTCAATATTTCCATCCAAACTTTTAAAAATCTGATAGCAAGGTAAAGGTTTTAAATGTGATATTTACAGGACACTTGGGAGAAAAGTCAATAACACTTAGTAAATACTTAATACTTCACTTCACGATTCATTTCATCTTTTTTAAACTAATCATAAAAAAGGTGCATTGACAAGTCAGCAAATCTATGTCAACCGTCAACAAGATAAACATCCATATTTACACAACATTTTACGTTACAACAATGAAAACATTTTTGAAATATTTTCATAAATTTGCTAACTAGCAAACATATTTTCAAATATCACAAAATCTTGACAACAGCTGACATAGGACTCACCAACATATCAGAAAATAATCACATGTCAGGGAATCACAGAAATAAACATGCAATGGACGAGTCCTACGGATGTTAAAGAGTTTGTACATGGCTTGTAATCCTGCAATGTACAACACATGACGTACATGTCCCCATCCCTGGGATCCTGTTGGTGACAGCAATCATTCTTACTGGTGACAAGAAATGTCGCTACTTGCTTCTACCCAGTGAACCTTGTCTTCAAAGATGCTTGTAATGCATGTAAACATGTAGTTGTTTACGTGAACATAAACATCAAGATAATAATTAGATTTTAATCCCCACCAGTCTCTCAACCAAACTTTCATGTGACATCTATATATAGTCCCTGACTACCTACAAACTCTGGATGAAGGAGTAATTACACATTACAGAAGTTGACCTCCAAATATTTTCCTGTTTATATCACTACGAAATGCGTCGAAATGCGTCGTAAGAGGCCACTAAATCAGGTGGCGAGGCTCACTGACCTGGTTGACACATGTCATCGTATCCCAATTGTGTAGAAAGATACTCATGCTGTTGATCACCGGAATGTCTGGTCCAGACTCAATTATTTACAGCCTGCCGCCATATAGCTGGAATATTGCTGAGTGCAGCGTTGCGGCGTTAAACGTCAAACAACAAGCAAACTACTTTCCTGTCAAAGTAAACAGCTTGCTCATCACCGTAATGAACAAATCTCATAATTGGCCATCCAAGATTCCAAAACTTTTGAAATTCATATTTCAAAAGGACCGAATAACCCTTCTCCTTACCTGTTCTTTCTCCAGATATACACTAATTAAACAATAAATCATTAACCCTAACTGCCATTCCATGATTTAAAAATATTCCAAACCTTTACAAATTGAGTTTTGTCAAAAGGAAAATTAATCCTGTCCTGATTTCTCTATCCATATAAATTCATAACCCTAACACTGTTTGCGTGTTGTGTAATTCCACACTCAGCAATATTCCAGCTATATGGCGGTGGTCTGTAAATAATCAGGCCCAGAAATCCAGTGATCAACATCATGAGCATCAATCACCATAACACTGACATATTTCAAATGAGCCAGAACAATTTCCACCAGAAAAGGGACAACACAAGTTATTTGTCCTTATTCAAAACATTCAGATTCAATCAAGAATTCTACACCCGTGACCCATCATAGTCCACAACATTACAAACCAATTACTGTCTCCCTGATCACTGAGATAAGACACTTCAAATTCTTCAAACATAACACAATCCAACAATACATTACACTGTAGTCATCACAAGGAAACAAAAACTTCAAAACAGCTGCCAAAACCACTCAACACCCATTAAAAAGTCACACAACCACTCCAATATTAACACCACAGCTATGAAAACCTTACAAATTCAACGAAATAAGTTCAACATGGCTGCAAATAAATGCAACAGCAACATCAAAACTGCACTTAAAAATTGGATATTAGTTAAAGTAGCACTCATCCATACCTTCGTAAATATTTTTGGTGAAAAAAACAACAAAGATTAACTACTGGCACAGTTCCTATCAGATACCACAGACCAGTGAAGTCTCAAGCTGTTGGCTTCCCTTCTGGTTGAAAACTCATTAATCTATTACTATATTTATAAACAGTCATTTTTTTCCATGCCAGACAATTACAAAATGGCACGTTTTTATGCGCTGATAACCTGCTCGCCACTTTCACATGTTTAGGGTTAGGTTTAATGTTGGAACGAGTGATTACTTAATAATATTTACTTAATCCAATCTGTAGAAATTTCTTTTACATTATCCTTCATGTCTGTTGAGCCTCGAGGCAAAAAAGACTTTGAACAGTCAGTAATGATAAAAGCTATCAGGCCATGATAAATGAATTATATTTTTTTCATCCATTTTTTCCCCCAATAATATGAAGCAGGCTTATTTTTTTTTAAATAATTTTCTAAAACTTTTTCAAGGCATCCTTGTGCATTAACTTCAAGTTGGAATTGGTAGGAAAGTACATTTCGCAATTTCATCACCCTATGAAAGAGAGAGAATCAGATAAAAAGAAAAAAAAAGATGGCTGCCAAATGGAAGCCATTTTGAAACTCAGATGTTGGTGCCATGATGATAATTTTACCCTCTATTCAGCTAGTAAAACGTACTAGACACTAATTTCCACGGAAATTACTTTGCCTGTGATGCAACAAAATGGACCTGCATGAATTTATTAAGGAGTACATCTGGATACATAAATCTTTACAGAATTGTAAATATACTTCATGAATCATTTGGCTAGATGTTTTTGTAGTATACCTGGGAATGGTCTGTAGAACACATAAGCACCAACAACTGATCAGATAATCATATTACACTTGCAACTATCATCAGTAACTGGGATCCTTAAAACACCAAGCAGCTTCACCAGTCTAAACATCTGAACACATTGAACATGTGCATAATTAACAGTTACTTCGGAAGAAGGTCGGATAACTGCCCAACACAAAAATAGTTATATGATCTAAATAATCCATCCCTGAATCCAACCAATCTGCAATATCTGTATCCCTGTCTCTGCACATGATGCTGAGAGGATGAAACTGATGACTAGTTCTCACGATTAAAATAAAACCCAATTCCCTAAATCACATCAAACTGACTGCTTCCTTCCAAAGCCCCCCCTCTCCCCGTTCCTTAAACTTAGCCCCTACCCTTGAAACATCCACTCGTTTCAGTTTTCAAAATCAACCTTTGCCTTTCAATGAACGGGGGAAAAAAATCAATTCCAGGATCAGAATCAATTTAATCTTTCTAATAACCTGCTGACAGCGAAAATAGTTTCAATATTCTCAAGAAGCACTCCCTTTCAATCTGCTTGATATTCCAGCAGGGAAATTAATACTGATGGATGCGACTGACAACTGGTGGCAGCATCCGCGAGTATGCAAGCAAATTCCAAATTAATCCAATTGTTCGTCCATGAACATTAGCAAAATTTATGGTCCTCAATAAATAGCCTTGACTTCGGAATGGATACATCAAGTTTCAAAACATGACTCATCAATTACACGACACAATGAATGCACTCGGAAAGTGACTCGCTGGGAATTAGTCCTAATTCTGACCTCTCACCTCTCATGTGACTGGATCTAGATGCTATATTTGCATAATCCCTGACATGAATTCTGCAATGGTACTTGAGATAAAAATGTGTGGTATGTTGAAGAAAGATTTTATTATTTGACTGTGTCAATACACATTTAATCCTTGAGACTTATTTACATAAATGATCGCATATCCCTACAAAAGGACTTACAGCTTGTTTGACCGCATGAACCTATGGTTTATATTGTTGGCTACAGTCAAAATGTCTAATTAATTAATTCATAATTATGACAATTTTGGTCTGTCATTGGCACAACTAAATTTCTGTTGACACAATTGCCAAAAGATATCACCCTCATGTTTATTTCTGTGATTACAAAAATGCACAATACACATAACCTGAAACCATGACCAATGCCCAATAGAAAGGATTAGCCAGTGTCAGGGACACTTTTAAGACTGAGGTCAAGGTCAAGGTCTGTAAGGTGAAGGTCATGGTTGCAGGTCACGGTAACACCTGTTGCAGGGCAGTTACACCATGAAGCAAAGAAGAGACCAAAAGTGGGTAAAAGGTAAAAAGCAAAGAAAAGTGCACCTTGGGAGATACAAATTTGGCATGATGTGTTCAACAATATTCAACTATCCACAATTCACTGACAACAAAGAGTGTATAAACTAGCACGTCTGCTGCTACCATCTGCTCAGCTTCCATGAAAACACTCTTTCTGAGACCACGTTCTGATGTAACATGTCTTTTAATGCAATTTGGTAATGAGATAACTTCGGACATTATTGAAAAAGAAAATCATGAAACATGGAAATGAATGATGGGTTCATGTTACTTTAAAACATGGAAGTGATTTATTCATGTAAACATGCATAAACATGTCAAAAATATCTAAAACTTAATGTCATAAAGTTTGTCACATTCCCCAAATTAAAGTTTTGGAAGAATATTCTTTGCAATTCTAAAGCTGGGAAAATGAGTCAAAAACCTAACTGGCAATTTGTCATCCAAATCTTTATACATAAGTTGACTTTGGCTCCTGGAACAGAGGAAGCAGACGTACTAGCTGTGAGGTGCATGCCTTGTGACGTGTGTGTGATGTGGGAGGGTCTTACCTGCTGGTCTGTTGGTGTGTTCTCCTCATCTTCATCCTCACTCGCGGAATGGTCAGTGGACTCAGGGCCTGCAACAAAAACAGGGCCATAAATACTCAAGCAAACAAGAATAGAGAGTCTTTGATAGACCTGCAGAAGTTGGACGAACATGAAGTTACCACACTTATAAGGCTAACAATTTCTTTATTGTTTGTTGCGGTGTTCCAGGACTACTACATGCCCTATCATCATCACCTGATGAAGGGAGGATGCTTCAAAGCATGGAAAAACAAAAAGATCTGAAAATGATTCAAGAGGGGCGAGTACATGTTTAAGTGCCATTTCAGTAACAAAAATGAATCAAAGTTTCCATTTGGAAAAATAAAACCAACTAAGACATAGCTGTTAAGATTTGAATTTACATTGTTACTTTCATAGTCTGTAGCCAGGACCCTTATAATTAAAGATCCAGAGTATCTCAGCCATATCACCCCCCCCCAAAAAAAAAAAATTACAAATCTTTTTTAGCCCAGGCAAATCTGTGCATCTACTGTAGGCTACATGATCACTGCTGGTCTGTTGGTGCATGCTACTTTTGTGAAGCAAAAATATAGTTCAAAATAATGGCATTATTGATATCTTTCCCCATACTTCCAACACAGCAGCCGGCTGGTCCGTTCCATGCCAAATCTTTACCAATTTACAACCAGACCTCAAAGCAAGGTCAAAGTTATTTCCCTTGGATAATCAAAACATGGCAGCATTGAACCGTCTGGACAGTCAAGCTGACATTGCACGGCCAGTGCAACGTTCTACAAATGCCAGAGTTCATCCCATCCGACCGTTCCACAGACACATTAAAAGAACGTCTGGCAATAAATTGTTTCCAATGCAGTGCTGTATTGCGTAACAATCAGCAGAGGCTGTGGGCATCAAAGTCATCCTTCTTCGATAGAGCAATTATTAGTTCACGATCGAAACTCTTCCACAAACATGTTAAATCAAGTCATTATCAACACATTTTGTGGTGATTACGCTAAGATATCAAGGCAAATAAGTACCAGTTCACTGAAACTTTCCACTAGGGTCATCTCCCATCAAAAGGACTCACTATGCCAGCAAATTATTTTGCTCATCTTTTCAAACATTCCTTTTAAGACTGAAACTCTCTAAGGAGTGAATTTGAAAAATTTAATGGACATCCTACACGTATATAATACTCAACAACTCCCACGCCAGGCAAATATATTCCATGAGGACGAACATCGTAGCAAGCAATTCTGGCACAGGTTCAAGAATTCTATAAAAATTGAAATTGAGAGAAAGATATTTGGAAGTTAATGTTCCTACTTAACTTGCAACTATTGCCCTGAAAGCAATCTCACTGTTGACAAATGTCAATGGAAGTCAACAATAAACTTACATGTTTTTCCGACCAATGTTCAAGAAGTTTATTAAAGCGTCTGCAAACTCAGAAAATGTACGTTTCCATCATGAAAGTAGACATATTTGTAGATGAATAAATACCCCAAGGGTGGAGCATGGATGAAAAACATCATGATTATACCCTGACCATCTTGTGATATGGACAGAATACAGATGTCTGCACTGTTCCCTTTGTTAAAAGATGCAAACAAGCCTTTTCCAAGATCAAACTTTGATGAGTACTACAGGAAAGTAAGGGTGAGTGAGTGAGTGAGTGAGTGAGTGAGTGAGTGAGTGAGTGAGTGAGAGAGAGAGACAGTGAGTTTAGTTTATGCCGCACTCAGCAATATTCCAGCTATATGGCGGCGGTCTGTAAATAATCGAGTCTGGGACAGACAATCCAGTGATCAACAGCATGAGCATAGATCTGCGCAATTGGGAACCGATGACATGTGTCAACCAAGCCAGCAAGCCTGACCACCCGATCCCGTTAGTCGCCTCTTACGACAAGCATGGGTTACTGAAGGTCAATTCTAACCCAGACCTTCAGCGAGTGAAAGGGTCAGTTGTTTGACAAGCAAATACCTTAACCACTGTGTATGTCTCATGCACCTGTCCAGTGTTAATCCTGATGTAAATTTATAATGATCTCTAAAATTCTCCCTCTTTTTAATCTATACATACCCGTAATGATCCGGGTTAGAATTGGTCTTCATCAACTCACGCTTGATTTAAGAGGCGAGTAATAGGATTGGGCGGTCAGGCTCGCTGACTTCGCTGACACATGTCATCATAACCCAATTGCATAAATCGATGCTCATGCTATTGATCATTAGGTTGTTTGGTACACACTCAGTTATTTACAGACAGCTGTCACAGCCAATATATTGCGACATTAAACAATAAACAAACCCTATCTATATGTTTGTTTGTCAGAATCAGCATAATTAGATAAACACATCCCTTCAAGAACACCAGCATGTCTGACACATCCGCACAATCACAGACCATGGCGCCAGGGCAATAGTGTGAGAAATTGTGCCTTATCAACTTTTATCAGAGACAGGATTTGTTTCTATTTTTCAAACTCAAAATATTGCGAAGAGAGTTGTAAATATTTTAAATGCCTGGCTGAAACCTGGCAGCAGATTGATCAGATATAATTCAGAACTCTTCACACAACAGAGTGAAGAACTGATACCCTGGCACATGTGGTGCAAGTTTTAAAGACACTCTAGACATTCCAAGTATGCAAGACTCCCAGTTCTAAGTGTTATAGTTAAACATATTTTTTATTGTTTGTTTTCAGAAGTTTCAAAAGATGCAAACAATGAAACATTATGAGTCTCAAACAGCTTCAAGATCTGTCTATTTTGCAGGAATATATTTCAGTGTTCAGCTCCATCTTCTGAAAATATAGTTTGTCTATGGCTTAATGCTGCACACAATTTTCCGGCCATATGACAGTGGTCTGTAAATAATCAAGTCCAGACCAAACAATCCAGTGACTGACTTTATTAGCATATGTGCATCTCGGACACGATGACATATATCAACCAAGTCAGTGAGCTTGAACACCTGATCCTGTTTGTTGTTTCTTATGACAAACATGGGTTGCTGAAGACCCATTCTAACCTGGATCTTCATGAGATCCAAAACATAGACCTGAGTGAATTGGATTGCTGACATGGTTTTGTCGACATTCACTGGCCAAAATAAGAAGGTCACACATTTTGGATCCGTTTGGACATAAGTCTATAGGTATTCACTGTATGGAGTTGTCTCCCTTTACAATACAGGATGTGATGGTTACATTTCGGATCAGAGACAAGACCCAATAATAATCCATTTCCTATCATCACCTTGAGGGTTCTGACAATGTGGCACACATTTTTTACCAATATGAAGTGGGGGTTTTTGCTGACAAAAACCTGACATTTATTATATTAATGAAATACTAATCAAACATTCAATTGAAAATTTGATTTTCAAGTCTCAAATAGAAATATTGCTGAGGCAGCTTAAAGCAACATATACTCACTCACTGTTCACCACAACCAGTGAATGAATGAGTTTAGCATTCAGCAATATTCCAGCAATATCACGTCAGGGGACACACATTGTACCAAAACTGGGAATTGAACCTGGACCTTTGATGTGACAAGCAAAAGCTAGCACTAGGCTACCTCACCACCCCTCAACACAAGCAAAAGCTAGCACTAGGCTACCTCACCACCCCTCAACACAAGCAAAACCCATTTACTAAATTACTTCTTGGACAATCAGTGTCCTGAATCTGGTCTAAAAAGTTAACTTAGCGCTAAGACCATCTTTAATCTATGTTAAGGTTACAAAAGTAACAATGATCTGAATGCTAAGATAGCTTTGTGAAGTCAGCCCTTAGATGAGTTGAGTATAGTACTATTATAGTTGACTTCACAGGCCGGTCATCAACACAACATGGATTTGTACTTCACAGACTTCAGCGCCATACCCCACCAGTCATAGAAAGATGCCTTGATCAAAGGCTACGCACACTTCAAACCAATTCTGTAAGTTCCAAAAATATAATTCTATTCATCAATTCCTTCACAAGTTTTAACCCCCTCTCAAGTCAAACAAAACGCATAACCTTTAATCAAATCAGTATTTTTCGCAAAAATATGTACTACTCCTCTCTCAGCAATTTCCTATCACAAATGTACACTTGAGCAAACATCAAACCTAATTTCATCATATCCTTTTTCACATCCAGTCATCTCTAGGGCTCAATCATTTTTCGTAAAAGACAAGATCAACTTCATTATATTTCCTTCAACCAAACAGGAACATTTTCAACTGGTCAAGGTCATTCCAATTTTCTTTCGACAACCTATCAACAAAAGATCAAGAAATAACTATCGAATCAATCACTTTTTTTTACACCAGCAACAAAACACTTTAGGTTGACTTTCAAAGAATACACTTGATTTCTTTCATGGCAACTTCTTCTGACCTTGGTTTGACAAGGTCATTTGAGGTCAGATGCATGGAGGCGGCCATGACAGCTGGGATCGATGGTGATGCGATTCATTACTCAGGTTGGAGCCCTATTGGGTAAGTAAGTAAGTTATGGCATGCAAGCTCTCAAAGCTCCTTGGCTGAGTCAGCAGAGGAAACCACTTTTTCTTGTAAACGCTGTCTCCCAGCTTTCATCACTTGTGAAGATCACCCATTCCTGCTTAATTGATGATCTTGGGATTGTCTCAAGGACAAGATATTGGTTCTTTTGTCTGCATGGCAAAGTTTTTACAAAGTGAGAACAGCAAAAACCCTAGCACAGATATCCTGAGTATGGGTGAGTAAATGAGTGGTCGGGTTAGTGAGTGAGCAAATGCATTAGTATGTGAGTGAGTGAGTGAGTGAGTGAGTGAGTGAGTGAGTGAGTGAGTGAGTGAGTGAGTGAGTGAGTGAGTGAGTGAGTGAGTGAGTGAGTGAGTGAGTGAGTGTGTGAATGAGGAACTCAGCTTTAGAGTGAGAGTGAGTTTGTTCCAACCATACATCAAGTCTTTCTACTAACATAATAAGGGATGAATAAAAAAAGTTATATAATTTTAAACCTAATCTGAATTTTGACATGAAGGTACATGTGACATATGCAGCTCAACAACTGTCACCAGTTATA